TTGACATTTTAAATATTTCTTCTGCAAGTGGTTCCACCTACAAAAAAAAAAAGTTAAAATTAAAAAAAAAAATCGTTCGATTTGAGAAGGTGTCTGTGATGGACACCGGGTAAAAATGATTTAGACTCCGGACTTCATATTTAAAACAGCCTTTCTTTTTTTTTTTTGGCTTTTCTTATCTTTTTTGTACCCCTTTAATAAAAAAAAAAGAAAGAAACCTTACATTATGGCTATTGTATCAACATTGATTTCAAAAGGATATAATGAGTTTCTGCAATTCTCGTTTATGGAAGTCAACTTGTTTTACAAGATCTTGATTGGTATTGTCGTTTATTGGTCACTTTATGTTTCTTCTCAAACCGTAAGTCTTCTTTTAACAACGCACAGACATTTTTTATACTAAAAAAAAAAAAAAAAAAAAAAAAAAATTAGTTTATTCGTAAAGATTCCAAGATGGTACCTACTGTTTTTTCCTATGTACCATTTATGGGCAACGCGATTGAATTCGGAAAGTAAGTATAGAGCCCCCGAAAAGAAATAAGAGTTGTATGCAACTTTAAATACTGATGATATGGGTAACGTCATAGAGATCCAATTTCTTTCCTCAAGAGTTGTCAAGCAATTTATGGCGATGTATTTACCTTTCAATTGATGAACAAGAAGGTGACTGCATGTTTAGGTCCTGATGGTAACCAATTTGTGTTTAACGCAAGACAAACGCATGCCTCTGCCGCTGCTGCCTACAATGACATGACAAAATATGTATTTGGTAAGGACATTGTATTTGATACAGCTCATAGTATCTTTATGGAACAAAAGCGATTTATCAAAGCTGGTCTGAATGTCGAGACTTTTAAAAAGGATGTACCTTTAATCTTGGAAGAATGCGACTTATTTTTTGACAAGTTTGAAAAGTCTGGAGAGATTGATGCTTATCATATGTTTGGTGCTTTGATTATTAACACGGCTTCGCGTGCTCTTTTGGGACCTGAGATTCGTAATGCTTTAGATGATGGTGTTGCACAACTCTACTATGATTTAGATCAAGGATTCCGACCCATCAATTTCATGTTTCCTAATTTACCGCTTCCAGCTTATCGTAAACGAGATGAAGCCCGTGAGAAATTAGCTGTGGTGTACGAAAAGGTTATCAAGAATAGACGGGATAATAAGGAAGTGCATGATGATCTTTTACAAAGTTTGATGGATTCTAAATACAAAGATGGATCTCCAGTTCCTGATGCACAAATCTGTGGTATTTTGACCGCTGCTTTATTTGGTGGACAACATACATCTTCTACCACCTCAGCTTGGGCTTCTTTAGAACTTGCACATCGTCCGGATATTGTTAAGGCACTTCGTGAAGAAATGATTGAAAAGTTGGGATCGTTGCAGGTAGAATTTACGTATGAGAATCTGGACAAGTTGGAGTTATTAGAAGATGTTGTGAGAGAGACATTACGTCTTCATCCACCTATTTTTAACATGATGCGTCGCGTAGTGAATGAAGATATGTTGCATGAAAAATCTGGGCTGATGATCCCTCAAGGTAATTATATCTGCGCTGCTCCTGGTGTAACCCAAATTGATGCCACGTATTTCAATGAACCCATGAAATGGAACCCTTATCGTTGGTCCGAAAAGACCGATCCCGTTCATCAATACGAGCAAGGAGACGATGCTAACATCGATTATGGTTTTGGTGCAGTCGGTATCTCATCCCGCAGTCCTTTCCTTCCCTTTGGTGCAGGTCGCCATCGTTGTATCGGAGAAAAGTTTGGTTATTTACAGCTTAAGGCAATCATTGGTACATTTGTCAAGAAGTTTGATATTGAAGGAACTACACCCAATGTGCCTAAACCTGATTACACATCCATGGTAGTTGTACCCGAGAATAGTAAAATTAAATTTACCCGTAGAGTCTAAATAAATAAAGATTCTATTTAATTAATAATTGAGGCAATGCTCTTACCACCATTCGAAAATCTATTCTGAGTATCAAACCTACATGAACGATTTGATCTACTAAATGTTTGTTTTGAGCGTTCGATCTAATAAGGTTTCCGCAATAGAAACCGCTAATAATCCGCAGTTAAAAAATATGTCGTGACTAAAAGTAAACTCAAGATTCTACTCTTTATTTTTGTCAATAATATATACACGTATAAAACAAAAAAAGAAGTCAACTATCTAAAAAAAAAAGAGGGGGAAGGGGTGATACCGATTCCTTTGTAACGTGGTCTCTCAAAAGTCCGTTGATTTTTTTAAAGTGATCTAGGAGAGGTGGGAGAAGTTGTGGTAGAAGTACCGGGAAATAAAGCAGCGCCAGCCAAATATTGTTGAACAACGTAAACGAGACTTGCCACCAGAGCCAAAAAGAAACTGAAGCGGACAAATCCAAACACGAGTCGATAGACCCAACGGAAGGTAGCCAAGATAAAGCAGTAGGCGATATAGGCAATAATAAGAAGAAGTATGATGGTAAAATAGTTGGATTCGATGGGTAATTGAGAGAATGTGTCTACCAATTGTTGAATGAAGGTGGGTGAATGAGAAACAATGTAGGTAATAAATGAAGTTGTCACTTGCACTACTTGATCAGGAGCAGGCAAGTTAATATTCAGTTCCTTTAAATGCAAGTAACAGAATGTATATGCTTGTGTCAAGTAGCCAAGGGCTTGTAATGCTATATTGTAACTGTCGTTGAACCCTTCCATGATGATAAAATTGTGTTGTCAATGAAAGAGAATATTTTGATTTTATTTTTTTTATAAAAAAAAAAAAAAAAAAAAAAAAAGTGACTTGCGGTTTTATTGAGGGACAGGTTAAAGATCAAAAATAAAAATGTCACGTCATACACTCTGTAAGAACGCGTTCAGAGAATAATGCAAAAAATAAAAACTCGTTTCTGATTGGCTTCCCACCCATGACAATGCAAGGAACCAAAAAAAAAAAAGCTTAAAAAAAAAAATAGGACCAAAAAAAAAGCGTGAGAGAGAAAGTGCATGTGAATTTAAGTGACGTTGACATCAGGGCAAATTGGATTTCGGAGATGTAAAGAGAAATCTATTGATAATACATATATATTTTTTTTTTCCCCAGGTTTATTTATTTTTTCTTGTTATTATTTAAAAAATATGTTTGCTTCTACACGTATTGCCCTTAGAGTAAGTTCTCTTAATGGCATAATAAAAGTGAAAGAGGTTACTAACATGAGTTGACACAGGCAGGACTTGCTCAACGTTTCTATGCAACTGGTGCAGGAGCCAACACACTTTTATTTGTTGAACATAAGGATGGACTCATTGGAGGAGCTACTTTAAATGCTTTAACCGCTGCTAGTCAATTAGGTGGTTCCGTTACTGCCTTAGTTGCTGGTGATGCCCCTGAAGCTGTTGCTCAACAAGTTGCCAAGTTAGCTGGTGTTTCCAAAATCTTGACTGCTAAAGACGCTGCCTATGCCAACAATTTACCCGAGGATATTGCTCCTCTTCTTGTGGCTGCTCAAGCTCAATTTGGCTTCACTCATTTATTGACTGGTCATACCGCTGTTGGTAAGAACATCTTTCCTCGTGCTGCTGCCTTGATGGATGTTGCTGCTGTCTCTGATATCACTGGTATTGAAGCTGAAGATACTTTTGTTCGTCCCATTTATGCCGGTAAAGTGAAATTATATGTACAGCCCCCCCATAAAAAAAAAGAAGTATAGGATTTTAATAATAGTATGATAGGTAATGCTATTGCTACTGTCAAGTCTGGTGACAAGATCAAGGTAGTTACTGTCCGTGGTACTGCATTTGAAGCTGCTGCTTCTTCCAACGAATCCAGTGTTCCTGAAGAAGCTGCACCTACTGCTGAAAAGCCCTCTTTGACCCAATGGGTCAGTGAGGAGATCCAAAAGAGTGATCGTCCTGATCTTGGTACTGCTAAGCGTGTCATCAGTGGTGGCCGTGGTATGAAGAATGGTGAAAACTTCACCTTGTTGTATGATTTAGCTGACAAGATTGGTGCTGCAGGTAAGCAAGGAAACCGCACGGATGGACGAGTTTGATATCACGTGCCTGTGAGAATTTATGACTAATATAAACCCTATTTTTTTTTTTAACAGTCGGTGCTTCCCGTGCTGCTGTTGATGCAGGATTTGTTGACAATTCCTTGCAAGTTGGTCAAACCGGTAAAATTGTTGCACCTGGTAAGTAAAATATGACATATAAAAAGGAGAGCACTAAAAGCCTATTATTTTTACACTTAGAACTCTATGTTGCTGTTGGTTAGTATAAAAGAAGAGCGTGGGAATATAGAGATTATTAAGAAAAAGGGGTTTTTTGGAGGACTAACAAAAAAAGGAGGATAGGTATCTCTGGTGCTATTCAACATCTTGCTGGTATGAAGGATTCCAAGACCATTGTTGCTATTAACAAGGATGCCGATGCACCTATTTTCCAAGTAGCTGATTATGGACTTGTTGAGGATTTATTCAAGGCTATTCCTGAATTGACCGAAAAGATTGCCAAATAAAATAAAAAAACCCCTAAATAGATGATTCGCCGTTCCAAGGGTTGGAAAAATGAAACTCTAAGGGCCCTCACAAGCAACAAAATTATTTTTTTAAAGATCCCGATTAAGGACTTTATTATTATTTTTTTTTTTTTTTTTTTTGTGAAAGGTTACTTCAGACTTCCAAAAGAGAGCTTTTTCCAAAATCCATGACGTTGCTTTTTAATGACCCTTTTTGAACGATTACAATATAAAGTTCACTCAAAATGCTAACCTATCTGTTATTATTTTTCAAGGACTCTATTGTTTCAATATACTTTTTATTTCTAGAGAAAACAAAATGAACCTATCTCAAATTGTCACAGTAATTGCTGAATCGCAATAAATTTTATTTGGACTTAATGATGATATGAATATGATTATGGAATCAGACATTTTTACACTTTACCGACAACAACGTAATCGGAAAACAACTCGATCAAAACGTTGGTGCTTGCTGAATCCCATATGACGATGGTAGTGTACTTTTGGAAAGGCATTTTGTTAAATAAAATTAAATAGTTAAGAATTGGTAAAGAAAAACGAAGAGGATCACAAACACAACTCTTTTATCAAAAAAAAAAAAAAACAAAAACATTGGTGAGTTCAGTAGCCCAGTTTGGCTGATTTTTCATCTGATAGAAGGATTCTGGGGTCGTTGGATTTTAATCCTTTATTGGGATATTTCGAAAATTTTGGCACTGGAGAAAATTCGATGTTATTGTTAATCGCCTATATATATCCATTTAATTTTTTATTCATCTATTTGGCAAAATTGTAACCTTTCACAAAAAAAAATAAAATAAAAAAAATAATAATAAAGTCCTAAATCGGGATCTTTAAAAAAATAATTTTGTTGCTTGTGAGGGCCCTAAATTTGACTATTTTTAAAAAAAAAAAAAATATGTGACTTTTTCCATTTTTGTTGTTGTCTCTCTTTTTTTGTTTCTTCTCTTAAAAAAGAAAAATGCTTTTGGCAAGTAGGCCTTGTATTGACACAATTAATATCTCCAAACCAAAACAAGTGCAGTCACCCTTTTGGTTTGGTGGTGCAGCTTCTTGTTTAGCTACGTTTGTTTCACACCCTTTTGATCTCACCAAAGTACGACTTCAGACATTACGAGTAGAGAATAGCACAGCATGGTCTGAATTCAAATTGCTGAGCCCTGCACGCATGTTCAAAACCATGTGGACTATCAGCAGAACAGAAGGTATCACTGCTCTTTATAGTGGATTATCTGCCAGTCTACTAAGACAGGGCACTTATTCTACCATACGTTTTGGACTCTATGATCAATTCAAGTGGTCGGTAGCAGGGGACCAAAGTAAGCTCTGTCTTTTTTTTTTTTTGACATATTTTTTTGTATTTATCATCATTGGAATAGAACCAACGGTACGTCAATTGCTATTATGCTCAACGATGGCAGGTGTTTTGGGTGGGGCATTTGGTAACCCTAGTGATGTGGTCAACGTACGTATGCAGAACGATGGTCAACTACCGCCCAATCAACGTCGTAATTACAAAAATGTGCTTGATGGTATGGTTCGTATCTGTCGAGAGGAAGGTCCTCAAGTGTTATTACGAGGCATTGGATCCAGTACACATCGAGCCGTCTTAATTACTGTGTCGCAAATGACGAGTTATGATCTTTTTAAGCAGGGTCTACTAGATAAATTTCATTTTCATGACGGATTAATGACTCATTTCGCAGCTAGTCTACTAGCGGTAAGTTGCTTGTGCTTTTTTTTATATATATATAAACAAAAACTCACCTTAATTTTTTTTTTTTTTTTTTGTAGGGTTTGGTGGCGACAACGGTGTGTTCACCGCTAGATGTGGTCAAGACACGTATTATGAGTGCACACATGCATGATGGTCGACATCCAGTGAAAATCATGTTGCACATGATGCGGACGGAAGGATTTGGGTCGCTTTTCCGTGGCTGGATGCCTGCTTTTGTCCGATTAGGGCCACACACAATCGTCACCTTTATTGTTCTAGAACAATTAAAAGACTGGCACAAAACTTACAAATTAACCCATCAATAGACTTGTTATTATACCATTTATTAAACTCTCCTTTTTTTTTATTATCATCAAAGTTGAAAGCGTTTGGTGACTGCACGCGGGATTTCCTGTTCATGATGAGTGACCATGATCAAGGTTTGATCCGGTCGCATGTGCTTTTCTAACCACTCATTGACTTTTGTAATCATCGTGTCGTCTAAACCTTGAAAGGGTTCATCCCAAATAATCAAGGATGGCATCTTTACTAATGAACGTACGAGAAGTACCATACGTTGCTCACCTGTGGACATGTGTTGTAATTTCTGCTCCAAAAGAGGTTGAATGTCAAACTCCTTAAATAATTGAGAGACGGTTTCTGATTGGCTCTCTGAGATGGGTCTGGGAACAACCACATCAAAGAACCCTGTACCCGCCGCTTCCAAAGCTGTCAAATTCTGATTAAAATAAAGGTGAATTTCGGGACTGACCGTTCCAATCTTTTCCTTAATTTCCCAGATACTTTCTCCCGTACCCCGTTGACGACCAAATAGGGACAGGTTGTTGGCGTAAGCCTGGGGATGATCACCTGTGACAAGGGATAATAATGTTGTCTTTCCTGACCCGTTTGGTCCCATCAGTGCCCATCGTTCTCCCTTTCGAATTGTCCAGTTGATTCCCGCTAATACTGGATGTCCACTGTAAGTCACCTTGATATCCTTCATCTCCACAATCGATTCGTTATTGTCGGTATCAGGTGCTTCATACACATCCATCTCTTCTTCCTTTTGTGTTAATAATTGGTTTCGTTTTTCTTGATAATCTTGGGGTTGTCCTTGCCAAACAATCTTCATCTCTTGTAACTGCATTACGTCTGTAGCCCAACTAGGAAATTCATCTTGAGGTCGAAGCACTAAAACGACAGGTATAACAAGCTTTCCTAATACATCCAGCAAGTGTTGCCGATGTTCAACATCTAATCCCACTAATAATAATAATAAAAAAGACGCAATTGTGTGTGTGCGTGTGCGTGTGTGTGTGTGAATTCTTTACAGTTCCTTATTTCCCGCTTTTTTTTTTATCATCATTACTAAGTGGTTCGTCTAAAACAAGCATTTTGGGCTTATTTAATAAAGCGCGTGCAATTCTTGCTCGTCGAGTTTGGCCATTGGATAACTTTACAAATGAAAGAGGTAATAATTCCTCGATATTCAATTGTTTAGCTACTTCCGATACACTGGATGGATCCTCATCTGTGGATAAATAGTCTTTTAAAGTCACATCGTTATCTGGGTCACTTGTATATCATTTTGTTAATATACATGATGTGCATGACTTTTTTTTTAATTGGATCGTTGGGAAGGAACTCACCTGAAATTAAATCTCTCTTGGTAATAATGGTTATTGTACGAAAAGCGTCCAGAGTTTTCCTTGAAGGATACCAGGTGAACATGATCTGATGCGTAAGGTGACACAGAAGGGTCAATAATTGGCCATTTGGCTGCTGATAATGGCTGAATCGAGTGTTTACCAGCAATCGTCTAATGGTAAAGATATTAATATATCAAAAAAAAAATCGCGTGTCATTTTTGACCCTCTCTCTCGCTTACTTGTGCTAGTGTGGTTTTACCAGCACTGACAGGACCCACAATCACCAGTCGGTCGTCCTTCTTGAGGGTAAATGAAAGGTCTTGGAAAACAGGTTCTTTTGCTCCAAACCGAAACACGTTGGCGTGTTGGAGTTGAACAAGTGTTTGACTAGAGTACAAACGCACCTGACTATAATACAGTCGCATGGGTCGTAGCATGTTCATTTAGATAGATGACTGAGAGCAAACACAAAATAAAAAAAAAATAAAAAATAAAAAAATACTCGCACAGAGTACCTTTATTTTTATTTTTCACAACTTTGATTGGATATTTGTCACCATGACAATGCCAAATAGATGAAAGATTATAGGGTCGTGGTTTGTCTCAAACCTTCTTTTTTTTTTTGGATGGTGACTATAAATGAAAGAATTCTAATGACAAGCGCAAAGCAAAAAAGTGGGTTGATGATAGAAATAGGAACTTCATGTGTGTATGTTATACAGCATACCCAAAGGTCATTTATTTTAAATCAATGAAAAAAAGGGAAAACCTTGTAAAAACAAAGTAAAAAAGGGATTTATTTTCCCAGCCCCGGGAAAAAATGGTGGAGAACGGTCACGTCCGGTGCGTGCGTGTGTATGTTTTATGTGGGGGGGAGGGTGTGCGAGCTTTATAAAAAGGCCTAAAGTTTTTCATTCTCTCTCTCTAATTTTTTCTTTTTCATCTTTTTACCACTTTTTTCCCACATCTTTTCTTTTTTTATTTTATATATATTAAATTAAAAATCATGACTGAAGCTCAAACCGTCGCTGTTAACAAAATCGTTGATGCATTTACCGTGTCTGATGATCGCTTATCCAAAATTGTTCAACAATTTGTTATTGAAATGGAAAAGGGTTTAGACCATCAGGGTGCTACCAGTAAATATTAGATGATATAGTATATATACATATAAGAGATACTAACAAAAAAAAAAGTTGCCATGATTCCATCTTTTGTCGCTGGTCGTTGTACAGGTGATGAAAAGGGTTCTTTCATGGCTCTTGATTTGGGTGGAACCAATTTACGTGTCTGTCACGTCACTTTATTAGGCGCTGGTGAACACACCATTCGTCAACAAAAATACATTGTCTCTGAAGAATTAAAGACCGGCCCTATGCGTCACTTGTGTGATTTCATTGCTGACTGTGTCGACAGTTTCTTGACCGAAAATGGTACTAGTGAATCTCATGAAGTCATCCAACTAGGTTACACATTTTCTTTCCCTGTTCTCCAAACTTCCATCAACCGCGGTGTCTTAAAGCAATGGACTAAAGGCTTTAACTGTTCCGGTGCCGTCGGTAAAGACGTCACCATTCTTTTGCAAGACTCCTTCCGTCGCAAGAACATCAATGTCAACATTGCTGCTGTAAGTGAATACAATACAAAATGTACAGACCATAAATTTAATAGATTTTTTTTTTTTTTTTTTTTTTTTTTGGTAGATTGTCAATGATACCGTCGGTACTTTGATGGCATATGCCTATAAGCATCCTGAAACCACCATGGGTGTCATTATGGGTACAGGTTTCAACGCCTCTTATTACGAAGATATGAGCAAGGTCAAGAAATGGACAGGTAATAAGGATGAGGAAATGGTTATCAATATGGAATGTGGTGCATTTGATTGTGAGCGTCGCGTTCTCCCCATGAACGTTTATGACAACAAGATGGATCGTGAATCTATCAATGTCCATCAACAACTCTATGAAAAGATGGTAGCTGGTATGTATCTCGGTGAGATTACACGTAATGCCATGCTTGATTTGATTGATCAACAATTCTTATTCAACGGTGAATCCTCCAATGACTTGAACAAGAACTGGAGCTTTGAAACTGCCTACATGTCCACCATCGAAGTAGATGAATCGGATGATTTAAGTGATACGGGACATATTTTGGAGTCTGTCTTGAGTATTCCTAGCACTACTTTGGTAGATCGTCAAATTGTCAAGAGACTCTGTAACGCTGTTGGTGTTCGTGCTGCTCGTTTAGCTTCTTGTCATATTGCGGGTGTCTTGACCCATACTGGTAAGGTTGGTCATGATTGTATTGTGGCTATTGACGGTTCTCTCTTTGAGTTCTATCCCAACTTTGGAAACAATATGGGCGATGCTTTAGCTGCTGTCCTTGGTGAGCAGGCTCGTTCCAAGGTCAAGTTTGATCTTGCTAGAGATGGTTCTGGACTTGGTGCTGCTATCATTGCCATGATTGCTGCCAAGAAATAAAATGTCACTGCAAGAAATTACACACACACACAAACACACACATAAACACACGCACACACACAAAAAAAAATTCAAACTTGTAAATATTATTGTATTTTAGATCTTCTATCCCCCATACACACTCCCAAACACAACATAACACAAATTATTATTTTTTTGCCGCGGGATTTTTATTAATCCGAATATCACTATTTTATTTTTTGACCCTTAAAATAAGAACCAATTAAATTCTTGATTATGTTATTACTTTGTTTAGTTTTGCGCAACGTTTTTTTTTTTTTTTGGAAGGTCGGGGAAAACCCTGATTACCATCTGTTGTGTTACAGACGTCATCTTATCAATCCATCAAAATCACGTATCTTCCCATTACATCTTTTTTTTGTTCTCATCCATCGTATCGTGCATACATCTTTTTTTTGTTTGCATGGGTTACCGAGATAATTTACTGATCATGTGTCCCATTTAAAGTTTTTTTTTTTTTTTTTTTTTTTTTTTGCATGAAATTGTCTTTCGGTAAGAATGGGTGTCTTTTTTAAACAATAAGCCTGTGTGATGCATCTACTTATTGAATCGCCCCCTGTTTTATTCTTTTTTTTTTTTTGTACGCTCGCGGGAAAGTTTTTTCCGTCAATTTTTATAGATTTACGTTATCCCGTGAATTAAAACTCGTCTAACAAAAGTAGCGAGCATTGATAGCATTAAACAATTTTTAAATAAGAGTATATATTCCTTATTCAGGCGGCTTTTTATATAGTATTGTCTGCCCTTGCATTGCATCTTATTACCGAATATTGCTGGTGTATGATCATTTAAAAATGTCGTTTATCAGATTGTGGTCCTTATGCAGCTATCTTGAGTTTTTTTTTGGGGGGATGTCAGCCCAAGCGTGGAGATTTTGAATTACAAAGTAAATCTGAATACATTGTCTTGGATTTTAGGTTTAGCCTAACTGAATTGAAGAAAATTATGTATTGTTCCTTACATTTGAATCATACAAAGGCCAATTTCTTTGAAGAAAACTAAATAATAATGATAGCACTAATCCTAATCATAGGTATTAAATCATTTATCATAATGTATTAGTTATCATGTCAAGCTGATTATAAAATTCAATTGATGTTACTTTCTCTCGGCCTCATAGCCACCCTCGTGGCTTCTGTTTACGCTCGTTATGTATGTGCTAATAGCGCCTATGATAGTCAGACTATAATCATTATTACCTGCCGAGGTAATCATGTTGTTGCCCGTTATGATGCTAAAGAATCGAAGAATATCTTCACAAAACGAAAAGTAGCTGGGTGGTGTTAATAAAAAAAGATGTTTCTAACGAAAATCAACCAAGCGTTAGATATAATCTTGGTTTCTTGTCAAACATTTGGGACCCTTGTATCGTACCCTTATCTTAAAGTTATGGAGTACAATTCGTCCCGATAAATGTTCAAGGACTTTTGGATTTGGCATGTTGTCTTTGTTTATTGCAAAAATGGATAAGAATTACACGCTAGCCACAGTTATTTGATCATGACGGTGGTGGTTTTGGAGAATTTATCGCAGAATGCCTTATCAAAGATCAAGACAATTGGAGAGATTGACGGCGTTAGAAGCCGCCATGACTTCAACTTTACTCAACCCACTCTCAACACTCAACTTCTATTGACAGGTATGAGGAGATTGACCAATCAAGCCAGCCTATGGTATTTACTGTATATATGTTACAAAGAGCACAATCGTAAATGCATTCCATTCAGGTACTTACAATTGTATTTGCAAATCAATAACGATAAAAAAAAAACGATTTCAATCTATCTGTCTGCAAGTTAATGTTGACAGTTTGGGTTTTTTATTCACTGAAACTGTTGATCATAGGATAGAAATCCAACATGAAGCCACTTTCGATGCATTTGCGTTTGTGCAAGCTTACAAACGTCATGGTAGATTTACACTTCATAATCCCAACTTCAACTTTATTTCTAATATTGAAAGCAATCGCAACGCTCATATCTATTTTCATTATGCTGATAAGAGGAAAATTAAAGTACAAACATTATTTGACTAATCCTTCAACCATTTAGGAATTAGCTTGTTGTTTATGAAGCGCTTTAATGAATAGTAAAGAGTTGCATTAGATCATACATATATCTTGCATTGATGGTTAAAAAATTCATTTTAACCTTCCCAGGTTTTTCCTCATCAAAGAGACATTCGGGTCGTTTTACATCTTATGTTCTTACAGTCCATTTAAGAGGGAAAATCTATTTGAATCCATACTATACTATTAGATTACTCATAATGGATTGTGCATAAAAAGCTTTTTTAACTTCTAATCCTGAAATGTTTTTTTAAAAAAAAACCTGTAAACCAAAAAGTCAAATTAAGAGTGATAATTGTTTTTTATTATTGTTCTATTAATTTTCTATGGATACTGGTATGACTCAAAACATCAAAGTACATACCAATAGGGGAGTGAATGTTTGGGATTGGAAAGATAAAAAGTTTAGACTCGTCTTCAAAAGTGCTTTGACAAACTCCACTGTTGATCGAATTGAACGTGGCGATCAACGCTTGGTGAGGCTTGTAAAAATGAACAAATGCAAAGGTGAAAGTGGAGACGACATAAAGATCACCTTCGACATGAAGACGTACGTCATGTCTGAAAAAAAAATTGATCTGAGCAGGCCGCAATTGAGGAGACATACAAGCAAACGTTGGGGTTGTAATATGTTCTGATGAAACTACCTCTGGCTGAAGCAGTTTCATTTGAGTTGTACTTGTGACCCATGATGCTGATCGTATTGAACTTTACTATCAGGTTGCTTACCTTACTTTCGGGTTGAGTACCCTTCAACAAACAACTATCAAGTTCCACGGATATAGAGCGATAATAATCAACCGGGTGACCGAATTGGGCATATGACAGTCGAAGTCGTTTCTTGTTGAACTTTAAATGCAGGATAGTGTTTGGGGGCAGCACTTCATGACTTGGAATCGTTGTATCGCCGTATGCTAGGAACTCAAAAATTTCAAAAGTGGATACGGACTGTAAGATTTCCGCTTTCAAAATATTTTCCACGTAGTATTGCTGGGTGGCATGGATATCAACACCGATAAACAAATTCTTCAACCTTGTATCCAAATCGTTACCAAGTCCCAATGAAGGGAATTTCCGAGTCAGGTCGACGTGACAGACAATTTTCAAAAAGGTCGACATGACTGTGTGTTTATATTTGGGCTTGTTGTTTGTTCAGACATTCTTGAGGTCCTTATTGCACCGTTCATAAAAGAAGGCCGAATGAGAGCATAAGGGGTTATATTCTTTTATTCCTTCAGCCAAGTGTAGCATGTTGCGAGCGTTTCGATATAAATCTCTTTCATAAAAGCCGGTAAAGCCGATGCAAAGTATTCGCAAAAGACCATGCATCTTTCTTCGAAGAACTGGTTGTTGATGTTGTCTGTTCTAATTAGTTTTGGTGACCGACTAAAGAGAGGTGCCCCACAGTTTATTAACTAACCCTTATAATGTACTTTCTAAACTGCACTGTTGAAAAGTATTTATGTTTAAGAAGAAGACAAAAAGATTATTATAAAATAAATTCCCGATGGCTCCCTTTATTGATAATGAAAGAAGTGTTGAAGAAAATTCATTCACACCCAAAAGTATGATTATCAGTTGCGCGATTTGCCATGTCTCCTTAGACAACAGTAAGCGTGTATTTAATTGTCATTGCTCTATTATCAGATATATTAATTATAATAGCTTTACAAGAATCCATAGTTATTGTATCAGTGTTTTGGGAATTTTAGTTATTCTTCTATTCGTAACTAAGATTAGTACTGTCTTTCATCCAATTGTCATAAAACTTCACTATTTTGGTGAGGTTTAAGCATCGCGCACGAAACAACCTCTTTATAAACTCTCTTTGTAAGAGTTAGTTTCTAAACTCTTTTTATTTATTTTTTATTTTGTTAAGGCACAATCACAAATCAGCCCGACCCGGAACTTCAGTGTTAGACAGAAACAGAAAAATAAAAAATAAAAATGGCGCAGCATATACTTGCTTTTTATTTTATTTTTTTTCTTCAAGATGAGGAATCCTGCATTGGTGGTGAACAACCTCTTTGTATGGTAGCATGTAAGCATCCGTTTCTGCGCCCTCTTCTTCCCTTTTATTTTTTCTTCTTCAAGTTGAGGAATCCTGCATTGGTGGTTAACAACCTCTTTGTACGGTAGCATGTAAGCATCCGTTTCTGCGTCCTCTTCTTCCTTTTTATTTTTTCTTCTTCAAGTTGAGGAATCCTGCATTGGTGGTGAACAACCTCTTTGTATGGTAGCATGTAAGCATCCGTTTCTGCGCCCTCTTCTTCCCTTTTATTTTTTCTTCTTCAAGTTGAGGAATCCTGCATTGGTGGTGAACAACCTCTTTGTACGGTAGCATGTAAGCATCCGTTTCTGCGTCCTCTTCTTCCTTTTTATTTTTTCTTCTTCAAGTTGAGGAATCCTGCATTGGTGGTGAACAACCTCTTTGTACGGTAGCATGTAAGCATCCGTTTCTGCGTCCTCTTCTTCCTTTTTATTTTTTCTTCTTCAAGTTGAGGAATCCTGCATTGGTGGTGAACAACCTCTTTGTACGGTAGCATGTAAGCATCCGTTTCTGCGTCCTCTTCTTCCTTTTTATTTTTCTTCTTCAAGTTGAGGAATCCTGCATTGGTGGTGAACAACCTCTTTGTACGGTAGCATGTAAGCATCCGTTTCTGCGTCCTCTTCTTCCTTTTTATTTTTTCTTCTTCAAGTTGAGGAATCCTGCATTGGTGGTGAACAACCTCTTTGTATGGTAGCATGTAAGCATCCGTTTCTGCGCCCTCTTCTTCCCTTTTATTTTTTCTTCTTCAAGTTGAGGAATCCTGCATTGGTGGTGAACAACCTCTTTGTACGGTAGCATGTAAGCATCCGTTTCTGCGTCCTCTTCTTCCTTTTTATTTTTTCTTCTTCAAGTTGAGGAATCCTGCATTGGTGGTGAACAACCTCTTTGTATGGTAGCATGTAAGCATCCGTTTCTGCGCCCTCTTCTTCCTTTTTATTTTTTCTTCTTCAAGTTGAGGAATCCTGCATTGGTGGTGAACAACCTCTTTGTACGGTAGCATGTAAGCATCCGTTTCTGCGTCCTCTTCTTCCTTTTTATTTTTTCTTCTTCAAGTTGAGGAATCCTGCATTGGTGGTGAACAACCTCTTTGTATGGTAGCATGTAAGCATCCGTTTCTGCGCCCTCTTCTTCCCTTTTATTTTTTCTTCTTCAAGTTGAGGAATCCTGCATTGGTGGTGAACAACCTCTTTGTACGGTAGCATGTAAGCATCCGTTTCTGCGTCCTCTTCTTCCTTTTTATTTTTTCTTCTTCAAGTTGAGGAATCCTGCATTGGTGGTGAACAACCTCTTTGTACGGTAGCATGTAAGCATCCGTTTCTGCGTCCTCTTCTTCCTTTTTATTTTTTCTTCTTCAAGTTGAGGAATCCTGCATTGGTGGTGAACAACCTCTTTGTATGGTAGCATGTAAGCATCCGTTTCTGCGTCCTCTTCTTCCTTTTTATTTTTCTTCTTCAAGTTGAGGAATCCTGCATTGGTGGTGAACAACCTCTTTGTATGGTAGCATGTAAGCATCCGTTTCTGCGCCCTCTTCTTCCCTTTTATTTTTTCTTCTTCAAGTTGAGGAATCCTGCATTGGTGGTGAACAACCTCTTTGTACGGTAGCATGTAAGCATCCGTTTCTGCGTCCTCTTCTTCCTTTTTATTTTTTCTTCTTCAAGTTGAGGAATCCTGCATTGGTGGTGAACAACCTCTTTGTATGGTAGCATGTAAGCATCCGTTTCTGCGCCCTCTTCTTCCCTTTTATTTTTTCTTCTTCAAGTTGAGGAATCCTGCATTGGTGGTGAACAACCTCTTTGTACGGTAGCATGTAAGCATCCGTTTCTGCGTCCTCTTCTTCCTTTTTATTTTTTCTTCTTCAAGTTGAGGAATCCTGCATTGGTGGTGAACAACCTCTTTGTACGGTAGCATGTAAGCATCCGTTTCTGCGTCCTCTTCTTCCTTTTTAATTTTATTTCTTCAAGTTGAGGAATCCTGCATTGGTGGTGAACAACCTCTTTGTACGGTAGCATGTAAGCATCCGTTTCTGCGTCCTCTTCTTACCTTTTATTTTTATTTCTTCAAGTTGAGGAATCCTGCATTGGTGGTGAACAACCTCTTTGTATGGTAGCATGTAAGCATCCGTTTCTGCGTCCTCTTCTTCCTTTTTAATTTTATTTCTTCAAGTTGAGGAATCCTGCATTGGTGGTGAACAACCTCTTTGTATGGTAGCATGTAAGCATCCGTTTCTGCGTCCTCTTCTTACCTTTTATTTTTATTTCTTCAAGTTGAGGAATCCTGCATTGGTGGTGAACAACCTCTTTGTATGGTAGCATGTAAGCGTCCGTTTCTGCGCCCTCTTCTTACCTTTTATTTTCATTTCTTCAAGTTGAGGAATCCTACATTGTAAGCATTCGTCCATGCAGCGATGTCGAAGTAATTTACCATTGTGTTGCCCACGCCTCCCGTCTCGGCACTATGCAAGCATCTGTTCTGGGTTTTCATTTAAAACAATTATGAATGTTTGTATTATAATCCTTTACAAAAATGCTATTTTTAACGAACTTCTATCTCGTGTGGTCACTATTTTTTTTAGCTTGATCTCTTGGACATTCTTAAGCTCCTAATTACCTCATCTTTCTCCTGATATCAATTTGGTACACTACTATAGCCCTTTGCATTCTTTCCGCTTAATAAAATCTTCAAATTCAACCAAAAAAACATAACGTACATCCAAATATCCATTAGTCGCCCAAAAAAATCACAAAGAACGAAAACTTTTTCAAATAGACCCAATATACTTATATTTAAATACATAGTTTGTAAATATTTGGTTGGACCACCACGAACATCAATTACATCCTGACATCTTTCTGTCATACTCGAGACTAATTTATCTGCAAGCTCAATGGATAATTTCTCCCATTCCTCTTTAACAACTGCCATTAAATTTTTGATATTGTTTAACGATTGTCTTCTTTCACGTATTTTGAGCTCAAGATGTTCGACGGGGTTCAAATCAGGGCTTTGAGCAGGCCAGTACTCAAAACCTCTGATTCGGCGACTCTCTTTCCACCACCTCGCATAAGCCCCAGTATGACAGCTGGCTCCGTCTTCTTGTAGAATAAAGTTTATTACCACAGTCATTCAAGTTGTTGAACCAAGTGTCGAAATCACCTGCTAAAGCATTGATAGACTTGTCTTGATCAGTAGTACCATCAATGATCGTTAGATGTCCGAAACCACCAGGCCAAAAACAACCCCAAATCATTACCCCCACCACCGCCCCACTTTACTGTTGGAGCAGTATGATTCCCCAGGTATCTTTTTCCGGTTTTACAAAGTAATCGCTTACCTCCATCATTGCCTGTAATGGAAAAACGTGACTCATCGGACCAAACGACGCTTCTCTACTGCTCCTTGATCCAATGGACGTGAGGTTTGGCCCAAACAAGCCGTTTTTTCTTGTAATGCTCCGCAAGACGTGTCTTATGAGCCTCACGAAAGGATCCAAAGCCCATATTTTTCAATGAAGAGATAACCGACCTTCTACATACGTTAATGCCAGCCTTTCACAATTCCAGTCTCAAATCATTATAGGTGACAAATGGGTCCTTTCTGATAACGTGTTCCAAATGCTTTTGGGCTCTCTCGTCAACTTCTTTGGATACTCCAGATAATGTTTTTGGCAAAGGACTACCTGTTTCTTTTATTCTTTTTATAACACTATACACAGTAGACTTTGGCAAACCTGTGTCCTTTACAATGGTACTTAAAGATACACCATGCTTATGAAGTGAATAAGTACCCCCAAAGTTTATCCTCTTTTGTTGCTTGCCAGATATAATATTTGTTGAATCTGCTAAGGGCATGTTGAAGTAATAATAAAAGTAGGGAAGAAACGAGAGAGTATTCATAAAAAAGGGGAACGGAAAATTGTCTTAAAAATGGAAGTGTGCGAAATTCATTTATATGTGACTGTATCTATGCCATAGTTCGATTTTGATTAATTACAAACATTTAGCATAGGCACCGTAAATAATAAATAGTTGTGTGAAATAAATGAATGAGATATAGCAAAATGTAGTTTGATTTATTGGTTTTATGAGCTTTGCAATGTTGATAAAAACATTTATTGTTTAAGTTTATACTATGAGTTACACATAGTGATTTTAAAATTTCCCAGTGTAGGTTCATGAACGTCACATTGTCTTTTATATGCAAACACTTTTTTTTTTCAAATAAATAAATAACCATGGATTTCTCATACTGTTTAACTAAAGATGTTCAATTACCTGTTTCCATTAGAATGTAGGTCTATAATAAAAAATTCGACCTAGTTCCCTATGCTTATCTTTGTACCTCTTTTAGTGCAACATTAGAGCGGAAGCGCGATTTAAGCACAACGTATAGTACTCCTCCTCCCTCTATTCACATTTGCCTGAAATCTAAACGTTATAAGTAGTGTTATACCCGATCTGTTCGTTACTGTCCAGCTTTTTGGTGACAATAAACCATTGACTGTACCTGTTCGAACAAGTTACAAAGCTTTTAAAAACCAATGGAGGTAATTAGTTTTCTTCTTCTTTCCCTTACATTTCAAACTAAAACATGTCGGGTACCTTCTAGCTGGAACGAATGGTTAACTTTACCAATCAAATATTGTGATTTGCCTGCTTCTGCACAGTTCGCTATTACTGTGTGGGATACCAGTATCGGACCTCGTAAAGTAAAACCAATAGGAGGGACCACATTACGCTTATTCGGTAAACAATTGTAAGTGTACAAAAAAGACGATACAATCTGTGCTCTTTTTTTCTAACAACTCAGATACTAGTACTTTACGAAAGGGTAAACACAAGCTGTATTTGTGGCCTGATTGTGAAGCGGATGGAAATCATGAAACAACAACACCGAGTAAATTGAAGCATAACGACGATAATGATATGAACAAATTGGAAAAGGTTTAGAAAAGGGAGACGCTGGAGCGAAACTAAATTTAACATGTGTACATATATAGCTCGTCAAGCGTTATGATTGTGGTGATATTCGACCTGTAGAGTGGTTGGATAATTTGGCATTTAGACAAATTGAAATGATACACAAGGTAATAATAACCGATTTTTTTTTCTTTGATGCAGTGCATAATACTTCATGCTTTAATTAGAATGCTTCGAATGTATCCAACGAGCTAGCACTTTATATAGATCTTCCCAAATTCGATTTTCCTGTAGTCTATGGAGAAATGGTATAACTTTTTTAAAATATCAATGTGAAGAACGAAGGGTTAATAAAATGTGACAGGAATATTCTTTACCAGGTCCGTTTACTTCAATATTGCATCATGGAGGGCAAACAACCAACGAACTGCAATCCCAAATTCAACAAGAGACCCCCATGATAACAGCCATGAACCAACCTATTTACCCCGATAATACAAGTTTGGACACAAATAACAGAGACAATTTCCAGAATATACATTATTCCGTCGTACTTGATCCGGACATCTTACGAGATAATCCTGTCGAAGCTAAGCATCGTCGTTTAGTACGTAGTCACCGCAACGGACCGTTGGATAGAGATCTTAAACCGAATCCAAAAATCCGCGATGAATTGAATGTAGGACACTTTATTTTTAAAAAAGGAGGATTTATACTTACATTAATGTAGAGCATCATGTCATACCCTCCTACACAACCGCTGACGCCAGAAGAAAAAGATTTGGTCTGGAAATTTAGATTCTATTTGACGAGGGATAAACGTGTATGTAAACAATACATAACTAATAAACGACACACCTAATCTTCTTTTATATAGGGATTAACGAAATTCTTGAAATGTGTACTTTGGACAGACCCTACTGAAGTCCGACAAGCTGTCGACATATTACCCCTTTGGGTAGATATCGATGTGGATGATGCATTGGAGTTACTCGGAAAAGAGTTTGAAAACAGATCTGTTCGTACCTATGCTGTAGACCAATTAAGAAAAGCAGATGATGATGTAAATATTATTTACGTGGTATAAAATACATGTATGAGACGTTCCCTTAACACATAATATGTAGGATCTCTTGTTGTATCTTTTACAGCTTGTCCAAGCCTTGAAATTTGAACGCATTGATGACAAGACAGAAGCCTCGTACGACTCTTCTCTTGTACAGTTTTTAATTGAACGCGCTATCAATAATCCAATTCTTGGTACTTATCTGTACTGGTATGTGATGGTCGAATGTCAGGATAAAAAGTATGGCAAGATGTATGCCAAGGTGGCATTTCATTTCTTTGGAGAATTATTGGAGGTAAAATATTTGAATATGGAAAAAAAAATTATCAGTTTAAACACTGAAAAAAAAAATAGATACCCGATGGATACGACAGAAGGGACGAGCTCAGGCGTCAAGGTCAATTAATTGACGAATTGTCTAAGCTGTCTAAAAACATTCGCGCTTCGAAAGACGGGCGCATGAAAAAGGTAATCTATATATATCATCGTTTAAAATATCTGTTAATAACATGTAACTGTAGATTGATAAGTTACGCTCAGTGATTGGTGACCCAAAGGGACCACTTCATGATTTTATTCCTCTATCGTTTCCACTCGACCCCACCAAACAAGTATCGGGTCTGGTACCTGGTAATTATTTTATACCTGACATGACCCTTTTTTTGTCCTCTTTCTAAACTTCTATCACTACTTCTAGCAAAATGTGGCATTTTTAACAGTAATCTGCAACCATTACGACTTGTATTTAAATGCGCCGACGAGCAAGAATACCCAGTTCTATTCAAGACGGGGGATGATCTAAGACAAGATCAGCTTGTGATCCAGATCATTTCATTAATGGATAAATTATTACTGAAGGAAAACTTGGATCTAAAACTAACCCCATACAAAGTGCTTGCAACAGGGCCAGAGCATGGATTAATGCAATTTGTACAGTCTAGCTCTCTAGCTGCTGTCTTGAATGAGCATCAGAACAATGTTCGTAGTTTCTTCAAAAAGCACCATCCTAGCAGCGAGCCCAATAACGTATACGGTATTGATCCAAAGGTGATGGAAACTTATACTCGCAGTTGTGGTATGATCTCTACGAATTAGTGTATTATTCCAATTTTTTTTTAAAAAATTTTTGTATCATTATAGCGGGCTACTGTGTCATTACGTATTTGTTGGGTGTGGGTGATCGACATTTGGATAATTTACTCTTATCACCCGATGGACATTTATTCCATGTTGATTTCGGATTTATCCTTGGTCGAGATCCCAAGCCATTCCCACCTCCTATGAAACTGTGTAAAGAGATGATTGAAGCGATGGGTGGTGCGGATTCTCAGCATTACATGAACTTTCAGCAATACTGCTACACCGCGTTCATCACTTTGCGTAGAAATGCAAACCTTATCCTCAATCTATTTGCCTTGATGGTGGATGCTAATATCCCTGATATCAAAATTGAACCAGATAAAGCTGTCATGAAGGTACCTAAAAATACCACTGGGAACGTAATGTGTTTTACTAATAGATAAAAACATAGGTCCAAGAGAAATTTCGGCTGGATTTGTCTGAAGAAGCAGCTATTGCTCATTTCAGAGGCCTGATATCTGAAAGTGTGAATGCATTATTCCCCCAAATTTTGGAGACAGTGCATAGGTGGGCCCAGTATTGGCGAAGATAATCCCGCTAACGAAGATGGATTTTTTTTTTTATATTCCCTCAAAATAAAAAACCCTTTTGGCGTCATTCTAAATATTTCAACATTTCATAGGGTCGCACACAAGAATAACATCTTGTGCCTGAAAAATGGCCCAAAAATCAACCTTACTTTGATAACATCCTATATCCATTGCATATATAAAAAGAAAGAAACCCTAGTCTATTCTTTTCCATGTTTTTCTTCTCTATTTTTGTTGCTTTATTTGAAAATCACAATGATTTGGTATTTACAGTAAAAATCCTAAAGGGACCATTTTTCTCCCTCTTTACCAAGATTTAGCTTGTTCGATTTCCTCTAATTTTTTTGCGTGCTTGTTAACGACTTGCAAAATGTTGTTGATCTTCATTTTGTCAGAGTCCAAAGCGATCTTTTGGCCGTCACCTATGTTTTAATAAAGAAAGAAAAACGTCAGAAGCTTAAATCGGCATCGTCCATGCTAATGACTTACGATAAACGACTTGAATGTGAGAAGGTGCAGCAGGATCCGATAAGACGTTAGTGGCAATTTTAATGGTGGGGTTGACTTTACGAGCTCCATTGGTGTTTACGTGATTTAAAAACAATCTACATTAACCGGGGGTGAATATAAATATGAGAATCAACCAGCAAAATCCAAGTTACTGTCAAATTATATTACCTAGAGGACTTGGAGGCAGTGTTGAAAGGAGCCAAAGCAACCTTAATTTCGGTAATTTGTCTCATAAACATATTGTGTAAGAAAGCACTATTTTTTATTCGAGTGAATGTGAAAAAAAAAGAAAGACAAAAGTTTAAGCCCTGGGGGATGTGTCTTATTGTTTAAACTCAGACAAATTTATGTTTTACTGCTTCTTTGACCTCCTTGGAGACGCCATCAGAATTGACCACCAATCTTTTAGCATTACTGACTGACAAACCTTTCAACCATATAGGTGGGTTCTCTTTTATTTTCCCCTGTTGAATAAGTTCCTTTACTCCTTCTCCTATATTTCCTCCAAACATGGCCATGCTTATTTTAATATCGCTATCTTCAAATCCTGTCAAAGGATCTGTGTCACCATTGTTGTTAAAGGGTAAATCCAACTAAATGCATGACATAATAAGCACATGATTTTTATATTATGTATAAGAACACTTACATCTACATGTATTCTTCTATGACCCGTTAGAGACTTCCACGAGAAGTCTCCTCCCATACTATCAAACCTCTGTTCTAACTTATCTAAATCCATAGGCACAATACGCTTCTTTTCCTCACTTGTTAAACGCGACTCTTCAAAGGCCAAATGTCTCTTTTGCCTGATATCTAGCGGATTGGCGTCTAAACCATTTTTTGAAAATCCTGCAAACACAGCTTCTGACGTTTCGTTTTGTGCAAAATGACCCAAGGTATTGACCAGTATATCTTGGATTGGTTCTATATGCATTCCGCTCGCAGAAAATGTATTCAAAACCGCTTCTCTAAATTGTACATCGTTTGGCTTGGTCAATATATATTCTGCTGAAACCAAAACATTGGATTCCATGTAATAGATCATGCATCCGAATCTGTAGTCTGGATAAACAGGGTCCTTTTTTCTTTTGTCTGCAATCGCCAGGGTAAATTTAAAAACGCCTGAGCTAGCCTCTCGAGCGCCATAGGCATACTACACAGGGTTTTTATGAATATACTGGTGTGCTTCTTTAAAAAGGTGTATGTAAACTTACACTTTGAAAAAATAAATCTAGGTGCTTTTCCATGCCTCTTTTTATGTCCACCATATCTAAACCTCTGTTCACCTTTCCGGTGAGTCTAAAAACATTCCAACATTTTCTTCGTCTACTTATAAGAGCTAACGTAATGTTGAGCAAATTACCAGGAATCTATTGGAAACAACTTACTTGACATTTTCATTTGACAAACTTGATATAAAGTGAGACCATTAGGCTAGGGTAGACCAGGTCAGTGTCAGAAGTGGCTTAAGGCAAATTATTTGGAGAATTACCCAATCGATCTTCGTCATTTGAAAAATGAAGCCTGCTTTGTCTAGATGTTTATAATTTTCAATTTTGCTTCCAGGGCGCCGTAATTCTGGAATTTTAAGCCAATCCTCAACAAACTGGTGTAGATTTGCTAAAGATGATGCATTTATAATGACCAACAATCCTGGTTCATAAGGCACAATGCGCAAATCATTTTTACTCAACATGTTTAAAAAAAAAATATATCGTTTACACTCCAACGCAGTCCTCCCTCCCCTTTTTTTATTGAACAATTTTAGTCTCCCGCATTTATTTGTTAATGCGCTTTTATTTTGGTGAGTGGCTTTTTTAAACATTGAGATTTCTGGTGGCAGCGTTTAATTCTTCGTCCTTGATAGCATCTTCTCTTTTAACATCGGCCATCATCTTGTTTAGTGATTGTTGAGATAAGGAGCGGGAATGGCGCTTAAATTTAGATACGGCTTTGATCTAATCAAGATAAATGTGAGATACACTTTTACAATAAAAAAAAAAAGAGTTTGTACTTACCACAGCGAAAATACTTGCAATGCTTTTAATAGCATTGTTCATTTCCTCTTCGGTAACTTCAGACACAACATCACAATTATCCTCTTCAGAAATCATTGTTTCGGTGCCGTCATTTGTGATCCAAGCGTGGTTCTAATATTTGTAAATATAATTTAACATTACACACAATCGTCATGTAGTACAATTCTACTTACACGAAGTTCCCTCATTGTAATACGCGTGTCTGGATTTCTATCCAGGATCCTATGAAATAAATCTAACAGATTCCCAGATATACTTCCATATTCGATCCTATGCAACAAAGGTTTAGTATCCTTCTTCAGAAACTAATGATATAAAAGAGAAATTACGGTGCTTCTTTGATCATGTCATATAATTCCAACAGATTACCGCTTACGAACGGAGTTTTACCAAAGATCATACAATACAGTGTAACACCCATTGACCAAAGATCTGTGGCTTTACCAGACACCTCACCATGTTTTGCAACACATAATTCAGGAGCCATGAATGCAGGACTGCCAGCGGATTTCTTCAATCTATCGTTTCCTTTCACAAAAATCTCGGACACTCCAAAATCAACAATCTTTAACACGTCGTCCTTTGATAATAGTAAGTTATCCGGTTTAATATCACGATGCACAATATCGTTTGCATGTACTAGTATAATTAGTATATAAATAGACCATTTAAAAACCGAGTGGCTTACAATATTCAATGCCAAGCATCATTTCTTTAAAATATCTTCTAGCCATATCATCGGAATAAGGTTTAGCAACTTCATCCACTTCGATCTCCATCAGCACACCTTTATGCATCATTTCAAATACTACATGTACAAAAATACATTAGGATCCACCTATCACATTCATCCTTTTATTTTACCTCACCCATATAAAGAGAGTCACCTGAAGGATCATCTAAAACTTCAAATAATCGAACGATATGCGGATGGTTCAATTTCTTTAAAACAGCCATTTCACCTCGTACCAGATCAAGCGGGTTTGTACTTTTAGCTGCTGCTGCCACTGCACCGCGTCCAACACCCAATCCCATAACACGGCCGCGTCCTCTTGGTCCACCTCTACGGAACAGATCCATTTGTTCCTTCTTTCTCATTCTCGATTTACTGAACTCTTTAATGGCCTATGTATCTGTGTCAGTTACAAAACACATACGCGCTTGCTGTAAAAAAATACTCACATATTCCGTGTTTGTGTTCTCATCTATACCGAGATGAACAGTTCCAAAAGCGCCTCTACCGATTTCCTTCTTGAGTAGATAATTATTTATTTTGCGTAAGCCTTCTTTTGTTTCTGAGGTAGTCGCACCTAGCGTTTCCACGACGATAGAAGGAGGTCGTACGCTCTTTCTTTTGGTGCTGGTAGAAGAATGAGGTGAATCTGGTGGCGATGGTGTTGCAGACATTTATTTTTTTAAAAGTTTCAATTAAGGAAAAAAAAGAAAAAAAAATAAAAATAAAAAGAGCCTAAAATAAAAATAAAAAAGGATTTATATGGTGAAATTTTATTGCAACATGCAAGCCACATTGCCAAGAAAGCTTATTTTTTTAATATTTTATAGCAAATATGCAAAACAATAACAACTTTAATTATAGAGCCATGCTATTTACAGTTATATGTTACATCAAGTGGTATATTCGAGTCTATCTTCGTCATCTTGGCAGAGCAGCCACATTTATCAAACTATGGAATTTCAGGACATATCAGTTATATTTTCTTGATCTCGGATTTTACTTGGCAGTCGAAGCATAAATACATGCCAAACTTCTAAACAAATATATGTACCAGAACTACAAATTTAATGTCCATTGTATTTAGACCATGCTAGATAAATGCATCATCATAAGTGATGTACATACAATGATTTAAAAGGAGACTTAAATATCCTTTTTGCCTATTCGGCCGATTGACATGCGCCTATCCAAAATTGGTCACAATGTCTTAAAAACCTGTGCGGACTCTGGAATAAGGCACAAAAGCAGGCGATAACATGAATCTGTTCACTGTTGATACTGAAAGAACCCTTACCAAACTTGCTTTTAAAAGGTCCAAAACTCCATACTGTCTAGGCACAATCAGTCTGTATACTTGAAATTAGAAACCCAGTAGATTTTAGTTTAATGGCACTTTAACCCTTGTCTGCCATCTCCTTATATCTTGTTAATATTTAAGAGAAAAAGATGGCCGATAGTAAATTACGTACCTTTTTTATATATTCTCGTAAATATTTACCCTTCATACGGTTATGCTCTCATTTTGCTGTGAAGGAATTATGATATGCAATATATATACGTCTTATTGCACGATCAATAGACTTTAGTCTGTTCTTCTGTTTGGTTTTACCTATAGTTTATAAATATACAGCATCACCTTAAACCACAAAAATGTACCCAACCACTGATTCGAGGTTCTTGTGGCTGACGAAAAACTCGAATTATTTAACAACATCTAAGACACCAAAAAAAAGGTAACGACAGTTCTTAAATACAGTGATATATTCAGCTTAAGTTCAGTGTGTTTGAAGTACATTTAAAAGTAAAGTACTGTTGTAGCGTATTAAATACCATCGATATGTAATGATTTCACATCGTCTTCAAGACGTTGAAAGGAGGGATCTCTTAAAAGGGAAAAAAAAATAGGAATGACTAGCCTCGCCATCTTCCACACTGACAATGACCCTTAATGTAATAATTGTGGCTCTTCACTAAAAACGATACTTTTTAAGATAAGGTGCTGAACTTATGTGAAATAACCCTTCTTCTTGTGGATGCTAAGATGCAAACAATAGAATCTGTATCAATGTCTCGACGTTAGTACCGTTTATAAGTTGTCGGAAGAGGACACATGTGGTTCAATGTGAGCAAATTAAGATAAACGATCGAACAAGATTATGTTAATGTCTGCAATGACCAAACAAATCCACTTTGACTAAAAAAATAAAAAGAAGGAGAGGTTTGTCCTTGTCAGATTACAAGAAAGTTTATTTTTATTGAATAAGGGGTGTGTATTGGATGAAAGAAGTGGGGGGAATATGGATGAGAAAATGAGGTAGCTTTTTATAAATTCGTGAGGTTTTATCTTCTGTCACCGACAATGGAGGTAGTGATAGTTGTTTTTAAAGGGGCGATATGAGTTGTAGTTGTTGAAGACGCAATGCTCATAATGCTGTTTTCTTCGGTTGTGTCTGGCAAGCCAATCATGTAACCTAATTGTCTGGTAAATTCATGTACGGACTCTGTAAAATAATAGCCATTGGTGAAGCTATTGTGTTGAGCAAGACTGATAAGAGAAGAGGTTATTTAGTATAAACATGATTGGTAATGGAGATTCAAAATTATACCTTTTAGCCCATTCACTAACGGATTCAGGGCTGTAGCATTCACCTTGACGTAAATTAGATGATGTGGTCTGGATAGCAAGCTTCCAAAAATCATTTAAGTCTTGATATAAGCTTCTCTTCAAGGCGTTGTTTTCATCGTTGTCCCAATTAGGTATTCTGTGTGCAATGTGTGTGGCATGGTCCAGAAAAGAAAAACAAGTCGAGGGAAAGACTTGAGAAGAGGTGAAATGATTTGCATATTGAAGAATAGTGTCCTAGTTTAGAAAAAAATGTGTTAAAATATTTCTCTACTAACTAAAAATATTTACTTACGATAAGATCAGCGAGATACTCTCGTACTCTAGAAAAAGTATAATCATCCCTACCAGGGCCATTCTTATTAAAAGGAAAACTGTTCATGAACTTCTTTTCTAAATCAATCAATACATTCATGGATGATAAAATTGTTGGTGCAGGAATATAGTTCATTATTTCTTGTCGCACTTCGGGTTGCTTTTTCAATAACGAATTTATAATATTAATCAATGCATCTTTGTCCATGGTTTCTATAGGAGAAAAAAGAGAGCGAAATAAAGGAGTGAATACACAAACAATTATTTATTTATTTACTACGTACCTAATAAAGCTCCTCTAATAGATCTTTTTTGAACACCTGATTTATGTCTTTTCAACTCGCTTATTTTAAGACATTTACTTGATCGACGCTGTTGATGTTTATTGATCGAACTACACTCGATCATATCTTCATCTTCTGAATTTCGGCGTTTACGGCCTGCTCAAAACAATATCAGCATTTCTTCACGAACAAGTATTACATGCTTATCTTACCTCGGGTTAAATCTTGCTGTTGCATATTATTGTTGTTCATATTAGCCATATTGTTAAAAAAAAAGAGAGTGAAATGAAAGAATAGTTGTCTTTTTTTTATGTTTGAAAAGAGAGAAAAAAAGGAAAAAAGAAAAAAAAAGGAAAAATGCACCAATACCTGCTTGCGTCTTCATTACCCAACTTAGTTCAACATTAAAAAGGTCACGCTAGACTGTGACTCTATTTACAATCAAAGCTGAGTGGTTGCTAAAACCCGCCGTGTATTTTCTGGTTTTGGATTTAGTCTCCGCCAAATATGTCATTCAGCGGAACTGGGATTTTTGCATTGCACTTGTACAAATAGCGCATGATGTTATTATCGTGACATGCTTTGGTTGAGACTGTTCTAAACGACAATTTTTTTTTACTGTTTTTGACGTTCTTCACGTAGTTTAAGGATTTAGAAAGCTTAAGTAAAAAGGGTAAAAAAATACTGTGTCGTCGAAAAACAGTGCTTGAAAGTGTCATCATTTTAAGGTTCACAGTCGTAATAAAAATTGATAAATGAGTTTAATAAATTTATTAGAGAGGGGCTGTGAGTCCTGAACGGCAAAAAAACACGCACACATACTTTGTTAGCATTTAATGATTTAATGTACACTTGGGAGAGGGAGACTGTAAGTCCCGAATGGTAAAAAAAAAAAGAAAAACTAAATCACAAGAGGGCCGCAGGTCCCGATCGGCATTCTAAAGAACGCCTAAAAAACAGATTACTCTCTCTCAAGAAATTTTGCTCCAGGGACAGATCTAATAAGCAAAGCTGTACTTACGAATGACAAAGTCATCAACATTTTATGCAAAACTATTAACAATAGCCCACGGGATCATTACATGGCTGCACCAAGTGAATTCTTGGACTAAAGTGCCTGGGACTTTTCTTTGACAGGAAAATTATAAAATGTCATTTTTGATCAAATCGTTTCGAGAAAAGCCTCCCAAAAATACCCCTTAGTGATTATCCACCTATAATAGTAGAAGTCCAAAAAGGTGTGAATAAAAAATACATGTCTTGCGCAGTACGCAACTCCACGTTGGTTTACGAAAAGTATAATAAATACCCAGTTGTTTTATTAATTGGCGTATCTACAGTAACCACATCAGTAACCAGCAAATTAACCCCGGCGATAGACTACCCGCATTGCCTAGAAGTGACATGTCTATTCTGGGCTAAACGCTGTTTAATAATGTCTTCTATTACATTATCAAAGATTGACCAGGCTGAGCAACTTGATTCGTTAGCAGCTATTAGTATTTTTTTATGTTCACAAAAAGTCTCGATAGCGTACCTTGACTACGGCTCCGATAATTATACTATGCAGCTCTTATACAAAGTAGCAAGAATATATGCTGAACAATTAGCTGGAGAAGAATCAGAAAAAGCAGAGACTATTGATTCGAATTGTGATAATACGGCAAACCAAATTGAAAAATTAAAAGGCACATGCAACAAGAGGATGAAACTGCAATTGAAAGAGCAATGCTATACTTAGATGATACCTTTAACTATCTTAAAAGACAAAAAAGAAAATAAACAGCAGGAAGGGAGACAAGGAGGTAGTGGTATTTAATTTACTCGTGGTAAAGCAACACATCAAGAGTGCTGACAAGAGAAAAATAAGGAGGTTTGCTACCCCTCGCCCCCTTTATGGGTGAGTAACAACAATGTCAAGTTTTCTCATTTGTGCGTATCAAAATAGGCTTAAAAAGAAGACAGTAGTTATTTGGTTTAAACCTAATGGGTCGATTTTTAAGTGCAAGCTCAAGCAGGTTAGTCTTTTAGATGAAGTAAATATATGAGTTACAGACGCATACAATAGGCCACTTATCCGTGCCCTTTAATGTGATGACACATTTTCTATTGATAAATTTTTCTCCTACTTTAGCAATACACCCATTTAATGATAACAGATATATTTCTCTTTAGTTCATTTCATTTGTAGGCTATGGATGGAAAATTAATTTTTTTATGCAATTATTTATTCCGTCGCTGATTAAAATTTATTCTAAGCGTGCACGATAATTTGTATAACAGGTTGAATCAGCCAATGTCAATGACAAGCAGTCCATGGCAATGATTAGAATTCTCCGTTTGAGACGTATAATATTTCTGACAGAGGGAAATGATCTATCCTAGATCTCAGGTCTTGATGAATTCAAGAGCTTTTGGATGGATGAGGCCAACAAATATTACTTTAAGACTAACATGATTTGATTTTAACATGCATAATATTTTACGCAATCTTTTACGTCATTTACTATACTTTTTATGGCTTTAAGTTTGGTGGTTTCTTTAACTTTAGTCATGGTTGTTTAGTCGTATTTAGGATTATTATATTTATTATATTTACAAATTATAAAGGTATTAGGATATTATTATACATTTTTTTTTCAAGGGATGGCGTTGTGTTAGAGTCTTTTGCAATAGTTGATTGGTATCCATCCAGAACGATGATCGTCAATTGTTGTGCCAAACCACCAATTTTGATCAATGTAATCTTCATCTTGACTGATTCTAAGTATCGTCCCTTTCTTAACATCTAATCGCTCTTCCTCGTGCGTTCCGAAATCATAAAGTACAACACACTCAAAATCTTTGGACGTCAAAACTGGACCATCCTGCTCTAGATCAATCAAATCCTCTATCTTGGTCGCTTGTGGGGAGGGTGGAAAAACATTACTAATAAATGATGAATTTGTATATGTGTCTAGATGATATGATGTCAGTGATGCCGTCATAAAAATAAGATATGTGACTTACCACTGTCAGCGATAGATCTTTGAGAGTACACATCTTGAGATCGCTGTCTTATTGGTAGTGACGCTGTCGATGATGTACTTATCAGACTATTTGTATATCTTTGTTTGTGAATGATACTAATGTTGCTTGTAATATCCTCCACTTTATCGAATCTATCCATATGTTTTGTCACAATTTCTTCGTAAGAGGATGCTGCTTGCATACCTAAATTCTGCTCCACCAACTTGACCCATTCACGCTGCATTAATCCAAAGAATTTTAGTTGAACCAAAGCTAATCCGCCTGTCAGAATATCAAAGTATTGCGAGGTCAGCTGGAAGAATTTGGGTAGTTCATCCACGAGTTGAGCATTAATAGAAACGTAAGCATCTGCCGATTCCTGTAATGATTTATCTGGTATATCGCCCTTTGATTTTAGGTCTCGGACTCGGTCATAATCAATCATTTTCAGTGCACGTTTATTTATAACTTGGGTAGGGTTTTCAAACACTTTGAGACAATCATCAATTCGACTATATACAAATCCACGTACGTCATTGTCCTATTAAAGAATTAGTCTTTTCATCCTGATGAGCTTTGATAATACCTACCAATTCCCTAGATAGTGTTGCGGATAGATATGAAGCCATTTTATGGAAGTCATTGATGTTCGTCAAGCCTTTCACTCTTACTCCTCCCCACGAACCATACAAAGTCTCCATACTACAGGCCAGTTGTTGAAGATTATCGAATCCAATTTTAACATGTCGTACCCAGCCTTGAACATCTCTAGCTAACTGACGTATATCTTCTTGCTGTTCCTCAAATTTTACATGCAATGCTTCAAACAGTAAATCGTGAGTGGGCTCTATTGCAAATCCTGTCGCCTGTTTGAATTTCTGAGCTCTTCTGGTGATTCGTTTATTAATACCATGGCTATCGATAAAGAAAAGAAAAATAGAGCGTTAATATGAAGAAGTGTAAGACAAAGAGATCTACTTACACAACCTGCAAATGGATAAGTTAGTTTATGACGACAAGCTTTTTCCTTTAGTTTTTTTTTAAAAAAAAACTTACATTGATGTCGGTTTTCTTTTTGTCCCCAACAATTTTTTCTACTATGTCCTTTCTTCTTTTTATTTCATTGATGTTATCTGCTACTTCTTGTATTTCCTTGACAGCAGCAGAAAGATCATCGTGATCATTATGAGTAGGAGAAGTCAATGCCAGAATTTCTCGTAATAACAAAGGATATTTGAGAACACGTTGAACTGGCTTGATTAATAAACTACCCAAATCCCAACTAGTCGTTTTACCCTGAATCTGCTCTTTACATTTCTAGATAAATCTTGTTAGCAAATAATTTTTCCATGAAAGGGGAAAGTGAGAAAGCTTACAGCTAAAAATGCCTGAACTTCCGCTTGAGATTCCAATTCCTGCAATTTCAACACAGCATCTTCATGTCTTTTACAGTATTCGCTATAAATACTATCGATTGAACTCATTGATTCTCTAAACGCTGTACCGACACAGTCCTTTTCACATGAGTTTTCCAAGACAGCAACAAATGTCTTTTCAAATGCAATGATATCCAATAAATTTGAGAATAAATGTCGGACGTTTGATTTGGTAAAGCAAGTTGTAGCTTGATCATAATAAATTTCTTTCAATAAGAGCATATCTTTCTTGTAAGTTCTCTCGGTTTCTAACAGCTCTTGAATGACCTTGAATCTTTTCGTTGTTGCCCCTCCCGTGACTTGGGGAGAAAGTGAAGTGATATCATCACCAGAGTTAGGCCGTGTAATCGAATTTTTAAGGTTTTCATGGTCTATTTGCTGCTGTTGCTGCTGTTGATTAGTGAACCAGCTACTAATGTGCCAACCACGTTTAGAGTTTGTCGATGATGAATTTTGCGAAGAAGTGGATGTACTGCTCTTTATACTGCTATTACCGGTGGTCGTACGAGAGATCATGACAGGAATATGTAACATGGAAGAAGGCGAAGTTACTATATGTGGGCTGGGTAAACTTTTATTGGCCGTATCAACGGATAATGAGGATGAGTTCGATGATTGTCTTTGTGGGTTATATTGTTGTGCTGTTTGCTGTTCTTTTCGAAAATTTAACTTTGGTTTTGCCGGTAAAGCAGGCGGTCCAGTTTTAGCCGTAGATACTAGCTTCGCTGGTGTCGGTGGCCCTGTCTTAGACGGCTTTAAAGGTATTGGTGGTCGATAGGATGACTATAAGAGTTATGTTATATTAAAATATAAACTACCTCGGAATAAAGTGTGTATTTACCTGTTTTATAGGGATAGTATTTTCTTGTTGAAATCTTGCTCTAATGTCTTTAAATGCAATGGGCGTCTGGTCAATAGCGTCGTCTTGTTCGATACGTTTAGGTCTCAAAGAAGGAGGTTTTGAAGGTAGTACTGGTTTAGGTTTTTCGAGATGAGCAACTGGTTCGAAAACACGCGAAAGCCTGTTTACAGTTGAGCCACCACCGTCTTCTTCATGTTGCAGATGCTGTATATAAGACGAACGGTGTTTGCTTTCCAGAGTTTTTGAAAAGGCATCTGGTGGTTGATGCCGATGCATTTATTCCACTTTTCTTTCGAGTAAGAAAATAACAAAAAAATTGAACAGTAGTAAAAAAAAGAGAAAGGAAAAACAGTAAAATTTAAATTATGAATTAATTAAAGGTGGGGAATGAAAAATGAAATGCAAAAAAGAAAAAAAAAATTAAACTTTAGCTAGTAATTTGCCTTTAGACATACTCATACGAAGTATAATCATAAAAAAGGCTGATATAATAGACATGGAACCAGCAAATTGAATAGCTGCTGTCCAGCCAAACGTACTTTGAAGTAAACCAATAATCGGGGTGCCAAGTAAATTTCCAATCACTGTAGTCATGTAAGCCATGCCTAGACCTCTTTGGATGTTCTCAACTCCCACAATATCCGCGCACGTTACAGGTAACAGTGACACAAATCCACCAGCGGTTAATCCATACAAGACACAATAAACCGCAAACAGAGCATAACTTTTTGCAAATTCCCAAATCACCATTGTGAACACGCCTGTTTCAATAAAAGTATTCAGTAAAATAAAAAATAAAAATATTTTTAAAATTAATCTTACCTGCTAAAAATGTACAGACAAACATTGTATTGGATGACTTCCAAAATGCAAAATAGAATTAAATAGAATAGAATTAACTCCGGGAATTTGATTTTCCGAGTTAATTTTTTTTTGTTCCAAAACCATAAAATAGAATTAACTTTCAATAAATTTTATTAATTTTCATAATTCAAAATTTCTTGCTCTCTCGCCTTCCAATTAGCATAGTAAACAGTATTAATTTGGTTGACGCCAACCGTTCTTACACTGAAGTTGTGTAGTCTCCATACAAGGGTCAAGATTTCATAACGCTTAATTTTATCCGAAGGAAGCTTGGTATGAAGTCTTCCAAAAGACCCTTGTATGGCTCTCATACCCCATTCCACTGCCTGTCTATGCTTGGTAATGATAGCATGTTTCTTTTGTGTCTGCACGTTGGCTCTTTCAATGCCAATTGCGTTTTCTCTTGGTACACTTAGCACTTTGTTTTCAAACTCTCGCTTACAAGGGAAAGCAGAATCCGCAAGAAGCTTGAAAGGGCTTGGACATTTGTAAGCAAGAAACCTTTCGTAAAGTGGAATTGCTATTTCGGCATCATGCCAAGAACCAGGACAGTTATATCTATAAGAAAAAGAGTCAATTTAGTTTTGTTTGTTTAGAGAATCAAACAAGTATGTCAATCCTACCTCACATAGGCGATACAGCCATCCGGGGTATATACTAAAACTTGTGAGGCATAGCAATCACCTTTCCATCCGTTATAGTACGCATTTTGCTCGAATGGGTCTTCAGGATGTTGTATTCTAAGGTTAAGACCGTCAACAAAGCCAAACACTCCTTCTAACACCTGTTTCTCAAAGTCATTTGTGGTGTTCGTAAGCACCATATCGTTAAACGTTGTCATTTCATCTGTAGTGGGCCAACCAATTTTCCAACGAGGGTCTTTTTTGTTTTTTTCAAAAACGTTTAAGAGGGTTTGAATACCCATAGTTTTAAATCTACTGAGTGTTGCAGCAGGGACACCAAATATTATACAGAGTGTCTCCTGCTTCATGGTGTTATGCAACCACATCAGAACCAAAGCAAGTGTCATCACCGTGTCAAGTACTCTTTTACGTCCAGCCGTGCATTCGGTTGGATATTCTTTTTGGAATTCTTCGTGTAATTGATCGAATGCTCCAGTCGTCAAACCAAAATGACACATAAAGGCATCATCCTGACGACCATCAAGCAACCTTTTAGCAGCCGATTTAGTAGGTGAATGCAGACTTTTTGACGTTGTGTAGAATCGTTTAGAAATACGGCGTTGAGATTCAAGATAATTCATGTACTGATAGGCAGCAGCAGAAAGCAAAGTAATATGCGATAATAATGCTAATTTACGCTTTGTTATAGGGGGCATTTTGTATCAAAAATATAAAGGGGATAAAGAAAAAGGAAATGGATGATAAAAGAGAGATTAACTTGTATTTCGTTACCAATACAAAAGTGACAACAATTGGGTTCCACAACATCGAATCTCATAAGTCACGCCATATTATCCCAACAAGATGATTGATTCAAACAAGTCTGACATAATAGCGTGCTTTATTAAACAACGTGTTATAAAAACCATAATTTTCGCTTTTTAAAAAAGCCTTTTTTCTTTCTTTTCATATAACTTAATAAAAATAACAATGGGCAACGTAACAGGATCTGTCAGAATGACTAAAGATGAAAAAACCTATTTACTGAAAATAGTAAAGAAGGTTTTGCCAAGTGGAGCGGACGAATGGTCCCGTGTAAGCCAAATATATATGGCTGGACAAAAAAAAATTGTCGAACAAGAAAACGAGGCCATCAGGTTGGAAACAGGAACCAAGGGAACGAAGGTTGCCTATGAGCGTAGCGGCAACTCTTTGAAGGCGGCTTATCGTACATTGAGAACGGCAAAAGCACCAACAGGTAAATTATCATATAATTCGAGGTGTAATGAAAGAAATCTTGCTAACAATGATACAAACAAAAAAAATCTATTAGGCAACTCAACCCCAACTACTTTGATTACTGATGCAAAAACAATTGAGGACCAAATTGCAATCAAAGGCTGCTTATCACAGCTTCATGGTCACACGGATTCCGAGGATGAAGAGAAAGCAAGCCGCATGCATCATGGAGGTAGCGGCTTTCGCTCAATTGATGATCTGGTAGAGCAGAGTTTAACAGACAGTGACAAGAGTGAGGCATCTCCTCGTGCAGTTGGTAGAACGGTGCCAATGCCAAAGAAGTCCAAAAATACCCACCAGCATATGGAGGACTTCAACAACCATTTTGGTGTCCTGGCTGAGGCAATTGCGTTGTCTCTTCGGGGAGAAAATGAACCAAAACCATCGGTCCCAACCACACGTTCCGAAATGACCAACGTGACCGATGTCAATTTGGAAATGATTGAAAATCGTCTTGGAGCTGTTGACAATCAATTTGAGGAGGTCAACATTCGCCTGGATGGTGTGAAAAATGGCCTCAAAAGTGAACTCAATGATGTCAAAAAGGAGTTCAACGAGTTGAAGGAGACGGTAAATTTAATCAATATGTTGATTCGTATCATATATATAAACTCTATCTAACCGACTACATTATCAGATGTCAGCGATGTTTGAATATATCAAGACATCGGTAGCTAAGGTAGTTTAACTATTATAAATCATGTTTTTTTTATTCGTACTAAAAACCATAATCTTTATATGCACATTAGCAACCTATTCCTACTTCTGAAAAGGGCAAAGGCACCCGTTCCCAGAAGCGTAAAAGAGCCGAATAAATAAACGTTTTTGACAAATATTATCCATACATCTCATATCTATTATCTGCATATTATTAGCGTTTATCAGAAACAAAGTATTTAATAGAAATGTTTTTTTTTTTTTTTTTGGAGTTAATTCTATTTTAATTCGGGGGGGTAGGGGGGTCGAATTAACTTCAAAAATTTAAGCAGTGAAATTTAAGGTTAATTCCACGTTACACAACCCAAAAAATTAAGTCTATTCTATTTAATTCTATTTTGCATTTTGGAAGTCATCCATTAAAACGGCCTGTGCGATCCGCAAGATAGCCTAACGCAATTCGGCAAATAGCATTGGCGGCCGACATTACGGAGATCATAACTGCACCAGTAGAAGCGTCCAATCCGATATATTCACAGTATGACGGGGCTAGAAAGAAAGGTGCCTTAAAATAAATAATCGTGAATATATTTTTCGATTTAGCTATATTACTTTTGACATTACCACGTATCCGAACGGAACGAAAAAACTAAAACATAACAATAAAACAAAACGCCGGGACAGCAAGCTCGCATCGTAAACGTGATACCATTTGTTTTTTCCGTTTGACGACGGAGGGGGACGGTAACGGGAGGTAGCCAAAGCTGTCGAAATACATAATAATCCGAAACCAAATGCTCCCTGTACACGCAATGTATTTCTAAATCCAATTGTAAGTATGAGCTTCTGGATCATAGGAGACAGACAGACACCTCCGACGCCTGAACCACTAACAGCGATACCAGTAGCCAAAGCTCTTCTCGATGTAAACCATTGCGATGGTAATGTGACTGACGGTGAAAATACAAAAGCAGACGCAAGACCGAACAAAACTCCTTGGGAAAGGTAAACATGCCAAAGCTCTGTTGCAAAGCTAGCTAGAATTAATGCTAATGGAGAGAAGACTGTGCCGATGGCCATTGTACCTCTAAAGCCAATCTTTTGTATCACAGGCGTAATAAACATACCAAGAGCTAGTAGCAGAGCACTTGCTGATGTACCGACAAACGCAATTTTTAACAGACTAGTCTGTCCGGCATACACTTCACTGATATACCTATCATGATAATGTTAAGCCGAATACCTTTCTGTAACTAAAATATATAGGACTTACAATTTTTGATAGATCCCCCACGAAAAGGTAGAACCAAACACAAAAAAGTTGACAAGAAAACAAGACAGAACGGTAAGCCACCCCGGGTTGCGGATACCGTCAGTATGGTAAGCTTCTTGCTTGAAAGCATTGACATCTTCTTTTATGTAGTCCGTAGTAAATGCATTATTTTTTTCGCTTTTTTGAGTTTGATTTGATTTCACTCGTGACAATGTCTGAGTAATTTCTTCCAACGAGCCCAATGCTGGAAAAGGAGCATACTCTAAAACCCCAGGATAATGTTCTGGATTGTGTTGCTCTTCCTCTATGATATCTTCCGTGCACTGAAACGTCTTCTGGTCATCTTCTAAATCACCGCTATTACGAGTACTTTGTGAATCTTTGCTAGATTTTTGATCTGGCCTATCTAACTTTTGATTGTCGGCCATCATAATTAACTTAAAATAGATGGAAGAGAGAAAATGAGAATAATTGGTGATTCACTTTATAAATAAATAAAAAAAAAAAAGAATGGTTACATCCATAACGTTGGGTAAAAGAATTCCCTTCACCTTCAATTTTCCGGTTGTGCGTTGGAACTGCTTAATCATAAGGCCTTCCGAGTATATAAACAGTAGTACGTCAAAAAAAAAAGCAATATACATATAAGTTAATAAGATTGAATCTTAATTGTAACGTTTCAATCGTAGATCAAGCATCATTTGGTTAATAAAACATTATAAACCTGTTGGTTTGTGGGGTCGATGGCTTATGAACTTTGATTTCTTTTCGTGCGACAGAACTGGACATGTGTTACATTCACAATCCTAAAGCTATTAATATTTTCACATTTTGTCTTCCTAATTCAAACGATGTACAAATGGCTTATGCTTCTCGGCATAAAGATATCGTCTCTTTAATTCTACCATATATATATATTACTAATTACTTCAAAGTCATGTATGCACTGTTGTAAACAATTTGAGTTTTTTCGTTTCCATTTCTCTTTCTACTTTTATTTTTTTGCATATTCAACCTTTCTTACACTAAAAATAATTCATATGACATTTTCAGAGATTGACATTATGTTCAAGCTTTTTATTTTTTATTATTTATCTTTTCATTGCGCTGACACTATTATTTATTATAACAAATTAAATGTTTGAAGAAAAATTAGTGCATCGATTTTTCAAACCTTAATACAGGCGGCATGAAATCAGAATTACCACTTTTTCAAAAAAAAAAAAAAAAAAAAAAGTACACAAAGCTCGCTGTGAACTAAGAAGGACCTCACATTATTATATTAAGAACGCATAGAAATTTAGCGAGACTAAAAAAAATCTGACAGAGACACACCTTAGATGGGATCTAGTTATAGCACTTTAAGGGGTATTTACTTCTGACAGCTTGCATATGAGCTCATTTAAGCTTTGAATAGGGAAAAAAAAGAACCGGCATAAATTTCTTTTGAAAATAATAAACCGCACCAATAATGGCGATTATCAGAATTACATTATTTTCTTCTAGACTATCGATGTCATCTATACAGTACTATCACTTTAAATTCAAACAAATGAAAATTATTTTTCTTATATTCGTCCGAAAAAAAAAGCTCCAAAGTCTCAATTTTTTTTAATGGCCTGAATCTATTTTTGCATCTGTCCGAAATTAATTCCAATTTGTCTAAATTCATAGTGTAGATATTGTATTAGAACTGTCCTTTGTTTATTATTAATCACGGTTTTAACCTGGTATATTAGAAGAGCTATTCACGTCTTGTATGTATCATCGTAATATGATTTGTTCGATAATTTTATCAAACTATTCCTAACTATGAGATTTTTTGTAACAGTATTTCGTGTATCATAATCATAACAGTGATCAGAAATCGCATTGAGTTCTACAAATGAGCTTTTTCTTTTTTTTTTTAATTTAGGCAACATACATGGACACCCACATATAAAATGCATTTTTCTTGATATTGTTTAAAAAGGCACTTTAAATATATTAATCCAGTTTATTGGATCCATTGGCTGGGTTAGTAGGGGACATAACTAAATCTCTAGTAATGGATAAACTCTATAATGATACATGCATATTCCATGAGAATCCACTAAAGATGGTTTATTTATCAACATATCTAAAACTTACGCTGTTAAATCTCTAATTTAACGTTTAGTTCTTACTTTATTGCGATATATTGAGCAATCTTAAAGGGATTCCAATGATTTCACATACGTATATGCATTTGTATATGCTTGAATCACATTTTGAAATGTGCAGTTTATTTTTATGAATTATGTGTGAAGCATTTGCTCTGTACAGTAGAATGGCACTCTTCCTAATATGCTTAAAATAAGTTAACCATAACATAATAGTAACCAACACGCACAGTTCAAAAGTCTGGTAGCAGTCAATACATATTTGGTAATTTTCGATCTAGATTACAAACATATAACGTCAATACATTTATTCAATATACATATGTACAACACAACAGAGCGGTATTATTTTACCCACCAAAGACAACACTAAATTTTAGCATCAGTTCTATTATAATCAGCTCGTCTCTTCGACTTTCATATTTTTAAATACTAATATACAGTTGTTTTCTGATTGCCGTAATTGAGCTACAATCGTTTTCAAGACGCGACATAAATATGAAATCTGTTTATTATTCAAGTTTTAACTAAAACAATTGATAATTGCCTTGAAATTTAATTATAATCAAATACCAGAATGAAAGCAAACCCAGCTAAATAACATATATATTAAACAACAAAGCCTGTGTGATGGGATTACTATTCAATATCACCTAGTAGCAAAAGTGTTGTTTATAATCTGCTTATACTATGCAATCAAGTATTGTAAATACAAATTGTTTGTGCAGTCTTGGAGATAGATTGATCCCTTATTATAATTTAATAATCATTGATTCTCCAAGCATATGTAAACCCAGAAGATATGAAAAGCATGTTAAATACATGTAATATCTATTAGAACGTAGTTAAAACATAACGGAAAACTAAATATTTTGAACGATTTAGTGAAAAAGATGTTTACGTTTAGTAATATGTTAGTGTGAATTGATGAACTTAATACTATATATATTATGTAAATACACTGAAGACTTAAATGATTAATTCAGATTTTTCATGGTCACTTAGAAACTTAGTAAAACTACCTCTGCCCCTTTGGGGTGTCAATCCCTTATATTTAATAGTTTTTTAGGTGTTTTCGTATAAGTTGATGGTCTACGAACGAAATAAGCGAAAGAAAGTTGTTTGTATCAAATAGGTTTGCCACTAAGACAATCGTCAAATTTATTATTCAAAAAAGATGAGGGTCACCGATAGATGCCCCCATGGAGTGTCTCTCTGATCTTCATTGAGACAAAGCCTTTTCATCCAGAAAAATACTGCTCGAAGATGGAATATCGTTATGCTTCGTTCCCCGGTCTTTTGTTAAGTCTTGAATTATTAAACAATTTTCAATAATGTTTATAAAAAGGAACAATCGAATTCCAATACCAATACTTTTAGTTTATTCTTGAAGAATAAGTCTCAATACCATATCTACCAAATACTTTGCTTAGTTGTGTATTTTCACTCCCCCTCTATAGATCAACGTTATTCATTTTTTGTTTTTATTTAGCTATAACTCCTCCTTTCGTTGCATAGATTAATTAGTCATTTAGTTGGACGCACAATTAGATATTTAGTTGGCAACAGCATAATCTAGGTCAGGCTTTTTACGAACATTTATATTACTTTATTCCTACCTACTATCACTTCGAAAGAAGCTAGTGAGAAGTATTATACGGCCAACATCTCTAACAAAAATGCTACTGATTACCTCATAAACACAGCTTATTATGTTCGCTACAGATATGAATATCAACTTCCAGCCACTGCGAAAAAAAAATGCAATATCTGGATCTGGTCAGTCAAGGTATGGTAATACCGCCAAAAAATTACACGACAGCCCTGCTGTTGTTTTTTATTTAATTGGAAGGCTTTTTATCGTAATCATCTAATCTGGAAGCAAGTCTTTGGAAAAATCTTGTGGATATACTAGGCTCATTATTGGCTCTTGAAGATGACAATAATGATTGTGTGGAAGAGGTAGTGAAAGTTCTTGGTGGTATTCCTCTTGTAATAAAACCAGATCCCATTCCTAATCCAGTCTCTGAACCAAATCCGCCAAATCCAGTTAGGAAACTTGCCGGTCTTAAAACAGGCGCTTTAGGTTCTTCTTCTGTTGTATGAGTATTATTTATAGTATGATTATTGTTGGGTGTATTTATAATGGATGTTGATGTGGTATGAATCATTTCTTTTTTCATCACGGTAGATAATATAGATGAATTGGTAGAAGAGCTAGTACTGGTAGATAAGCTTGCTAACCCGCCACTTTCTCTTTCGGATACTAGGTATTTCAATCCTTCCTGTGATTTCTTTTTAGTTTCCACATGTGTTGTGTCCGCCGTGATAATTCGATGACGAATTAAATTAAGGTTTCTCTCAATTTCTTTTTGCATTTCTTGTCTAAACTCTGCTGAAAATACCGGGCCCTTGGTTATTTCTGACTCTTTTGTTGTACCATCTTGTGAAGAGACAGAAAATGAATTGAATCCGCTATGGTTATTTAAGCTAGATAATTCATCTTCTTCAAGTAATTTAGGCTCACTCAAATTATGAATGGTATCTTGAGCCTGCTCCAATCTAGATGCATATTCTTGTGCCTGAATAACCATGGAAGCCAGTTTCTCCTCACACTCCACTTGTTGATGCTCCAGTTCCGCTATTCTTGCTCTCAATTGCTCATTTTCTGACACCACTCTAGATAGGTCTAATTGGATATTTTTGACGAGATGTGATGTATTGGAACTGGATTGTTTTTGCGATGTTAAAGCCTTATCAAGTAGAAACTGTAAACTTGCATTTACATCCCTTGTCGATGCCAACTTTTGTTCCACTTCAGCTTTATACATAAAAAAACGCATGTTAATTACTGTACAATTTATTTATATTTCCCTTGTTACCTAATCGTTTTGCATAAACACTAACCTTAGAACGAGAATCAATCTAATATATTGAGTTTTTTTAACAGGTGAGATAAAAAGACAACTGTTAAAAAAAATGAGAATACCATTTCAGACGCCATGTCATTTAATTGAGCAGAAAGTCCATCCATTTCTTTTCTGAATTTCGTTAATTCTCTTCGTGCCTGGTCTAATTCTTGTGTTAAATATATGCGCTCCTCTTCCTCTGATAAAAGCAATTCGTTATTGCTGCTATTGCTGTTGTGGTCCTTTTTAGTGTTATTTGCTCGTGATCTCAACTCTTCTTGAAACATTCGATTTTCTCTCTCTAACTGCTCGAGCTATGGCATATGATTAGCTGTTGATTATTTAGTGTTCAAAAAAGTAGTAATGTACCTTTATTTGAATGGCTTCATTTGTTTCAGAGATAACTAGACCAATGCGAGCAGCTACATCTAAATCATTGGCAATGCCCTGTCTCTCTCTTTCTTTTCTTATAATAATTTGTCGCAAAGTTTCGATGTCGTCAACTGCATAAACTTCTCTAATAAAAGAAGGTTTATCTAGTCTTTAAAGATGAGTATAAACACTTTTTTTGGTCATGGCAATTGTATGTTAAAGAAAAACAGATTATAGTAAAAACCTTCTGGAGTTATTCCTAATCGAGCTAAACAAGGTTCAAGTTCATGTGGAAAATAAGACATGGTTATAATCAGAAAAGCCAAAAAAAAAAAAAAAAAAAAAAAAAAAAAAAGGATAGGAATATAAAACTCAAGTTGTGAGGGGTTATATTGATATTATGATTGGTTGAGATAAGCGCAATATGATTGGTAGTTAAATGAAGACGCGCATCCCTCTCCTTTAGATTTACAAAGCCGTGCTAAGGCTGTTCCTCCTTTCTCTTTGTTATTCGTGGCTTGTTTTTTTGTTTAACATATTCATCATAAGTATACTGAAACTTATTTGGTATACTATTTTCAGAAAGTTTCGGTTCGTATTGTAAAAAAAAAAAAAAAAAAAAAAAAAAAATTGGTCCATGAGCAATACAAGATTTGGTATGAAAAGAGTAAAATCGACCAAAAATGAATAAACTTATCACTGAAGTGTATCTATGGATGACCTGCAACAGGCCCACAGAAGTTAGGAGAAACGTTACAGAACAATTAGAACAAGCAATCATCTCAAGATCTTCAAGCTAGGAACTATGTGTGTTAGTAGCGCTGACTCTGCATATTTGGATCTAAATTTCTTATAAAATAGCATATTCGTATGAAAGTAACGAAGAGTATATGTGACAATTAAGACTCATAATTTAAATTATTGATATTTAAGTTGGTTTAATCTTGTGCAAAGGAAAGGGACTAAGATCTCATTCGGAGGCTTGAGCTCCCTTCAGTTTATCCCAGTAGTTTTTCTTCTTCGTTGCTTTTCTTTTGCTGAATTACCAGGAATAGTAGAATTTAACCTCCTTTAATCGAGATCAACAATGAATAGCATATCAACACAAACGAGCCGAATTTCCTGACTTTTAAAAAATAAGGCAGAGACGGCATTATTCTATGTCGTAAACGAGAACAATACGTCTCAGACCTGTATAAATTACAGCATACCATCCAAAGAAACTACATTAAGTAAAACCTGTCAAGGTAACAAACAAGAGATCATCTCGGTGTGTTAACCCTCATTTCGGTTGAACCACAAAGAGCAGTGATGTCTCGAGATACGTAGAATCTACCTTGGTAATATCACTGTCAGGGATGGCTCAACTTTTTTCTCAGCAGGCATTTCCTGCTTTCACTTATAGAATCAGCCAATACAACACTGGCTTAAATAATGTAGCCTCGTCCTTCTTAGATAAAAGCGTTTTTATTATTTGCTGCTTGAATGAAAGAGAACCAACGGGCAGTGACGAAGTTGCTAAATGTGACCACTATTTCTAGCGAAGGTTTGGACTTTTTCGCATATGGTTATCATTTGCACTTGGCTGTCCAGCCATCATATACACCGCTCAATTTATATTTTTTTTATTTTTTCTTTTTTTTTTTTCTTTTTTTCTTCATTCTTCTAAACCAAGAAAATGGCTAGTCTTGGTGGAGAGTTGGAGTCGGATTCCTCAGATGAAGAATGGGTTTTTACTTCAACAAAAGCTAATTCCAAGACCCAACAAAGGATATCTATTTCTGCTAATTCGATTCGTACCATGAAGGCTAATATACCAAAGAGAGTTGCACCCCCTCCTCCTCCTCTTCAACATCATGTTACTCAGATCATGCCTATATTACAGCAAAAGAAACTTATGGTCAAACAACCCTCTTTACAATTCATTTCGGATAAAGAGCTTGTCACCATGTGTAAAGAGATGAATGCAACCCTTCTAGTCTCTAAACTCGTTGATGTTTATAAGAGTTGTGAAATATTTATTCGTATTCGTGATATTGAAACACAGGCAATGTCAATAGAAATGAGATTAAAAGATCATTTGTGTCATGCTGCTGACCCTTGCGATTTTGTTCTTGTAAGTCTCTTCTCTCTCTATATTATAGCCATCCTCACACTCGTTTTCTTTTTAGAATACACTATCTTCGCTTTCGATTTATTTCTCTAATAACCCGAAGAATAAAGACTTGACCAGTAAATTTAGAAGACTTTTAGCAAGTACTTTTTGCACTGCGCTTGCGAGGTTTTTAGAGACTCCCATAGATAAAAGACAGCAAGATGTAGAAAGGGATTTGATATCTTTGGACGATGATATCGAGGTCGATCTGATCAGTTTTGATGATGATGTTTTGCCTGCGGCCCAAACAGCCACTGTCGTGAAAGGAAATGACTTGACTCATCAACATCAGCGAAAGCTTATACATATGATTGATAACATTCCTTCGCCCGTCATTGTCTACTATGCCATGGATCTTTACAAGTTATCAAATGTAGCTTCCTTAGGATGTGAATATGAAGATGAAGGTGTAAAACTATGCAAGGCTTTAATGAAACATGGCCATTATGATGAAACCGTTGCCTGCATCAGAAAGCTAAATCTCTATGCACGATTTCCCACCAATTCGATTGCGGATCAATATTTCACCGCTGGGCATGGGACCTCTTTACCCGCATTGATGCAAGGTCAACCTATACTTCAAAAAGAATTATTGTCCTTTATCAATAAGCAATTACGATTTAACTATGCTGGTGGGCTTGACATTATCCCACGAAAGTATCTGGCTGACTTGTACAATGGATCAGATCAAACCCAGCAACTATCAAGACTCAAGGAAAGAAAGTTCCAAAAGGATCTTGTCAGTTGCGGTGCTAAAATACTGAAAGAATGCGATGCTGTACAAGAGGATGAGTATTACTTTATTGGATTATCACAGAGGTATGCATGTCTAAGATTTATTTTGGCTCAACGGGCAATCCAACAAGCGGAAGACGGGGATTTATCGATTGAAGCCAGTTCAAATTTCAATGGTCTAATCGATCTTGTGTGTGAAGATGACCCGGTATTGGCAAGATTAGCGATTAAGGAATTAATTGATACCGGTGACACTGTGGCTCCTCCCCATTTTGCTTCCTTATACAAGCAGCAAGAATTCTATTGTAGATACAATGCATTGCCTATCAATCACCGCCTCTTGGGTATTGTGAAAGGTGAACAAATGTCTCGTCATCGGAGTATGTTTTCACCTAAAAAAGCTTCAAATGTCAACGGCCTTGCTTATTATACCTTACCACCACAGGCACAAAGAGTGATGGTAAACTCTCATGCATCTCTTATGCATATGAAGGACATATTGTCCATTTCCAATATTTGTGGTATCGATACAGAATGGGTACCAACTTTTGCCAAAACAACAGTCAAGACAGCACTTATGCAAATAGCCTGTGACATTGATAATTATGTCTTTTTGTTGGACCTGAAGACCATGTTTCTACCCCAGAATACACAACTTTTGTATATCACTGAGAAAATCCTGCAACTATTGTTTGAGGATGATCAGATTTTGAAAATTGGTAAGTAATTGCCTATGTAAATTGTATAAGCCGATGTTAAATAATTATCCCATTGCAGCATACGACTTCCATGGCGATTTTGATTTGTTGCATTCATCTATTCCATCGTCTCGAACATGGCAGGTTTCTAGGTTGCTTGATTTAAAGTCCCTGAAAACAATGCCTACTTTAACCAATCAGGGCCAACCAATTGTAGGGGGGTTAGCTGGTGCGACTTCCACTTTTCTTGGTGTGACTCTGAATAAGAGACAACAGCTTAGTAACTGGGAAAAACGACCTTTAACAGAAGAGCAATCCATCTATGCATGTAAGTATCAAAAGAAATACAAGTAAAAAGAGCAGATGATACTAACACATTAATAAAAAAAAGCCTGTGATGCATGTTGTCTTTTAGACATATATTACACCCTTGTCCGATTAAACCATCCATTTATCAAGAATATTGACAAATCCACAAATAACACAGACTTCTCTGTGTCCAATAATACCGATTTGTCTTTCCAAAGGCTCCAACTCTAAGTACCCTTTATAATTATTACTATTATTATTATCATGTTTTTTATCGCATTATTATTATCATTTTTTCTCCTTTTTATCTCTCTTCTCCTATATAACCACAACCTCTCCTACACACACACACACACACACACAGACACAGACACCCCAAATAAATATTTATCACTCCATCACTGTCGAACATGATAGGTTGGAGCTGCCATATAACTGAAAACATCCAACCGAATCTAAAACTAATTGTTTCTCTTCTTCATCAAATAATCAATTTAAAAAATAGAATGACTGAATATTCCTTCAAGAGAAAGAAAGAGATGTTTGAATGCATTATTTGCCTTGAAAAATCTTATGAAACAGACTTCTGCTCCGCTGGCACTGACAATTGTGAGCATTTTATTTGTGAGGACTGTGTCCATCAGTATTTCACCAATGCTCTAAATGATAATCGTTACACGAGTTACGATCTTATACAATGTCCCAGTCCAGGTTGTAAAGAGTATTATGTCTCTGATCAAGTTATGGACTTGTATTTTTCAGATGCTGATGCAGAGAAGTGGTGGACTAGTGCCATTGGTAGTAAAGCTTACATCGCTAATAAGGTAGTGTTTTGGTGTTGAAACTGGCTCATATGATTTTAATAGATGATAGGTGTCTTGTCCTATGGAGAATTGTCATGCTGTCTTTGATGTCGATTTCAACCATACCAAACAGTGTACATTTGCTGAGTGCCATGAATGTCACCGTGGCTTTTGCATCACATGTCAAACTATTTGGCATCCAGGTAAACATTTTTATTAAAAACGTATTACAGGTCGGGCTGACCACCTATAACAGGTAGGATCAAAGTATACGATGATAAGGAAGCCTTGCAAAGGACACTTAAAAAAGCTAAACACAATAACTGGTCCCGCTGTCCTCGATGTGGTCAAGTCATTGAAAGAGAGGTATATATATATCACATATAGATTAATCACATACAAACTGACCAAAAATAGGCTGGGTGTTCTCATATGACTTGTTATTGCGGAACTTATTTGTAAGTTTGATTTTAAAAATTAAAAAACAAAAGATAACCTTGCTCGCTTTAATAATAGCTGTTACCATTGCGGTCGTGAGGTAGACGACTGTTTGGATCAATGCGAATTTTGGGACGAAAAAAAGTTAACGGAGCTACGTAATCTGATGTTTCCCTGTTAACTAATTAACGGAATTACTATAATTGCTTACTACTCTATTACATTTGGCCTGGTTGTATTTATGAGCTCTTGCTTCAAAATATTTAAAAAAATAAATGCATTGCTTTTTTTTTTTCTCTTTGTTATTTGTAACTTCGTTCTGAATGCGAAACAAAACAGAAAAAATAGAAAAGTAAAATGATTTAATATAATGAAATGATGTTTTCGGAAATTCTCTCTCATATATTATACATCAGCTTTGAGTAATATATATCTGTGTCAATTTCGAAGCTGATGTTTTAGGTCGATGTCATTCTAGGGTTTGGTCCTATTAAAACCTTTGGTAGTTATTAGATCCAAATCGTATAGTATCTTCTGAAATAAGAAAATAATTTTATCTTCGCCCTATGCAATATTTTGCTGTATACATTATTTGAATCATTATTCCGATAGATAAGTAATAATTTTTGATGATAAATCATTTAGAAAAAGAATTAAATACAAGAAAAAAAGATACCGCATGTTTAAAAAAACACATTATAAATAATTGAAAAAACTCGTCTTTTTTTTTTCATAAATACTTTTCAAAAGAATGTCAAATTCCAAGGGAGAAAGCTCACGTAGAAAATGCGTTATCTGTTTGGACGCTCCGCCTATATCTGACATTTCTGCTCAATGTGAGCACTCAGCATGCCATGGCTGTGCGATCCGTTACTTTAACGACTTGTTAAAAACAGCCCATTTTAATAGCTCTGATCCCATAGTATGCCCTGCTTATAACTGCAAACATGTCTTCCAAGATACAGACACGGTTCTTCGCCAACTTTTTTCTGAAGAAGAAGTTGAAAACTGGTGGCACCGTGCCATCATTAAAACCTTTATAAAGAACAAGGTTCTTGGTTTATTTTATATAAAGATACCAAAAAAACAGTGATAAATTTTATTTACTAAAACAAAATTATCTTTATAATAGGTATACTGTCCACTGGAAGGTTGCCTCGGCCTATTTGATGTAGAAGATGACTTAACTAGACGTTGTACCTTTTCAGAGTGTTATGAATGTCGCAGGGGGTTTTGCATTGCTTGTCAAAGACCATGGCACCCGGGTAAGTAAATTTATCGCTAATTTAATATCATATAATATTCACACTTTGCTAGGACAAACATTTGTAAGGGACGATACCAAAGAGCTACAAAAGACTCTCGCACTAGCAAAAGCTAATCGCTGGACACGATGCCCTGGTTGCTCATATTTCGTTCAGATGAAGGTAATATATTTGTATTTCATCCTACATCTGTTTTTTAATAAAATTTTAACGTGCATAAAATAGGATGGATGCAACCATATCCAATGTCATTGCGGAAGGTCATTGTAAGTAAGCATCACCCTTGTGTATGAAAATACCTAAGACTTTTATTTTCGTAGCTGTTATGGATGTGGTCGAGTATCCACCACTTGCCGTGGAGAATGCTTTAATCTGGGCACTACTAAACAAAACGAACTTCGTAACCACATGTTTGTGGTCAAAGAGGCTTCTTCCAGTAGATAGTCTGGGCTCTCCGCTTATGTCATCTTACGGATTCGGCTAAAAAAAAGTGCTGCAGGTTTATAGTGACTGTCTATAAATAAATAAAAAAAGTTATATTTTGAATTCGCGTCTTTGCAACTGTTGGTTTCAATACTCCTGCTTTATATTATTCTTAAATTCGAACAGTTAATGCAGAAATCAAATAACAATTTCAATAACACCAGTAGTAAATGAAACTTTAAGCGCTCTAATAAAAAAGTCATTCCAGTGACATTAACATATTTTTTATAGGATACACCCCTTCAGGTACTCCCACGGCTCGAAAAAGAGCAAGAGAAAGTAGCATCGATACCCACCGAACGAGTATCATGTCTACTTCACGCCTGTCTTTACTCTCTACACCTGGTAGCAGCAGACGTATGGTACCCGGGTTTACAGAAAACCGTACAGCAAGAGCGGGTTCAGTGACTTCGACTGATGATGCAGGTCATGGACGGTTAAATTCACTTTTAAAAAATGTTCACGCACTCGAAAATTTAGTTATGCACGACAAGAGGGAAGAAACTACTGAAACTAAGAAACGTGCAGTGCAACATTTCCATGATATTAAACAAAATGTGACGGATTTGATCGAAGGAGAAGCTAATTCAGAGGATATCATTAACGAAGCACAAAACAAGGTACAACAGAGTTACGACGAAGGCAAATTTTGGAAGCAAAGAGCAGAGTTACTGCTTGAGGAAAATAAGGAGTCCAGAAACAAGATGTTGGAGTTGACAAAAAACTACAAAAATAGAGAAACCATTTTTGTTGAACAATTGGCGAAATATAAGGAGGGACATACACCCAGCGTCGAATTAGAGGATGTGGATACTCAGGCTATGGAAGAAGCACATCAAGAAATTAAACATTTAAAAGAAGAGCTGTCCGCGAAAGAATACGAGAATATTCAATTACGAACCAAGTTCCAATTAGAAAAGACACGATCTTTAGAAGACCACAAAAGAAAATTGGCTGAACTTTCAAAGGATTCGCGAGAAGGTCAGGAACTAGCTGCTAAAGTAGATGAACTCTCAAAAGAGCTTGAGGAGAAGAAGGGTTACATCGACGATTTGCAGCAAAAACTAAAAGATGAAACTACTTACAGTGAAAGATTAACAAATACCATCGAAGAGGACCGTAAACAGTATGATTCCTTGAGAGAGCAAGCAGAAGCAATTGAAAGCGAATTGGTCAAAAAAGATGATTATGTCCATGAGCTTGAAAAGGATTTGAGAGAAAAGAATCAAATAATCGCCGACAGTCAAATGAATCTTGATGAAAAAGAAAGCATGGAAGCCATTGTCAAGCAACGTCTCGAAACTGAGATTGAAGGCTTGACTACAGACAACCAAAGGTATTCAAACAAAATTGTGGCACTACAAGAGACTGTTGATTTAAAGAACAAAGAGCTGGAGAAGTTGAAGTTGAGTCAAGATGATCGTATCGAGCAGTTGGAAGAGGATGTTCATGCTAAAACCTTGGAGATCGAACAACTTAAAGCACAAGTAGAACAACTACATACGGAGAAAGCCCAGCTTTTACAACGGGAAGATAGTACCAATCTACAATTAAATGTTTATCGTGCTGAAATTGAAAAGTTAAAATTGGGCCAGGACGACCGTATAAAACAATTGGAGCAGGATGTCAAACACAAGACTGTAGATTTGGAACAAGCCAATGCAAAAAAAAATGAACTTTTAGAATGGCAAGACAACGCCAATACAGAGTTGAATGAATATCGTGCGCAAGTTGAAAAACTGAAGTTGGGTCAGGATGATCGCCTTAAGCAACTGGAAGCAGATATGGAGCGCAAGTCTAATGATTTGAAAAAAGAGCAACTTCTTTTTAAAGCATGTCAAGATCAACTTTCTGAGAAGACTTCAGAATTAGAAACTGCTTTGTACGATTTAAGGCTGAATCGCAGTCAACTTAACCAAATGAAGCTGGATTATGAGTATCAAATCAATCAATTAGAGATGGATGTCAAGGAGAAATCAGCAGCATTAGAGAGATATAAAGAGTTAAATGTAACGTACCAAAACCAAATTTCTGATAAGACACCTGAACTAGCACGCGTTACCTTCGAATTGGAAAAGAGTGCGACAGAAATTGAAGAGTTGAAATCAAGCAAGGAAAGGTTGGAAATTCAAATCAAAAGTTATGCAACACAGGTACACGCATATAAACAAGATATCGAGTTATATAAACGAGAATTATCACAAAGAGACGTGGAACTTGAGCACACCAGTTTGGAATTGGAAGATACACGTGCACAATATGATCAATATGTTTCTGATCAAAAAACACGCATGGAGGATACCAAGAATTATTATACACAACAAATCGAAAAATATCGTCAACGTATTGATGCCTATGAAAATGAACTTTCAGAAAAGGATCGTATGATTGAAGATGCTACCAATGAGTTGGAGGACTGCCGCCCTAAACTCAATCAGCTGAGAAATGTACAAGAAATGATCACCGATCTCAAGGAAACTAAATCCAAAGTAGCCTATGATCTCCAGCAAACTATCTCTAAAATGAACCAAGTTGCTAGTGAAGCTGCTCGAAATGAAGAGGAGATTGCTAGATTAGAATCTGCAAGATCAGACACTGGAGCTCGCTTACAAGAGACGCTTGTCAGCCTTCAAAAGTTACAAGATAAGAACAAGCAACTGGAATCCGAACTAGACGAGAAAAATTCAGTTCTGGCTCAGTTTGAAGATATGAGTCTCACTTTGGAAGATTCGGCTAAACACGTACAGTCCCTTGAAAATGCATTGCACGAGAAGGACGAAGAAATGGAACGACGTGAAGAAATTGCTCACCAAACAGTGGAGCAGCAACAAGCACGTCTTCAAGCTCTTCGTACCAAATTACAAACGACAGAAAAGCAATTATTGGAAGCTAAACAGCAAAGTACTGATTTAGAAAAATCGCAGTCTGAAACTGAAAATTATATCGAATCCTTGACGGAAAAGATCAACATGCATGAGCGTGAAATCAGAGATGCACGGGCCGAATTGACGAGAAAGAATCGCGAGATACACGATTTAACACATTCCTTAAATATGGCTCAAGATAAAATGGAACAGTTGGAACAAGAGTGTGAAAAGATGACAGATGCAGAATCCTTGGCTGAGGACCGCGCTCGTCGAATTTGTCAACTGGAGAACGACGTTAACAAAATTGCTCTCAACCTACAAAAGGCAGCAGAACACCGAAAAAATTTAGAAAAACAATTAGAAGATGCGTCGTCGTTCAATGAAAATGCAGAAAGATCCATACGTGAGGCGCAAGATAAATTAAAACAAAGTGAACGTAGAGTAGCTAAACGTGAGGAAGAGTATGAAGATCTCTCCAAGAAGTATGTTAACATGCGTGAAATGTTAGCCCTTGCATTAAGAAATAATGGAGAATTACAAAATTAAAGCATTTAAATATCTCACGCACCATACATCCTTATATCACACTCCTTGTACATACTTCATCGCACATTTACTTATATTTTAATAAACAGTTATTCATTGTTGAAATCAGGAACATATTGTTATGCAATCTCTAGTGGCAATTTGGAAAATGCGAGGATGGCTAGTTTCTATTCTCCTGCAGCATTTTTTGGGCATCGAATGTAATGGTTAATGTCTATAAAAAACCGTTGCATTTTCTTAGCGTGGCACGTATTATTTACATGTTTGTGGACCTTTGCTTAACAAGCAATGGATACAATCGATGATCTTATTGGTATATTGCGTACTAACGTGAATTCAAACTATTGTAAATAAATTGCCTCGCAAAACAAGATAATATTGTTACGCACTTTTAAATTCAAAGCAAAATACGTACCTCTCTAGATATTTAGTCTTGTTTACTAGATTTATCTCCTTAACAAATAGCAGTGTAGTATTATTATTTTACACCTTATTAATGTGAAACAATTATTAAACCTGTTTGTGTCTTATGACAACTTTTCTTTTCCGAAATCATGTGTAGCTGCAAATCCCCCTTAATGACAAAATGCAGTTAAAAAAAATTTTGGCGGTAAATTCTAAATCGAGTAGGGCGCGTATTTGACTGATAAACAAGAAGTTTGCATGTTTGCAATTCATACACACGAGTCAAGAGCCAATTAAATTCGTGACTTTGGATGGTAGACACTTTTTTCCAAAAAAAAAAAAACAAATCCATTTTTCGCCGTCTTCTTCATGAATAAAGTAAACACGCTGCCTAACGAGCTGCTAACAGCTATATTTAAATGGCTTCCGAACAAAGATCAATACGACTGTCTATTTGTATGCAAATACTGGTTCACTACTATGCAAATCATCCTATATAAGGAGATTTCTATAGACATTGGCTTTACAGACAACATATTTGATAATTTGATATTTGATACGTTAGTGCATTCGACATTTCTACCAGGAAGATGGGTAAAGAAAATTACAGTGACACGATTAAAAATTCCTGACAACTTAATGCGACTGGATCCGGCCACCGATCCTTTACATCTCTTGATGACACATTGTCCAGGCGTAGAAGAATTCTGTTTTCAACGCACGAATTTCATATTTGCTACCGAATGGATCTATTTACGCATGGTGTTAGAACAGCGACCTCAAGGATGGGCATTACGCAATTTGGCAGAATGTTTTAACAAAGACGATTATGACAGTTATTATGCGTGTGCTTGGATCATGCGAAACAGTCTTCGGCACTTTTATCTGAAGAGAAAAGTGAGCGACTATAAGCATCATTTTAAAGACTTTCAAAACCTGGCACACTTATATATCAGTCGACACGTCATCCAGGACATTGTTGAGTCAGATCCGATCGTGAACGCTTTATCCAATCTTATCAGCCTGGACGTCGATTTCCATGCTCCTAAACCACAACAATCTGCTGCCCGTAAAAACAAACAACTGGCAGACCAGTCGAATCACAATAGTTACCCACATCTCAAAAAGCTGAAGCTAAAAAATATGCCAGTTACCCGCGACCTGGATTTCTCCTTCATTATTGATAAATTCACGGGATTGGAGATATTGGACATTAAAGTGTTGAAATCCAAACCATGGCCTATTAGCAAAATGTCATTTGACGGAATTCAACTATTCTTTAGCTATGTGTGTAAAATACCTAGTTATTCTGTTTATTTCAGGGATATTGACATTGTGACTATGATGAATATATACTACTCTCGGATCGATGATAAGAAACAAGCTTTTGACCTGGCTTTTACGAATATTTTAGATGAAGGAGAAAATTCAGTGAGTTTAGAAGTGACGAACGACGATGGACGGCAAGAAAAGCTAAAGTTGATCTATAACCTGAATGGTAAAACTGTCAGACAGAGGATGGACAAGGCTCAAAAGACTTTAGCTGGTATCAGCCAACACATTGACGAAATGAATGTTTCTTTGATGGGCAAACATGCAGTCGCAAAGCATATTGATGAATTCATACCCCTCGTGTTAGGCTCTTGCAAAGAATTAAAAAAAGTAACATTTCATGGAGGAGAATTACATTATAAACTGTATAAGAAGCTGAACCAAGTGGATGGTATAAGGCACTTGGGGTTCAGAAAAAGCTGTCTGGACACAAATGCTATCACTTTTCTGTCAAACAGTTTTCCATACATTGGGTGCTTTGAAATGGACAATTGCACTTTTGTGAATAATCAATGTTTGGATAATACGGTGATCATCGATCTGAATATGATTCATACAGTCTTTGGCTGCATGAAGATATCCTTAAAAGAGATTGGCATGCCTCGTGTGACAAGACCAGCTGACAAACACGAATTTTGTGCACAAGCAGTTGAGATTGTGAAAAGTTACTTGTTTATTATAATCAACTTTTTCGGACAAGAACAAACTACTAAATATTACGGAGGAGACATAATCAAGGGAGATTTAGTCACAGTAGATAGAGACGCATATTACAGATATTTGGATGAATGTAGTCAGACACAACAATACCAATTAAATGTCTATTGTCTCAATGTGAAATCTATTGAAAGACTTTATTTTACAACACCCAAGCGACATTTTGTATTGAAAATGGATTAAAATAATAAATCTACCATGTGCCTACATTGCTCCAATCATATCCATGTTTAGAGGGTGGTGGTTTTAATGAAGGAGGCAACTCTTTAACTTTCCAACCAGCTGGCAATCGATATCTAGTTTTTTTAGGCTCCTTTTTTATGATTTGTGAATTGGCTTCTTGCTGTTTAAGCTGAAACCATTGAATAAGCTCAGGTGGGTATATCGGTTGACCTAAATTGATATTTTTGTTTAAAACAAACAAGATGATTTTGTGTGGGGTAAAAAAAAAAAAATTTTTTTGGTACCTGTGTTGGGATCAAGTGTGATATGACTATATTTACAAAACAGGCCAAATTCACAGTACCCTTGACTTCTTTGAAAGTGCCTACAAGGAGGTTTGTCCATTTGTTCCTGAATAAAGACGGAAGGTTCTAGAATAACGTCTTAGTAACACATTAACAACAGTTTAAAAAGGGGGTAATGTAAACCTTTGAACCAGTCGTAATGGTATTTACGATTGTTGACATGAGAGGTTCCGCCATTATGGTTTCTTCTATTAACTACATTGTCCGGAAATGTGCACTGACAGAAATCACAATAATCTACAAGGGGGATTTAGTCTTTATATGGTAAGAAACGGATGTAGAACTTACAATTTCTAGGCATAGTTGATCATGCAATAGACACACAAAAAAAAAGTTTGGGGTGAATAAAAAAACAATTTTTTTTTTCCTTGATTGTTTATGAAATACATGTAATCGCACACACACACACACACACACACACACACACACACACGCATTCTGCACATGAAATAGATAATCATATATCTGTGTATGAAAAAAATGATTATATAGTAGATATCTGATAGCAAATAGATAAAGGCGGTATCTCATGCAATTTACTATTTGCTACAAGTGACACGTGAAGAATCATGGTTTCACATGTTTTTTTTATTATTTATTTTCATTCTCCCCAAAAAAAAAAATATATTCAGTTCTTTCTTCTGCTTTTTCATAACAATGACTTTAAACCATAGCTCACCCATGTCTATTACACAACTCATTAATAATGAAAAGGAAGAAATTATCACACCTAATGATATACAAGACCCCGATGTAAAGATAGCTGCCGAGGTACTAGGCGATATGGCCAGATTATCCAGTGTGAACGGTAAGAATTACTTATTATAATCCCTTTATTATTATTATTAACATATATACGTATTAGTCAACAAACCTATGATAACGTTACCTCCTCTTTCCACACCATCTACCACACCCAGTTCACCACTGCCTACACCAACCTCTTCTTCGTTTGCACATGACAGACTCTCTTTCTCCAGCGAATCTACCATGGATGAAGATCAGATAATGCACCACCAGCAAAGATCATCTCATTTTATACACCGAGTATCCAACATACCTCTTGTAAATTCTGCTTTACGAGCTTACGAAAGTTCCAAGAATTCAAATTCGGTGGTTAAATATGGTGCTGAAATGGTAGAATCCATTGCAGCTCCTATCTATGGCAAATTTGGAAAGCATGCGTTATCTGGCGTTGATGAATGGGGTTGCAAACAACTTGACAGGGTAAACTATTATAAAATATATCTTTTTCATATATACTAACAAGAAATATTTAGCTGGAAGAAAGATACCCTGATTATGTTGCTCCCAAAGATGAAGATGATGATGATGATGATGCTTCCTCCACCACACTGCGTCTCTCCCGTGTGTTACTTGATGACCATGAAAACATGCTTTATAAAAGAAAAGATTCTCGTGATGAAACTTCATGTATGTTACATGTATTAAAAAATAAAAATTTTACTAACATTTCACTAGTGTTAAAAAACCGATCTAGAAACTGCTCTCGATCCACATCGCCTCATAGACCTTATGCAATTACAAAGCCAATTCCTACTCGACACCATCGACAACAAACGATGGGACGTAGCAAATGGCATCAGATAGTGATGCATGCTTCATCAGCAGCAGGCACAACAGCAGCAGTGATTAGTGAAGAAAGCATGAAGTGTTTGAGATATTGTCTTTCTTGGTTACAGTACGCTTCGCAGCATATCGATCAGCAGATGAATTTGCTCCGTAAATTTTTAGTGTCTTTAGCATCCAATCATCATGAATCAGAAGAAGGAGCAACAACAATGACAACACATGACGATGCTTCCACATTAGCACAAATTAAAAAAGAAATTGTAGATACCCTTCGTAAAGTCGTAGAAGTGATAAGCAAATATGCTGGTTCAGGTTTACCTGAACAAGCAAAAGCGGCTGTCAGGGGCTTTATCTTGGCTTTACCTACTCGATGGGCCATGTTAAATTCACCAGCTGCTGCTGCTGCTGCTTCTCCCTCAGTCGCACCAGCAGATTCTCATATCCATGATACGTCAATCAAACTATTAAATTTTGGCGGTGAATCTATTGAAATGATTCAATCAGTTGCCCTGGTCTTTTCTGATACAATTGAACGTGCGGAACTGTGGCTGAATCGTCTTCGTGTCGTTGGTGTTACTCGAACCGTAAAGAAACCTGAACAAATGGATTTAAACTAAACAACAAAACAAAAATTATACCATCACATATCTTCTTTTTTGCATTTTTTCCCTCTCTTTATCTGTACTCTATAAATATATATACATTTTTTTTTATATTTCGTAATAGTATTTGTGTTTAACAGTAATCCCTTCCATACATGTTGGGGATAAACAATTGGGGCCACGTTTTTTAAACAATGACGTAATTTTTGGATTTTTGATAGAGTAGCCTACGACAAAACCGTTTTAGCGGTAGAACCAAGGTAACCTGCGTAGAGAAAATACCATTCAGTGACAGACAGTATCTGTACCTATCACAGATTCTGCATGAAGCGTCAGTAAAAAAAATAAGCAAAGATGGTAATGTGGTTTCTTTAGACAAATAAATGTCTTTTTTGAGTGAAACACTGATTGCAGATATAAAAATCTAGTAAAAACTATTACAATGTTAGATAGTATAAGTGAGTACAAGTCTTAATCAGTTGTGTTTTACTTATAAAAAGATGTGAAGCGATAAAATACATTTAAGTCCACAGCGAGCGTCAAATTAAACAATCCGGATAATAATTCGGAGGTGCTTTGTAAATTAAACAAAAATAGACCCTAGATAAATGAGCACGATGCAAATCAATAATTGCACGCGTCTTTTTAATTTGAGAAACACGTGTAGAAACTATCATATTTTAGCGTACTTAACGAAAATTATGGAATTCAAAAGCAAAAAAGAAAAGTTTTTTTTTTAAATGGATATACAAAGTTATATAGTAATCAGTTTATTAATTTATTTGACACTATAAAAGATAGTTATGAACAGGACTTATCACGAAAATGAAAGATGGGAATAATCTAGTTCATGGATTGAACCAAGTTGTTGATGAATTGCTCACGGTTACCAGTATCACCACCTTCAATGTAGTGGAGGAACTTGCGAGATCTCCACATGTTATTAGGGTTGGAGAGCTTGAAAGGCCAGAGGAAGTTGGAAGCTTGCTTGAAGTGAGGACCAACAGTAGCAATTTCGTGGATAAGATCTTCAACACAGATGATATCGTACTTGCCAAGAGACTTTTCGATGACAGAGTTCTCAGTGATGGGAATTCTTTGCTTGTTGACCTTGGCATAACCACGCTTGTAGATCAAACCACGGATGGTCTTCATGTTGGGGAAACCATAAGTGACATAAGGTTGGATCAATTGAAGCATCTCAGATGTGGCCTTGTTAAGACGGACAAAGACACCGTTGTTGATTTGCAAAAGACGGAGCAATTGAAGGACCTTACGGGGCTTAGGGGCAATGTTGTTGATACCACGGATACGGACAACGAAAACGAGCTTCTCTTGAGCAGGGACGTAGTAGTTACCCTCAGCCTTGGCTTGACGACGAAGACGAATTTCGTTAAGAGCAGCAGCCTTGTATTCAGCATCATACTTAGCAGCACGCTTGAAGAGATCGCGACGCTTGGAAAGTTTGGCCTGTGAAAGATATGAATAGGTTAGAAACGTGTTCTGAAATTAATTGTGAAAATAAAAGTTCGAAGAAATATATATAAGTCAGACCCGAAAGATGGTTAACATATAGGCAACATCGACTGCAATCTAGCCATAGGATGGGGATAATCCCAATTCATCATACATATATATTTCTTGAACTTTAAATATAAAAAAATAACTTGCCTTGCGAAGCTCGACCTTTTGAGCAGCAGCCTTAGAAGCGGCATCAGCATCAGACTTTCTCTTTTTCAAGAGGGTCTCGGGGACAAGAACGTCATTGACAGTAGGAACGTTACTAAAGAAAGCGGGGCACAGTGTTAAACTTTGATACGATCACCAAAAGTAAAAATCGTTCAAAAGCGTTTCAATGACATAAATATATTTAGTAAAAGTAAAAAAAAAAAATTTTTTTAAACAATTTACAAATCCTTTCAGTTTTTTTTAAAGATAAAAAAAGGTGAAAGTGGTAGCAAATATATTTTCCAAAGGAAAATAATTTACGAAATATACAGTAGCATGCAATTCAGAAAGAACATTCAATAAAACCGACAAGGAAAGTTCCTGAATATGCAAGTACGAATAATATTAAAAGTAAAAAAGTTTTGAGAAACTGATTAAACTTCAAATCCTTCAAAATCTCCAGGATAGTGTCAATACCCAGTATGCAGAGCTGAAGTAAGGTTATAGACAATAAAGCTCTTTTTATCTTTGGATTAGAAAGTGTAAAAGAACTTTACTGCATATTATAGTATGCGCTCCTGATAATTTTATATCGTCATCATTCAATACAAAATAACTTACTAGGCAACCATTTTTAAATATGTAAAGCGAAAGAAAGAACTAAATATTTGTTTAGAAGAAGGGCTTTTATAATACTGGGGTCCGTAAAAAATTTCTTCAAAAAAATTAATTTTTTTAGCAGTCAAGTTGTGACACGTACCTTCTACCTTTTTCCTTACAAACATTCTATTGGGCTTTAAGAAGGCAGTTGTTAAATGATGGAATGAAAACCAAAGGTTTCTCATTTGTAATGTATTAACATGGATATAAATAGAGTTATAGAAGAAGATCAATCTCTTCGTTTTTATAGCACTGCTTCACTGTTTCCAAGTGTTAAAAAGCTTACTGTATTTTCGTCGTTTTTTTAAAATGCAATTGGCCATTTTTTGAGCCTCAATTGGTCACTTGATAAATTTACAACAGGAGAATCTTATACACTATTTTCAGAAAATATTAGATCACAATGTAAAAACGTCTGGTACATACCGATCACGGAGCAACGTGTATACCACAGCGAATATAGTGATTCCTGGTGCTGGTTTTCCTTCTTTATTGCAACTATGCAAGGAAAAATACGATTTCATCAGTATTCAGTTTACGTATGATGATGGATATGGCATTGATGTCGATGGGTATGGCAGGCCGAAAACCATGTACGATATTGTTGACGAAGACAGTATGATCCTGGAACAAAGTTCTAATTTGGAGTTTTAACAAAGCTCAGATTTTTTTTTCTGTCATCACTTTAATGAACAAGCTAAGGAAATCAAAGAGAATGGTTTACTTTTTTTGTGCCTGAAATTGCCAATAGTCACCTTCGTTTCAGTAGTGATGAGGTTCATACTGTGGGGATACAACGTTATATCCTCAAAGATTAACAAATTTAAATGTAAGACTTATCGGGGCTGCAGAAATCGAACACAATTATAAATAAAGAAACAGATAAAGGATCCTTACTTGGGCTCAATTCGACCGTCTGAATCCGTTATTGTTGTGGGGTATACGTTTTTGTATTTCGTGTCTTCTGACTCGGACGTTTTGTTCCTGGAAGCCACTTCGCTATACACAAAGTTTAAAAGAAAAAAGTGGCATTTGAACAAGGCAAAATAATGTTATTGGATATATAGACTGTAATTGAGGAAGACATTGATCCCCCATTTTTGGTTCTAAATGATTACACCTCGACACAATTCACAAGGAGCGCTTTCCCAGTAGATCCATTTAATAATATCGTTCCTTCCCAAAGCTCGACTACAATTATACATCATACTTTACAAGATGATTTGATCAAAAAAGTGTGCGAACGAGATTTTTTGTAAGCTGATAGACAAGAGCTCATGTCAGATTAATTTAATGTTTGAGCCTTTACTTAAAATAGAAACATTTGCAAACCCCCCCCCCCAAAGCAAATCGGAACTTGGTAATTGTCTATCAGCGTATCAGTAGTAGCATGTACTGATAGTAAGCATATTTTAAGAAAATATTTCTTAGACTTATGTGTAAATTATCACGCGATTCAAAAAAAGACGTTTGAATAAAATACGGAGGTCTGGACATTCCCTTTAAAGTTTAAAAAAATGGACTGTTATTACAAAGGCTCTTGTATCGGATGAGTCAAAGCTCGGTGTTGTCATAACAAGTTGCAAACGCACAGTCGATTTGTTTTTCTTTTTTCTTTTTTTTTAGTATCCAGTTTATGTTCACTGGCGAACGTTTTTACAGTAAGAAACAGTCATGGTAAACTAAAACACCAAAAATTAAACAGGACTCTTACAAATAAATAAAAAAGGTCCAAGAGTCCACGAAGAGCCTATAGCCAATCATAAAGCTCGATTCTTGGACTCTTGGACTTTTTCTGCGTTTAACCTGAAGCCTACTGGAAAGACTGAACTAACTGCAAATATTGCAGCATTAGCTAATGACCTCTTGAGATAAGCGACAATAACAAGTAAACTAATTGAATACTTAAACTCCGCGTCTTCACTATAATTCCAAATCCACAGCAAGATGGCTAGGTATTAAGTGTAAAAATCCAAAAGGATCCTGAGTACCTCTAGTCTTACAGGTTTCTTGTGCTTTACCATTACAGAAATAATCGAGATTACAAATTTTCCAGGTCCATAATACAAGAGTTCAATTCTTTTGATAGCCTTTTCAAACCTTGGATTGTTAGTCTCGCTGTGTGAACTGCCTTAGATTATTTGCACAAAGTGAAACAGACTAAAATTCTAAAAGAAAACCAAGTCTACACTTATGGTATGTCTGCATATTATTCAAAATATTAAGGGTCGTTCACAAGTCTAGTGGGTTCAATCGTAAGTGATAATAACTATTATTTGCTTGACTTCCAATCCTTTCTTTAGGTCTCTAATTAATCCTAACAGTCAATGAGTATTTCCCTTTCTCTCTCTAATACTGTGTATTGCATCATTTATTTCAATAAATCGCCATTTATCAAAACGGACATTATCTTACAGCCAAAGCAAACTCAGGTAACCTGACCACCCAAAAGCAGTCCATGCACTGCACAAAATTGAATCTCCTTTAAGTATGAATTTGTAAAAAAAATATAACAAGGACCTTTATCTCTTTTACCTACATTAAAAAAATCCCCCCTCTAACTTAGGAATATGTCCAGTAATGATGAACAGATTCCACTTCTTGTGGATAATAATTTAAATACAACTATACGCAACGATAGATTGTCAAAATGGAGTATTATTTCCGGTCTGGCCTTGTTTGTATCCTTGGTTGGATCTGTCCTTGTAAGACTCCCATTCAATTTGTTTACTTATCACCCTTTGTTCATGACACTGTTCATCGTTCTTGTTACGGAAGGTGTTGCATTATTACAGCCCACTAGTACAGTAACAGAAAAGAAGGTCGGATTGAAATATCATGCAGCGATCCAAACAATTAGTTATACTTCTGTTATTACCGGCTTTTCTTTTATATTTTATAACAAGATGGTCTCTGGAAAGCCTCATTTTGAATCGTAAAGTATAGTAGATAATATTATTCAATCTGGAATTATTTGCTTATCTGAATGTATAGCGTCCATGGCAAATTGGGATTATTTGTTTTTATCTATCTCTTAATTCAACTCGTATTTGGTATCACGGTTGCTTTTGTACCACGTATCTATGGTTCTGTCGCCAGGGCAAAGGGTTTATGGAAACATCATCGTGTATTTGGATACGTTCTTTTGGTATTAGTTTGGTTGACAGCCCAATTGGGTGTTCGTGCCGACTACATGTATAATAATTTGTATAGCCCTAAGCTCATTTGGTTGCACTGGGTATCAGTGTTCCTTATTTTCGGTGGTATCTACAGTCGGATTCGGTTTAATAAATGGGGATTTAAATAAATAGAAAATAAAATATAAATTTTTCAGGGCATCCTTGAATTACTTAATTATAAAGCATTGTGTTGCCTGTCGAGTTGATGTTTTAAATAAATTGATTAGGAAAGAAAAGAAAGACTTGAAAGAAACTTTAAACGCCGGTCCAATCAATATTTGCAACAAGGCACTGAGTAACATCCACCCTTCTTTTTTACATTTCCCCTTCCTCTTTGGTTTTTCTTTACAGGTAAAATATGAGGAATCGATTTGAATTGCACAACATAAGTCTGAACTCCCTTTCTCTTTTCGTGATTTGAATAGTGTAAAAAGCTGTATCGTCACATACATTCATTTAAAATTTCGTCGATTTACAGTACATTTTATCTTGTCTTTCTCTTTTGGAAGGTCTTTGTAGCCTGCCTAAAGTCTTTCTTTGGCTACCGCAAGGTTTCCGAAAGAGAAATCAAGACCACTGTTACACTCTCTTGGAATAACAAAAAAATACAATTGAACTTCAAGGAGTTTCCAAGGGGTTTTGATGAGGCTACGGTAAAGGATCTTAAAGAAAAGTGTAAACTTTTAACAGATGTTCCTATTGCCTCAATGAAGCTTCAGGTGTCGGGTGGTAAGTTGAAATCTCGACGGGATGATGATGAATTTAACGAAAAGTATATTTAGCCAACATGAAGGATAACACGGCTACACTAACAAGCGCTGGTGTCTGCAAAAACTCTATTCTTACTTTAAACGGTGAAAAGGTTGATGTAAGTAAATTCAAACTTGTGTCGTTGTCGCATAATTAAATTGGTTCGTGTAGGAATCGGTAGTGAAGCAAACAGCGTCAGGAAATCCAGAAGAATATGGATTAATGACTCGAATTGCCAAAGTTGTTGACACTTTATCGGACGGCACTCTGGAACAAATTAGCGAATTTGAAGGATTAATTACAAAAGCACAAAAGAAGAAAAAGTTAAATGCTACCGACAAAAAGACTTTACAAGATCGTGGTATTTTCTTGTCCGAAAAGATCATGCAAGGCTTAATCAGTTTGGATGGTGTGGAATGTCCAAGTACGTTTGAAACAGCTAGACAGCGCAGAAGAGAGGGTGTGAAATTATCTCAGGCACTTTTAGAGAGAGTTGATAAATCTAGAGCAATTGTTAAAGAATTGTGTAAAAAATAAATTTGATTTTTTCGTTTTCCTTTTCTTTTTATCATGTTTCTCTTTAATGTTAATCTTCATTTGATTCACCAAACAATAAAGCCTTTGGTCCGATATCGGCTTAGCTCGACTGCGATTCCTTATGCCAAGTTGAGGCCATACCAAAAAGAGTGCATTGCAACAACTGTAACTGAAATTGAACGAGGCTGTCGAAAGCAAATTGTTTCTTTACCTGTTGGTAATGTAGAAACGTATAAACATTCTTGTATCACTTGAAGACTAACGAGATTCGGCATTCTAGGAAGTGGAAAAACTGTACATGGTTAATTTATTTTTTTCGATGGAACAGTAGTTTTGACCCCTTCTGATTAGGTAATCATGTCAAATCTTATACCACGTATACCCTGTCCTACTTCGAAAGCGACCAAAGTTTTATTACTAGCCCACAGAACAGAATTGTTGGACCAAGCTCACAATCAAATCACCAGGTACAATCCCAATTTGGTAAGCAGCAATACATGAAAAGTGGTTCATCTGTAAATATTGACATATTTAAAGATTGTCCATGTAGAGCAAGGAAAAAGAAAAGTAGATATTGATAAAGCTGATGTGATCATAGCATCAGTGCCTACACTTGGGAGAGCAAATTCTGCAAAAATTGAGAATTATGATCCTAGTCTATTTAAGGCTATTTTGATTGATGAAGCTCATCATGCTGTCGCCTCGACATATATGAATATTCTAACTCACTTTGGTGTATATGAACCTGACTCAAAGATGCTTGTTTGGGGATGCTCTGCTACAGTCCGAAGACATGATGGACTGGGTCTCTCAGATGTATTTGACAAAATCACATACCATGTAGATTTCATGAAAATGATTGAACAAGGATACCTTAGTTCAATGAAAGTGACGACGGTAAACACCCATGTGGATTTAGAAAATGTTGGTATCAGTAAGAATGATTTTAAACAGTCCGAGCTATCTCGTGCAGTGAATACGGATACAAGAAATGAAGTCATCGTGTCTAGCTGGAAGAAATACGCTCACGAGCAAGGAAGAAAGTCGACCCTTGTCTTTGCTGTAGATATAGATCACACTGTCAAACTATGCAATTATTTTCTAAAGTCCGGGATTTCAGCCTCTTTTATCACTAGTCAAACGCCTGCATTGACAAGGCATCAGATTTTACAAGATTTTAAAGATGGAAAAATACCCGTCCTGGTAAATTGTGGTAAGTTTTTTTTTTTTTGCTCGCTGTCAACCTTATAACAAACAATTCACATCGAATACCAGCTATTTTGACGGAAGGCACAGATATACCGTGTGTGGACTGTATACTATTAGGAAGACCTACTCGATCGAACACGTTATTTCAACAGATGTTTGGAAGAGGATTAAGGCTATTCCCTGGAAAAGAAGATTGTCTATTGATTGATTTCGTGGATAACTTTAAAAGATCTGGCTCTGCAGGTCTAGTCACGATTCCTACTTTACTAGGCCTCAGCACGAGAGAAATGATAAACGGTAACGTAGACATTAGTATGACAATCACGCCTTAAATAATAACCATGTTTAGACCAGGATATTTTAGCTTTGGAAGCCAGAGCAGTAAAAGAGCAACAGGATGGAGAAAAAGGTAATTAAGGGTGATGATTCTGAACGTTCTCTTACTTATGCTTGGAACAATTAGAAATACAAGAGGAGCAGGAGAGGACTGAAAATGATCCGTCCCTAGTAAAGCTTAGAATTACCCAGTACGACACATTAAATGAGTTGATGGCGGATTTGTCAGGCTCAAATGAGCTCCGCAATGCTTCACATAATGGCTGGATTGATATTGGTACAGAAAAATGTGCATTGCATGTCATGAAAAAGGGCTATGTTGTGTTGGAAAGAAAAGGCGATATATGGACTGGTTCTTTTCGTTATGAAAATAATAATTATCGGGCCAAGCCTTTTTCTATTCCTTTGGAGTCGGATGATATGACATCTGCTGTACGCGCTGCGGATACTTGGGTGCAAAAAAAGTATGGCAATATTCTACGTCAAACTGCGAGGAATGCTGGCTTTCGCAAACACAATATCTCTGAAGCGCAAAAAAGGGCTTTGAGTAGGTACAAAATTGAAACGGCGGATACGATGACAAAAGGCCAGGCCATGGATCTCTTGGTTAAATTAAAGTTTGGACAACTAAAAATTTGGAAAGATCAGGTTAAGTTCGATAAAGCCAGAAGAAAAGAAGAAGGAAAGAAGTCAAATGCTGCTGTCTTGGTGAGAAACAGACATATGTCCTCTGTGGCTGTATAGAGAACATGTACATGAAAATTAAAACGGGTGTGTATTTATTGCACATGTTGCAGTCATTTTAACCCGTTCCAAATACCTTGAGTAATTTAGGGATGTAAAACACTCATTTTTTTCTTACCCATAAATAGTAATTCAAACACGTACACGGTTATCACTTAGATAACTCATCTTCCATAAAAAAAACATCTATCGTGTCTTGAGGGTGATGGTCGTTTGCGCCAAATCTCAAACATTTTTTATTCGCAACCCACTGAGTTATTTACATTAGTATCTGATATGATTTGGCTTGGAATTCGTGGAAATGACCTGAAGCTAGAGGTCTCATGATAGCAGCGGATATAGCTTTTTCACACCCTAAAGTGAAATCGTTGACTGTAACTTTTTTTTTAAAATGTTTTAAATACTAGCTCGAACTCCAAAATGATTTACAACTCAAAATAGTTAAAAGTTTAAATGCAGATTTGCGCAATATCGACAAATCGTTTATCTACGTTATTATAAGTTTGATGATGGATGCATTTATAAAAACTTGCTTTAATGATAGTTTATTTTGGAGATCAGAGAGCAAATTCCTAAAGCAGCCAAACAAATACTTTTTATACTCAAGGTTAGGATTGTCCCCGAGAATACCAAAATTGTTTGTTGATAAATTTTATGAACAACTTTAAAAAATCTGGTTTTGCAGGTTTCGTTACAGTTCCGACTCTATTAGTGGAATGATGAATGGTAATACATGTGTTACAATAACAACTATACTAAAACATATTAGTTTTGAAAGCCTGTGCAGTAAAAGAGCAATAAGATGGACAAAATGCTTAAGGGTAGTAGTTCCAAAAATACGCTTTTGCTTATGCTCGGAACAAACAGAGCAGGAGAAGATGGAAAATGATCCATCCCTAGTAAAGATTAGAATTGCCGAGTACGACACATTAAATGAGCTGATGGCGGATTCGTCAAGCTCAAATGAGCTCCGCAATGCTTCACATAATCGCCGGATTGATATTGGACAGAAAAATGAGCATGCATGTCATGAAAAAGGGTTATGTTGTGTTGGAAAGAAACAGCGATATATGAACTGGCTCTTTTTGCTATAAAAATAATAATTATCGGGTCAAAACTTTTCTGTTCCCTCGAAATTGAATGATTCAACACCTGTTGCATATACGTATTGCTTATTTTTGGGTCCAAAAAAAATACAACCTTCGAGACATCTGTCTTCCGTAAATACGGTATTACTACAGCCCAAAAAAAGGCTTTGAGTAGGCACAAAGTTAAAACTGCGGAAAAGAAGATGGAAGGTCAGGCCATAAACCTTTTGGCCTAGCTAAAGTTTGAACAATTAAGACTTTTAAAAAATCAGACTGGACTTGGTAAAGCCAAAAGGAAAGGAAGAGAGGGAGAAGCCAGATACTGTTGCTCTTGTGAGAAATAAGCATCTGTCCACTGCAGCTGTATAAAAAAAAGGGGGGGTGCATATGATGTTTATTATTTACATGTTGTGTTTCGGTATAAAAATATTTACAATTTGGTATTGATTCTAACAGCAAGCAAATAAAGGACAAAGAATAATAAACGTGATCTTTTTGTCCATAAACTCCATTGACGATGCTTAGATTTCCATTGGGTTGAAATCATTTTTCCGCGTTTAATCCAAATAGGACTCTTGTTAAACTTTTTTAAGATTAACAACGTTGCCAAAAACATAGTTCGAAATTTGATGGGTTGTGATAGATGAGTTGTTACTACAACCGGCTTCTCTACTTGGGGAATTATTCCGACTGTATGAAGTGCATATTTGAAAAGAGATTGTAAGGAAGATGAACTCCTGGTCATTTTTTTAACGGGCTCTTCCTCTTGTGTAATCATAAATGTTTCTTCTTGTATGCTGGTGGTATGTTCATAAAGATGGTAATGGTGATGGTAATGGTGATGAATATGATTATGTTGAATTGTCTGAATCTTATTATCCGTAGTATTCTGAACAGTTTCGACAAACTGTTTCATTGCAATAGCCAATTTCCATTGACTTTGTAAATATCTTTTCTTTTGTTGTCTTTGTTGAGTTTGACGGATTTTGTCGGCCGATTCTGACTTGGTGGAGAACTTTGGACAGGTACGATTTTTTTTCATATATGCATGAGGACGCGTATTCAAACTCATCTCTGCTTCCTGAATCAGTTTTTCAAGTGAATGATTCATACGGGTCAAGCTGTCATTTGCATCTTTTTGGTACGCTTGATCCGATTGGCTCAATATATTATCGAATGTTGTATCACTGTAACTATGAAAAAAAGGGATTGAGAATTGTGTGCAAAAAAGTAAGCGGGGTCCAATATTAATTTACATTTCGGATATTGAAATCAATTTTTGTTCAAGATGTTCAAGCCTACAGTGTTGAGAAAACCAATTAATAATCAGCAATAAAGTGTTTAATTAGATAATTACTTTTGACAGCAGTAGTTGAATGAATCCATCACAAGCCTTGTATCTTTTACAGACTTTAATAAATCATTTGTTTCATGCAACTATAAAATTGTTATTCAAACTGTATTCTGAGGACGAGTTTATACGTGTTACCTGCCTTTTTATCCCATGTTGTACATTGTTGTTGTTGTTGTTGTTGTTGTTGCTGTTGAAACTTCTCTGCTAGCACTTCCAAATAGGACGGTGGACAGCTATCATTTTTTGAATTTGTTTTCTGTGTTGTTGCTGTTGCTGCTGTTGGTAGTAGTAAGTGATTCCGATTTGATTTTTCATGATCATAGTGTCGAACTTCCGATACAACCATGCTTTGAAATAAAGACATTTAAAGAAAAAAGTAAAGAAGAAAAAAAACGAAAAAAAGGGAACAAGGAAAGTAAAATTGGAATGCGACCAACATTTATTAACTTTTTTTTTTTTAAGGAAATCTCAGTTTTGTGTGAATTGAAAATCAAAATTATAAACTGTTGTGTAACTTGTGTAAATGTAGCACGTTAAATCCCAATAATAGAAAATTAAACACGCTTGTACACATGTGATAGAGTCTGTGAACTTCTTGTCTTTTTCTGACCCCCAAAAATTTACATTTTTCCCCTTTTATTGATGTAAGGGAGAAACACATATTGTAGGAGACGATATGCATATATTTCCTGGTCATGTTAATTCAAAAGCTTGTTTCGCTCTGTTCATTACAGGCATATATTTAGTGTTTTGATAATGCTACAAAGGCATATTCTCCGTAGCATTTTGTGCTACAGTTTACCCCACGAGCATCAAAATACTTGGCTATCAGACCCGCGAGTCGATCAATTTGGAAATAATGTAGCTCGTATTACACTGGTAATCTGTGTCGTCCATACTGCAATGGTTCATACATGGAAGAAATTATCAACGTGCTGCCTTGCATTGGTCTTATGCTTTGTGGTCCATGCTGTTTCAAACTGGCTTGATTACGTGTCAGTGATAAATTGTAAGGAGCTCCTATTATTTGATCTAGAGCTAATTTGCGTAGGCTTGCTTTATTTATTACTGCTTGCTTTTAAAGAGACTAAATAGAGCGTATTTGGTTGACTAATTCAAAACACTTTTTATGGAACAAGGTCAAAAACAGTCAATGTTTCTTTTTCAATGTTTTTAAGCGTACTAGGTGTCTATGCCTAATGATAAATAGTTTTCAATGACTTGGGACAGAAGTAATTACAAAGTTTTAGATTATTGTTGAGACTATAATTAATTTGATGATGCAATGATTACACCATTGTAATAAAATAAACGAAACTCCACTAATTTGCCAAACGGGGTTTTTTTTTTTTGAGAATTATACCATGTTAAGGCAAAGAAAAGCAATTGTTTTTATCAACGTACATTTGAGTTTCTTAAATATATGACTTGTTTATTTCCTGTATGTATTGAATTGATACTTAAAAATTTCCGTCAAAGAAATAATAATGTTGAACTGGAGTAAACAGTAAAAGGGTCTGTACCACTGTCTTTTTGGATAGTCATGAAGACAAATATATATCGCAATGAAGCCAAGCATACTGCTAAAAAAAAAGCTTCTTTATGATTGCAACCATTTAGACTCACTGTCTTATTACACTTAAAATTGCAACTATTTATAGAAATCTTCAATGTTGATTGTCACATTACAGAAACTAATTGTATTTTTATTGTGCTACATAGATATTAAGGCCTCGCTAAAAAAATCGCTTGAAATAAAGATCGAGTATAAAAATATAAAATAAACTTTGATATCCTTTTTATCTGTAATCTTCGCGGTGCACATTTTTCTATTTATACACATACACCGATAAAGAATTGCATTCAGATTTTGTATGTTTTATACCGTTGGTTTAACCAGCAATGAGTGATATCGATAAATAATTACATTACAAACTATGTTGACTTTATCTAAATGCTCAGTTCAAACGCATGATTCTCTCTAATCTTGCAAATCTTTTAAAACGCCCAACGTATATTTCATCTCAGTAAGTACGCTTAAAATGTCTTACCGACATAGGAAACGACCAAGCTTAACATTTATTGTAATTAAATATTTTTGCGTACGCATAATTAAGTCTGGTAAATTGCCGATCCAGGAAAGCAACAAATACGATGCTTGTTGGATTTTTTTGAAATAGAACCTACAATGTATCAAAATAGAAAGTTACATTCGATAGTATAAATGCTTGTAAGTATACCGCTGCCGTTATTCTTGAAATATCCTGCTAGACATCTTTTTATCTTGTATTCAAAGTCTATACCGACATAGTTTTTTAAGCTACATAATAATATCTGACTTTTTTTTTTCTCTTTCTATTGATCGATAAACAATGCTAAATTACTGATGTACCTATAAGCAGACTGACAGGTACACTCCTAATTCTGACAATTATAATTAATGATAATGTTGACTTAGTAATCCGTGCCCTAGTTTGTAACTGATTTCATTGCAAATTTGAAATTATTTTTTACTATATTATGTTCTTTTTTTTTCTTTAAAGGATTTAATCCTTTGTATAATTGACACGTTTATCTAAATTGCCTTTGTGTTTGCTACTGGTTGTCAACCATCATATATAAAAACTAAGGTCAATACATCTTATTACTTCGGATGTAAAAAAAAAAAAAAAAAAAAAAAAAAAAAAAACTCGCAGAATTATACTCTACAAAAGATCGTCTTATTCATGTATTATACTAAACTTTGCTAAGATATAGTCTAATGGGGGCTTCCAACACTTGATTAACGCTCAGATAACTTGGGGATAATTTAGGTTTAATCAGACTAAAAACTTGGCATTGCTGGATTGCGCTGCAACAAATCACAGATTCATCTGATGCTAAGTGTATTATTGTAACCGATCATTCAACCTTCAAAAAGCTATGAATATCAGTATAAAAACACAATCATTAGTAAGCCTTCACATTGCATTATAAAATTTCGTACATTATCTTGCTTCTCAGACCATTATCAATGTATCGTGCACCTGTATAACAGTGTAAAAGGTTTCACTATCATATCTGTCTACTTATCACATCAAGTAATCGTCTATTATATTTATCCAGTTATTATGTTAATGTTGCAGCTGTATGATACGGAACCTTTATAATTAATAAGATACCAAATGATATGCATACCAGAGAAATTTGTGCAATAAGTAAAGGATTATCTACTAATGTATTTGATTGAAATCGTTGTCTTACATATATTGGATATTACAGTTATGCAATTTCTCCATCTTCTGGGAAAAGATACGTTCGATCCATAAACTATTCGTTACTAATTCAAAGTTGGACCGGAACAGAGTTTATACGACATGGAATAACTCTGCCAGAATTTATTCAGTTTGTTTTTCTGCAACCCGCTTAAAATAAAAAAATAAAAAAAATCCTCGAAGGAACGTGTTGTTCGTTTTCTTGGCCAATAAACTCCTTTTACCTGCACATATAAAGCTGATTCTCGCTAAAATGGAATCACAAAACCGTTTGTTTATCTATTGTTCAGCCAATCCACCATGGAACAATCAATCAACGAATCGTTGTTTCGATGTGTCCCACCTTCTTTTGATAGAAACTTCGTATGTATAAAATAAACTACATCTGGGAACCCACTTGAACAAAAAATCATCCTCACACCCTTTAATAAACTCTACAAACTTCTGAAAATCTCTTCGGCAGCGGATCCAAAAAAAAAAAAAAAAAACACAATTTGACCGCCAAATTCGCAAAAAAATGGGCCGACACCGGGATTTGAACCCGGGATCTCGTGAATCCGAATCACGAAAGTTAACCACTCCTACACATCGGCGTCTTGAGCGCATTTAAATTTCTGCCATAACTACATTGCTATACAAAAACCATTTTTTCTGCGTTTTTGAAAGATATAGTAACAAAAGTAAATAGAACATTAAAAATAGAGTAGATTGCACAGTTAAAAAAAGCAAAAGTAGAATGTAGATGTTGAGAAAAACGATAAAAAGTAATTACCGGAGTTTATATAATTCACCAAATATAGAAATATTATGCAGGATCCCAAATGTGTGTGACACTGTGAAAGAAAAAAGGAGCTGAAAAAAGGAAAAGGTAAAAAAAAAAAAAAAAAAAAAAAAAGTAGTCGATTTATAAAGAAAAAAGCACAATGAAATGTGAATTTATTATCTAAAAATATAAACATGCATAAATTTTTTTTTGTTACCCCTAATTAATTTTTTTTCTTGGTTCATTGTTTTAAAAAATAAGGTTGTCAAGAACAAGGTAAGGTACATATATAGACAGCCAAAGTTTTTATTAATACCAGAGAAAAAAAAAAAAAAAATGGAAGATCTTGCAAAGAAATTGAAAAGATTAGTTGTCAGTAAAATACGAAAAAGAACAATTGTTGTGGATGATGAGAATTATTTAGAAGGAGATTTTTTGGATTCAACTATTGAGGAACACCGAGAATGCAATGATGATGAGGGGTTTGTATCATTAACAGGTAATGAAAATCATCTTGCAGACAACTTTTTTGATGGAGATAGTTACATTCAAAAAGTGTTTCTTGGTTTATACGGCGGTGATGGAATCAACAGGACTGCATACAATGTCATTGGATTTAGTTTTCGCTCTACCGAATTTGTTTTTTTGTACAAGTTTTTGGTTCGATGTGGTGTCAAAGCACCCAACCTTGGGTATGTACAGTATGTAAGAGTGTATGGTCTAAATAATAAAACCAACGCTTTTAAATGATAGATTCTATGTGAACTCTTCAAGAGAGCCTGACAGATTTAGAGCTGGTTATCATGCTGCTGTAAAGTGGGAATATACAAGTGAGGGGATTGCCAATATCCGCTTCAATCACGGCTTTCCATCTAGTCGACTCTACAAATCTGACTCACAAAAAATGAATGCATTTCTCTGTAAAGAAGGTGATAGAAATTTTATATTGGCCTTCTTTCTTGGTTGGTTTATGGCTGATGGTACTATCAAATGGAACTGGTCTGGTAATATACAAGCTAGACGGATCAAGTATGTGTGCGCAGAAATATCTTCCAAAGATGAGGACATTATTCTTTGGTTTCAAAATCGATTGACAGCTATTAATGTAGAGGTGGAGGTGTACAAGGACAGTAAAAATCAAACCATTTTAAAAATATTGAACAGACCACAATCGGGCAATAAAGTAATCTTGGAAGCAATTCAACTCTTGCGTAGTCAAGCTATTCCAATGAATGGTAAACTTTTGTGGTGGAATAAATTCTTGACCAGTAAAGACGGACTCCTAGCAGAGGAGACTGCGCCCCCGAGAAGCAAATCATTTTTTGAATATCTGGGTCAAGATGCCATACTCCATCATCCTTTAGCTTGTCTCATTGGCCAGTAAGTGTTGTTGTATCGAAACGAAAGAAAAATTGTTAACTTGTAAAAAAGGGATCTGTATGCTTTAAATTTGGATCAATTAAATTTAATACTTGCGTTTTGTGAGTATCCTGTGGTTCGATCAACATACGACCTCGATGTTGTTGATTTTAGTGCCTTTATAGCCAATTTTATATGCAGAGTTGATTTGACTAGCCAACAATTTGTATTTATAAATTATTACAAGTGCTGTAAAAAGAGATTAACGGCCAATTTTCAGATTATGGATTTTCAGTATAAAAAGGTAAAAAAAAAAAAAAAAAAAGCATAATTTACTGCATGATATTAACAGTTTTTTTTTTTTTCTAAAAAAAAAAAAAGGCATTTTTAGAATGTGAAGTCTGTCAACAAGTATTTGTTCAACTAGTAAATTTGAACCGACATCTTTTATTGGAGCACAGCTATGATGTACGTAATTAATATGACGGATACTTTTAATCAACATCCTTTTGTTTTTGAAAGTAGCTGCCAGATGATCGAGTGGAGTGTAAAATATGTTATAAAAAGCTCAATACTGTGTCCTCCTTAAAGTCACACATCAAACATATACATGAATATGATGCAAGTACTAGTTATATTGTGATTTACTCGTATTAAAACAAGACCATAAAATATATAGGGCAGGACTTACAAGTGTGAAATCGTCGCATGTGAAAAACAGTACAAGTACAAAAGCAGCTTGAATCAGCATCAGATAATAAAGCATAACCCCGACGTATGTTGAACTTTTCTTAAAACTTTGGATTCACTACGACTAATGCTTATTTAAACAGGGTCCATTGTATTACTCGTGTATAGTTGATGATTGTACCAAAGTGTACGCAACTTCTAGTGGTCTGTCAAGACACAGGAAATACATTCATGAAAATCATGCAAGTGGTCGTTATGAGTATCAATAATAATATGCATATGCTAATAATATAGGTTTTTGTACAGCCAAGAAAAGTCTATGATTGTGGATTGGATGGATGCCTCAAATCTTATTTGGATCAAAAATCTTGGCTTTGGCACATTTACAGCAAACATTTAAATGATGACTAAAACATCTCTCTTTCCCATCAGATCAAGTCTGTGTTGTAATTTCACTTTTAAAGTGCACATAACTAAGGACTACTGCCTGATGTATCTTGTATTTACAGAAATAAAAAAAAAAATTCATGCAGTCGGTAAACCAAAAAATTCCTACTAGATAAATGATACACATTTACTTGGCCCACCATCAGAAGTCTGTCGCCATAATCCCGTTGAGGATTTGTCGCAACAAAATGAGACTTTGCCTCAAAAAGATGCTCTTAACGATTAGGACAACCTTTTCAATTTGAGTGACAACATTTGTTACGATGAGCCTGTGTTGACAGAGGAAGAAGTTCTTGCTAATGAGAAGGAGGCTACAGCAAAAGAAGAAGCCGCTAAAAAGGCTGCTCGGGTGAAGCGTCAAATGAAGCCTATGCAACTGGTCAATGACTGGAAGGAGAACCTTGAAGGTGTTAAGGCTGCCTTTTTTGAGTCAATGCAGGGAGGATTCCCCAAAGCTGAAGCTGTTGAGGTTGAGGCACCTGCTGTTCTTTGTGAACACTACGAAGTGAAATTTCGGGAAGTGAAATTATACTTCCTTCACCGTAAGTTTTTTTTGACCGATCTGAAAGTTTACTTTTACTAAGAAACATCTTAAGGTAGGCCATGTCAAGATGAAATTCCAAGAGTGCGATTGCAAGCCTCTTTGGAAAACTTTAATGCTCTTGCAATTCATGCCTGCCAGCATTAGACAACCAAAGTGTGCTGTACACTTTGGTTTTTTGCAAGCCATTCACGACCGTAAGGTAATCGGCCAGGATTCAGTCACGTCTTGGGTCGAGTGGATGAATTTGCAGAATTCAAGAAGAGCCGATAGTGACTCTGGTGAGGAGGTAAGACTAATTCATGGACTCTATTTACATTTTATTTGATTGCTTACACACATGTTTTTACAGTTGATGTCACTTGGTCAAGATGTGTTGAACAAGTGTTATCTCATCTACTGTAGATTATTGCTGTCTATCGAGAGAACACTTGAGGAGGAGTTCGCACAGTCTTTGGATGGGATCACGTTGGCACCTTCCTGCGTTGTTTGTTTAGTAAGATTATTATAAAAATGGCACCACATATCAATTCTTAATCCTATGATTTAGGGTTCCGAGCGAACAATGATAACAATGGATGGAAACTTTTCCCAGAAGCGCCATAATTGTGCTCATAACTCACCTGAGCCTTTTTTGGTGGATTAAGTTGGGAAATGTCTAGAACTCCGTAGTTTTTTCAAACGTATTTTTTTTTTCAAATAAACGTACTTTTTAGAATCACACGATGGTCTACACGTCGATTGACATGCCATATCATTTAAACCTCATGGGATGATCGATTTCTGTTTTCCATAAAAATCTGCTTCACTGTCATTACAAGTTACTACTGAAACACATATAGACAATTACCAAGCTCTGACTTGCTTGGGAGTTGTTTGCAAGTGTTTCTATTTTAAGTAAAGGCTCAAAACATTATGGATGATAAAATAGACAAATGAAATCATCCTGACATAAGCTTGTTTATCTATAAATAAAGCTGGTTCACACACTTTATTCTTTTCCTTTTCTCTTCCCTTAACATGCTTCTTTTATCGTATAAAAGTAACTGATCACATAAAAAGGTTAGTTTAGTAGTGACTCCTGTATTTCTTTGAAAAGAAGCTAAATTGAAAAAAGATATATTGTGATATTGCGGCTGCGGCTAGTCTTTGCTATAGGAGGGCGACCTTTTTGGCAGGGTTCTTGAGATTTTGGAACTCAAGAACCGTGAATGGCTGTGACTGCACTGTAAACAGTCGTAAGCATACTGGCCTGCTGGTCTTGGCTAGAGTTTCTGTAAGTGGTATAAAAAAATACGTTTGAAAAAAATACGGAGGTCTAGACATTTCCATCAAGTTGACGAGCTTTGGAGTAAAGCGAAGGATGTGGAGAAGTTCCTGAAGGATGATCGCCCTGTCAGTGATTGTGTATGTTCTTGTTTTTATTTTCTTGATGAATATAATTAATCTGGTTTTTTTAAAGTGTTTAAATTACTCTAGAATGCTGAACTCCAGTCACGGTGTTCCATGCATATGGTCATATATTCAGTTGCCAAGTGAAGTTTAATCCTAGGTTCATTCCTGGCTTTGGGTTGACGGATGGCGAAGGTATGGAACGGTTTTGGTCTTACCTTTCTGGTTATGTCAAACTAACTAGAAATATGGCTGCTGCAACCAGAAAGTTGACCTTAACCGACGGTGTGCGATACCATGCGTTGAAGAAGATGAATAATATGGGTAATCAGGGGAAAAGCGTTTCTATTTAAATTTTGTCTACTAATTACTTTTGTCTGTAAGGTGGTTATTTAAGGCGCAAGTGGTTGGCGAATGAAAAATTGATTGAGGACTTGGAGGTTGAAATGTCAAAGGTGTCACTGAAGGAGCTGAAGGCGAAGTGGAAGCTGGTTGTCGAGAAGATTATAGATTCAAAGGAGAGAATAAGCAGGGACGATGGCTTGACAACACCATATGTTCCTGTCTCAACCTTCCTCGAAGGGGAGTCGGTGGACGAAGCTGATGTCAGACGGAATTCCCAAGAAGATTTAGACAGATATACTTTTTTATCTTACACTTATGTCTTCTTGATGTAAGCTGAAACAAGCATTTTGACAAATTTGATGTTAGCCTGACTTTTTTTTCTCTGTAGGGTGATATCCTATGGCTCTAAAAAAACGGCTGCCCTTGAAAACGCGGTTCGAGTTGTAGAAGGCCTGTTGAACCAGAAAATCTAACACCAATCTTGATAGAAGTGCAACATGAAGTAAATGACGAGTTTATGTCAAGAGAAATTACATATTGTTTATCCTTTAAAAAAGAGTATGGACAGTCAGCAATCTTGCTCATCATTGCAATCAAAGCTGTTACTGATGACGTTAAATTGAAATTTGCGAATTTGAATCATGATCAAGATTATTTGGACGTTCATGATAGTGGATTTTGGGCAAAAAAATGTCAGATACTCTCAGCTACATCTATTCAATCTCATTTAAAAGAAATTCCTTTACAAAAGTTGGTAGCTTTAGGTCACTTCTTCATACAACAAAAAAGATGTATACTCTCGCTCGATAAAAAATATGACCCAACTATCCAGCTATTGTACCAAATTGCCAAAGAGAAGTTTGAAGACGAATGTCCTGTCGAAGAGGAAAAACTTGCAGTTATTCAAGATTTATGCTACAAAGGCAAAACACGATTTCGTAAAATCATCGACTGTATAGAAAATAACGAGCCAACAGAAAAAATTATGCAACATGCGTTAAATGGTGAATGCTTTTTCATGCATCAGGCAAGGAAATTTGATGAAAAGCAAAGGGAGCTAACCCCCATAGAGGACACTCCAGATGTAAGCAGCCTTACCACGACAACGTATCACAACAACAGCTTGGCAATGGATGATAATACTTTTGTTGAAAATTTTATTGCTAACAAGACCGGAGGAATGAGCTGGAAGCGCTGCTATGAAGAAGGAAAAGAAAAAGGGTTTTTTTCGAATTATACAACTTGGAAATCCTTAAAATCAGCTCACAATAGAAAATCAGTGATTGTAACTGTTATATCTTTTCCTCAAAATACTGATTAAATCTAGATCAATTACAATGGTCTATCGATCCCTCTTTGAAAATGGGGAAGGGAACATTGTTGACGAAAATGGCAATGATCCTGTGGTATTTGACAAAATAGTACAACTTGAAAGTAATGAGATAAAAGTCCATCTTTTTATTAAAGTCAAAAATAAACTAAAAGAGCTCTGCTGCTATAAAATAATCAATCCTATTTGTATTGAACAACTGTCCCTCGTAGTTGTGTCGAGTCAACCTTTCTGGTTTTGGAATATATCTATATTTAGTTTCCCGCCTTATTGCTACTAGAACTCTACTCGTGATAATTGATTTCAAGTGAAGTCGTCCCTTATCAACCGATCGGCAACACACTTATTAATATGTGACATTTGTTACAATGTCACATCTTCTTCAATAAGATATTGTGCAGCGGTAGCTGTAAAAGATGCATATTTGATTTAGGGTTTAATTGGCTGTAAAACATTTTATTTAGGTTGATCATTTATTGCATTCTTAGATTATCTTTTTATCCTTATGAATAAATAAACTATGATCCCAAATATAGAACATATTATCCATGTTTGTATATTTGGTAGCAGAAAGTAGGCATCCATTAATTCATACACTATTTCTATTATACACTGACAGTCGTATAATTATTACATCAATATATAAGTAAATGAACCATTTATAACAATAGCTGTTCTATTCTCACAATGGGTAGCTAATCCATATTGAGAGAACTATAATTATTAAGTTTCTCTTTCTTATATTCTTGATTTGATTGAATAGGGTTTCTTTATTCAATCAAGATATCTAAATTTAGGGGTACAAATTGTACCCTATCGTTTGTCTATCCATTAAGCCAATCATGCAATCTTTCATATAGAAGTATGTACTCGTAGTAGGAGAAGTTGTGTATCAGTATACAGATGTGTGCTGATACTCAATATTAATGAATATTCTTATTTTATGTTTTATTATTTACACGATTTAGTTATCTATTCATAAGTAAATCGTACCCAAATACGACAGATCCAATGGAGTTTGAAGATTTTGTATGATTTATGGTTTTCACGTTGGAAAAAGTTGAACTAGAACCTGTTGAGAGGAACACGGTTGAGAGACTTGAGGAAAGGAAAAAAAATGGATTGAATAATTGCTAGAAAAAGGCACAGATTATATGAAAAATTGTGTCTTTATTGATGAAACTGGTTTCCACGCCAACCTGAAGCGATCTCAGGGCTGGGCACCTAAGGGAGAAAAAGCAAAGGGGAAGGTACTCACGGCAAGAACGAACAGTACTTCAATATTAGGTGCAATTTCGGCATTTGGCTTGGTTAAAGTTTCCCTTAGAAAATCTATACCACCTAATAAGAAGAAAAAGCTTAACAATGGCCAAAAGTACACCAAAGGTACTGTTACAAACCATTATGTCAATTTTATAATTGATTTTGGATGAAATGGATAAGTATCCACAGATGAAGGGTTTCTGGCTTATCATAGATAACGCTCCCATACATACAGCTAAGAAAATCGGTGAAATTATCAAAGAATGTGGCTATAACTTTTCGTACTTGCCTCGAGTTGAATCCAATTGAGCAATTCTGGTCCGTTTTGAAGAGGTCTGTTAAAAGAGAGTATGTACTCAAAAAAGGCAATCTTCCTAAGCATATCAAGCAAGGTGCTAAAAATATTCCTGAGTCGGCTTTTGATGGTTTTGCTCGTTATTCAGTAAAGCAATTTAATGATTGTTTGAACCTGCAACCTATTTAAAAATAAAGCTATTATGCGACATAATTAATTGGTAAAGTGCGACATATTTTTCTCGTAAAATGCGACATATTAATTTTTTAAAGTACGACAAATTTTTGAGAAAAGGTGTAATTGTCGATTTGTCTATACAAGTAACAAATAAATATCTCACGTGTGTATATTAAATATGATAGGTGCTACGTACACTAAAAATACTCAAGATGTATAGTTTATCCTACTAGCGTACAGTTCAGTAACTTCATTTACATTCAATCGAAATTTCAACTTTTTAATAAACATTAAAATTCATCATTCAGATAGACTGTTTGTAAAATATTGCTTAAATTGTAACATTAAAATTACATATTTAGAAGGGCCTAAAAAGCATAATTTTAATTAATTTATATGATGCAATGACGATAGACAGCCAATTGGTCTCAGCCATCAAGTTAGTGAAAAGTCAATAGACTATTTTGCACTCACGCTGTAATTTAGTTTTTATAGACGCGCTCGTATGATATATGAACCAAACAGATTTTTACAACACATTCAACATGGATATGTGACCTATAAAAAGTTGGAACTGGTATCAACACAGTGTATATATGGCCCAAACGCATATGTAAATGCTATCAAATTACAGGTATAAATAGCTCTCAAGCGCACCTGTCATCTGTTTCTTCTATAAATAAAAATAACCGCCAACAAATTACCCAAGTAAGGAACTAAATACTTATTAGACCAGGGAAAAAAAAGGTGGTCTTGTCTTTTGTATTCTCAATCTTTTAAAAAAGGAGACAAGCAACGTTATACTACGTCGAATGTCACTTGGTTATAAAATATATTCCAAGTCTCTGTTTTTATTATTCCCAAACAACAATCTAAGATTAGAACAGTATAAAAAAGAAAGGAGATATCCAGCTACTTTAAAATGGGCTTCATTCGTAGATCCTGGTTTGCATGTGAGCTAAAGCTCCTATTCTTCTTGTGACTTTAAAAGTTATAAAGACGATTTTTTTTATTAAAATTAATAATCATTCTTTCACTGAATACAAGCTTTGTATTTACACATGTTTTTTATAATTATTGGCGGCTCCAAATACTCATAAAAGTTTTCAGATTGATTGAAAGGTTGAGGTTAGCGTAAACATTGATAATATTATATATATGCTCATATATGTACGATGGGTTTTTTTTATGTACACTTAAATAGATCGAAAACAAGTAATATAAATGCGGGTTCAGTAGTGCTGCAATAATATAGCAGCGGATTTTTTTGTCATGCATACTTGAAGCATAATTTGGATGTTCTGTTTTGAGCTCATACCTGTCTTACTGTATAAGAATTGTGTTTTTACTTTTTTTAAAAAAACACAGCAAAGTCTATAACCAAGTAAAAAAAAAAAAAATACCAAAACATAATGACCTCTAAACACACTGCAACTAGAGAAAAAACAAGAAAAAAAAGAAAAAGCGAAAAATTGCAATTTATTATAACGTCATTATATTAGATACATCAAAATCGGCAGATGATAAAGGTCTCATATGCATGCCCTAACAATTAGTCATTGATGTGCATTGAGTTCGTGTCTCATGCATTTTAATTTAAAAGGTTTTTCTCTTATGTGGGGACTGCGACGTGCACGAATCATATGTAAAAATAGCGCACAATACCAACTTTGGGCTTTTTTTTTTGTTGGATCCAAAGAAATTCACATAATGTCTTGTCATATGACAGGCTGAAATAAAGGAGACCATAATTTACAACTCAGAACCACGAATAGTAAAGCTTCACATAGGATATAGAGGTTTGTTTTTAAGCTTTTTTGATGTACTTTTTGCAAAAATCCGGAAAACTTAAAAAAGAGATCATTATTTGACAAGGGTCCATTTTTTATATTGCAGATTGCATATTCCATGAATTTTGCTTTAAAGATCAGAGTTACTATTGCACTCAAGTACACGATGAGATGTCTTTGATTCAAGGCTGATGAGTGGCAACTCCGACAAACAGCTACGAAAGTAAGTCTCAATCCCCTTTCTTTGTTATTATCCACATGGTTTCAGTCATAAAAAAAAAAAAGGAACGAGGGACTAAGAGGAGGACGAAAACAAAAAGAACAAAAGAATATACAGAACGAGGAGAGACCTTTATGTTAAAATGGTGGGAGGCAAAGAAATTTATATATATAATATAAAAGGGAGAAAAAGGGGAAACGGAGGTGTGTGAGTGTATGTGTTGACACTGGTAAATCAAATACTTATTTTGAGTCACTATTGCAGCAGTTTCATGTTAAAAATTATGCGTTTTTTTTTATGAATTTATTAGCAGATAGGGCATAATACTAATATTTACTTTTATATCAAAAAGAGTCTGAGTTATGCCTAGATTTTTCTTAATAGAATGTGCATAATGATCCCTCAATCTTTCGGTATATTTTGATTTTATCTCCTTTTTGTTATATGAGATTCATGTTAAAGACGGTAGCATGAATTACACATAATCCCGCAAGCAACGAGTTGGAGATAAGCTCCTTGTCAAAAAAATCATATAAGGATAATATCCTAATAGTGGGTAAACAGACCCAACTCCAGTTGTCATTTTACCAGTCAGGAGACTCTTGTGATTTAACGATAATTGATTGTTCGATACCAAATTTCATTAGGTATATATAGAAGTTTTTTTTAGGTGTATTTATAGAAAAAGAGAGCAAAGTATATTTTTGCGATACAAAAAAGCTTTCTTTTACTCCTGACTATAGCGTAATTGTAACAACAACAGTTACATTACAAAATTATATTAAATGCATTGCCAGCTATACATATTACATAACTCCCAATATGGCAAATACTACAACGAATACTGGCATAAATAAATATATATGTTTGTATGATTATAGGAATCCTATAGTTTGATGAGTGGGAGGGAGAAGTATGTATATATAAAAGTGCTCCTTTCAATCCCTATGTTATGTTACTCCCCTATTGCACAATTATAATAATAATAATAATAATAATAATAATAATAATAATTCGTTGGTTCTTTCTCTCTTTTTCTCTCTCTCTCTCTTTTTTTTTTAACCCTTAAGTTTTTTAATTTTTTTTTAAAAACCAACCAAACAGCATTGTCTTGTTTTTATTTTAATCTTTTCCTTCTTCTTTAAAATCAATTAGATTTAGTCGGTAAATATGATATAATAATCTATACTTGATTTATACAAATACTGAATATACACTTAATAATTTTTTAGCATGCCTAGACCAAACCCGTTTCTTCGTCGTGCTTCATCTCCAGGTGATATTAATCATGAAAGTAGTCAGCAGTTATTATCAGTACCTCCTTTACCACCACATCCCGCAAAATTGACTCAGGCTTCACTTTCGGATTCAGCATTAAAAGTGCCTGTTCGACCTTTAACTTTTCGAAATACACAATCTCGAATGATGAGTATAAGACCTTCAAGATTCATTAAAGCATCCACGCCTACTTCCTCCACCTCTTCTCCCATTATTTTGAATGATACTAGCACAACGTCATCCGAAATGTCTTCCTTTATTCGTCTTTTTGATACATATACTCAAAAGATGTATATTGAAGGCTATTTGATGAAGCATAATTCAGATAATAGCAACAGCGAGGATAATACAAAAAAAGCTCGTACAAAGATGTTCGCTGAGCTATCTGGTTCAACACTAACTTTATGGGACACTGAATTACCTGGTTCAACCATCATGCCGACCTATCTTCAAATAGTGGATACAACAGTGGTGTATTCTAATTCGATCATGACAGACGGTGGTAAAAAGAAGAAACATCTGTTCTCGATCTATAACAAGAAATCATCTACTATTATTTTTGAAACTTCAGATGATCCAACCATGGTTCGATGGGTGAGTGCAATTAGACTTTCTTGCTTTGAAAAGCAGAAATTACACCAGCTGTTTACCTTGAGATTATTATCCAATGGCAACATCAGTAACAGTATTCAAAATCTATCTTCTTCTTCCCTATCATCAACCGAAGAGACGTCAACAAAGCATAACAATGTTTCTTCCACTTTTCTTCAAGTCAGAGTTCCCGGTACATCTATCTGGCAGAAGTATTGGGTCGTTTTAGTCGATAAAAAGAAGGATGAGCAAAAGAACAAGAGGTTCGGCAAAAAATCCTCCTCCTCCTCCACAGAGTTGAACGAGCAACATATCCTGTTATATGAAACAAAGAAATCAAAGACCCCTATTTTGACTTTGTACCAATTGACTCATGCCTATGCTGTTTATCCTGAATCACCGCAGCTCATTGAAAAGGGATCCATGATCAGAATCGATTGTAAATTGAAGCATGGTAAAGCAAGCAGTAATACAAATGCTATAGCTGCAACTTCCAGCGAGGCTTTGTCTTCAACATTAGTCAATGAGGATGAAGGTTACTGTTGGTTAATGGCAGACCATAGTCAATTGACCATTCAGTGGTTATTGGCTGTGTATGATATTTTTAAATTATATGGTCGCCCAGAAGCTTTACTGAATGATTCAATTAATCAAAAGGCGCTTAATTTTGGTGAGCCAGCTCAGGACATTAATACGACCGTTCACCCTAAATTATTTTTGGATACCGACGAAATCATTCAAGCCATGGATGTTTCTTTAATCACTAGACAAGATATTGAAAATATCATGAATAGTGTCATTATGAAGAAGCAGGTGGACATAGCTGTATCGATTACTAGGAGACCGACGGGTACTAGAGCAAATAGTCTACCCTTAATTACAGTGTTGTCAGCAGAGGAACAGCAACAAAAGGCAGCCTCAGATGAAATTTTCGTATCTCCGGCTGATGTAACTACAAAATTGGATTTGGATGATCAGCCGGCGCCATTTAAATTTGCGCGACATGTTGCTGATTCAAGTGACGAAAGCGAAGAAGAAGAAGACGACTGTGATGAGGAAGATGAAGAGCAAGATAGTGACGACGAACCTATTTGCAAAAAGGATAAAACAAGCATCTCAACCAATACGACCATATCATTATTGCCGGCAACCACCACCAATGACTCTTTAGCTGATAGTCTTATTCCTGATTTCGATTTTGGCAATGGGTTCGATGTACCTAGAAATATTACAGCAGCAGCAGTTGCAGCTGCAGTGAATGCATCCAGTATATCCAAGACTCTACCAACAAGAGGTAGTCGCCAGCAAAGACCTAGACATAATAGCTCAATTACCATGTTTGGTCAACCCGACGAAGATATATCCAATATCTCATTACATACTCGTAAAGCCTCAATGCCTTCCACCAGTAAAGAAAAGCAAAGATCCTCCTCCTCTGCTGGTCACCATTCGATCTCGTCACCAGTACCTCCTTCAAATAGTAATAATCCTCAGTCCTCTTCTTTATTTGGAGACTTTAGTTTAACAACTGATTTTATGAAATTCTTGGACGAGCCCCTTGAGCAACGCAAATACTCGTTGCCAGCCAATGTAAAGCTTACCTCAAACAGTTTTGATCATCACCGATCCTCACCATTCCCCACAGAATCCAAATCGACTGCCTCAAGCTTCAATCATACTGCAAATACAAGTCAACAATGGGACAATGAGTGGGAAGAGGAAGTGGAAGTTGTAGTGGAGGAAGTAGTAGAGGAAGTACCAGTTGCACCCAAGATTAGACATCCTTACGATGATGATTCATATGACTCGGACTTTGATGGACCATTGATTCCTTCATTGGGTGATAATTTTGCACCTCAAAATAGTTTATTGGATACTTACTTAGGAGAGCAATTAAGTGCCAAGGAACAAATAGAATATGCCAAGGCAACAGGTCAACCTCTTATACAAGTTTCAACCAAAAAGCAAGGAGCACCTCGAGGAGGTCTTGTGGGTATGATATCACAACGTGAAAAGGATCGAAAGGAAGGCAACGGTCTACGTGTCACTGAGCGTGTGAATCAACACCATGCACAAATAGGCCAAGACCGCTTTGAGAGAGAAAAAGAGAGAAGAATCTTTGAGCAAAGGCAACATCAGTTTATGAAGCATCAGGTAGACAAAACAATACAAAAAATGGTTGTATGTGCATTTATTAATATATAAAAATTAGATGATGTTGTACGCAAATGGTTACGGTATGCCTCCTATGCCAATGATGCATCCGTCTTTCATGCCCATGAGTCCGATGGGTCCGATGGGTCCGATGCCACCCATGATGCCCATGTCACCTATGGGCCCAATGAGCCCAATGTCCCCTATGGGCATGGCCATGTTTCAACAGCAACAGCAACAACAGCAGCATAATCAACAACAACAACAACAACAACAGCAACAGCAACAGCAACAGCAACAACAGCAACAGCAACAACAACAGCAACAGCAACATAATCAACAGCAATTTAATCAAATACCTAATTCACCCAACCCACCCCCACTCTTGTCATTACCACCACAACCTTTCTTATCACCCATGCACAGCGCACCCGCAAGCCCTCATTCACCCGGCTACGGTAATAATATTCGACCTGTGTATGGACCGCCACCACCTTCCTCCCCCATGGGATATTACCAGCAAGGAAGACAAAGCCCCAGTTTCTCAGCACCTATCATTACCCATAATAATAACAGAAGGTTCTCTCGTCCACTTTTAGATGACGTTGAAGAAAGTCGAACAAATTCCCCTATACTGAAAAAGAGTCCAGTTGTATCTACATCTTCAGGTACAAGTGTTCGTATGTAGTATATTTTCAAACACGCATTTAAAAAAAATAGTACTCTCTTTCTATTTACTTATTACCCACATTAAAATATATCATTAGAAAAAAAAAAAAAAAAAAAAAAAAAAAAAGAAAAACCCAATATTTCTTTATAAATGTAAAAAAAACATAAGTTGTATAATGAGAGGGAAATGTATACATTTTTGATATAGGTGTAATATGATGATCAATTTTTTTAAAAAGGGAGATTACAATTTTTTTTTGTTATTTTTGTTAAGTCTTTGTTTTTGGTTAAAATCATTCACTAAGAAAAACCAGATGAATGTAAATACGGTGAATATAGAATTGTAATTTTTTAGCTTACGTGAAGATAAAGAGATTATTTGTTGCAGCAACAGCGATGGTATTTTCCTTTGGATGCCAAGAAGAATGCAAAATCTTCTTATTATAATCCATATATTCAGAATCATCAGATCGCATTTTTCTACCCATACTTGTGGAGGTACGGTTATTACCGCTACTCATTGTAATTTTGTTCTTTGAGGACCCTAATTTCTTCGCCTTAAAAGCACTCTTATCAGCTTGTAAGGTCACCTCACTATCATCATCACGGCCATATATATGAATATCGTTGCTGTATGAACCTGTCATCATATTTCTATCAATATATCCAAAACAAATTGTCAGTCGTACGTGGGGTCTCCTTACACAAATATAATTTTACCTTCCGTCACCACTGAATGTACATTCGAACTTGTCAAAAATACAATCATTTTCATATAAATCACACAACTTAGATCGGAGGTTATCATGGATATTGATAGTGCGGACAGGCTTCTTTTCCATGTTGATGTCCCAAATCTTCAAAGTCAAATAATCACGAGATAAGATATAACGACCATCTTGACTGAATTTGACATCGGAAATTGAAGAGATAATTTCGGAAAAGAAAGATCTGTTAGAAGGGTCTTCAGGCTCCTCAAATACTGGTTAATGTTAGTGAATGTACAAGAAAAGGAAAGTTACAGCGAACGAATACCTTTTGCATTTTGATCGCACAAAGCGGATTCTCTCATATCGGCCAGTTTGATAGTTCCTTTACTGCTACTGTACATAAATAAGTTACATTGGTCAGGGTGAAACTCGGCTGCTGTGATCACTTCGGTCAACTCCTCCATATTAGCAGGCTTAATATCGACAATATCTAAAAAAAGATGTAGTGTTAAAATAGCGTAAATGAGCCCATTTATAGCGCACTTACTGAAACTTTGATCAGAAATGTCAAGATTCCATAAATTGACACGGAGATCATCAGCTGATATGTATGTTTCTCCATCCGAATTGATTGAAATGGAATTAATGTGATACGCGTGAGCTAATAAAGAACTGGGTCATTATGCTAATACTTTGACACTCCGCGTCACTTTTTTTTTGTTTACCATTTGAATATATACGTCTTGGGATGGCAGCTACAATACTATCTTGATGACTAATTTTGGGCATTGTAAGCGACGAGTGAGTTGGTGCACCAAAGCTTCCAACGACGGCAGTTGGCATATCAACATCAGTCATCATGGATGATTCACTGACAGTCTTTAAACTCCGTTCGTATACCTTCCAAAGCTTAATTGTTTTATCTAAAAGGGATAGATAAATAATCAAATAGCAGAGGTCTCTTCATTGCCTTTTTCCTTACCGTTTGTTGAAAGTAGAAAGTGTGCCGAATTCTGTCTCTTGCACCATTTGATTTGGTTAATTTTTTCTTCGATTTCCAAACTTTTTAAATAATCAAATTCGGGTTCATGGGATTGAAATTCGGTGTGGAAGCGATATTCACAAGATTTTTTCTGAATTAAAAATTGTGTTGAGTAAAAATGTGATTATTTGTAACAATATTTCGGTAAAAACTTACACTTTCATTCCGTTCGAACAAGACTACTCTACCGCCTTTATCACCTGTTGCTAAATAGTCACCAGTATGATCAAATTCCACAGCCGAGATAATATCAGCTAATAATAAATAACAAAAACAAGTAATTCAGTATTTTTGAATAGTTTCCGATATCTAGACTTTTGTGAATTGGAACCTACCTTCTGTAATATCATCTGATTCGCCCTTGTCACCAAAGCATTGGGCAAATTTCCATTTGCTTTCGTTTTCTGCTGGAGATGACGTTTGCATTTGTTCTAAGAATTAAGATTACGCGTTAATAAAGTTTAAAGAGTTATTTCAACTAATAGCTATATTGAGGTTTAATACCATGTTCTTTACCTTTTGAATAATTTATGTTTATATACTATTTTTTTATATATATTTTAACTTGAATACAGGAAAAGAAACGGGTTTTCTTCACTTCTCTTGTTTTGCTTTAATAAAAAAGACAAAGATGGTTTGGGTTTTTTTCGATGCGCCCCCACAAAAGTCACAATAGGGCCGACAAGCAACGCTCAATCACAACAGAAGCGGGACAGTCACTCGTAGAAGGAATTTCAATTCCGCTTCATCACACATTGTGGTTGGACAGCTTTTCTACTAACATGCTATTCAATAATGTTGTTGATTTTATTTTGATGTGAATTGCGAGAATGCGGTTATAAACAAGACCGAGCTTAAAACTTTTGGTCCACATAGCAGCTACTAAAAAGCATGCATTACATTTACAGAAACACAAGGCTGATTTGTACATTGAAGATTTACATGGACTTCTAGTGTAAATTCTTTGCTGCTGCTAATGAGTTGTAGTAAGAACCGGCTTACACAATTAAATTTTTAAAAACCTGGTTTGGGTAGCCTAGCTATTGATGATAGATACATTGACAGCTTTATATTGAACGGGGTTTCTTTTTTTTTACTTCTGTAACATCTAAACCCTCTAAAATCAGGCTCAATTCCACTTTTTCTGGCTTAATTTTTGAGATAAACGCGACCGAGTTTAACTTAACTTGATGATGTTATTACTTCTAGTGAATCCAAAAATGGCATTAGCTTAGCGGGCGTACTTCCTAATGAAATTGATAATTGATCTTCAAGGTTAAAGCGGAGTTTGCATATTAAATTATTCTCAATATGTGGAATGTCCAAGAATATGTTTCTGAAAATAGTGTAGTAAAACTATATCTAACAGTTGATGCCTATTTGTCAAAAGTAAAGTTTGGTTTCCGGTGTATTTAATTTCTTATACCTCGCTAGGGTGTTGATTTAACATTTGTGCACTAGTTGTTACTTTAAAAGCTTGGTTCGATTACCCTAATCTTACTTTCAGTAGCTTGCAATTTCTCATAACTACTCACACAGCTTTTTCAAAATAAAATTGCCTTCACGTATGATATGTGAATTTCAAAAAAAATTAGGCTGGGATAACATAGCTGGGGTAATACAGACCTCTGGATCCTAATTGTATTGGCCCGTGAAAATATTCAGAATCCAATAGATATGCGATCCAGAGGCTGTAATTGATTTTATAACCAATTGAATGGCAATTAAGAGGCTGTAACCAAATACTTATAAAAATGCTTCAATCAGGACGATAACCATGAGGTTACGATCCAACTAGTAATATGTAATTATACGCAGACAAATCTTGTCTGCTGACATAAGCTCGAACAATAAAATGATCATACAGTAATAGGTCAGAAAGCAGCAGCAGCACCTCTATTCCCTCTTTTGAGTCTAAAAATGATACAGAAATAGTTATTGCCAATACAGATTCAGTAGAAGATGACTCCCGTACAGTCAGTAGGAGCCTTAAAAGAGCGATCCATAAAGACTTTGATTACAATATATTTTTACAAAGCATGGAAGCTTTACAAAACGAATGCACCTTAAGTATGTATGGAATGTCTCAAGCAATAGGCTCATTAAATGAATCTATTATTTCTGGCGCCATTTTTTCTTCGAAGCCTAAATTCTACTTCGACTACAGTTGTACCGGACTTAAAGATATAGAAGCACATCTAAGAAAAACACCTATTGAAAATAATAAGGTAAGATCCAAATGAGAAGCTGGAAGAAAGCTACAACACACACATACTGGTTTAACATTTAGTTTGATTATGATAAATTTGTATCTAGTTCTAGATGATAAGTTATATCGAGCTCTTGATGTCTATTAAAGTATTATAAACCGAAGTTACGACTATGCGCGCCCTTGGTGTACCTAAGAAAAATGGCTGTCCCTAAGAAAATTTGGTTATCCTTAAGAGACCCGTTTTCAATATTCTGATCGTTCAAGGAAAAAAAAGACATTGCACCACTTTTCCCGAGCCATCGGAATTTATCCATAGGAACAGAATGTGCAAGAAATATAAAATTTGAAAAATCAACAGGAAAGATAGACATGTGGCAGGATTACAGTGCAATACCGGATGGGAAGGTAGACGTTAAAGCTGAAGTTATCTAAACTAGCCAATCACACGAGAATAGTAGAAGCGACGTCACCGGAGCTCCAATCTCTCGCCGTTTTCGAGTTTCAATATTTTTTTTTGAGAGTTTCATTCCTGTTTTCACTCGATACACATTTACAGAACTAAAAATGTCAGGATACAACATTATTTGGGCATTCTTTGGTGTTGCTATTGTTTGTGGTTTAACCTATGTATTAACCCCTAAAGGAAATGACCAAACGTAATGTAAAGAATTGGTTGGAAACATTAGAACACCCTTTTTTAACAAGTTTTTTAGTGTCATCCGAACTGTTATTATCATGTCTATTGTCTGTTGTTATTTAATGTAAGTGATGAAGGACACCGGGTTTGCTGTATAATAATAACACGGTTATTTTGAAATTTTAGGTGGGCCATTACGTACCTCGCTCAATTGCATCCTTTAATCTTTCCCAAGAAAGTTGGACTTCGACCCCCTCACCACGAATAAGTGCTAAAATTATACGCGTCCAAGGAAAAGCTTTTTGTTTTGGAAATATAATGAAGAAAAGAGTAGATTTTATAACATGTACTTGCTAGCCCCTTTCTTTTTAAGCATAACATTTTATTTTGAAAAAAAGTTCAAAAATACCCTATAAAAAACTGTAAAAATAATAATAATGCTTGTGATTGTAAGGAAATATCAAAGTTGAAAGGGATTGTTTCAGCCTAACACCACAGTGTGAAAGTGCCTGTCAAAAAAAAAAAAAAAAAAAAAAAAAAAGTAAACCCACACACACACACACACGTACTAAAGACATCTTGATGTGGAAAGGTGGTTTTTAGTAAGAGGGTAGATTGTCCCAATTCTATCATGGAATCACAGTCCATACTGTTTCAAGTTACATGTATTGTAAATCAGAACAATAGTACCTGATGATTTTGATTCGTTCTTTACCAACTTTGGAAAAGGCACCTATAAAAATCAGCGAGACTATTTAAATAAGGTCATGAGTGATGGTATATGACCCGTTTATAGAACAATTTTCGGTTTATAGCTTATTTTATCGCGCCTTATTAGTTATTGCGCAATACGTACTTGTCTAGAAAGATCAAATGCAGGGATGTAATACATAATTTTATAGGGTAAGGAAAGTAATGTTTACAGTTTTTGTTTCATCTATTTTTAAAGACCACATTGTTATATTTCCCATGTGGAGAAGTGCACATTAATGAAAAAGAAAAGCGGACATACATCTTGTTTTGGCTTTTGACGAATCAACTTCAAGACCAATTGGAAAAAAAGAGGGACATTTTTTCATGATGAGGTCATTTTTTAAAACCGTAACTATATTTATTTTTTACACTCAGTAATCTTCTGTGTAAAACTCTATCTACGATGTACAATAAATAATAGGCTGTAGGTTACCTATTTTTCTCACGCATAAAGAGGTGTATCGGAGAATGTACCCAAGAAGGGTCTGGTGGTTGCTTCTTTATTTTGATGTAATTACGGAGTTCCCCGGATTTTTTTTACACATCACAAAACAGCCCCGCAGAAAAACAATTTGACGAAAAAGATGAGCATGCACTATAAATTTTTAGACCCTTTTTTGATACTTATATAAAGGGCCAAAATGATTCGATTTATTTTTCCAACTTCACTTTTTTTTCCATCAATCATAAAAATTAAAAAAATGTCAAATCCACCCCCAATGACAAAAAAACAAAGCGAGTTCAGTGTGATAGCGCCAGCGTCTATTCACAGCAATAAGTATGAAACTCCAATACCAAACCGTGAAAACAGTCAGTTCTATCCTGGTGATCGTATCTATGACAATGAAAAGGCAGAAAGCACTATATCCGATGAACAAATCGAGCATGTCCCTGAAGGAACTGGTTCCCCCGGCAAAGCTCTTTTTATGCTTTTAAAGGCCTTTGTAGGTACTGGTGTTATTTTCTTACCAGGATCGTAAGTGTAGTGTTCACGTTTTTTTTGATTTTTAAGTTTAACCTGTATGTTACTCTATAGATTTGTATCTGGTGGTCTTGTATTTTCAATCTGTCTCATGATCTTTGTTGCACTTGTTTGTTTGGCAGCTTTCCAAATTCTAGTCAAGGCACAACAAACAGTAGGTGGATCTTATGGTGATGTTGCACAGGCTCTTTACGGCTCTTGGCTTCGTTACATTATTCAATTCTTCTTGTGTCTTTCACAAATGGGTTTTGTTGCCTCCTATCTTATCTTTATTTCTGAAAATATTGGTATCGCTGCTGATACCTTATCGAACTGCAGCTCCCCAATTGAAAGCAAGTACTATATTTGGATGGTCTTGGCAGGTAAAATACACACAGAATAAGCATCTTGTTCAACCATAACTAAATGTCCATTGTTTCATAGTCATTATTCCCATCTGCTGGGTTCGTAAAATTGCAAAGCTGTCTTGGCTTGCTGTTGTAGCTGATATCTTTATTCTTTTTGGTCTTGTTTGTGTCATTTACTTTTGCTCCGACGAGATTGCTAGAAATGGTCCTGGTCCTAATATTCGTATGATTAACCCGAATGACTTTGCATTGATGGTAAGTGCGCTTTTTAGTTTAATCCAAATATCCGGAATTTTAATAATTTTTTCTTATATAGATTGGTACAGCCGTCTTCTCTTTTGAAGGTATCGGTATGGTTATCCCCGTAATCGAAGGTATGAAGGAGCCTGAAAAGTTTCCCCGTGTTTTAAACATCGGCATGCTGATCGTTACCTTGATCTTTATCTTGATTGGTATCATTGGCTACGTTGCCTTTGGAGAGAACACTCAAGCAAGTGTAGTTGCCAATTTACCCAAGGTCCCACTCTCTGTTACTGTCCAGCTATTATATTCTTTGGCCATGATTTTAACTTCCCCATTCATGTTATACCCCCCCTTGCAAATCATTGAGCAGGGCGTTTTTGGTCCTAACCGAAGTGGTCGTGTCAATAAGCGTTTTAAGTGGTTGAAAAATTTAAGTCGGTCCATCGTTCCTTTAGTTTGTGCTGCTGTCAGTTTTGGAGTAGGAGCTGCCAACCTGGATAAGTTTGTTGCTCTTGTAGGCTCTATTGCTTGTATGCCCCTCTGTTTTATTTTCCCTGGCATGTTCCACTTTAAGGTCACCACTAAGAAATGGGCCAAGGTTTGGGATGTCATCCTTGCCATTTTCGGTGTCGGCATCACCATCTATACTCTTTATGTAAATATCAATTCTTGGATTACTCCATCCTCCTCTGGCTCGGCTCCTGCTGCTGAGTGTGTTCCTTTAGCGACATAGACTGCACATATTATAAATTATCTTAATCTTCTATTCATACTCAATAAATAACTACCCTTTATTAAACTCCCAAATCTTATTGTTCCCATTCAATGATTTAACAGTAAAATGATGTCAAGCTCTTAAACGTTCCCTTTATTTTTACACGGGTACATAGACCTGTTTATGCAGAAAAGTAAATGGTAGCACGGGCGGGACATACAGGCGGGATATCGAAAAAAAAAAATCCCCCCAGAAAAAAAAAACGCTGGTTACACTGAAAAAGTCCACCACTTAATTATTGGTATTCTAAAAAAGGCATAGTTTTTACATGTTTATTTATTTAAAAAGTTATGGAATTAATAGAAGTTGAGTAACTATTGATCTCAAGTTTCTGTTACCTTTAATTTATGTAAAGCAATAGAATATTTAAACAAGAGCAGTAAGCATATGTCCTTTTTGCTCTAAAAAACTGTAATGTTTAAATATTTTAGAGGGTCATGTGATAAAAAGGCCTTTTTAGCAATATTTATGATTCAGCTACAAAAATAATTGCTGATCTATAAATCAGGTATTGGGTAAACTAGCCACCTGTCAAACAAGGATTGTGCATTATTCCCTTCCATTCCGTCTTCATACAATCTTGTACTGCCTTCTAACAGCCACTTCTTGTTACAGTTTCCATGTTATCTGATGTTACCCAAGGGAATCAGGCCATTGCGGTCTGGAATATAGTAGTTGTAGCCAAGGTTCACCGGCAAATAAACAAGAGAGACACCGTGTTACACAAAAAGCGATAAGATAAAATCAAAAGAACCATCGGCAAAAAGTAACATAAAACTTCAGATCCAGAACATTTCTACGGGAACGTAGCTTAGTATCAGCATCTTACTCATGACAACAACAATAATGTAACTATTTCCTTGATAGTCTTTATGCTCGAACATGCTATGTAGAGCATGTAGCAATTAATTAAGAATATACTTTAACAAGGTTTAAGATTCATCAACAAGACAACTCTATATTAAGGAAGCGCCGATAGAAGACAGAAAGTAAATATCCCCGGGTAATAAAAATCAATGATTAGATTACCTTTTTTTTTATCTGTATCATTGGTTAAAGGCGATTGTTGTGATCTTGTCCCGCTGCAAAAATAAAGTTGATTACTTAAGCATGTGATCTGTAAAACATCGTTATCCATCAGTACAATCTTTATTAGAAAGTCCTTCGTAGAGTACAATCTGACATATCAATTATAATGGTAAAAAAAAAAAAGTAAAAAAAAAAAAAAAAATGACAACAGCTTCTAATAACACATTTCGAAATAAAAAAAATCATAGGATAAAACAAATATACATATTATTAGATATAGAGCTAAAGGGTGATAATTTAGAAAGTAAAGAAAATTACTTAGGCAAGGGAGTTATGAGGAAGGTTTATAGGATAGGCAAAAGCTGGTCTGGCAGGTTCATCAGAGGTACTTTGTCGACTTTGAATGGAATCCAGTGTAATAATAGGGTCCTTCTTTGAGGCGGCATGTCGTTTAGCAGGGTTGGGATCTTGAGGCTGTGGAACACCCAGCTCCTCTGCTTTTGTGATGGCTAAATTAACACGAAGAGCTAATCTATACTCAAAATCATATTTGCTAAACTTCAACGCAGATTCCCAGAAAGATCTACTACGGGTTTTGTTATCCATGCCCCAAGCTGTTACACCAGCTTCCCAGAAAGCAAATGGTACAATCCATTTATCAACCTCGATTTGTTCCTTGTGATCAATAATCCAATTCAAATGAATAATGGATTCTTTGAAGCGCCCCATCGCATTGAACAATGCTGATTTAATCAAGAGTAAAGCTCCACGCTGGTCAAAATATTTGGGGGGAGGGGTTTCGGGTAACAACTCTCGAGTACGAATACCAAATTCCGTCTTTTCGGCTTCCATAATTTGGACCATGGCTTGATCGACTCTTTCAAGTGATTCCTCCAATAATTCCGTACTCATGAAATCAAATCCACTAAACAAGCAAAGATATTCTAAAGCACAAAGGCACATTTCCATATCTTGATAACCGCAGTCTTGGAAAGCAGTAACTTTACGCAATACGTACTTTTCCATTAATGAGGTACTGTGTGTTTTCGATCCAACTAATTGAGGAACTTCAGCATAGGCCAAAATAGCTTCTGTACGACTTCCCATCATATCCAAACAAGCACCAGTCAAGTAGCGGAAAATGGCAGGGGACCAGTATTTTTCTTTATAGAGTTGATCAAACACCTTGGCAGCTTCTTCCCAGTTATGTTCCATCATGTGATTGAACCCAATCTCGTAACTACATGCATGCAAGACCTCAACCTCAGCCCATTCGTTCTTACTAATTTCAATTGCATAGGTAAAAGATTGGGTTGAAAGTGTCAAATTACGAGCAAGACGAGATGTACGACCAGCGAAATAGAGGAAGAAAGCTGAATTGGGATATGTTCTTTGGGCATCCAATAAAGTCTCAATAGCAGGTTGTGTGTATTCCATCGATAAAATTTGTGGACATAAAGATGTAAGCACGGTATAATAAGCCAAAAGCATAAGCGAAGCCATTGGGGATCGGATTCTTCTTTCTTCCAAACATAATTTTAATAAGGCAAAGCCAAGGTGCTTATCAGCCTTCCAACCAAATGCAGAAACAATACGAAGAATTTTTTGAGGGAGTGTAGACAAAACAAGATGAACAGCACCAATACTTTTGCAGAAAAAAAAAAAGATGAATATGCTAGTTATTTTGGTAAAAAAAAAGACAAATAGTGGTACTTACCCAAATTGGATGCCTGATATAGTGTCGCGGTCAATGAAATCATGATAAATTTGTCCCATACGCTTATATTCCTGCCATACCAAACTATAACTTGCATAAGCTAAATAAATAAAAAAGGACCGCCAAGAATGAGTAATCTGTATTCTTAAAACTCCATCATATAGTAACTTATATTACCTCTTCTCAAATTCATTCCACATTTGATATATCCCATTACATTTTCTTGCAACAATTGTAAAATAGCAATTTGGAGACAGCACTCCGCCTTGGCCACGTGAGCACGTAACACACCGTTAGGAATAAAGTTGATTCCATCTTTTTGGATTGATTTTAAAGTGGCTGGTTTGGGACTAGAAGGTAACCCGGCTGATTTACGTGTAAATTTGATGTAGTTATAATACGAGCTCATGGCTTGGTACACAGTGTCACCGACAGACTTTTTGGTAGCAACATCAATTTGCGCGTTGGCGATACTGTATGTTGTTGTGAGAACATCAATGGCATTCTTTACCATTACATCATCCGTGGTCTGTCATTTGTTGTAGCATTAGTATTTGGCAATAATAAAATAAAAATATGATCATGCATCACATACCATTACAGCTATAAAATAATAATAAAGTTAGCAAAGGAAGATTTATATATAAAGTTGTTGTTTGTGTCATAGTTACCTTTTAAAAAAGCCATGGAACCGAGCCCTAAGGCGTGTAATGGATCACTAATATCAAGTTAGTTTTGGCTTCTTCATCAGCATAATATGAGCATGATATGGTACATACGTTTCAGCTTGCTTTTCAAATAACTTTTTAGCCTTCATAAATCTATTGTTAAACAGGTGACGCACGGCACGAAGTACAGGTTCATCTGAAAAAAAAATTGGTAAGTGATTGAATCAAACAAGAATATATCTTGTATTTACCTGCTCTTTCTTGTTGACGAGGAGAGAGTAAATTTGCTTTGATCTCTTTAGTATCAATTTTATTCAAAGCAATAAGATTAGCACTGTAACTTTCAACATCCCCGACATCTTCGCTTTGTCGACCACCGAAATCAAAGGTCTGTCTTTGAGGAGCGACACCGGGGGTTGGTGGTAAAATATCATGAACGATTTCCTCGAATGTTTGGGGTTTAGCATTTACCTCATCAATAGCAGTAGCAGACTCCTCGATCTCCTTTTCCTCTTCCAAACTAACATTGGTTGATGCTGATGTGGCTACCGATGTAACTGATTTGGTATCATCTGTTACTGACTTGGTATCACTTTCAATATCATCACCACTGTGAAGTTCCTCTTCACATTCATGTGTCTCTTCCTTATGCTCGACAGCAGTATCTTTATCCTCTTGGTTTTGCTTTACAGTGCTTTGAAGAGCACTAATTACCAGACCCAATTCCTTTGAAACCTCCTCATTGTCACTTGAACTAGCTGATTCCCCATCATCTTGATCGTCAAATTTTTTCGTTTGTGTTGGTTCCTCTTCCGTTGTAATTTCAGCAGCGGCTTTTGAAACTTCTAAACCCTCAATGACAGTATCTTGTGTAGTAGTAATATCTGGAGTTACTTGAGTTGTAGGCTTTGTATCTGACATTGTTTTTTTCTTTCTGTTATGTTAAAAAAGAAAAAGAGAGAAAAAAGAAATTGTAAATAACTTTAAAAAGCATTCGTGGATATAGGATTGGTTCCAATAATTTTTTTATTGATATTGTGCGACAATATCACGAAGATTATAGCAACACCGACATAAAAATCTCATGTTTAACCCATGGTAGGCAATTTTCGGACAACTTTTGATTTGCACCCCCCCTCCCTCTTTTCCCATCATCCACACTAACAACCAAATCAAACATTTTCTTTCTTTTAAATAAAATTGAATTAAGCACATGTAGCCATCCTTCTTCTCTTTTTTTCATTGCTGGTCCCTAATATGTCATGGTGTTACAGCATACTTTACAATAACCATTCGATTTTATCAATCAAAAGGACTTTTAAAAATATATTATTAGCATGTCGTCTTTGCAAAATGAAGCAGTATTTACTAATGCTAGTGTACGTTTTATGTAGCGGTTGGGGTTTATAAGAACAGTTTCTCAAATTTAAATTGGAGTTATTTCAGAAAGGAATTTGAGCTGCTTAATTGCGACTCGTCAAGTACCTTGAAATGTAAAGTTAGTGATAAGGCACTTATCCTTAAAAACGTTGTGGCGATTAAGTTGCGCTAAGTTTGCCACAGAACGATTTAAATTATTCCCATCGGCTGGATAAGGTACCTCAGTAACCAAACCCTTCATCATCCCATCACTTTTATATTCCTGCCATATTGCTTCTCATTATACAACTTAAATTTATTACTATACTAGATGTGCTATGTTTTATAAACTAAAGGCATAAACGGCGACGAAATAAGCTTTTTCCCATCCACGTAGGCTGCAAGATTTATGCAATTGCAGGTGTACCACCTATGTGTAAGTACGTAAGTCAGCATGGATATGCTACATTAGGCTACATATGTTACAGAAAGAGCAAGTATGTTACTATTGATATTATCAGAAGGGTTCGTTGTATTACCAGAGATCGCGAATCTTCAATTAAAGCTTATATAAGTCTACTAGTGCACTAACATGCATACAACTTATGATTAAGCAATAAATAATCGGACCCTTTATTTGTACATACAATATAATACCATGTATTGTTCATCCGGGGATATTCTTAGGCTTTGTTTGATCTCGTTTTAAGCTGCTCTTAACGAGATACTAAGACAAACGAGCAAGAAGACTTTCAAGTCAATTGCCTCATCACCCAATTTTATTTACTGCCAAAACTTTATAATCAGGAGTTTTTTTTTTCAAGACGTCCGAGTATTCCGTTTTTTTAACAGAACTTCTTAGTTCAAATCAATAACAAAACACGAGGTAAACAATCAACTTATCTCTGTTTAAACCCGCTGTATATTTATAAATACATCTCTCGTGTGGCTAATAAATTAGCACTAACAAACAAAATACAACCCAAAAAAGTTTAAAAAAGACATTAATTTTTGTTTTAAAAAAGACAGAATAATTTTGCTATGGTAAACGCATATATATTTTATATAGGAGCTAAAACAAAAGTTTAAGCACGGGCAAGACGAGCATTACGGGCTAATTGACGAGCGTTGAGCTTGACAACCTTCTTGTCATCGGCACGGGGAACGACCTCATCCTTTTCGGTGAGGACAACCTCAATGTGAGAGGGAGAACACATGAAAGGGTTGATTCTACCGTGAGCACGGTAAGTACGACGACGATGCTTGGGGGCTTGGTTGACAACGATGCTGGAGATATAAAGTTCCTCAACGTTTAAACCCTTGGCCTAATAATAATAATAATAAAAAAAAACCTGATTTCAGCAAACAAAGTACGACAATACCAAGAAAGTTTACAATATTTTCTTACCTCGGCGTTGGATTCAGCGTTCTTCAAGAGGTCAGTGACGAACTTGACAGACTTAACGGGCCAGCGACCTTGAGTGGTACCGAACTCCTTGGCTTGGGCATGACGACCGACACCACCGTTGAACTTACGGAAAGGAATGATTTGCTTGTGCTCGGTAACGTTGTTAAGGTAAGTATAAGCCTTGCTTAACTTTAAACCCTTAACGGCAACAGCAACTTCGTGAGTGTTCTTGAACTATAAATTTATAACGTTTAGTCTCAGTGAATTTAGCTTTTGCGCTTCTTTGTCTTTTAACTTACGTGAACACGAAGATAAGAACCTCTGGACTTGGAAGCTAAAATACTTATTAGTTTCTCGACTCTACAAAAAAAAAAAAAAAAAAAAATTTAAATAAAAAAAAAAACTTACCCTTAGCAGGGTTGGCAGGAGTAGCAGCGTATCTGACCATAGTTGCTCAACAGACTATAATAAATAATAAGAAAAGAGAGGAGGATCATTAGTACTATGCTAAGGCTTTGTTTTGGAATGGAATGCACAAAAAAATAAAAGAACTCAATGACCAGACAATAAAAAAAAAAGGGCAACACACAATCGATTATATAAGTAAAAATCCATCCATTTTTAAATCTGCAACTGTTTCATCAATCCATCTATTTGTGTTGGTGGTATGGATTTGGTTCGTGAAATCATATAATCGATGTAATGTTCTCTTGTCTTCTGTCACTTTGTCTTTATTTTTTTTCATGCATCCTATCGGTATACATACTGTCGAATAAAAGGAAGGATTGGACTATTACATTGGTTGCTGTCCCGTATATCCTCACATCAAACTTGGAACACGGCGGTCGTTGAATTAGCCCGGCCCGGATTTTTGCCCCGATTGGTTTTTTTTTCTCGGCCATCAAATCACAACTTGTTCGAGCTGCTGCCTTGTTTCTATGTGAATGCGAATACAAATTGAACTAATCCTTCTTGTCTTATAATCATGAGGCGGATATATTTGTATTGCTCCCACCAACAGTGCTACTTAAATAACTCGTTTTGTAGGCTGCTAATGTTTGTGTTTGTTTTTAAAAGTAGGACAACTTTGCATGCAAAACCAATAAGAAGCATGCTCTATCCATCGCATAGTCCTCTCTGTCCCAAAACTTCCTCATATACGGAATGAGTGAAAGACTTTCATTTGGGATTTTTTTTATTAAAGGGGGTAGGGGGAGACCAGAAGCGAAATTGTAATAGCGGTATCAAAATTCAAAGGGATTGTTATAACAATGAATGAGGAGATTCCCCCATAACCATCACACTTACTGAAAGTTTTAAAACTGAAGTTTAGGGGCGGCAAGTAATAGCAAGCATAATATTGTTAAGTCTCTTATTGCTCACACTAAGTTAATTGCTTAAACTCCCACCAGGAACCTGGGATGTTTACTCGTTGTATGTGTCTTTTATTTCTCAATTCATGTCTATATCTACGCGATTTTTAAGCATCATGATGCTTGCTTTTGTTTTACATAAAATGACCTTGTTACCATTGTTATGAGTTGATAGATCCATGAAAAAACAATCCGCATGTGTAGTGTTACTTAAAGCATTGTGAGGGTGGTTTCTGTTTACGGGTCTCTTAGGGACAGCCAAATTTTCTTTTAGGGGACAGCCATTTTTCTTAGGGACAACCAGGGTGCGCGTAGTCGTAATGTTGGGATTATGACACTTTAACAGACACCAAGAGGTCAATATAGCTTAAATAGCTTGAACTAGATACAAATTTATTACAACCATCATAGTTTAAACCAGTATATGTGTGTTATAGCTTATTGTTAGCTGCTTGTTGAACTTCACCTTAATAGTTTTGCGTAAGATTAAGATCAAACAAGCTTAAAGGCGAAGGAGTGATGGTAGAATTGTCGAACCAAATACAGTCCCCTCCAAAAAGAAAGTTCCACCCTGTAACTCCGACCCTTTTTTAAAGGATAGGTTTCATAGATCTAATGCTCATCACTCTCACTTTTGTTTTCTCCTATAGTTGAGTAAATGGCTCAATTGACACCTGATCAAAAAGCTTACGCAGTTGCAAAATCAAATCAAAGCGCTCCCATCTCACAAATTGCTCGTGAATTAAATTTTTCAAGAACTGCTATCCGTCGCGCCATCCAACACTTTAAACAAACTGGTTCATATCAAAGACAAGCAACTTCTGGAAGGCCAAAAAAGTTCAGCAACAGGGACAAAAGGGCGTTACAACGCTATGTACTAAAAAATAAACCTAGTACTCTTAATGAAATCATGACCAACGTCGATGTCAATGCAAGCATCAACACATTCAGGAAAGAGCTTCAAAAGCTCAATTTGAACAGTCGTATAGCCCCAAAAAGCCATTTATTATCGAGAACCAAAGAAGAAGATGTCTAGAATTTGCAAATCAGCATCAAAACCGGAGTTTGGAAGACTGAAGGAAGGTTATATTTACAGAGTAAATCAAGCTTTCAAACCAGCAGTTGTTCTAGTGTTGTTCGGGTACGCCGCAGGCCCAATGAAGTCATGATTCCGTCATGTTTGGCACCAACGTTTCAGAGTGGACGATCCTCCTTATCTGTCTGGGGTGGTATTGGATATAATCGTCGCACTAATTTGGTTTTACTTAAGAAGGGTGAAAGATCTAGTGCTCAATTCGTAAATCAATTATATGAACCTGTTTTGAAGGACTTTTATAATGGCACTAGTTCAGCAATTCTCATGGAAGATAATACACCGGTCCACACTTCAAAAGTTCGAAAATGGAAGAAGGATATGTGTATTATTTGTTTAGACTGGCCGCCACAATCTCCTGATTTGAATCCAATAGAGAAAGTTTGGATGATGACATTACAGATGCACGTAGTAAATGAATGTAGAAAGATAGAAGTTGAAAAATTAACAAACTTGTCGATTCCATGCCTAAACGCATAAACGATGTAATAAAAAACAAAGAGTACTCAATTCACTATTGAGTAAACCTACGTTTGTCTAAAATACTTTTTTTTTAATAAAATTTATATCCTAATGTTCAGTACTGTCTTTTATATTACGTAGTGTTATTTGAAAGAGGTTTGCTTAAGAAGATGGAACATACATCTAGGATACATGTCGGAGTTATAGGGTGGAACTTTCTTTTTGGAGGGGACTGTACAAATCATTCAATATAAATTTTTTCGTACTTGTTACATTGTTTTGGATTGTATATTCTTGTTCCCAGGTCTACAGAACATCCAGATCACAGATCTTACGTTACGACTACGTGCACTTTGACTGTCCCTAAGAAAAGCGCTAAATTAATTGGTACGTGATATTACTTTCTTTTATGACCGTATCTGTATACGTTTCAACTAAAGCAAAATTTGTATTACAAAAAGCAACAGATGCTTCGGTATAACTACTAGCTCAAGACGATGCAAATCACTAGGAAACTTTTTGAAATGTTTCTATAGTCACGGGTTTCAACACCCAAGGAAAACTTTGACGTCATCCTTTTTTTTTTTTTTTTTTTTTATTTATTCGAGTACGTAAGGCGATGATCGATAGGAGCAGTTTCTGCACAAACAGGGAGGGAGTCCCACCTAACGTATCTGAATTAGGAACTGATAGTATGTCTGAAGCATGTCAAAAATGGAAACACAAATATCAAAGACTGTTTATCAACAGGAGGGAGTTATAACGTCTCCAAACGATTCATACACTAATCAGTTCAAAACAGTCGGTTCAGTCGAACTTTGTCCTTGTCTGAGATTTAAAAAGTATTGCTCCAAGCCTGATCGCCCGAGAGAGGGGGAGAAAGGAAAGAGTGGGGACCGAAATTGTGTTAAGACCTAGAATTTCGGCTGTGAAGACTAGTACCTCCTCTTTAATCATATCTTTTAGGTAAGATGATTAAACTAGAAAAAGCGTCGACAAGTTATATTTTTCGAATTACAGTAAAGAATGAATGGATGATTTATAAAAAAAAAAAAAAAAATGGATGGATGGATGTATCAATGGATTTGATCCTTTGGAAAAAAAAAAAAGAAATTGAAAATGTGTTCAACTCTTGTAATTTTGTAAATCATTATTGAAACAATTTTCTAATCGATCCGATCCATGTCACCATTATTCTTTCTTGATTCAAAATAACTTCGACGTTTTTTTTTTTTCAATTATTTTGTACCCTATACTAATCTATGCATTCCATTCTTTTTTTTCTATTTTTTTATTGTCATTGAATAGTCATGGGTGGTAAGTTTCTTTAAACTTTGGGGGAAATACAAGACAGTTTATATTAATTCTTTTTCTTAAATAAAAAGCCTACAAGTATCTCGAGGAACTTGCCAGAAAGAAGCAATCCGATGTCTCCCGTTTCTTGCTCCGTGTCCGTTGTTGGGAATTCAGACAATTGAGTGTCATTCATCGTGCTTCTCGCCCTTCTCGTCCCGATAAGGCCCGTCGTTTAGGTTACAAGGCCAAGCAAGGTTTTGTCATCTACCGTATCCGTGTCCGTCGTGGTGGTCGTAAGAGACCTGTTCACAAGGGTGCTACCTTCGGTAAGCCTGTCAACGAGGGTGTTAACCAACTCAAGTACCAACGTTCTCTCCGTTCCACCGCTGAGGAACGTATCGGTCGTAAGTGTGCTAACCTCCGTGTTTTGAACTCTTACTGGGTCAACCAAGATGCTACCTACAAGTACTTCGAGGTTATCCTCGTCGATCCCTCTCACAAGGCTATCCGTCGTGATGCTCACATCAACTGGATTGCTAACCCCGTCCACAAGCGTCGTGAAGCCCGTGGTCTTACTGCCATCGGTCGTAAGTCTCGTGGTCACGGTAAGGGTCATCGTTTCAACAACACCAAGGGTTCTGGTCGTCGTGCCACCTGGAAGCGTCGCAACACCCTCTCTCTCCGTCGTTACCGTTAAATATCTTGATCTTTTTAGCTTACTTGCTGAAAAGTGGAATACAACAAAAAAAGTTTTACCACCCTCTTTCTTTCTTTGTTGGACACCTGGTATTATATAACTCCAATAAAAATACAACAACAATCCCAAAAAAAAAAAAAAAAAGCTCTGTATACATGTTTGGTATCTTTTTTCTGTTAAATGTTTAAAGTATTTTATAGATTCTAGTGAAAAATAGGTTATTAATATACATGGTAAAAAGGAATTATAAATAAGAGTGAGGGGTGTTTTGTGTGTGTGTGCGTGTGTTGATCACGGTTTTGCCGAAAATTTTACTCTCTTGCATCAGGCTTGCTATAGCCATGATGATGAGGATCATTTTCAGCAGCAAATGCATAATCCGCATGTCTCGTATCCGCTTCATTTGCAGGATACGTCTTGCCGGAATCATAACCTTGTTCGTTATAATATCCTCCGTTATGATTTGCATCGGGATAACCACCATAATAGCCGCCGTTATTTGCAGGCGCTTGGTACGGAGCATTATGAAGATCTGGGTAAGGAGCATGAGGGTCTTGATAGACAGCATGTGGGTCTTGATATGGAGCATCTTGATAGGGAGCATCCTGGTATGCAAGGTTAGGGTTGTAATAGTCTCCATCTCCCTGTGAATAATTGCCGCCAATAGGTGTAGTGGAAGCATAATAGTAATTGTCATCATGCGTTGGTTGACGTGTCGTGACAAAGTCATCATCATAAGGTGTTACGTTACCACCTTGTGCAGGTGGTACAAAAGCACGGGCTCCTGTCGCTCCAGCAACAGCAGCTCCAGCTGCCACCGCTCCTCCACCACCACCACCACCATAAGCTTGAGGTCCATCAGCAGCAAATTGATACATATCATTATCCCCACTCTTTCGTTGTTCCTTCTTACGATTGGATCTTCTACACAAGAAGAATAACAAGGCAGCTAAATAATTTTTTTTTTTTTTTAAAAAAAAAAAAAAAGTTAGACACATGGCTGTACATAAGATTTTTTTTTTTTTTACCAATTAATGCTGCACCCACAACACCTCCGACAACGCCACCAGCAATTGCACCTTTATTAATCGTACTACCACCAGCTTCATTATCTGCTCCATTTGCTACAAAAAAAGATGAGGAAACAGTATCAGTATACATATACACGATCCCAGTAATTTATATGGAACCAAACCTGCGAGTGTAGATGATGGTATTGTCGAGGAATGAGATCCTGTTGGAGAAACTAGAGCTGAGCTTGATACATCACTTGTTAAAGGAACTACGGGAGCAATCACACTACTACTACTGACTGGTAATGCTGAACTACTTATAGGAAGACTACTACTCGATAAAGGTGTCGTACTACTGATAGCAATGCTACTACTAGCCGTAGTGGTAGTTGAAGCAATGATGGGGGGTGTAGTCACTGGAGCAACGGTCGTGGTCGTAGTGGGTTTCTTTGTAGTGGTGGTGACAACGGGCGGTGGTGGTACTACGCTACTGGAAACTTGGGTCGTGGGTTCCACAACACTCGTTTGTTTTTTAGTCGTCGTTGTTGTTGGTACCGCGACAGCTGTGGTTGTGGTTTGCGGCACGGTGGTGGTAGGCTTTGCAGTGGTAGTCGCAGGCTCTACTGGTTGCGGTTTGGTCGTAATTTCAGGCAGGTCACTGGTGGTGACGGCAGGCTCTTTTGTTGTGACCACCGTAGGTTTTTCAGTCGTCGTTGTAGCAACAACCGAAGGCTTCTTTGTGGTGGTGACGGGTGGATCTGTGGTAACTACAGGTTCCTCGGTAGTGGTGACAAGAGGTTCAATGGTGGTGACGGGTGGTTTTTCGGTGGTGGTAGCTTTGGAACCGGTGGTGGTGGTGGTGGTGACGGGTTCTTTCGAGGTATCACTGACAGTGGTTGTATTACTGGGATCCTCCTCTGTGGTGACGGCAGCGGAAACGACTTTTGTTGATGATGGATCTACAGTGGTAATGTCTCTTTTGACTGTCGTTTTGGTATTCTCAGGAACGGACGTTTTCGTCGTGATTTCGGATACTGAATCGATGGTGGTAGGAGTGTCTTTTGTAGTCAAGGTTTTTTTCTAAATTGAAAAAAAATTAGATAGTATTAGAATATAATCATTTATTTTTTTCAAGTTCCGGGGGGTAGGGGGGTAGGGACGGAAAACTTAAGTTACCTGATCATTGGTAGTTGTTGTTTCCGCGGCCGCATTAGTGGTGGTGGTGACAGTACTGTCATTTTTATCCGTCGCAGTAATATCATCATCGGGATTTGCACTAGGGGATGTCTCAGCCTTTTTAACCAAGTTCATATAAACAGGAGCATTGACCATAGGTTCACGTCTATTGATCATAAACTTGCTCAAAAAGGTTGGGTTAGTTGATTTCTTCACAATGTCAGTTATCAAGGCTCTCTTGTTAAAGTTTTTTAAAGTTTTGTCGCTTGTGCTACGATGAATTCTGTAACGATTTGCTTCAATTTTGTTTATATTTTCCATTTTCTTTTTTTTTTTAAAAAAAAAAGAGAGAGGGGAAGGAAGAAAAAAGAAGATGAATTATAGGAAAGCAAGAAAAACTTTTTTTTTTTTTAAAAAGAAAGAAAGATAGCTGGAAAAGCATTTTAGTACTAAAGCGGAGCTATTAAAATATAAGGAGCCCTGGCCAATTAACAAAAGATACTTCTTTGGCCCAGGAACAGGGTGCACTATTGTTATTTTTTTCTTTTTTCGGATAGGCCACACAAAATTACTTGTTTTCCACACCCATCTTTCTTCTTAATCTCCAAGGAAAAACGCGTCGAGAAGCAAATCAAAAAAAAAAAAAAAAAGAACGGGGTGACAGTCACCCGGGTCACTATGCCACAGATATAATAGAGCGGGTAAAAAATCAGTCTCGGGTGTAACAAAAGTATCATGACCGAGAAACAGACACACACACTTTTTTTTCATGTTTTGGCCTAGATTCAGTAGTAGGATCTTCTTTTTTCACCATGAATGCTAGATAAAGAATTACAGCTATCGGGCTGCCTAAAATGTTTTTGGTTCATCTCATTATTTAGAAACGCTTAATTATGTGCATCCCCCCCCCCCTTATATATATATATATATAGCTGCTTGAAAGTAAACTATAGGCTACAATGCAATAATAATGGACAACTGTGCTTATAGTGCCAATTTCTGCGCAAGTTTAAATTGTATCGCGTGTACTTTTTTCAAATCGCGTAGATTTGATTGGCTCATTGGGTGTGTATGGGCCCTACCTATTTCACACTATTTCACTCATTAAGTAGAAAATACGAGTTCAATTTGGCATAATTTTAAAACCTTATAAGGTTAGCCGTTATTAGAAGACACTTTTTTTTTTTTATACTTTTTTTGACGATCCTTAAACAATGTAATGTCGTACAAGGATATTCTATCCATCATAAAATGCTTTCTAATCCGAATAAGCCGGGTCTTTTCTTTTCCCCATTACGGCTTATAAATAATTTACAAGGAACCAGTTAAAAAAAAGGGTAGATGCCCTCTAAAGTCTATCGGGCTTTTAGATTTATACAATCATTTTTTTTTATTCTCGTTATATTAAATCTATTTACGCACATGAATAAGCCTTTTTCTGTCCAATCATGACTTTGACAGCTACAAAGGAAAAATATATATATATATAAAAAAAAAAGAATGACCGTAGCATTTTTCATAACCAATCCTTCCGTTATAGAAGGTTAAATGATATGGAAGTCAATCACCCTGTTTCAAACCATTATTGGCAGAATACCTACATAACATACACCCATTTTGATTTTGCGGGGAGTGAGGTTGTAGCACGATGTCATAATATATGATTACATGTGATTTACGTCTATAGTTGGGTGAAATAGTGCCGTCATAAACTCGACATGTTCAATAGTCATACATACAGATAGTCAACTAACAACTATAGCTGCACAGGTAAGAAGTGTGCCCAGAACGTTTCCTCAGAGTAAAACTCGTTTTAAATCCTACTCGTGGAAATAAAAACACGCTTTTAAATCCGTATTGAATGTTTTTCTGAATATATATATATATATTTTTTGGCGACTTTCAACATTATTGTCTTCTAGGGAAAGAACTTTATTAGCTAGACTTGGGCATTCTCTTTACAAAGATGTTAATAATGATTGAAAAAAAAAAAATAAGAGTGTGACTCATCTGCTTTTACATGCGTAAATTTTAATAACCAGATGGTTTCTGACTCATGTTGTCCAAATTCAATCAATCATTCTATTACTGGCATAAATGTTTTTTAATAGACATTGGCATTGCTTTTTTATATATATATTTGGAAGCGTTAGAAACCCGCTTATCCAAATGCCACGTTAAAATGTATTAATTACTATTTATCAGACATTATTGGTCGATTCTTCCACTGGGGAATAAGTAAGAGAGAGAGAGAGAAAGATTTTATATAGATGCACGTGTGGATATGAGTAACCAAGCATGTAAAACCGGCACCTTTCGTGCGAAGCGTCAAGTTATTTTTGGTTTTTGTGTGGTTTTAGATCTTTAAAACTGTCATTGCGCCAAGGTGAATCATTGAATGTAACACCAACCATTATTTCCTAATGCGATCAAGATCAATGTTATTGTCTTTTTTTTTTAATCATGACATGACGGGGAAGGGGGGGGGGGTAAAAGTGACGATGAAATTCTGTAATATAAATTAGAGCGTTAAAAACTGATATTTACAATGCAAAAAATAAAGAGAGATACATGTTATTCATAGATACTGTTTCTTGTTCCCCCCCCCCCATGATACGATTTTAAAGAATAAATGATTGGCTAGAACATGTTAAACAAACGGGGATGTACAAGGTGGTATGCAGTGAGTAACCAGGTTTAATCTACAACGGAGGAGGAGGAGTTAGTGTAGTTTAACCTGAGACCTCTCTTCTATGTAAATTAGGGAGGTAATATAAATTCCAGTTATTTTTTCTTTCTCAGGTACTATTGGTCTGCGTCATAATAATAAAAAGTTTACGAAATTTTTCTTTCTTGTTCTTTCCACAAAAACTACTAGGTTTTTTTTGTTAGTGCTGTAGATCTTAGGGGGATTTTTTTTTTGTATCCCATCAAATCACTCCCTATACACTCATGATGACATGTGTATATGAAATACATATACAAAAGAAAAAAGACATGTCACTATTACTCTCTGTGGACAGACTGAAATAAAAAAAGTGTAAAAAATTAGAGTTTTTTACGCACACTCATGTACAGTAGTTATATGCATGATAAATGCACTGACCTTTTGCATCTGATACCAAATAGCAATTGTTATGCATCATGCTAAAAGATAAAAAAGAGTGGTCTTTTTTTTTTTTGCAGGGAGAGAAATTTTGCTTCTCTCTCTCTCTCCCCCCCCCCCCCAACACACCCCTTCTTTTCCCCCCTCGTGCATTTTTAACTTTTTTTTCTGGAGGAGGTAGTGATGGGAATTTTATTTTTACTGGATTATTCGTAAATAGGAAAAAAGCAGGTATTTTTATATATATATAATAAATGGGATTATCGTATGAATATGGGATAAATAAAAGTCATGTCACATCATTCAGCATTATTTTATATTTAGAATACGTTTAATATATATTTTATACTTATGTGCATATAATTTCATCCTAAATTATTATGTGCAGAATCGCGATAATAATATCAACAAAACCGCCCACTTACCCATGATCCATTTCTTATCTAATACCTTCTATACATCATTTGTACACCTTTTGCAAAGGCATTCAGTCAATAAGAAATTAAAATCAGCGGATTTTTTATGTGTGTATAGTTTATTATCTAGCCCAGAGTGAGTTATGCTTAGTAAAAAGGGTGTGATATAAATCCATAAAGGCACTCTGCAAAAACACTGTGGACAGTCTACATTAAAACTTCTTGCTTGTTTTTTCAGCAAAAAAAGACAAGTGTACACATAATTGCTCTCGGTAAAGAAATCATCAGCGGTAGTAATATCCCCCCGTGATGTAATTAATAAGGCAATACCCTTGTTTATGTGCTTGTATATTACGTAAACGAGAACACAGTTTTATTTATATTGTTTTGATTAAAATGATTTAGACTTGTATGACGACTCTTCTATAATGTCCTTAGAAGCAATTTGAGTACGTGTGTGTGCGTGGGGAATCTCCGTGTATATGTATAATAGAAAAAATTCCAACTTCTCCATCAACTTCAACCAACATTAGCAGCCAAGTCATAGTTGAAAACATAAATGCAATATGTATATTCTTTTGTCATACATATACAGAAGATAACATGGAAAAGCTTTTGAAAAGAATGGAAAGTTTCGAAGATGTCAACGTTTGCTACGACAGAAAAATTCATTGCAACCTCTGCTACTTTTTTAGTATCAAGAGAATTGATTCTGAACCTTTAATAAGAGATACAAGTCAATGATAATTTCATTTGTCTATTTTATTATCCATAATGTTTGAGCCTTTACTTATTATAGAAACACTTGCAAAAACCTCCCAAGCAAGTCAGAACTTGTTAATTGTGTCTATCTTCAGATTTTGTGGAAAACAGAAATCAATTATCCTATGAAGTTTAGACGAATATGGGCATGTCAATCGATGTGTAGACAGACCATCACGTGATTCTAAAAATATACGTTTACTGGAAGCCACTGTATTTCATTTTCGCGACTTTTTTTTAGACCCGGAGTGTGGAGAAGTTTTTTAAAAAAGCAAAAAAATAAAATAAATTTGGCTATTCCATATAAGGAATTCTACCTTTCCATATTTTTCTTCTACTGCGAGATACGTAATTTTTTTTTTGTGTGGTAGATTGAAGAACGTCATGTGGGAATGTGTGCAAGCCCAGACAGTTGATGGGCTGTGATCAACATTTATTTATATTAAGTCTATCTGTGTGTGTATATTTGATAAATTGCATCAGCGCCCCGATTTCAAAGGATTTGCCCGACACTTGATGAATCATCGGTAAAAATCATTGAAAACCTCGATCCCCTTCACCATCTTTCATGGCCGATCGGAAAAGCAAAAAAAAAAAAAAACACACACACACAAGAGAGCACAGCAGGAAGGGACATAAATAACATTTTTTTTTTTTGTGTGTGCTAATGTGTGTTAATCAGCTACCTGGAAAAGGTAAGCAGCAGCTAGGAAGAGACACTATGCCCCCCCCCCCCTGTCACTTTAAAAGAAAATTAAAAAGAAAGAATTACAAAAGATGAAGAGAGAAAGATTGATTGTTTACACTTTATATACTTTTTATAAAAATGCGAAATGTACAGTGAACTAGCAATCGATCGAAGACTAAAAAAAGAGAACAATTGTCTGAGCCCACTCCTTTATTGCCTTTTTTGACCAACAAACAGTGAGAATTGACTCCCCCATAGTTTTAAAGCTAGAAAAAAGAGTGTCATTCATGTTGATAGATGATTTACCTTGTAAATTCTTATAAATCTCATATGATGTGATTGGAAGGGGTTAAAAAGAGAGAGATCTTACCATGAATTTTTACCCTAGTTTGTATTGTAATTCTTTTATTATTCTGTTTGGGATTATTCTATTATTCTTTTAAGTTACTAAAATGAGCCATGCTGCTACACATTGTGTAACAGTGTGATGTTTAAATGAAGAAATTTTTTTTTAGTGTTTTCTTGATGGCCACGTAAGAACAATCAATGAATTATAAAATTAAAAAAAAAAAAAGGTCAATGCCAAATCAGAATAAACTTGAAGTGTTTTTTTCAGTGCAAATGTGATCTTAAATGTGATGTACGAGTAATAATAAAAACAGTAAATAAAGATAATTTATTCGTACACGTGAATTACTGGATTGAGCGATCTTATTCCACTCACAATATTTGGTCAATTTAGGATCTGACTGATCCCCCAACAAACACACACACACACACACACACACCTACACCCCCCAAACGCCTCCCCCTTAGAGTCTTTTTTTTTGTTTCCCTTGTATTCTCCACATATACATTTCATTCTGATATTTTACCCCAAGTACAATGCACGTCGCTGTAACAGATCAAATGACACAATTTAATGCAACTTTCTGGTAGATTGCTTCTTTTTCATGAATAAAAGATATTCATGACAATAATAAATATAAAAATAAAATAAAAAGGAAATGGGGGGAGATGGGTGGGGGATGGGGGGAGAAGTGTTGGTTACGAAAGGGGGAGAAAGAAAAAAAAAAAAAAAAAAGAAGATATGCAGATCGAACAATTACATATAAAATTACGATGAGCAAAATAGTTGATTGTATACGAAAAAGGGAAATTAAGGTTCTTTAGATCGTATGAAGCTAAAAGGCAAATTGGCCGTTGTATCATTTTCCTTTTCAGACACTTTTCTACGAGATTATCCAATATATTTAGTGTATTTTTTTTTTTTTTTTACAGGTGCGTTCCTATTCATCTTAAAAAACGTAATGGTTAACCGATCGATGCCTTATTAAAGACCTTTTTTTTTTTCCCAAACGGATATATGATTTTGCAACCACCAAAAAAAAAAAAAAATACATACAAATATCAATGAAACTCCGACTCCCTTAAGGAAAATGGCCCATCAACTCTTTTTTTCCAAATTCTTATATAAATCATTCCCTTTTTCTCCACTTTTTCTTTTTTTATCATTTTATTTTTTTTCACAAGTAAAACTTTTTTTTTTCTTCTTATCTTTTAAGCACTCTCAAAATAATCCTCCACAGCCAAAATCACACAAATTTCCCTGTCCTCCTCATGTCAACGGAACGGAAAAGCAAATCAACTTCAACATCACCTACCATGAATGACAGTCAAAGTACACTGAATATTAGACAACGAGTGTTTCCTCCTACAGCATCTTCTTCCACAAACTATCCACTCGGTATCTCATTCCTATCCACTTCAAATACATTAAACGAAAGGTAAACATCAGATGACATGCATCCTTTTTTTTTTCTTTATCTAATCCATTCTTCTAAACTGATATATAGTGAAGACATGGCGTATATTGAGAAACGAACGGCGCATAATGCACTCGAAAGGCAAAGAAGAGAGGGCTTGAATTCAAAGTTTCAAGAACTCGCTCATGTCTTGCCTGCTCTACAACAAATACGTCGACCCAGCAAAAGCATGATTGTAGCCAAATCACTTGAATTCGGTAACCATTGACACATACACACACATATATATATATCATGCATTCTAACTCTTTTTTTTATTTATTTATAGTATCCAATGCTGTCGAGAGACAGACTGACTTTGAAGATCAGTTGGATGCCTTGCGAGTAGAGAACGCTCAACTCCTAAGACAGGCACAGAATTCCACCAAACGTATCAAGAAGCAAGTCGAGACAGATTCAACTAAAACTCAAAAGCAACCTAACCAAACTGTAGTCAAATCATCTGCAACAACAACAACAACAACAAGCGGCGCCATTATTAAATCAAGAAGACTCCCTAGTAGATTGAAACCCCAATTACGCCAATCATCCTTGCCTGTCTCGCTGTTGCCTCCAAAAATAGCTACCGAAGAACCCGCTGCCACTGCCGCCGCCGCTGCCGCTTCTGCCGCCACCACTACCATGACTACCGCATCCGAAGTTGTATCTGAGATCAAACCTCAGCAACAGCAGCATCAGCATCAGCATCAGCATCAGCAGCAAATAAAGAAGAGACAAAGAGATGACGAATCGGTCCATAGCAACACTAGTAGCAGTAGCAGTAATCATCTTCTTTCTCCCAACACAACAAAAGAGATGGAGACACACATGAAGAAAAGAAAGCGAAACTACACAACGAATAGTAACCATCAGCAACCTCATCATCATCATTATCAGCAGCAGCAGCAGCAGCAGCAGCAGCAACATGCACCTTCTAATAACCATAATGAAGAGATACATCGACAGCAGCCCATGCACCGTCATAGGTACGGTAGTCATCAGCCAACCACGAATGGCTTAGATAGCATTATTACACCTGTCCAGTCTCGACAGAATAGTATTACTCCTCTTTCGGACCAATTACCGCTGCCTTTTGATAATGACAATAATGAAACCTTAATTGTTCCTACTCAGTTTGATATCACGACATCACCCTTTGGCACGGAGCAGTACTATAATACCTATGATCACTTTGAACATGTTAGTTCAATTCCTGCTTTACGTACACCAGTGGGTAGAAGTAGTAGTAGCCATACGAATAATGAAGTCACTGTTCTAAGCCAACAACAACCACCACCACCACCCTATGAGCCAACCTCGCTTGATATTTTAAATTCCATCATGCAGGAACATCATCAAGACTTGAACACCACTGGTGAGTTCTTTTTATTGTCACATGTAGATGCATTTACTTATATTTTTTTTTTAAATTTTAGGTGCAAATTATTATTGGCATCAGTAAAAACAAAAAACTCTTTTTTTTTTCTATTTCTCCATTCTCTTTTTCTCCTTTCTTTCACCCGCCCATTTCTGATACCCTTTTAGGCCCAACCCTCCTACAACAAAAGATATACCTTTTTTTTTTTTTTTTTTTTTTTTTTTTATTTACTATTATGCCAAAAAAAAAAAAAAAAAAATCTACATAGTTGGTGTGACTTTGGCTTCAACAATTATTTTCTATAGGATAAAGGGCGTGCCCTGTTAAAGTCAAAGAAAACTATAATGTAAATAGCACAAGAACCCTAACCCCCCCTTTTTTATTTTTCTTCTACCCTTTGTAAGCCCCCCCATTATGTCTCTCTTTCTTCTTTTTTTCTTCTTTTATCAAAATCGCAATTTTTTTTGTGTGACTAATAAATTTTTTGGCTCTCTCCAAAAACCTTTTTTTTTCCCCTTTGTTCTCTCGCACGTCATAAAAAGGGGGGGGGGGTTGAAAATCCATGTGAATAAATATAGTAATTTTTTGTCTTACTATGTGGAATGCAAAGCACGTTTTTGCTCGTGCTTTCACCTTTTATGGTAACCTATGAGATCACACAAACATAGACCTATATAAACGTCATGGACTAAAATGGTGTTTCTTTTTTTTTTTCGCGCGCCTATTGTGCGTGTTTCTATTATTTTTTTTTCGTGTACGTGTGAAATGAATGCCACACTTTTAGTTTACTTATTCTGTCACACATGACTATGAATCAATGAAATCTTGATACAGAACTCATATAAATTTCCTTTATCATGAACTTGGACTAAAAGTAATTGCTTATCTAATTTGTACACTCTGTGAATCATAAATGAGTAAAATTGCTGAGCAAAAAAAAAATAGTATTTGATCGATCATGTAGCATGAATAGAATCAGGGTCTACTTTTACAACAGTCATGGTACACACACACACACACACATTACATCCCCTCTGCCCCTTCTTTTCACAAAAAAATAAATAAAATAAAAGTACCTACAAATACACTGTGATGTCTCCATTTACTTGAATACACACACACATACGTCTTGGCTAAATATTCTCCTAAAATGACAGTATGACTCCGACGATCGACACCAACACGAGGATTCAAAAAGGCTATTACATTTGTCTCTTATATTACGCATTTTGTTCAAATGGGGACTTTTTTTTTTTTAAAGTTGTGGAACTGCAAAAAAGGGTTTGTGTGAGAGGTAAAATTTGCGCGGGGATATTTCCCTTTTTATTTTTCTTATTTTCCCTCCCTGTCAAAATGTTACGCTTAGCTAATAGAGTCGTTACGCCAAGTCCCCAACAAAAGAGAGGTTTATATGAATCGCACGGTAGCTAATAATAATAATAATAAAAAAAAAGACACTCCCCCCGTGTTAAACAATAAAAATATTATTACACATAGCATTCTCAAGTCAATTGTTTTCAATCTACATTCATTGGCCTTATTGTGAAAGTAAATGTACCTATTGTAATTTCAACAAGTATGTCAATCCGAAAGAGCCTCCCCATGATAGACTCGTACAAGCCATGACCACAGAACTCGAGTATTTTCTGAATAATCCTCGATATAATTTCAAAAACAGACGTTTACATTCTGTCTATTTTGGTGGTGGTACTCCCAGTAAGTACCCCTCTTCTTTTTTTACAGTGTATACATACGAATTGTTGATTTTCTGTTTTTTTAAGGTTTGGCAAAGCCATCTGGTATCGCATCCATATTAAAGACAATCGATAAGCATGTTGGTTTAAACAAGCATGTTGAAGTGAGCATGGAGGTGAGTTCTTTTTCTTTCTTTCTGTAGATACTTCTTTCTAAAATTAAATCCCATTTTACACTTTTTTTTTATAGGCTAATCCTACCGTAAATTATTTCATATGCATATAACCCTCACCAAACTCATGATATCCATAGTCGATAGAATTGCACAAGTTACAAGGATTTAAAGAAGCCGGCGTCAATCGACTGTCACTAGGTATCCAGTCTTTTAATAACAAGGATCTGAAAGTATTAGGTCGTGATCATTCGGGTATGGACGCATTAAAGGCTTTATCCATGGCCAAAGAGATCTTTCACAAGGAAAGAGTCACGTTTGATTTAATTTATGCTCGTCCTGGGCAAAACTTACAAGGTATTCTTTATCCCCGCCCCCATATCATATCATTTGTATAACTCAGTTGCTTCCTTTTCTTTTTTAAAATGGTTAGATTGGAGAAATGAACTAAAGGTATATAGAGTGTACACATTGATATATATATATATATATGTGTGTACTTTGATATTGATGTGATATAGGCTGCTTTAGATATTGCAGGCGATCATATGTCCATGTATCAACTCACTTTGGAAAGAAGCACGCCGTAATACTTGTATACTATGTATGTAAAAAGAAAGGCTAATAAGTTTTTTTTTTTTTTTTTTTTTTTTTTTTTTTTTTTTTAAGGTTGCATAAACAGTCTTTAAAAGGACTGATACCTTCTATGCCAGACAGCGATTTAGCTGCTGATATGTATGAAGAAACCGTAAGAATAGCAAAAGAATTTGGATATGCACATTATGAAGTTTCTAGTTATGCCAAACATCAAGCTGCTATCAGTCGTCATAACTTTTCTTATTGGCAAGGCATGGATTATTTAGGTACGGCCTCTTTTTGTTTTGTTTCATTGTTTCCCCCTTTTTAATTTGTTATAAGGTTAGGTATTGGACCTGGAGCACATGGTCGTTTGACGGATTTTGTAGATCATCAACGCGTTAGAACATTTGGGGTAAAATAGAGAGAGCAAGGTCGTATTTTTTGTTTTTATTCATTTGCCCTGTTAGGAATTTCATCCAGAGAAATATATGGCACTTTGTGAAGCGGAAGGTGAAGGGTAAAGAAATTAGAGCAACAAAAATGGACAGATTGTGTATGCTTAAATTCTTTCATAGTATACGCAAGATGACACCATTATCAGTACAAGATATGGCAGAGGTAAAACATACAGATAGGAATTATCGAGTAAGCTTATCTGACAAAAATGGATTAGGAATTAATTGTGTTTGGCATGCGTACACGTATGGGTATTCCCAGATCAAGGTTTTCAGCCATGACACAAGGAAAGCAATTAGACGAGGTAAATAATTTTTTTTTTGTATGACATCTTGCATCACAAAATGATTGACTTGCTAAAAAAAAAAACAGTATCTGGATAAGGAAGCACTTGAGATGTTTATACAGTCGGGATTTATAGTGGATGAAGGAGAAATCACGGATGAGAACAGTAAAGAGATGAAACTCTACGTGCCACAGGAACTTGAATTCGAATGGGCTAAAGGTGGTATTCGTCCTACGGAGGCAGGACTTGAAAGGATGGATTATATTCTACCTAGATTATTAAAATCCAAATCAAATATTTAAAAAAAAACGTCATTTTTTATTATAGGGGGTTTCATTAACTATTTCTCATTCTCATGATTTTTTCTCATAAATTTAATCAATAACATTGCTTCAATTTTTGAGAAATATAATTTTTCTGAGCAAGATTTTTCTTTCTCAGGATGAGAAAATATTTCTTGAGAAAATGAAAATAATTAATGAAACCCCCTTATTATTTTGATGTGAGTATCAAAAAAAAAAAAAAAATTAGGAGGCTAAAATTTCAAGAGAGTGAGGGACGGGTATATTCCAACTTTTAAGCAGTGTCAGTAAATGGGACAACACTTGTCGGAAATGAAGCGTGATCTTTTGGGCCAAAGTCAACTAGTAAAAATAAATTAATATTAGCCCCCCTTTGCATCCGCTTTATGTATCTTTCTTTACCTTTGGTGTCATTCTATCAATATACAAGTTTCGGAATCTTTTAATTCCATGAACACTTTCTGAAAATCGATTAAATGTATTAAAGAGTGCTACAATCTCGCCTCTTTCAAACAAATCTGGGTTGGTGATAGGGCTAAAAAGAAGAACCTGAATCAGTATATCTATTTTTTTTTTTTTTTTTTTTTTTTTATTTCTAGTCATTCTGGACTTACTTTAATGATTTATCCTCGTACGAAAACAAGACCTTCAATGCAGTTCCCAAACCAACGGTCTGAACTTTACCCCAGAGTCTACATTTTTCACAACCCACACAATCCATAATTTTAGATACATTACGGAAATGGTCTTTGAATTCCTTCTTGAGAACCTAATACAATGGATAGGTTAATTTTTAAAACTCTATCCTTTTCTTTCTAGTCGTTTTTACCTGTGCTTCAGGACCATTGAACATTAGCTTTTCATCAAAAGTGGATGGACATGAATCCGTGCTCTTAATTAAATCCTGAACCATGAATCTCGTCTTTTGATCCTCTGCATTACTTCCAGTGCGGAAATCATATTGATCAAGATAAGGTCCGAGTTTTTGAACGGCTCTTAAAAGGAGCGCATAGGTGAAATATACATTTTGAAGACGTTCAGGATGAGATCCAATGCGATTGACAAAGCAATCCAAATTAGGGCCCTACAAAAAGATAATTTTTTTTATCAGCTACACGACCTTAGATATGAACAAGAATCTTACCCAAACACCTGTTTCTCTATCAAACCATTCATTACAGATATGGATGGAAATGGACGAATGAAGACCAGAGATCAAACGATAATAAACACGTTTTTCCAAACACACTTCATCATTACTTTCCATACCACCATCAGACTCTTCCGCCAAATCACTCAAGAATCGTTGCAATTCAGCTTTTTTATCAGGTACGTGGGCAAAAGGGGCTGCTTTTTGTTTGCTCTCTCCCAAATTCATAATATTGTTACATGTCTCACATCCTTCTGTCATTTGGTGTACAATATCAAAACAGTTTTCTTCATAGATGGCTTTCCAGACTCGTCCGGATGATGGGCCTGCATATCCAGTAAATCGCTCGGGATTATCCATTAAATCAATATAGACAACACCTGATGTATATATAGTTAGTAACACTCTTTTTATTTGTAATGCGTTTGTACATACTATCAGAGTCCAATTGATCATCTACAAGACAGAAATCTTGATCCTTGTACGAGCATTGTTTGAATGGTTGGAAAAGCTTTACAATAAAAAAAAAATGCGTTAGATCAGGCGATAGATTCAGGGGAAAATAAATCCAACTTACGGATCCTTTTGGTGATAATTGAATAGCACTTAATGCATCCTTTCTCCAATCCGCTGGTAAAAGTTGCTATAGTAGAGTTTTAATTTCGGTGTTCTTAATTACAAATATAACGACAAACCTCGTCAGTCGTGGCGACAGAGCAATCACGGTTTGTACATAGTGCATCTTCGTTCCAAAAAGGGCAATCTTTCCATAAATCTGCCTTTTTTTTTGAAAAAAAGAGGGGGGTTATTCACTCTGCATTTTTTTTAAAAAAAGGGGGGTAATCACTTACTCTGTAATAACGAAAGAACTTGGTTTGAACTAATTCTTGAACTTTGTCGAAAACGTCATTTTGAATCGTTTCAATACTTTGGTAATCACAACAAGTGTCTCTAATCTGTCCAGAAGGCTATTTTTTTTATCAATTACAAAAGTATGAATAAAAGCGTCATTAAAAGAAAGAGAGAGTGCTATCTTACATTGCAGTAATCTTTGGCATTGTCAGAAGTTAATATATTTTGTACAAAATTGACAGGTGCTGGTTCTTGTAAAGGAAATTGAGGCCCCTTCACATCATGTTGAAGACTAGGTAAAATTGCCAGTGAGATAACACTGAGTGAGTATAACAGTAATTTCGTTGAATGCATTTGAATAACACGAAAGAAATATGAAAAAAAAAAAAACGTGCCACTCTTTGTATTTGTAATGCGAGCGGGGTGCATTTTTTTTTTTTTTTTACTTTTGCGCTACGTGGAATCACCTTTTAGGGTCCTTTCATTGATTGGATATCGAATCAGTGGCCAATTGATTTTATTAAAGTATCGCCTGATGTCATTTTCTTTTTAAATCTGTTGGCATGGACGCATTTTTTTTAAAAAGTTAGGATACTGATCATGACAGATAAAAGAATCGCTTACAGTCTTTTGACTTCGCTTGTTATTTGGTTCTTTTTGTATAAGGACTTTTTGAAAAACTAAAGGATAAATGTTTGTGATGAATTGTATACATTGATAATACAAACAGCTGTGATATTTGGGTGTTGTTTTGGTTTCTGCATCCCATTACATCGGTTAATTCTTTTTAGTCTTGAGCCCATAACGTATCCCACAAATTTCATCAACAAGCATAGTCTATTTTTACATGACAAATTGGAAAAGATGATCCATTTCCGTAGCCCCCCCCCTTTTTTTTTATTATTAAGACTACGTGGTATGACTATATTAGACAACGTATTTTGTTTTCATTCGTCTAATTTGCTTTCTGTGATTAAACTTCGTATGTTGTTTTTAGTTATAATATATTCGATAGTAATGTATTAAGTTCAACCTCGTCTCTGTCTTTCTAGCCCCTCGGCAAGACACATTACCAAAAAATTCTTTTTGATAATGTCATTCATTGAGGCTTTAATTAGGTTGCCGTTTTGTGAGCGTCTATAAAGATTAGTTTAAATACGAACTAGATGTATCATGGCGCAACCAAAACGTATCGTACGATCGCAAACAATGGAAACCAAAGAGAAATTTACGTTATTTTATATTCAGCCAATAGAATTTTCGTAGCAGAGTAATCATTGGCTATCAGCGTTTTGTCAGCATTGTATTTGTGCTTACTGTCATTTATTCCTCTTTGTTTCAATTGAATGGTCATGTAAATGAGCTCAATTTCTTCAGGGAAGAAGGTGATATTGAAGTTGACGTTGCGCAAGTACTTGATTGTAGCCATCATGTACTTATCGAGCAGATACGATCGATAGCATGATTCGCACTTTTGGAGTACTCGGAGACCACAATTGTTAAATATGTGATCATTTATAAAAAAAAAAACGCATTTCAATTGAGTAAATGTTCAAGTCTTTACAACTTTCAATGACAAATTCGAGGAGATTTTAAAAATCAGTTTTTTCTCCGCCATGACGACTGCATCATCAATGGTAATGCGGCTCAATTGTCCAATAGAGGTTTGCGTTTCCTTGTTCGATTCGTATAATACTAGTAGATTTAGATGTATCTATTTCTAACTCTCTATCAATGGAGACATACCGCATTAAATACAGCGTTGGATGTCTGGCAAGACACAGGTTTATATCCTGTATCGTGACTAATGATATTTTCTGGTTTAGCCGCCTAAAATCAGTATGAGTAGCAGGGAGATACAAAATAAGATCAGCCGAGACTATAGGCTGACAGGCATTCGAATTATTTTACTTGGCAAAAAGCCTAAGGCTTTACTTCAATTATCTATGAAGGAAAGCCAACTTGATTTCAAGTCGGCCACCACCAGAATAAAACAAATCCGGCTTCTTCTTCTGACGACCCACCTATATTTCAAAAATTAGTTTTTTGTTGTCGTTGTTTTTATTGTGTGCTTTTTGATTATAGCGTTATGCCGTTTCATCTTTCGCTATTGGTAGGTCAAATTTGATCTCTATGCCGACCAAAGCAATCTTTATATCGCCCCTGATATTTTTTATGAAAGATGGTCAGTAAACTGTGCATAATGGCTTGATGCAATTAAAAGAGGATTCTACCATTTCAGCCTTAGTCCAGAACATTCAAAGAGATTTTCCAGAATTGGGGCCTATACTTTGCATATGTAGTCCCATCCGGAATTGTCTATTTTAGCATCGAAAAGATATGCATGAGTTTTTGATAGCTGTAAAAGAAAATCGAATAATAAAAAAAAAAGACAAAAGTCTTTTTCCTCGTACTCCTCATTTTCATCGACATTATACTCTCATTGTAAAGCCTCGTTTTTTGTTGGCTGAGCACTTGGACATAGTTGACTACAACAAGCTACAAGTTCAAGATTATTAGCAAAGATCAATTACTACAATAGAAAGTTCTTACATCACGGACCATAGAAAGACTAAAATTGTTTTAGAGCCACGCAATCTTTTACTTTTGGATGGAAAAAATATCCCTGTATACGTGATTTTTGTTGATATTCTAAAACAAGATCATAATACGTATTATGTGAATTACATTGATCCCATCCAAAACCCAAAAGCACGACATAAAGGGTCATCAGCATATAGCGAAGACTAGCATTATCCGTGATATTGTACAGATTGGGAGAAGTCTTTTCCCTTTTTAAAAAAAGAGATAATATTGTAGAGCTCCCTAGAAAAACAAAAGTCATTATGAACCAACCTTTTCACAATATATACGGCTTTCTTTCTTACTAACAAAAAAAAAAAAAAAAAAAAAAAAGGAAATAGGCAAAAGGTAAAAGAAAAAGGCAGGAAAAGTGTGTGAACGGCTTTTATTTATAGATTGATAAACAAAATCTGGCTTATGTCAGGATAATTTCACTGCTTATTCAATCATAATATTTGAGATTTTACTTGGAATGGAGCCACCTGCAATTAACACTAGGCGTACATACAAGCAGTTTTAGACCTGTTAATTACCTACATATCAGTGTTTTTAGTAGTATCATGTACCAATAGCGAAATATATATTATAAAAGTAAATAGATCATCCCATGATGTTTAGAAAAAGTGAAGGTGATATCTACCGTATGTGTAGATTTCACCAAAAAAAAAAAGGAAGAGTCTAGATCCCTATTTATTTTTTCAGATATGAATGTAATAAAAACCTAAAAACTTATAGTATCATAATATCAATTCATCTCTGATAATAATATGATCGGTTGAATTTAAAGGGACCAGTGGCGGATTTGGTACACCTTCATGCGTGGCACTTAACAACTTTGTTTGTCACTAAATTTGTTGGGATAATAGCTTGTTCTGGAAAAGTCTCTCGCTCAAAAAGCCCACGTTTGTATGTTACTTCGTTTCTATGTCCGGCCCAATACCAGGACTAAAATGAAAAATGCTCCAAGTATATATGATAAAGTTTATTTTCTTACGTTTTTTAAGAAAAATATCTAAATGTGCAACTGATCGTTACTTTCGGGTCTCCCGAAAATTAAACAGATGACCAGTTTTAGCTAGAGAATATGAAATCAAAGGTTGTTTGGAGGTCGCCACATTAAGACTACACTGGGGCTTGAACTTAAGAGATGACTTTCGATTTTTGGTGATTTTTTGGACTTCTGCATTGATTGCTGGATCTTGACATTCAATAGTAACAGTGACTCCTATATGCTCTATCTGAAGACTAACTGTGAAGTAAATTGATTTTCCATCCATTCCAGCCATACATGGCATGATAATTTTGGCTTCCGCTATTTTAGCATGACTTGTAGTAAGGTATTTATTGTTAGCATCCTGTTTGGAATCGCAAGAAAATATTGCTGATTTAAAAATTAGCAGCTGTGAGGGATTTATTGCAATTATTATTGTAAGTACCTATTACTGCAGCGTTGGGGTATACGACATACACATCTTTTTTGTGTACCGTTTGTCGCTCGCCTTCCAATTCTTCACCTCTTGTTACAAAATACTCTAAGCGATCTTTTTCGAAATTTTCGTCTCCGTCGGGGCCTTTGATTTTTTCCTTGTCCAAATCCGTCAAGCTCTTCATAAAAGGTGACCTTACCTGTAAACCAAGGGATTGGTTGGCAAATTTTTTTGATAGTAAACGAGGATTTAAGGCATAAGAAGCAGCACCGTGAGAAATAGTCGTAACACCATCATAAGGAACGCTTACATGACACCTACCTTTATACTTATCTTTGATGCGTTGCTGCAGATATCTGGATTGTGAAAAGCCTCCAACCATCAAAATTGCGTTAATTTTTGCGCATCCTCTTTCGGCTTCTTCTAATTGATTATTGATCAGAGAAATAATGCGTTCAACAATAGGGTCGAATATTTTCTCTTTCATATCTTGGTTTTTCATTTTAAGCGTTGTATTTCCATTAGCCAATATGTAGTTGGAGTTGCTGGAAGTATTTATAACACCCTTTCCCGGCAAATCTATTTCGTAATAACTATCACCATACGAATTGGGCATGAAACCGGGCTATTATTAAAAATCGTGTTATTAATACTTATATATTAAGAGTAATGTTCATTACCTTTTGGTTTTTAATGAATTCTTGCATAACATCGTCGAGCTGAATATTTGATTCGTCGATATTTACTCCGCAGCTAAGGTAAAAATCGAATAGGTACTTTTTAAATCTCACATCGAGAAGAGTTGATCCACATGTATCACCAACACCATCGCCGATTTGACAAAGCATTGCCTCCTTTTTTTCATTGTATTGTAAATTAAAAGTAACTAAATCAACAGTTCCTCCGCCAGCATCACAGACAATAAAGTTTGTATCGTCTACGCTACCATCCGCCTTATTAAAATATTCGGTAAATCTCTTTTCACATGACAATGCTACTGCCTCAGCCTCACTGATTATAATAAGCCTATCTAAATCCCTTCTTGTTATCATTCCAGCTTTAATGGCAGCTTGCACCATGGTATCTCGCGCTGGCATATCCCAAATCGCTGGTACAGTAATCACATATCTCATCTTGTATTTTCTTAGAAGTCTTGCTCTGGTAAAGTCGTTGAAGTTATCATTATATTCTTTAGTAACGATGTGCTCAATGATGTGATTTTTAAAAAGCTTGAGATAATCAGCAATTACTTTGACCGCAGTAAAATTTCTCGTTTCGTTTCTATCATTAACAAACTCTCCCTGCTCTTTCGTTTCTTCCAGATCATGGTTCTGGTCATAAAGCTTTTCTAGAGGATCCGGACGTAAAAACAGCTTAAAGTTTCCCAAAAGATTGAGGTCTTGATGGCGCTTTGCTTGAAGCCTTGCTTCTTCACCCCAGTATTTCGGCTTCATATTCTTGCCGTACATTAACAAAGTAGGGACTTTTTCGAACTCGAGTGCATTACACGCTGGCCTATAATTTTTTGACTTAATATATTATTATTGGAGTTTTAAACTCTTAAATGAACATTACCAATCTTCTTTTATAGTCTTGATACTTTGTGTACTTGCCGGTCTGCCTTTATTATCCCTTAGTTTGACATATGAGCACCCAGAGGACGTGTTACCAAAGTCTAAATAAGCAAACAATCGTGAGATGTTAAAAAACAATTGGAGTTTGGAGACTGTATCAGATACAAACCGATTGCAACAATGAAGTCGTAACTATAATCCCCATTAATGATAATACTATTTTCTTCCAAAATAGTTTCTTGTCTTGACGATTGTTTGTCAGAAAAAAAGGGAATTTGGGATTTGTAAGTGCTTAATACAGAAGATACTGCGCCGGAGGAAATCCTCTCGTGTGAATCTTTAATAAAAGAATGATAATATTCCAACCTCCCCGGGTTGGCCCTTGTAAGTTTTTCAGCCAAGTATGCATCAACACCATATTTTCCGAAGAAAAAGATCTCGCATTGGCCATGAGTTTTGCCAGCATTTGATATGAAGTTAGTTGTGCTTTCGATAAAGGGTTCAAAGACAATTCTGTTGAGGTCTTCATAAGTAAATTCAACAACATCGTTATTAGCATCCGCTTGTGAGAAGGCAGTCATTTCTGGAGAATCCATGGTAAACTCATACTATTAGAACCATTAGATGGGAATAAAACGTAAATAAAAGTGGCAAGTTTTTACCTTAATGTCTTCTGTGAATGCATTAACAAATTGATCTATCAGTGAAGTGTTCAAGTTTAACTCTGTCATATGTTCTGTCAAGTAGTTTCTAAACCTGCCCTCCAAATTTATTGATCCTTGTGTGATATCATCAGAGACTTCCGTAACGGTGCTAAGGGACTCAGTGGAGGCAGCATGGATTCTGGCTATTCCAACAGAGACATCGCTTATATCGCAAACAAGATAGTTTTGATCATTTTGAATTTTGGATACATTCCTGTCAAGGGAAAGTTGATAATGAGCCGTAGCAACTGCTTCAGTAACAAATGAAAGCCGGTATTCAGCCTCGGTCTCTTCGATGATTCCGGCCTCGATAAAGCAATCTTTCATAAATTCTTGTCGATCAGTTGGACAAACGAGACAATAGCGTATGGCATCAATCTCTTCCTCGAAAAATTCTTCTGTAACAAAATTTTGAAAACGTTCATTTTGGACAAGTTTGTCATGCCTTCTTAGTCTTTGTATACCAAGATAAAGAAAGTGGTATAAGAAATCAGCGACAACTTTTTTGATAGTCAGACCGTTCATCAGTTGGCCAAGCTTATCATTCGAAGCATCAATATCGACAATATACTGTCCGATGTTGGCTACGTAAACACCCTTATTTCCGACGTCCTCGAATGCAACACCACATAATGGAATATCGCTGTCGTCGTTTGGATATAAAATTGAAGAATGGAATGTTTGAAAGCGTTTCTTTGAATCCTCCCTATATTAAAAGCTTAATATTTGTAAAGTCAATTATATTTTTACAATATAAAGTACCAAGACGTAACAGTAGTGATATCAAATGGGTCATCTACAAGAGCAATAGAAACTCCTGAAGTGGTAGATCCAAATTCTATTGTACAAAACGTTGTAATATTTGGCTATGTATTTGTTGTATTGCCACTAACCTATACCGACAACATATTTAATTTTTTTTGCGTTACTCATATTTGAAAACAAGCTAAAGATTGTAAAAAGTAAGAAAACGATATAAAAGACATTTTATTACACCCTGTTCATATAAGTTGGTCTTCGCGTCGTACATAATATGTGTTACCGCGACTCAGCCAAAAAATTACAAATAGTTAGATGAAGCTGAACAGATGCAGCAGTGCGAACAAACATCGCCAATTGTTAACATAATACTGATATTTAATATCGGGGACAATTTATTTGTTTACCTTACTGTTATTTCGATGCAAATATTCTTTGATTAATTAATTGACTGCTACATTCAAGTAGCACATAAAAAGCTTGGTACGACCGTGCGGTAGCTCCATAATAAGGGATCCCAAACATTAAAAAATAGGGGGTGCCAAACATTAAAAAAATCATTTCCTTAATTTTTAAGAAAAGTTCCCGGGAATTTCTTCCCAGCCAAATTCCCTAAACTTTGCAGGGACGATTTTTTGTGCTCGAGACTTTTTGGGCAAGAAAAGTGTACTTTTAGCCAAACACCCACACATAAAAAAAAAAACCAGGAATCTTGAGCCAATTATCTAATTTTTATCTTTACGAATTATCTATTAGCATTGACCCCTTCTGTTTCGTAATGATCAAAAATGGGATTTGTTCTACATATTTTTTTTCCTTATAGTTACTAATTACTTTGTTGTAACATAAGCTACCTTTTACTCTTAGATCGAATGGGGGAAAAATCGACTTTTTTATAAGTCCATATTTGTAATATTTATTTTTCAATTATACATTTATTTCATTTTTGTAATTATGATTATAGTTTGGAAGTGTTGTATTGATCCGTCCCCGTGGTTCTTCAATCAAAATCCGATCCTCATCGCCGTAGATATTTGCTACCAGGAACTGATCTTGAAATCGAAATTCAGGGATCTTCTGTCCAAGTTTTGAACAAGCAAAAGCTTCGAATATGGATTCATCTCTATCAAACTTTAGAGTTACATCAAAATGAAGTCGAGATCCAGGAGCTGTAGTGGTTGGGTCATCTATATCGCATTTAATATAAAGTTCGAATTGATGGATTTTGTTAAAGCTTTTAAGATACTGTCTGCTTCCGTTTTCGATTGTAGTAGAATCCTCAGAATAGTATATTGCTTCAGTTAGATACAAAAGTTACTAAGAGGATGTAATACTATACAATGTGTGATATATACTTACTGGCATAAACGATACATTCTTCCTCAGCATAAAATCTCTTTGAAATTCCATGCATTTGATTGCACTCCGAAATCTTATCACCTCTACTGATTAGGAATGTTACATCGTCAGGGGTTCTTAAAGAATCACTATCTTTTAAAGATGAATTATAGGATGACTGATAGTACAGATTTACTGGTCTGTCCACATCACTGTATGCATTTGCTGCTTCTTCATTGTATATATCATTCTTCACGTTTTTTCCTCCCCTTAGCTTCATTTCTGATAAGCTCTTCTCTGTGTCAATTTCAAACTTTTGACGTTTGTAACCACGAACTTGAATAGCATAAGACCTTCTAGAAACCCGCTCTGTAAAGGTCTCGGGATAGTTACCGTAGTACGCTGCACCTAATAATGCTTCTTTGCCGATGGTAGCAGACGAACATATACTACTTCTTGGGACACACAGAGCCTCAGACAATGTTTTTATAACAATTTTTTCAAGAAAATCACTCGTTTCTTTCTTTGCTGCTACTGAAAAGCCGGATAAAAAAATCCAATCGATGTCAAATAGACGAAACACATTACGTTGCATTCCGTTACACTTAATCGCTGAAGTCAAATCTCGTATAGCAGGCCAAAAAACATATTCCAAAAATTCGTATTTCGTGATAGATACTTGACAACCTGGCGATTTAGTCACTTGGATAGTTTGTGTTTCGTTACTATTATGATCTAGTTTGTCCTATAGTAACATTAATAAACGATATGATATTGGCGCTGCTGTATTTACAAACTTTTAGATATTCGAGAAAGTTTCGTCTAAGCTCCAAAATATAGGCTGAGTCAGCCGTATCATGGGTTTTCTGATCTTTGCAACATACAGTATTTGATATAAACAAGCTCAGATTTGTAACAAGTCTAGCAACAAAGTCAAACCCAAATGTAGCGGATCTCATGCTCCGGACATTTCTAAACCTATCTGAAGTTTCTTCCCCAAATCGATTAGCATCGCTGTCTTTTGGTGTGTCATTACCGGCAATTTGGGTTGATAAATGTAAGGACAAATGACAGGTATCGTGATACAGGCTTATTTGAAGAAAACAGTTACTTTGCGCTTTTTTTTCAAGGAATTTGTTCTTTTCAAAATATATAGCTGCTGCATCCTCACGGCGAATAAGCAATAGTCGTTTGGGAGAATCATCTTTTTTAATGATACCGGCAAGTTGAGCAATTTCACGCATTTCGGACTTGTTACCAAAGAATTGATAACAGTTTTCCATAGTGATAACATATCTGTACTTGTTTGTATTTAACAGATCCGGATTAGTCTTTTTAATTGAACTGTGCACATGTTTCAGCACGACTGTTAGTAATTCAATAAGATATCCCTTAAAAATTCCCTTCATAGCAGACATAAGTTTACTCAACGTAACAAACGACTCTGGCTTGCGGATGTCAGTCTCTTTAACTTGAGCTCCCCATAAAGTGTTTCCATCTAATGTTTCTTTTGCTGTGGGGATGGTGGGATTATCCCAATCTAAACCAGGCCTATTTGTACACGTTAAATATGCCCCATAAGTTATAATCCACTTAATTACCAATCTACGATGTCTGTCATGTCATCATCGTTATTTTTTAAATTTTTATAAGAACACGCGATTCCATTATATCCGATATCTACAATAAAACGGCAATATAAGTCACTAGTAAATGTATGTCGATATTATTTATCACCTAAACAAACAAGTGTATTGTACTGGGACGTGGTAGTATTTTCGTATTTGTAAACTACAACATCAGGTTGAGGCTCATATCTACTGCCATCAATACCATATATTAAGGCACCCCTCATTGCTGCTATGTCACCTCTATCATCCTGGATCAAAACACCAAGATATAGTGGACTCTTAACAGGAAATGCTTTTAGGATACGTTTACGTAAGTATGGTGATCCACCAAAACCTCCCACCAGATAGGTATATTTGATGTTTCCATTGGCTTTCTTTATCTGTCTCTTCAAAAGATCAATTGTATTATCGATTACTTCATCAAAAACCTTTTCTCGCATGTATTTATAAGAAAGTGTAATTTCAAAATGATATTCACCAAGGTCGACTGTTACACCTTCTTCCGTAATTGGTACACCATCAGGGCCTTGCCGCAATTTCAGCTGATTTAATATTTTACCCTGAGTACTTGAAAAAACCATGCCTGCAAACAAAATCATTGTTAAAATCAAGACACAAATGCTGAATTTTAAATTTTACCCTCGCCAAAATCATCAAGTTCTACGAAGTTTTCGTCACATCCTTGACGAAAAGTACACATTTCACAAACGGGTATTACATGTGAATTCTTGTAGCGATTTCTATATCTATATCCTCCATCTTCGTCGTAACTATCGTAGTCACTATCGTAATCACTATCGTAGTCACTATTGTGGTTACTATCGTAGTCACTATTGTGGTTACTATCGTAGTCACTATTGTGGTTACTATCGTTGTCGCTATGGCTGTCAACTTTACGACAGCAATCAGGAGCAAAGTCTTTTTTGGCCTTTCCAAAAATCGTCTACAGTGTAATATTATCAGAAATCACGAATGAGTATTGCTTTTACGCTTACCTTGCTAACAAGAAACTGGTCTGTCAAAGGTGCTATATATGATTCAAGCTCTTCTCTTATTAACTTATTATCCTTCCACAATTCTTTATCTGCACCAAAACAAATATCCAAAAGAATCTCCTTCATTTTAAGATCCAAATATGCAGATCCACATCTCTTTAGGCTTGCTGCGGTAAGTTGACATCTACGAAAACTATCGTTGTAATTTTTGTCTCCCTGTTTGGGTACTTCGAAGACAGCAATGCTCACCGTCCCCCCACCAGCATCGCAAATCATGTACTTCTCACCCTCTGACATAATTCCATATCTCGCATCTGGTTTCCGTTCACAATAGAGAAGTGCAGCTGAAGACTCGCTAATGATTTTTAAACGATTTTCATTGTCGTATTTGGAAATCAACCCTGCTTCAATAGCGATCAAACGCATAAGCGACTTTTGGACGTCATTCCACTGTATTGGGACGGTAATAACAAAACGTATATCATCTTTTTCAATTTTAAAATCTTGTACTATATTGCCATTTTGCATGACATTGACGGTGTGATCAAAAATCTCCCTAAAATAATCAATTGTAGCTCTCAGACATAAAAGCTCGAGTTGGCTAGTATTTCCAGTACGGCGAAAAGCCCCTTTCTGTGCAATGGACGAAGGGAGTTGTAATTTAAACTTTTCAAGGACTCGATGACCATCCTTTACTTGACCAGATTTTGTAAAGTTTAAGGCACTCATTCCCCAAAGCAAAAGGTGGAAGTTCCGATCACATACAATGATAGATGGTATTTTCTGCTGTAAATTATTTTGCTTTGGCCTAAAGTTTTTAATGTTTATATGAAGGTTAAAGGACTTCGTTTTTATTTTTTCATTTACCAATCAGTAACATGCAAAATCCTTGGGATTGTTGTTTCTCTTAACTCTTTTGTAGACAATCTGCCAGTAATAGCGTAACATGCCCCTGAAAATGTGGTGCCGAAATCTGTGCATGTCGCATTTGTAAATAAATCAAACTGCTTTGGAGTATTGTTCAGTTATTACCTATGCTAACGATTATACCATAATCACTATACTTGAACGCCATATCTTAACACAGGAAAGAGCGAAATATATATATATATATATATTTTAATTGATGTTTGTGTTTGTGCGATCCGCTTGAAGTTCGGGCTTTTACAATTCCTTGGAAAAAAATGACGACCTCTTTTTCCTAATTCGACATCGACATCGACATCGACGAAACTAACTAGGACAACCTTCGTGTGATTAGGGATGAGAATATTTTGCAAGCTTCAAAATAAGAAGCTCAAGCATAGAATCCCAGCCCTGTAAGTCTTATTTGGCGATGATTCTACATACAGTATAAAACTGAGGGAAAAGGCTTACAGATATGCGTCATAAACGGGCCATTTATCGTTGACTGTGTGATAATTGAAGATAAAAAAGGGAAATGTAAATGGGAAAATAAAGCAAGTAAAGAAATGAGACTCTATAATCCTTTATTATAAGTTGGAGAGTTTGTCATGATAAAAATAGAGGTCCTTTTTATATTCCTGCGTAGATCGAATTGACTATTTACCCGCAAACTGGGAAAATGGTAGAATTAGATTTAAAAATCAGTTACATATGAAACATAGCTTATCGTTATATACAAGAAGCTAGTTGACCCGTATCCGGCACTTCTAGAGCATTATAGTTTGTGAGAAACCAGAAGATTCGGCAGCTACTCGACCAATCCAGGAACGATTATGAAATCTGATCTCAGTTTGACATATGAGGGAGCTGGTACTGTCTCGTACCAATAGGAATGTATTCGCAATATGGTACTTATAATACATAGGTTATATGTATTATAATTGAGTGACAAGATAAGAGTAATTATATTCGTGGAATTAGGCGTCAAATACGACAGACTGGACGTCTTACGCCCAATTTTTTTTTACAGCAGTCAAGATTTGATGGAATAACTAGGACAGTTGCTATGTAGAAATATTAGAAATGAAATATTTTACTGTCAGGACCATTCGCAGATTACAATGTAGTTATTACTTTTGATAATGATGCACTCAACAGCTCTGTTTCACACTAAATAAGTTTGAATGATAGTGGATGACTTCCAAAATGCAAAATAGAATTAAATAGAATAGACTTAATTTTTTGGGTTGTGTAACGTGGAAGTAACCTTAAATTTCACTGCTTAAATTTTTGAAGTTAATTCGATCCCCCTACCCCCCCCCCCCCCGAATTAAAATAGAATTAACTCCAAAAAAAAAAATTACATTTCTATTAAATACTTTGTTTCTGATAAACGCTAATAATGGATGACTTCCAAAATGCAAAATGGGTTGTGTAACGGGGAATTAACCTTAAATTTCACCGCTTAAATTTTTGAAGTTAATTCGACCCCCCTACCCCCCCGAATTAAAAAAAATTAACAAAAAAATCATCTTTCTATTAAATAATTCATTTCTGATAAACGCTAATAACATTTAGATAATAAATATAAGGTCTATGAATAATATTTATCAAAACAGTTTATTTATTTGGCTCTTTTACGCTTCTGAGAACCGTCTTTTTTGCCCTTTCAGGAGAAGTAACAGTGAGTTGCTACTGTGCATATAAAACTGATGGGTTTTAGTGCGAACGGAAGGAGCATCATTGATAATAGTTAAACTATCTTGGTTACCGGTGTCTGGATGTATTCAAACATCATTGTCATCTGATAATATAGCTGTTTAGGTAGAGTTTTGCATATATGGTACGGGTCAAAAAAGTTAATTCTATTTTCAGTGTTTTGGAACAGAAGTAAAATTAACTCGGAAAATCAAATTTCCGAAGTTAATTCTATTCTATTTAATTCTATTTTGTATTTTGGAAGTCATCCAGTATGTTCTGGTAAATTATCTTGTTAAAAAACAAGGTATTTTTTTATATAGACTACTTCTTTTTGTGCACTATGGCAAATGGCGAGATTTAAAACTAATACGTACGTCGACACTACCGTGATTGCGTTGAGTTATTGGAATTATTCAAAATATAAAGATACGACACTTAATAGTGATAGCGCAGATATAAGTAAGCGCATTCATTTAATCGTGAATCTGAAAGAAGAAATTTGAAGAAATTAAACTTTCCTATATACTCTACACACGTATACAAATGTGTATATTTTTGGCCAGGCATTTGTTTTAATATCACTGGAATAAAATTTTGTTACATAACCCATGCTTTATTGGCTCCTTTTAACTATCTGCAACTTGTAAAACGTTTGCCTCAATTGGAACAATTTCTATATTTCCAATTTTAATTCGGTCTCTATCACCATATATATTTGCAACCAGATACTCATCTCGGGAACGGAACTCGGGAATCCTATGTCCAAGTTTTAAACAAGGCAATGCTTCGAAGCGAAATTCTTCCTTATCGAATTTTAAACATACGTCAAAGTACAGACGGGAACCGGGATCTGTAGTTGTTGGGTCATCTTTATCGCGTTTGATGTAAAGCTCGAACTGATGGATTTTGTCAAATTTTGTAAGATCAACATTACTGTTGCTTTTAGGTGAAGTAGAATTCTCGGAAGAGTAAATTGCTTTGATTGGTTAAATAGAGAAATTATTACAAAAATATGATGGGACTCTGTATGTAATATAATCTTACCAACATATACCACGCATTCTTCTTTAGCATAGAATCTTTTTGCAACTCCATGCATTTCGTTATGCGCCGAAATCTTATCGCCTCTACTGATAAAGAGCATTACTTTGCCAGGGGAAATTAAAGAACTATTATCTTCTAAAGATTGATTGTAAGAGGCCTGATAATACAACTGTACTGGTTTACTCTCGTCAATAAAAGCGTTTGCTGCTTCTTCATTGTATATATCATTCTTCATGTCTTTTCCTCCCTTTAACTCCATTCCCGATATATTCTTCTTTACATCCATCTCAAACTCTTGGCATTTATAACCACGAACTTGAACAGCATAAGAACCTCTGGAGACTCGTTCTGTAAATTGCTCAGGGTGGTTACCATAGTACGCCGCACCTAATAGTGCTTCTTTACCGTTAACAGCAGACGAACAAATACGGCTTCTTGGGATTTCCAAAATCCCAGACAATGTTCTTAAAACAATTTTCTCGAGAAAATCATATGTTTCTTTTTTCGTCTCTATTAAGAAACCAGATAAAAAAATTCTGTGGATATTGAACAGACTAAACACGTTGCGTTGCATTCCGTTTTGTTTAATAGCCGAAGCCAATTCTCTAATGGCAGGCCGGAAAACATACTCCAAAACTTCATACTTTGTGATGGATATTTGACAACCTGGGGATTTAGTTACCTGGATAGTTTGTGCCTCGTTACTATTGAAATCTAGTTTTCCCTATAAGAATGTCAGAAGTGAAATGATATTGGCACTCATACAGATACATACTTTCACGTATTCCAGAAAGTTACGCCTAAGCTCCAAAATATAGGCCACGTTAGTTCTATTATGAGATTTTTGATCTTCACAACAAAATAAATTAAATATAAATGAGCTCAAATTCGTAACAAGTGTAGCAATAAAATCGAATCCAAATGTAGCAGACCTTATGCTTCGAACATTTCGAAGCCTGTTGGAGGTGGATATGTCAGAACTTTCATTATTGCTCTCTTTTATATCGTCGTAACCAGTGATCCTAGTCGACTCGTGCAATGACAAATGGCAGGTATCGTGATACAGATTTATTTGAAGAAAAAGGTTATTGCGCGCTTTTTCTCCGGAATACTCGGTAGTTTCAAAATGTATAGCTGCTGCATCACTTCGACGGATAAGGAGTAATCGGTCAAAGGAATCGGTTTCATTAATTATACCTGCTAACAAAGCAATTTTACGCATTTCTTGCTTACTATTAAAGAAATGATAACAGTTTTCCATCGTGATAACATATCTGCACCTGCTTTTTTCGGAAAGATCTAGATCCCCTTCCGTAATTACACTATGTATATGCTCAAACACAGCTTTCAGGAACTCAATAAGATATTTTTTAAAGCTTCCTTTTAGAGCGGACATAAGTTTGCTCGGTACCACAAATGATTCTGGTTTGCGGTTGGCACTCTCTCTAACCTGCGCTCCCCATAAAGTTTTTCCATCCAAAGTTTCTTTTGCTGTGGGAATAATAAATCTTTCCTCATTTAAACCAGGCCTATACATATACGTTAAAGCCATAATAACGTACAATGAAATTAGTTACCAGTTTATAATTTCTGTCATTTTGTCGCCACATTTTCTTAAATCTCTATAAGAACATGCGGTTCCGTTGTACCCGATGTCTAAAAGTAAAATACCACTATATTAGCCATCAGTTATCTCAACATTCCCGCATATTACCTAAACAAATGAAAACATTATACTTCCCAATGTAATTTGTCGTGTATAAATCCACTACAATGTCTGATTGGGGTGTTTTTCTACGTTCATCAATACCATTAATTAAGGCACCTCGCATTGTTGCCGAATCCCCTATATCATTTACAACTAAGTCCCCTATGTCATATGGACTACCAGAAGAAAACTCTTTCATTATACGTTTTTGTAAGTATGGTGATCCACCAAATCCGCCCACCATGTAGGTACGCTTGATACCTCCGTTAGCTTTCTTTAATTGTCTTCTTAAAAGACTCAGAGTGTCTTTAACAATTTGGTTGAAAACATTTTCACGCATGAATTTGTAAGAAAGTCTGATTGTGCATTGAGTATCATCAACTTCAACTTTCACACCGTCGACGAGCACTTTTTGTAATTTCAATTGATCCAAAATTTTACCTTGTGTAATAACAAAAAAAGTGTCTACAAACATAGTTATAATCATGAGGACATGAATGGATTGTTGATTGTGAAATTTACCATCTCCAAAATTGTCAAGTTCCACGAACTGTTCATCATGCCCGTTAGTAAACTCACATGCTTTACAATCTGGAATACCCCGAACGACTGGACCATCATCGTCTTTATCACTGTTATAGGAGTCATACATTTCTTGAATTTCGTAACAGCAATCGGGTATAAAGTCTTTTTTTGCTTTTCCAAAATTTGTCTATCATAAAGATTAACAAATGCCAAGTATATATTATGATTTTAATACCTTGCTCAAGCGAAACTGTTCTACCAAAGGTGTTATCAATAACTCGAGTGCTTCTTTCTTTGAATTGTTATCCTTCCAAGCTTCTTTATCTGCGCCAAAACAAATATTTAAAAGAGCCTCCTTCATTTTCAAATCCAAAAAAGCTGATCCGCAATTATATTCGATTCCTGCAGTAAGTTGACATCTGCGAAAATTATCATTGTTATGCTGGGCTGCTTCGAAAACAGCAATACTGACAGTGGCACCGCCAGCATCACAAATCATATATTTATCGTTCTTCAACATAAATTCATTTTTTTTATCATTATATTTTTTGCCATCAATGTTTGTGTTTCGTTCACAATATAACAATGCAGCCAAAGACTCGTTAATAATCAGTAGCCGCTGTTCAAAATCGTCCTCCGAAATCAATCCTGCTTCAATAGCGACAAAGCGCATTAGCGACTTTTGAGCATCATTCCACTGTTCTGGGACAGTGATTACAAAGCGAATATTTTCTTTTTCGTCGTTTAAAAGGTTGGCAACAGTGTGATCCATAATTTCTCTGAAAAAATCAATTGCAGCTCTCATATTTATAAGCTGATTTATGCTTGTATTACCAGCCGGACGAAAAGCTCCTTTTTGAGCAATAGATGTTGGAAGACCAAATTTGAATTTTTCTACAATTCGCTGATCATCCTTCAATTGACCGTTTTTTCTTAAGTTGAATGCTGTCATTCCCCAATGCAGAAGGTGTAAATTTCGGTCGTACGCAATGATGGATGGTGTTTTACGTTGAAATTCATATTGTTCTGGCCTAAAGTTAAATGTTAAAACGAGGAATGAATGATGTTATTTTTGATGTACCAATTGTTAACATGGAGAAATTCTGGGTATTCTGATGCTCTCGATTGTTTCGATGAAAGTCTAGGTGTTATAGCACAACAAGTCCCTGAAAAGCTGTTGCCAAAATCTATTCAACGAATTATGTAAACATAACTTCCTTTTTGTAAAAGAACCTTTCTTACCAAGGCTCACAATAAAACTGTAGTCGCTTTGATAAAAAGCCATATATAGACCTAAGATAGCAATAAAGAAAGAGTAAGAGTTAATAGATAGACCCATGATTCTGACCACCTTATAGTCTGTTCAATGTTGCACAATCACTTAGCCGCCTGAAACTGTCTTTCAATCCTCCTCAATGTCGCTCGACAGAGGTCGGCCTAGCAATTTATTGAAGAGAACAAAGACCATTCCTTAAATCCCGTTGATAGTGACACACATGACACTGTCATAGATGTGGTTGAAAGTTTAACTAAGTTTTTGGGGATTTTCTTTAGTAAAATCAGCCGCGTATATGCATATAAACGAGACTTGTAACCTCTCAAGGTACTGGAATAAGAGCTCAATCTCATACAACAATTGGAGCTATATTTTTAAAATGTGTTATGTAAATAAAGCTTTAGGTGGGGACACATCACATTATTTTGTATAATATTTAAAGAGCTGGTTATTTCACTTAATTGAGATTCATTTGAAATTGAATGAACCATAACAAGTGCCCACCAGTTCTCGTCTCTTTTGCTTCTCTATTAAATCACACCATTTTTTTTTATCTTAAACCAACAAGTACAATGATGACCTACCTTTCTTCTTCAAAAACCTATTTATTGGGGAAGCTTCTAAATACAAGCTTTATCTTGATAATGAATTAAGTTCCCGCTATTTCGATTTACTTGTAAAACGACACTTATCTTTTTGTAGGGTGACATTTTACTTCTGATTAGACGATATTTTGTTTTACTCCAGGCGACAAAATTATTGGGACGACCGTTCTAACCTTTTCACGATACTTATCACTTCCCTAAAAAATGTCGTGTCATATATGAATGTATACATAAAGAAATGAATAGAAGAAGGGAAGGAAAAAGTGTTTGAACGGGTTTTATTTATAGACTGATCTATATATTTAACTGGTTAGCTAAAGTGCAATAAAGAAAGCACCGTTTTTATATTTATCAACATTTACTTCCTTGAATACTTTTAACCCTAAAACCAAGGATGCTTTTAAAACTGCTATGGCAGAAATTTGCCTCCGTTGATGAAATATCCTACGGCATTTTGGAATTTGGACGTCTTAAAATGAAAACTAGTATTGTTCTCGTATTGTTTGGTAAATGACAGTCGTTGTCTAAGTTTTCTGTTAACTTTTCCGTATAATTTTTTACTGCTGTCCGAAAAATATATGCTTTTTTAAAACAATTGTCGATACAAACAAGGCAAAAAGTAAATCATTAACAAATAGGGCATACTTCGTTAACGAATATATGGGTTGTTCCTTTATCGCTATCTATAGTTCTAATAAATTTAACTCACTTGTCGGGGCAACGAGTTAAGTCTTTTTTTGGGAGTACTCTATATGTATACCTGCGGATCAAATAGGTGGTAGAATCAAGAGTGGTACATATTTGCAATATCCATTTAAAAAACAAAGTTAAATTTGGGATTGCTAACACTATTCCTCAACAAGGACCCTAAGGACTGATACCCCATGGATTATTTTTACGTATTTTGGTTTTAACAACATTGAAGACACTGAGTAGCCTGATCGGTTAACTGGCGTCGGTTTCAGAAGAGAAACGAATGCAATTAATTCCAGTACAAACTTATTAATATTCATAATTATCTCGTTTTTTTATAGGTATAATCACGATGTCAGGCCGATCCTTTTGCATACTAAACAACAAGGAGCAGTCCGATATTCTCTCTTTTTCCAGATCAGTTTCCTGGTTTCATAAGTATTAAAGAACAATAGTTACTCAGCTCTTACTAAAATAAATATGCCTAAGCTCTTATTTTACACAATAGTGAGTTGTTTACCCAGTATACTTTTCAATCATGCACAAAACATTTTTTTTTTTTAAAAAAAAAAAAAGCGATTCCTGCTGACTATCTGTCTAGTATTTAAGTCGAGTTTATCAAATTCTACAATACATAATCGTCTTCATCACTTGAAAGTTCAAACCCATTTTCTGTATAAATACATATAGAAATATTAATAAATCAGTCATGAGTATGACGAAAAGGACTTACGGTCTTCGAATTCATCACTATCCTCCTCTTCGGGATAGTCGTTTTGGTAATAGTCCTCAGCTTAAATGTTTTTAAAAAAATTATCACTATACAAGCATAGCATAATGCGCTTCTAGTCTATATTTACCATTTGAGTCCTCATCTACATCATCTCCCAATTCGCTGTCAGAATCATCATCCAGATACTCTGAAGTATCGTCAAACCAAACAAGAGAACCAACATTCTTTGAGTTGATGCCTTGCTCAAAACTGTTATCGTCTCTATAATAAACATCATATACATAATCCTCTTCCTTCTCCGTTTCCCTTTCTTGCACTATTGAAGTAAACCCATCAGCATTCTTATCAAACAAGATGTCGAGAAAAACTTACATGTCAAATATTCCTTGACCATAGGAATGAAGTTACACATTATGTCATCAGGGTCCTCCGTGTCGTCATCCATAAACAAACTTCAAAAACTGTTTAGTGCATAATTACTGAAAAATAATTAGACAAGACATACTTTGCTTTGGAGGTCTCCTCGTCTTTGACAGCCTCATACATTTGGAAAAGGTCTTTGGCTGCCTTTTCAGCCGCACTTTGTACACTATTCCATTTATATCTGTTAGCCATAATAATACATGTTCATTTTTTTTTCTTAATTTACACTGGTGGAGCATCTTCATCCGGACTTGATCTGTTTTGGTGAATCACTCTGTATCTAGCTTTACTTGAAGCTTCCTAAGATCGATTGTCATGTCAGCAGCTACCCCTGATACATTCCATTATCAAAACTCACTTTTTGTTCTCTAACAAGGCGATCTTTTTTTTCTTCTAAAGTGGTGGGTGTTTGGGGTCTACTTGAACCTGGTTGAATACGTCTCGAAATACGATCCTATGACATGTGTAACTTTAGCTTATGGCTCTGTAAAATGTTGATGAGCAGCGGCACCTTACTTTTAACTTTTTGGCTTCGTTCAAATCGGAAAAACTCTTTTGTTCGACCGTCTCGGCCAAACGAAACAAGGTTGGAAGTGCAGCGGCAGACACTAGAAAGATTAGGAACGAGAATGAACAGAAATGTAAGAAAAAACAGAAAGAAAAATGTGCAAAGGTCCTCAAGTATTTATCATTACCTTTTAATACGCTATTCTTCAACTTTTCAGAGTTCTTTTTACTACGTTTTTCATTTTCTTGGTGAACGACTATATTAAACGCATAAATGACATTGTATTCTCTATATCTTTTAAAAGGTAAGATTGGTAAAACATACGCAATGCATCTAAAGGCTCTTCATTTCTTTTACGTTTGATACGCAAGATCGTTATTTGATCAGAATTTTCAATAACTGCTTTGCTTGACATTGGTTATAAAAAGAGCCTCGGTCTCGAATTGAAAAAAAAAAAAAAAACATTTAACAAACGGGCTTATCGGAGTTTAGGACATGTTTTCCTCGGCCCCGCACAATGTCACTGCGTGAACACGCTATTCAGGTATTTGGTTTAATGCTTGCTAGAAAGCAATATATAAAGATACATCCTTGCTAAAGTCGTTAGAAGAAAATGATAGATAATGCTGTTAAAACATCAGGTATAGTTATAAATAAATGTAAATTGAAAACTAAAATTAGCCATGTCGTTAAAAGAAGGTTTGATCAACGGGATGCGTTTACATTTTTTTCGACAATCTATGCACCTTTACAGCCATCAACAGTGTGATTGACTACAAATAAATGGTAGAATTCATGTTTTCAGCGTTTACCATGATTTGATTGGCCGCTGTTCCCTCCTTTGTTTACCTGCATACTTTTTTTTTATTGGGGGGTTACATTTTTTTTTTCAACTTGAATGGAGATCTCGAACGAACCACCCGTCAAACGACCTCTTACGATGAGTCAAAGTGGTATGCACGATGAAGGGCGGTCTGGATCATTCGACTCAATCAAATTTTTCTATAGATGCAGATACTACGAAAAAGCCTAAATCAGATAGTGACGTTTTAACCGCCAAACAAAAAAAGAAGGCAGCCAGAGCCCGTAAACTGGGCCTCGCTTACGAGTTTGTAAACGATGAACTTGTTATTCATCCCAAGATCTTTTTCAAACCATTGAACGATTTTGCGTCCATGAAGGATGCGCGTGGTTTACTGTTGACAGCTTTATCACGTAAACAATCCAAACTTGCCGAGATACCTGATTTCCCTGGAATATTACCCATTCGTAAAACCATTTTGATCGATGTACCTATTTACGATCCCAACGAGATGGGTCTGCCCATGGAAGCCCGTGTCTTGTCACAAACAAGCGCCCCACTTGTTTACCAACAGATGACCCAAGATCCTCTTTTCCCTTTTATTCAACAAGACGTCTTGGGTCTTATCAGTGCTGCAGGGTTTGATCAGTATAAGCGAGTTCATGATCGTTTCCTGGATCTGTTAGAAGTACCCTTATCTAAAGGTGAATTGAAAAAGAAACGAGAAGAAGAAGATAAAGGCAAGCATATGATGGAGGTACAGACATGTCAGAATTTCTAACCATTAAAAAAAAAAAAAAAAAAAAAGACCCGGATCAAAAAAGAGCTATTGTCCCTGAAGTTTTGTTGATGGAAAAGGATACACTCAAATTTGAAGATTTTCCTATTCCCAAAGTCATGGACCCCGAGAGTGAGTTGGAAGATGGTTGGGTTGATACATTACCTGGTACTGGATTACAACCCAAAAATCTGGTGGCATTGGATTGTGAGATGGTAAGATGATTACAATGGATGATAAAGATACTTACTTTTTGACAAATAGTGTAAAACCGTCGATGGGTATGCTGTTACAAGAGTAGCTCTTATCGATCGAAGTAATGTGTTATTTCATTTATTGTTTGCTATCAACTTAACACTTATGCCAATATTTAGACCACAATCAACTGATCAATGAATTTGTGATGCCAAGCGAAGAAATTACAGACTACGTGACACACATCAGTGGTGTGAGTGCGGAATCTCTCAAGGGTGTCAGCACAACACTCGCAGATATACAAAAAAAGATCCAGACATACGTGACAGATGATACAATTCTTGTGGGTCATGGTTTAGTGAATGATATGAAATGCCTCAAGATGCGCCACCCCCATATCATTGATACAGCTGTGATTTACCATCATAAAAATGGACCTCCTTATAAGCCCTCATTGCGTGATTTGACTACACGTTACCTGAAGCGCACCATCCAAGTCCGCGATGAAGACAAAAAGCCAGGTGATGTACAAGGCCATGATCCATGTGAAGATGCTATTGCCAGTTTAGAATTACTGGAACGAAAATTAGTTTATGGTTTGAATTATGGATTGGCAGGACTTTCGCAGGTAGAAACCGTCCTGGATTATTTAAGTAGAAATGGACAGACAGGTGCGGTGATCGAAGCACATGCCCCTTTAAGCATGTTGATGAAGAGAAAATTGGCAGAACATGAGTGTTATTATTCTCTGGATACAGATGAACAAGTGGCGGATAAAGTGATTGAACAACATGCACAAAAACAACTTGTTATCGCACGATTAGAGTTGCCTCAACCCACTGAACAAGAAAGAAGAGTCAAGTTCATGCAATTGTTTCAAAACATATATCAGCACATGGAGCAGGATACAGCATTTTGTATCACCACAGGTTATAGAAGCAATGCACGACGTGAAGCGTAAGTATTGCACCTATTTTATAATCTTTACAACATTATGTGTAACTCTTTCCTTTTAGACTTCGCGAGAAGCGTGTGGATTATAAAAAGAAATTGAAGCAAGTTGGCCTGTCCGAGATTCCAATGGAAGAGCGTTGGAGTATCGAGGATGAACATGAGTTGGAACAAATAGCCGATGCAACTCGTCGTGGCTTTATTTTCGCATCTGTTAAACAATAAATTCGCATCCCTTTTTGGCATTTTGACAGCTCAGACGATGACTTATTATTTTTGAGTGGTGCTATACACTGTTTCATAAATAATTTAATTTTCTGGAAATACGTATTACTTTATTGGGGACGGGGGTACTTATTTCTGGTTTCAGATAGATTCAGTATATCCACGAATCCCTTTATTCAGTTAATGAGAGTTCGAGTAGTCATATTCATTCAGGGAGATCACAAAACGGACTTCTAATATTTAAACCAAGCCAAGCAGATCAGAAAGTATCAAATTGCAAGGACAAGACGAGGCTTACAGATCCGAGGGATCGGTATTCTTGCTTTTTATTCAAAGCTTGCAAGAATTTTCTACTCTTAATTCCACATGAAGGTTGCCTAAGTTAGTTTCGTCAACGTCAAATGAGAAAAAAGGGTCCTTTGTTTTTACGAACTCTGGACGCTCCGAACTTTAAGGTTTCATAAAGTAGATCGCACAAACACGAACATGGGTTGAAATATTTTGTTTTCGCTCCTTCCTGTGCTAAAATATGGCGTTTAAGTATAGCGATTATGGCTATATCGTCAGTATAGGTGATAAATGAGCAATATTCTACAGCAGTATGATTTGTGTACTAATATGACATACCCAGACTTTGGCACCACATTTTCAGGGTCGTGTTACGCTATTACTGGCAGATTGTCTACAAAAGAGTTGAGAGAAAAAACCTACCCATCCATCCATCATGTTACTGATTGGTAAGTTGATAAAACAAAGTCCATAATCTTCATACAAATATTTAAAACATTTAGGCCGAAGCAAAACGATTTACAACATAAAACACCATCTATCATTGTGTGTGATCGGAACTTCCATCTTTTACATTGGGGAATGAGTGCCTTAAACTTTATAAAATCTGGTCAAGTAAAGGATACTCATCGAGTCTTTGAAAAGTTTAAATTGCAACTCCCTTCTTCCATTGCACAAAAAGGGGCTTTTCGTCGTTCTGGAAATACTAGCGAACTCGAACTCTTAAGCCTAAGAGCTACAATTGATTATTTTAGGGAGTTTTTTGATTATACAGTCAAACATATGCAAAATGTACTTATCACAACAGGTTTGAAAGTTGACAAAGCAGATATACGTTTTGTTATTACCGTCCCAACACAGTGGAATGATGTTCAAAAATCGCTTATGCGTTTGATCGCTATTGAAGCGAGTTTGATTTCCAAAAACGACAATGAAAATCGTCTTAAAATCATAAACGAGTCTTCAGCTGCACTCCTTTATTGTGAACGAAAACCAGATGTCATAAAAAGACAGACTAACGGTACCAAAGATGGGATTATGTCAGAAGGTGATATGTATATGATTTGCGATGCTGGTGGAGAAACGGTTAGCATTGCTGTTTTTGAAGTGCCCAAGCAGCGGGACCAAGGTGACAAGGAAAGTTTTCGTAGATGTCAAATTACCGCAGAAATTCGAAAGAACTGTGGATCCGTATATTTGGATCTTAAAATGAAGGAAGTCCTTTTGGATATTTGCTTTGGTGCAGATAAAGAATCGTGGAAGAATAACAAGTCCAAAAGGGAAGAGCTTGAAACACTCTTAACACCTCTGACAGACCAGTTTCTTGTAGACAAGGTGAGTATAATACTTATAATCGTTCATGGCTTCTGATAATATTATATTCTAGAAATTTTTTGGACAAGCTAAGAGAGACTTTATTCCTGATTGCTGTCGTAAAATTCTAGAAATGTATGGCATCAACATTAGCGACAGCAACTACGGCAGCGGCAGTGAAAGTGAAAGTGACAGCGATATGCCTATTTGTGAGAGTTGTACTTTTAGTGAAGGACGTGACGAAAAGTTCGTAGAGCTTGATGATTTTGGTGATGGTAAGGTTTCCAATTCAGCTTTTTTGTCGTTCCTCCTATAATAATTGTGTTTGTAGATACGGTTTTTTTAATTACGCAGGGTAAAATATTGAATGAGCTGAAATTGATGCGAGGTCCGGACGGTGATATAATTACAGACGAAGGTGTAACGGTCGAATATGATGACAATAATTTTGAAATTCGACTTTCTTATAAATTTATGCGAGAAAAGGTTTTTGATGAAGTTGTCGATAATACAATTGGTCTTTTGAAAAGACACATAAGGAAAGCTAATGGAAATATTAAGTGTACCTATCTGGTGGGGGGTTTCGGTATAATAGTATACTTGCAAAAACGCATTCTGGCCGCATGTCCTGTTGGGAGCCCATTTAGTATTGGACATTTAGTTATAGATAATAGAGGTGATACGGCAGCTATGCGGGGTGCCTTAATTTATGGTATAGATGGTAGAGGACTTGAAACACAACCTAATTTTGTAGTTTATAAATACGAAAATACTACCACATCGCAATACAATGCCCTTGTTTGTTTAGGTAATAATTAATATCGACATGATTTAACAAGTGACTTATATTGTTATTTTATATGTAGATATGGGATATGACGGGATCGCGTGTTCCTATATAGATTTGAAAGATAGAGACGATAACATGACAAACATCGCAGATTGGTAATTAATTGGAGTGTAACTAGTGAAGCATATTTAACGTGTGTAAATAGGCCTGGTTTAGATTGGCATAATCCCTTTATCCCCACAGCAAAAGAAACATTGGACGGAAAAACTTTATGGGGAGCCCAAGTTAAAGAGACTAGCATCCGTGAACCAGAGTCGTTTGTTACGTTGAGTAAGCTCATGTCTGCTATGAAGGGGAACTTCAAAGCATATCTAGTTGACTTACTCAAACACGTACTGGAACATGTGCACAGCTCAATTACAAAGACTAATCCGGATCTTTCAAATAAAGACAAGTACAGATATGTTATCACTATGGAAAACTGTTATCAATTCTTTGGCAACAAGTCCGAAATGCGTGAAATTGCTCAACTTGCCGGTATCATTAAAGAAGATGATTCCGTCAAACGACTATTACTTATTCACCGAGAGGATGCAGCAGCTATATATTTTGAAAAGAATAAATTCCATGGAATAAGGGCGCAAAGTAACTGTTTCCTTCAAATAAACCTGTATCACGATACCTGTCATTTGTCCTTACATTTATCAACCCAGATTGCCGGTAATGATACACCAAAAGACAGCGATGCTGATGGGTCTGGTGAATTGACTTCAGATAGATTTAGAAATGTCCGGGGCATGAGATCCGCTACATTTGGGTTTGATTTTGTTGCTAGACTTGTTACGAATCTGATCTTGTTTATATCTAATACTGTATGTTGTAAAGATCAGAAAACCCATGATACGACTGACCCAGCTTATATTTTGGAGCTTAGACGAAACTTTCTCGAATATCTAAAAGTCTGTAAATACAGGAATGCCAATATTATATCGGGTATTGACGTTACTATAGAACAAACTAGATCATGATAGTAACGAAGCACAAACTATCCCGGTGACTCAATCGCCAGGCTGTCAAGTGTCTATTACAAAATACGAATTTTTGGAATATGTTTTTTGGCCTACTATACGAGATTTGACTTCAGCAATTAAGTGTAACGGAATGCAACGTAATGTGTTTCGTCTATTTGACATCGATGACATCTTTTTATCGGGCTTTTCAGTAGACGCAAAGAAAAAAACGAGTGATTTTCTTGAAAAAATTGTTATGAAAACATTGTCCGAGGCTCTGAGTATCCCAAGAAGCCGTATATGTTTGTCTGATGCCAGCGGTAAAGAAGCCTTATTAGGTGCAGCATACTATGGTAACTACCCCGAGATCTTTACAGAGCGGGTTTCTAGAAGGTCTTATGCTATTCAGGTCTGTGGTTACGAACGTCAAAAGTTTGAAATTGACACAGAGAAGAACATATTGGAAATGAAGCTAAGGGGAGGAAAAAACGTGAAGAATGATATATACAATGAAGAAGCAGCAAATGCATACAGTGATGTGAATAAACCAGTAAATCTATACCATCAGTTATCCTATAATTCATCCTTAAAAGATAGAAATTCTTTAAGAGCCCCTGGAGATCTAACACGTCTTATCAGTAGAGGTGATAAGATTTCGGAGCGCAATCAAATGCATGGAATTTTAAAGAGATTTTATGCCGAGGAAGAATGCATCGTTTATGCCAGTAAGTCTATATCACACATAATACTATATTGAATCCTCATATTAACTTTTGTACATTAAAGTAATTTACTCTTCTGATGATCCTACCTCAATTGAAAACGGAAGCAAACATGATCTTTCAGGCTTTTACAAGATCCACCAATTCGAGCTTTATATTAAACGCGATATAGATGACCCAACCACTATAGCTCCTGGATCTCGACTTCATTTTGATGTAAGTCTAAAGTTTGATAGAGATGAGACCATATTCGAAGCTTTTGCTTGTTCAAAACTTGGACAGAAGATCCCCGAATTTCGATTTGAAGATCAGTTCTTGGTAGCAAATATCTACGGCGATGAAAATCGGATAATGATTGAAGAATCACAATTGACAAGGACGGAATAACACAACACTACTGACCTATAAATAAATATTTGTATACGCCACTTTTTTTTTTGTGTGTTTCCTGCATAAAACCTTTTGGTCAATTAAATATGATTAACGAGTATAAGATCTGCCTTTGACTAAATAGCAGATAGGTACTCACAGTTATCTACCAATAGATAGTTGAAGGCAAATCCTTGTCCGTCAGTTTAACAGGACGTGTTAGGTTTCGATACAGCATTCTCATATATACAAAAAAAGATCCAGACATATGTAACAGATGATACCGTCCTTGTGGGTCACGGTTTAGTAAATAATACGAAATGCACAAGATGCCCTACCCCATATCATTTATACAGCTGTAATTTACCATCATAAAAACGGACCACCTTATAAGACTTCATTGCGTGACTTGACCACACTTTACGTGAAACAAAATGCTACACAATCAATCTATTTCCTTAAAGTCCAAATCACGATTTGTAGTTTCAAACGAGGCGCGAAAAAGATTGAGGGATATCATGTATCCCTCACCAAATTTATATCAATCCAATAACTTTTGAAACAATTATTATATTACAAATCTTTAATTAAAAGAAGTTCACGTTTATGTTTCCTTTGTATACCTTTCAAAGAATGTAGAGCTTCTGCCCGTTAGTCAAGTATTGCTTAACTCGACATCGTGAATAAGACAATAATTTCAATCACATGTAAGATAATCCTTTATTTACTATATAAATGACTTTGGTATTTGTTTGATTTGGTATCTTTATTTATAATTGATATGTGTTATATAGTTTAGACATTAAGAATAACTAGACACCATCGAATATTATGAATGATTCGTGGTATGTAGTAGAGATATTAACACAATGCGTACATAGACATCATCAAAACACCAAGTAACTTTAACACAGGCTTGAACTTTTCCCAACACGTAGCGTTTGCACTCACGTCGACACTCGTGCTGTATTCACTTCGACACTGGTTGAGACCCTGTCTAAAAATCGGGTGCGATGCACTTCCTTCAACACTGGAGTGTGGGCACTGACATGGACACTCGCTTCGACAAAGGTTTAGGCACTGGCATGGTTGCACTCGCTCTGAACACTGCTTTGGGCACTGGCATCTACCATTTAAAGGGTTTCTGCACTGGCGTCGATACTTGTGTTGTACTGGCTCCGACACGTGTTTTGGCACTGACATGGACACTTGCTTCGACACAGGTTTAGGCACTGGCATGGTTGCACTCGCTCTGAACACTGCTTTGGGCACTGGCGTCTACCACTTGAAGGGTTTCTGCACTGGCGTCGATACTTGTGCTGTACTGGCTCTAACACGGATGAAGGCCCCATGGAGGGCGCAGTCGCTTTCAACACTCGTTTGGGTACTTACGGACACTCGCTTCGACACAGATTTAGAGCACTGGCATGGCAACTCGGTTCCGCATTGGCTTGCAACTTTGCTTTCAACACTGCTTTGGGGCACTGGCGTCTACCACTGGAGGGGTATCTGCACTGGCGTCGATACTCGTGCTGTATTCGCTTCTACACTGGTTGAGACCCTGACTTAAAGTAGGGCGCGATGCACTTCCTTCAACACTGGAGTGTGGGCACTGACATGGACACTCGCTTCGACACAGGTTTAGGCACTGGCATGGTTGCACTCGCTCTTAACACTGCTTTGGGCACTGGCGTCTACCGCTTGAAGGGTTTCTGCACTGGCGTCGATACTTATGCTGTACTGGCTCTAACACGGATGAAGGCCCCATGGAGGGCGCAGTCGCTTTCAACACTCGTTTGGGTACTTACAGACACTCGCTTCGACACAGGTTTAGGCTTTTGGCATGGCACTCGCTAACACTGGCTCGCAACTGGCTTTCGATACTGCTTTCGGTACTGGCATTCGCAAACGGAAGGGTAATTAATGAAGCAAAAGAGAAGGATAAAAAAAAAAAAAGACTACGCCCTCTTTTTCAACAAAAAAATATGTGACTGCTGTACTGCGCAACTGGTCGGAGGCCAAAATAATATAGGACGTATCTAGGTACTGTCTGGGTAAACCCAATTGTTCTATAGTGGAACGCAAAGGGGTATCGAAAGAAGGTGTACATGGGTACGGTGGGAGTGATGAAATATGATAAAATAGTGATTGGCTTAAGATCATGTCATTCTAATAGCCATGTTTTAGAAGCCATTGCTTATTCTTTACCAGATTCAATTACCAAGATGTTTCACTATAAAAAAGCGGCGTCCACCCTTTTGCGATGATCTTCTCTCCATAAGTTAATTAACCAATAAAATCAGAAAATAATGATGCTAATAGTGTCCTTAAGAGAAAATGTCATTACCCCTCTTTTTGCAGCCTTAAAGTGGCTGCTTCACATTTTATAACCAAGCGAGCTTCGATAAATGCTCGATTAAAAGCTCGCTCGAATCAAAAAAAAAAAAAAGTGGGGCGCAAGATCGAAAAGTTCGAACACTAAACACTTTATATTTATAACAAAATGAACCATAATAATAAGATTTACCCTTCATGTCAAAAATATTTATTTGCTAAACGTCAAACTGTAACTTCAAGCATAGAAAGGCAGGATTTTTGAAAAAGAAAAAAAATCCTACACTATTCAGAAGCTTTTCAAGAATGTTCTACTTTTAATTCCACACGAAGGCTTCCAAACTTATTTTCGTTAATGTCAAATGAGAAAAAAGGGTCCCTTTTTTTACGAACTCTGGACACTCCGAACTTTAAGGTTTGTTGTATAGGGATTTTAATTACCTGAAGGCTTAATAAATGGTTCTTTCGTTACTCTTCCTTGACTATAATCTAATTTTCCAACGTCGTATGGAAAGTATTAGATATCGCACGAATTGGGGTTGTAAAAGGACTTAATTTTATCAGGTTTCCAGTTTTACGATTTTATATTGACGATGTGGGTGGGTATAAAGATAGGTATGAGAAAGGTGACGCAAAGCGGATATAATCTCAAATGGTCGATTGTTAGTTCTTCCTTGTTCCTTATCCTCTCTACGTGACTCGTACTACCATATCACAGGTTTCATAAAGTGAATCGCACAAACACAAACATGGTTTGGAATATTTCTTTTGCGCCCTTTCCTGTGTTAAGATATGGCGTTCAAGTATAGTGATTATGGTGCTATCTTAAGCATAGGTAATAACTGAAAAATATTCCACAGCAGTGTGATTTATTTACGAGCGCAACATGCACAGATTTCGGCACCACATTTTCAGGGTCGTGTTACGCTATTACTGGTAAAGTGTCTCCAAAAGAGTTGAGGGAAACAAGCTACCCAAGCATTATTCATGTTACTAATTGGTAAGTTGATAAAACAAAGTCCATAATCTTCATACAAATATTTAAAACATTTAGGCCGAAGCAAAACGATTTACAACATAAAACACCATCTATCATTGTGTGTGATCGGAACTTCCATCTTTTACATTGGGGAATGAGTGCCTTTAACTTTATACAATCTGGTCAAGTAAAGGATACTCATCGAGTCTTTGAAAAGTTTAAATTGCAACTCCCTTCGTCCATTGCACAAAAAGGAGCTTTCCGTTGTACTGGAAATACTAGCCAGCTCGAACTCTTATGTCTAAGGGCTGCACTTGATTAGTTTAGGGAGCTTTTTGATCATACAGCTAGAGCTATGCAAAATGCAAATATGGTAAATGGTTTAAAAATTGACAAAGAAGATATTCGTTTTATTATCACCGTCCCAACACAGTGGAATGACGTTCAAAAATCCCTTATGCGTTTAATCGCTATTGAAGCAGGGCTGATTTCCAAATACGACAATGAAAACCGTTTGAAAATCATTAGCGAGTCTTCAGCTGCACTCCTCTATTGTGAACGAATACCCGATATGAAAACATCAAAGATTAAGGATACCGAGTATGTGATTATGTCAGAGGGTGAGAAGTATATAATTTGTGATGCTGGTGGAGGAACGGTTAGTATTACTGTCTTTGAAGTGCTCAAGCAGAGAGACCAAGATGGCAAGGAAAGTTTTCGTAGATGTCAAATTACCGCAGAAATTCGAAAGAACTGTGGATCCGTATATTTGGATCTTAAAATGTAGGAAGTCCTTTTGGATATTTGCTTTGGTGCAGATAAAGAATCGTGGAAGAATAACAAGTCCAAAAGGGAAGAGCTTGAAACAATCTTAGCACCTCTGACAGACCAGTTTTTTTAGACAAGGTGAGTATAATATTTACATTCATTCATGACTTCTGATGATATCATATTCCAGACAATTTTCGGACATGCTAAAAAATACTTTCTTCCTAATTGCTGTCGTAAAATTCAAGAAAGATATGGCGGCAACAGTAGGGACAGCGACTGCGAAAGCGGCAGTGAAAGTGACAGCAACTGGGAAAGCAGCAGTGAAAGTGATAGCGGGATTCCTATTTGTATGAGTTGTACGTTTAGTGAAGGATATGACGAAAAGTTCGTAGAACTTGATGATTTTGGTGATGGTAAGGTTTCCAATTCAGCTTTTTTGTCGTTCTTCCTATAATGATTGTGTTTATAGATACGGTTTTTTTAATTACGCAGAGCAAAATCTTGGACCAGCTGAAACTGATGGGAGGACCAGATGGTGATATAATTACAGACGAAGGTGTAACGGTCGAACTTGATGAGAATCATTTTGAAATTTGACTTTCTTACAAATTCATGCGAGAAAAGGTTTTTGATGAAGTCGTCGATAATACAATTGACTTTTTGAAGAGACAAATAAAGAAAGCTAATGGAAATATTAAATACACCTATCTGGTGGGAGGCTTTGGCGGATCACCATACTTGCGCAAACGTATTCTAAACGAGTTTTCTTTCGGGCACCCATTACACATTGGGAGTTTAATCCAGGATATTCGAGGTGATACAGCAGCAATGCGGGGTGCCTTGATTTATGGTATTGAAGGCAGTAGATATGAGCCTCAATTTGATGTTGTACTTTACAAATACGAAAATGCTGCCACATCGCAATACAATGCTCTTGTTTGTTTAGGTGATAAATAATATCGACATAATTTTATAAGTGACTTATACTGTCATTCTATTTGTCAATATCGGATACGACGAGATCGCGTGTTCCTATAGAGATTTAAGAAATAGTGATGACAATATGACAGACATCGTGGACTGGTAATTAATTGGAGTATAAGTCATAGAGCATATTTAACGTGTATAAATAGGCCGGGTTTAGATTGGCATAATCCTTTTATCCCCACAGCAAAAGAAACATTGGAAGGGAAAACATTATGGGGAGCTCAAGTTAAAGAGACTGGCATCCGTGATCCAGGGCCGTTTGTTACGTTGAGTAGGCTTATGTCTGCTATGAAGGGAATTTTTAAGGGATATCTTGTTGAATTACTCAAGCATGTGCTGGAACATGTGCACGACTCAATTATGAAGACCAATCCGGAACTTTTAAAAAAAGACAAGTACAGATATGTTATCACTATGGAAAACTGTTATCAATTCTTTGGAAACAAGTCCGAAATGCGTAAAATTGCTCAACTCGCCGGTATAATTAAAGAAGATGATTCCGCCAAACGACTATTGCTTATTCGCCGAGAGGATGCTGCAGCTATATATTTTGAAAAGAACAAATTCTCTGGAGAAAAGGCGCAAAGTAACTGTTTTCTTTAAGCCTGTATCACGATACCTGTCATTTGTCATTACATGTATTAACCCAGATTGCCGGTAGTGACACACCAAAAGACAGCGATGCTAATCGATCTGGGGAAGGGACTTCAGATAGATTTAGAAATGTCCGGGGCATGAGATCCGCTACATTTGGGTTTGACCTTGTTGCTAGACTTGTTACAAATTTGAGCTTGTTTATATCAAATACTGTATGTTGTAGAGATCAGAAAACACATGATACAACTGACTCGGCTTATATTTTGGAGCTTAGACGAAACTTTATCGGATATCTAAGGGGAGGAAAAAACGTGAAGAATGATATATACAATGAAGAAGCAGCAAACGCATATAGTGATGTGAATAAACCAGTGAATTTATACTATCAGTCATCCTATAATTCATCTTTAAAAGATAGTGATTCTTTAAGAACCCCTGACGATGTAACATTTCTTATTAGTAGAGGTGACAAGATTTCGGAACACAATCAAATAAATGGAATTTCAAAGAGATTTTATACCGAGGAAGAATGCATTGTTTATGCCAGTAAGTTTATATCACACATGATACTATATTGAATTCTCATATTAACTTTTGTACATTTAAGCAATTTACTCTTCTGATGATCCTAACTCAATTGAAAATGGAAGCAAACATGATCTTTCAGGCTTTTACAAGATTCACCAATACGAGCTTTATATTAAACGCGATATAGATGACCCAACCACTATAGATCCTGGATCTCGACTTCATTTTGATGTAAGTCTAAAGTTTGATAGAGATGAGACCATGTTCGAAGCTTATTTGCTTGTTCAAAACTTGGACAGAAGATCCCCGAATTTCGATTTGAAGATCAGTTCTTGGTAGCGAATATCTACGGCGATGAAAATCGGATAATGATTGAAGAATCACAATTGACAAGGACGGAATAGCACAACACTACCGACTTATAAATAAATATCACAATAAATACATAACAAAAACGAAAAACAAAAGAGTGGCAATTTATAAAAAGGAGAACCATTTTTTGTCCTGGAAAAACCCCTTTTGGTCATCAAATAAGACCAACAACTCTAATATTTGCTTTCACCTAAATAGCGGATAGGTACCCTAATATCTACCAGCAGATTGCCGAAGTTTACTCTCCGTCCTTTATTTTAACAGGGAGTGCTGGATCTCGTTAATATTGGGTGGGTAATTGTTTTTAAAAGCTTTTAGAAGCTTTTTTTAAAAAAAACATCAATAGAAATAGAAACATGTGGACTATAATAAAAAATCAAAGCCGGTTGACTTGTCCAAGATTCCAATCAAAGAACAATGGGGTATTTATTCGGGCGTATTAACAGCATAGACGATATTTAATTTCATGAGAAATGCTACACACCGTTTTCTAAATTATGTATTCTCTTTTTTGAAATGGTTATTAATATCTCGTCGAATACTTCTTTGTGGTTTAAGATAGATACAATATATTTACGAACACTTTTGTTTGTTCAATGCGAATTCGAGTATTTGGAATACAGTTGTATTCTACAAGGTCGAAAGAGCATAAAACGGACTTCGAACTTTATTTAAAGCTATTGTTTCCATATTGATCAGAAAACTTGCATACCGCAAGAAAAGAATTATAGGAGAGGTCAAGATGTTCGGCCGACAACATATTATTAGGTCATAAGACACAGTGAGACAGAGTGACAGTGACAGTTTGTTTGTGGCTATTGTAAGCCTTTTCTTTCCGTTTCAAACAAATTCCCTAATATGGAATCATCCACAACGGAGACTTGGACTGGAGGTTCCATGTACACTCTTCTAATAAGATGAGCGCGAAATAGTCTTACTATTAATCACAACATCGATCTCATATGAATGTTGGCAGTGTCTTGTGGTCGTTGATGTTCATTTCTTTGAAAGAGAATAAAAATAGGGCTAATATTTTAAAGGTTGGAAATCCGCTGTTAAACCTATTTTAAAGCCCCTGTATCGCACAAGCATACACAATGACTTAACCTGATCACACAAGCATAAACACTATTCTTAATATTTTTCTTGTCTCTTCTCCCTTTCTCCTTGCTAAAAATGGCGTTTAGATTTGACCATTATGGTCTAATTGTTAGTATAGGTAATAAATCAATAAACAAAAATATTAGTAAAAAGTATGATTATTTACACAGATACTTTCCTCAGATTTCGGCACCACTTTTTCAGGGGCATGTTATGCTATAACCGGTAGAATGACACCAAAAGAGCTGAGAAAAGCCGAGTACCCTAGTATCTTTCATGTTACTGATTGGTAAGCCAATAAACAAACCTCTCTACCCTTTCTATTAATATTTGGCATTTTTAGGCCGAAACAAAATGATTTGAAACCGAAAACGTCATCTACCATTATTTATGACCGGAATCACCATCTTCTCCATTGGGGAAAAGACGCGTTGAACATCATAAAATTTAATCAATTGAAGGAAGATCTTCGAGTCATTGAAAAGTATAAACATGATCTGCCGACATCTATTGCACAAAAAGACGTTATTCGTCCAACTGGAAACACAAGCATAGATCAATTTTTAAATATGAGAGCTACGATTGATTTTTTTAGAGAGCTTTATGATCACACTGTCACCGCGATGCAGAATGCAAATATGGCTCACGGTTTAAAAATCGAAAAAGAAGACATTCGTTTTGTTATCACCGTCCCAAGACATTGGAATGATGTTCAAAGAGCTATTATGCGTAAAATTGCTAAGGAGGCTGGTCTTATATCGGAAGACGATCACAAAAACCGACTGTTAATTATTGATGAGTCCATAGCCGCTGCATTGTTCTGTGAGCGAAATTTGGACTATAGTAAAATAGATAGTAACACCGAAGGTAAATACATGATTTGCGATGCTGGTGGTGCCACTACTAGTATTACCGTTTTTGACATGACGAAGTACGGTGATCAAAAAGCAAATGATCAACTTAGTAGATGCCAGCTTACGGCTGACATCGGAAAGAAATGCGGATCAACATATTTAGACTCAAAAATGAATGAGGTTCTTTTAGATATCTGTTTTGGTGCAGACAAAGAAGCTTGGAAGGATAACGAATCCAAGAGAAAAGAGCTTGAATTATTGATAGCCCCACTAATGGACCAGTTTCTCGTAGACAAGGTAATTATAAAGCCGTTATTTACTGTTGGGTTTTCTAATCTTCAAGTGTAGACAAATTTTGGAAAAGCCAGAAAGGATTTTTTTCCTGATTGCTGCCGTGAATTGTACGACCTTAATGACAGCGATAGTGACTGTTCAGATTATGGTCCAAGCATGATCCCTGCATGCGAAATTTGTGACTTTGTGAATGGAAACGATGCACAGTTCGTAGAACTTGACAATTTTGGTGATGGTAAAGTAGGCATCTCGATCATCTACCCATATCTTCATTTTTAAAATTATTCGTTCGTAGATATGTTTTTTTTCATTACACAAGGTAGAATATTGGATCAACTGAAACCGCAAAAAAATATAGACGACGTGTCAATCGAGGTTCAGCGTAATCGATGTGTAATCAAACTGTCTTACAAATTTATGCGAAAAATGATTTTTGATGAAGTTATCAATAATACACTTGAATTTGTAAGAAAACAGATAAAGAAGGCCAACGGAAAGATTACTCGCACTTACCTGGTTGGAGGTTTTGGTGGGTCTCCGTATCTCCAAAAACGTCTTTTAAACAAGTTTCCTAATGATATTGGAGATTTAATGTTTGATAAGAGAGGAGACATAGCAACCATGCGAGGCGCCTTGATTTATGGTATTGATGGTAGTAGAATAGAACCTCAAACTGATGTTGTAATGGATTCTTACCAGAGTCCCGACATTTTTGAGTACAATACCCTTGTCTGCTTAGGTATTTTTTATCGAATGCAGTAATACCATTTTTACTTACCAACTGTAGATATTGGATATAACGGGACTTCGTGCTCATATAGAGATTTAAGAGGTCGAAATGATCATATGACAGAAATCGTGGATTGGTAGTTATGCTTCAATATATTACAACTCAAAACTAAGATATGTACATAGGCCTGGTTTAGATGAAGCGAACTTTATGATTCCAACGGCAAAAACAATTTCATATGGAAAGACTCTATGGGGAGCTCAGGTTAAAAATACTGATAACCGCACGCCAGAGTCGTTTGTTACGCTAAGTAAACTTATGTCTGTCATGAAAGGAACTTTTAAATCATATCTTGTTGAATTACTGAAACTTGTGCTCGAACATGTGCATAGCTCAATCATGAAGACTAAACCCCACCTTTCAAATAAAAACAAGTACAGGTATGTTATCACTATGGAAAACTGTTATCAATTCTTTCGCAACAAGTCCGAAATGCGTGAAATCGCTCAACTTGCCGGTATTATAAAAAGAGATGACTCCCCGAAACGACTATTGCTTATCCGCCGTGAGGATGCAGCAGCTATGCATTTTGAAAAGACCGAATTTAAAGATAGAAAGGGGCACAGCAATTGTTTTCTTCATATATGTATATATCATGATACATGTCATTTAGCACTGTACGAATCAACCAAAATCAAAGGAGACGATAAAAAAAAATACGTTAAAGTCGAAAATTATGCTTCTCAGAAAATTATAAGTCGCTTCAGAAATGTGAGAAGTATGCGCTCTGCCACGTTTGCTTTCAACTTTGTCGAAAAACTTGTTGCCAGTTTGGATTCTTTCGTGTCAACTTCTGCCTATATCATTTGTGCAGATTCAAAATCTCATAGCAAATATAGTCCTACTTATCGTACGGAACTCAAAAAAGGTTTTCTCGAGTACATGAAGGTCAATAATTTTAGATAAGAAAAAATTTGGTTTTAACATTTTTAGTATAGTATAACTTGGACTTTAGCAATAATGAAATACAAACCATTATCTTAAGTAAGGCAGGATGTTGCAGAATTGCTATTACAATGTATGATCTATTGGAGCACATCTTTCTCCCTGCTATCCGTGATTTGGCATCTAAAATACAACGTTTTGCAACTCAAGCAAATATGGCACGCTTATTTAATATTGACAAGGTTTTTTTAACGGGTTTTCTGGTAAAAGCTAAAAAGGAGGCCAACGATTTTCTTGAAAAGATCTTTATCAAGAATATATCTAAGGTCATGAACATTCAAGCTGAACTCATTCTACCATCTGAAAAATATGGTAAAGAAGCTCTCATGGGAGCTGAACATTACGGAAACTATCCCGAAGACTTTACAGAAAGAGTATCACGAAGATCGTATGTGGTTCAGGTACGAGGTTACAAACGCCAAGAGTTTGAGAAGGATGTCGAAAACACTATTTTGGAATTAAAAAAAAAGAAAGGAAGGGGCATGAAGAATGCTATCTACAATGAAGAAGCATATAATGCTTTTATTAACGACACAAAACCTGTCCAACTGTATTACCAATCACCTATCAATTCTTCTATGAAAAATGACGATTTTATAAGAGAACCCGATGATGCAACATTCCTTATCCACAGAGGCGACAAGATTTCAGAGTATAATCAAATACACGGCATCTCTAAACGATTTTATTCCCAAGAAGAGTGTATTGTTTATGCAAGTAAGTAACCCTGAGATATGATAAATATATTAGAAAGATTTATACTGACATAGATAAACAGCTGTATACTACACCGAAGATTCTGTACTACCTGAACATGAAGTTAAGGTTGATCTAAGAAGGTTTAACAAGCTTCATCAATTTGAAATATATATCAAGCGCGATGAGGACAACCCGATAACCGTAGCACCTGACTCCCGCCTTCACTTCGATATCAGAATAATACTTGATAATAACGAAGTCGTATTTGAAGCTACGATTGGCACAAAACTTGGAAACGAGATTCCTGTATTTCGTTTCAGAGACGAATTCTTGGTGGCGAATATATATGGAGACAATGAGCGAGTCGTGGTTGGAGATTTGGCAATCTGTAGAGATGAAAACGTGGATAGTTTGGAAATTTCCAGCTGGGTCTAAGAGAATGTATTTTTTTAATATACGAGATAATTGTTCTCTTCTTTTCTGGTTTAAAATTAAAATGTAGATCAACCATTCACCTATGTCATAAACATAAAAAAGTAATCACATAGTAACTACCCAAAAAAGATATCATTAGCTCCAATTCTATCCTTGGAGATTATGAAACATAAGGGATCAATGCCAATAGTTTAAATAGACAAAAACCAATTGACTGACCGAAAATTGATGGGAAATGACGAATGGCACGATCTCCAGCATAATAAGTTATGAACAGCGGTACCCAAATTACTCAATTTCGTATTAGAGCTCTTCTGCGGTTGTACTGAGCGATTTGCGCTACCTAAATGCAGCTGCTAATGACTGTTCCTATCGAAATAGCAGCCAGGAGAACAAATAAAATGTCCAAGTTATTAAATATCGGTGTTATTAACACAGAAATTAGGGCAGTGTTTGTTTGCATTATTTTATTTGTTTGACTTTGTGATCATTTTGGCTGAGTCGTGGTAGCACACATTATGTACGACGCGGAACAACTTAAAAACACGGTGTAATAAAATGTCTTTTTTTACATCGTTTTTTTACTTCTTCCAATTTTTAGCTTGTTCTAAAATATGAGTAATGCAAAACAAATTAACTATGTTGTCGGTATAGGTTAGTGGTAATACAACAAATACATAGCCAAATATTACAACGTTTTATACAATAGAATTTGGATCTACCACTTCAGGAGTTTCAATTGCTCATGTACAAGACCCATTCAATATTATCACCGTTTTATCTTGGTACTGATGTCGCAGAAGACGTATAGTTAACGCGTTGAATATTAAGATTTTAGTATAGGAACGATACGGAGAAGGTTTCAAAGAAAAATTCTCAAAACTACTCTTCTCGGAAATTCCTTTCTTCCATTCTGTATCCAAGCGACGAGGATGATAATCTATTATGCGGTGTGAAATTCGAAGACGTCGACAATAAGGGTGTATACTTAGCCAACATTGGCCATTATCTTGTCGATATCGAGACTTCAAATGAAATGCTTAACCAACTGATGAACGGTCTGACGATCAAAAAAGTTGTCACTGATTACTTAAAATACTTTGTTCCTCTTGGTATTCAAAAATTGCAAAAACACAACAAACTTGTCAAAAATAAATATTTCAAAATTTTTGTTAATGAAGAATTTATATATGAAGAAATCAACACTATTCATTATTGTCTTGTTTGTCCAACTAGTCGGCAAGAATTTATGAAAGATTGCTTTATCGAGGCCGGGATCATCGATGAGACCGAGGCTGAATACCGGCTTTCATTTGTTACTGAAGCAGTTGCTACAGCTCATTACCAACTTTCCCTTGACAGAAATTTAACCCGAATTCAAAATAATCAAAACTATCTTGTCTGCAATATAAGCGATGCGTCTGTTGGAATAGCCGAAATCCATGCTGCCTCTAATGAGTCCCTTAGCACCGTTACGGAAGTATTTGATGATTTCACACAAGGATCAATGAATTTGGAGGGCAGGTTTAGAGACCACTTGACGAAACATATGACAGAGTTAAACTTAAACACTTCACTGATCGATAAATTTGTCAACGCATTCACAGAAGACATTAAGGTAAAATATGCCACTTTTATTAAGTCTTGTTCCCATCTAATGGTTCTAATAGTATAAATTTACCATGGATGCTCCAGAAACGCCTGCCTTCTCACAAGTGGATGCTAACAACGATGTTGTTAAATTTACTTATGAAGAACTCAACAGAATTGTCTTCGAGCCCTTTATCAAAGGCATAACTGATTTGATATTAAATGCTGACGAAACTCATAACCCATGCTGGATCTTTCTCTCTGGAAGGTACGGGGTTGATGCATACTTGGCTGAAAAACTTACAAGGGTCGACCAGGGGAAGTTAGAATATTCTCATTCTTTTGTTGAAGATTCAATCGATAGGATTTCCTCCGGCGCAGTATCTTCTGTACTAAGCACTTACAAATCACAAATTCCTTTTTTTTCTGACAAAAAAACGTCTGCACAAGAAACTATTTTGGAAGAAACTAGTGATATCGTTAACGGGAATGATGGTTACGACTTTATTGTTGCAATCGGTTTGTATTTGCTAAAGTCTCCAAACTCCAACTATTTTTTAAAATATCTCTCAATTTTTTTGATTATTTAGATTTTGGTACCACTTCCTCTGGATGCTCTTATATCAAACTAAGGGATAATAAAGGAAACCCCGTAACGACAAAGATTATCAAGACTATAAAAGAAGATTGGTAATGTTTTGTTTAAGAGTTTTATATAACAGGATTTTAAGTTAAAATTTACATATAGGCCAGAGGGTAATGCACTCGAGTTCGAGAAAGTCCCTACTTTGTTAATGTACGACAAGAATATGAAGCCAAAATACTGGGGTGAAGAGGCAAAGCTTCAAGCCAGGCGCCATCAAGATCTCAGTCTTCTGGGAAATTTCAAGCTGTTTTTATGCCCGGATTCTTTAGAAAAATTTTATGGTCGAAATGATGATATTCAAAAATTGAAGGAGCGAGTAGGTTTTACTGAAAAACAGGGCCCAAAGAAGGACGTAAAAAAAGAAATATTTGCAGTACAAATTATCGCAGATTATCTCAAGCTTTTCAAAAATCATATCATCGAACACATCGCTACCAAAGAAATGGATGATAACTTCACCCACTTTACTAGAGCAAGACTTTTAAAAAAATATAAAATGAGATATGTGATTACTATACCAGCAATGTGGAATGCGTCAGCGCGGGATACTATGGCTCAGGCTGTCGTTGAAGCTGGAATGATAACAAGAAGTGAGTTAGATAGGCTTCTTATAATCAGTGAGGCTGAGGCAGCAGCGTTGTCATGTGAAAATAAATTTACCGAATATTTCAATAAGGAAGAAGGTAGCATAGACGGTACGAATTTTATTGTCTGTGATGCTGGCGGAGGAACTGTTGATTTAGTTACTTTTAATTTGCAATATAATGAAAAAAAGGAGTCAATGATTTCCCAAATCGATGATGGCATTGGTGATACTTGTGGATCAACTTATCTCGATGTGAGATTTAAAAATTACATATTCGATTTTTATCGTAGCTTCGGAATAGATATTGATAGATCAAATATCCAGTTAGACGATATAATGCAGGAATTTATTAAAAACCAGAAGGTAATAAACACTACTTTTATTATATAGATGTTGCTAACATGATTTTTAAAATAGCCCGATTTCATGCCTGATTATAATGGTGATACTTACTACGATATTAATTTACCTGGAAAGGGTATTATAAATGCCTTCAGTAATCCCAAGTACAGACTGTCTAATGGAAATACAACGCTTAAAATGAAAAATCAAGATATGAAAGAGCAAATATTCGACCCTGTCGTTCAACGTATTTTTTCTCTGATCGATAATCAATTAAAGCAAGCCGGAAAAGGTGGCAGAAAAGTTGACGCAATTTTGATGGTTGGTGGCTTTTCTCAATCCAGATATCTGCAGCAATGCATCAAAGATCAGTATAAAGGTGTGTGTCATGTAAGCGTTCCTTATGAGGGTGGTACAGCTATTTCTCACGGTGCTGCTTCTTATGCCTTAAATTCTCGTATGATATCAAGAAGAACTGCTGGGCAATCCCTCGGTTTAGAGGTACAAGCACCTTTTATTAAGAGCTTGGCGGATTCATTTAAGAAGAGAGTGAAAGGCCCCGACGGAGACGAAAATTTTGAAAAAGATCGCTTAGAATATTTTGTAACAAGAGGTCAAGTATTAGAGGGCGAGCGACAAACGGTTTATAAGAAAGATGTGCATGTTGTATACCCCAAAGCTGCAGTAATAGGTATTTATAATAGTAATTCCAATTAGCTCTTCAAAACTGGCTAACTTTTATTCCAGCGATCTTCTCTTGTGACAGTAGAGATTATGCCAACAGTAGATACATAACTAGGAATCATGATAAAATAGTAGAAGCCAAAATTATTATGCCGTATGTGGCTGGAATGGATGGAAAATTAATTCACTTCACAGTTAGTCTTCAGATAGAGCATATAGGAGTCACTGTTACTATTGAATGTCAAGATCCAGTAATCAATGCAGAAGTACAAAAAATCACCAAAAATCGAAAGTCATCTCTTAAAATTAAACCCCAGTGTAGCCTTAATGTGGCGAGCGTCAAACGTCCTTTGATTTCATATTCTTTAGCTAAAACTGGCTATTTGTTTAACATTAGGGAAACCTCGACATAACGACAAGTTATATGGTCTGGTTGCTTCGACAAACTGAAGCAAATAAAGTTTTATAATACTTGCATAATAACACGTGGGACATGATTTGACGATTGGCTAATTGGGTTTTTTCTCATCCTCAGTTTTGGTTCTGGTTGAGAAATAGTAACAAAAAAACACATAAATTTGGACTTTCTAAATGAGAGGCATTTTCCAGAACAAGCTATCATTCAATATCATTTAGTGACGAACAGAGCTGTTGAGTGTCCCGCATAAAGGTGTACTAAATCCAGTACAAGCCCCTTTGAGTTAAAGTAATCTTATAACTATCAAAGATGAACTTATAATATAATTCGCAGGTACGGACCTTGTCGTTTGCAGTCGCTTTCAACACGTTCTGGGTCCTTTTTAACTTTTTGACGGCTGTCTCGTTCAGTTTGTAATCAATAATAATTAACTGTTTTCTTTTCCTTGTCTTGACAATCACTTCAACTGAAAGCCCTTTAAATATCTATAGTTGATGAAGTTTTCCAATGTTTAAATTACTCTTATGGATTGATTGTTGCCCTCCCCCCTTTTTTTTTGTGAAGACTACACATACTGTTATCCACGCTAAGAAAAAATTTGCTCACTTTTTTTTTTCAGTTTTTGCACACTTTTTTCTTTTACTGATATAATTTGAAAGTGCTATTCGTCGTTCACTCGATATGTAAATAAATCTGCTCATCCTGATAATCCCATTGAAATTAATCCCATCTGTTCCTACTCGTCCTCATTGAATCAGTTTATCTACATATTTTTCTAACAGTGTCTGAATCGTTGTCCATTTTAATATTCGAATGCTGGTATTTATTTTTTCATAAAAAAAAAAGAGGAAAAAAAAGGTTTCGATTTTGATGTAGGTTTCTTTGTTATATACATTTTTTTTTTTTTTTTGGATCTTTTTATCTTTATTTTTTTTTTAAACAAATCTATCCAAAAGAAAAAAAATGAGTAAAGTATTCCATGTATCGACTCTTTTCTCTCTTTACCTGAAATTATCACTCTGAACATAATAGTTTCCTGCTTGTTTTTCATCTGGCATCAGAATAAAGGTCTGTGAAAATGTACGCTTGGAGGGGTTATCACCGTACTTTACAGTGCCTGCAATATTGATCAGAATGCCACAAGAGCCTTGTGCATTCATTGTAGCTGTGAGAGGATGGCAATCGTATACATCCACTTCATGGTGAGATAATGGTAAACGGCCTAAAAATTCAGAATACTGTTGGGCTCCAAATGCGTTACCTATATTGACATTAGCATATTGACTCTCTCATTCCCAACGATAAGATTCTTTGCTTTACCATTCCATAAAATTGCAGAAGTTTCACGGTATAAATTTCCAAGATTCTAACCACCACGCCAAAAAAAATAGACATTGAATAATAAAGATCAAAACTAGATTATATAAAAAAGAACAGTTTCTTACTTGGCGTTGTGTATCGTAATTAGGATAAAAGAATTGAATGAATTGCTCGGTGCTCTTTTCTGCGACGTTGACAATGACGTCCATGTTGTATAAAGTATATTTAAAAGAACAAAGAAGGGAAAAAAAATATTCCTTACTTTTTTTTTTTTTCCAAGGTCGAACAAAGTCACAGTCACTGGAATTATAATCCGCATGTATGTACGACAATGCATTATGTGTGATATTTAACAATTACAGATGAAACTTTTTCTTGATCTTTAGCCAGCACTGAGGTACGATTCATTGAAGAGAAAGTTTATTTTTATAAGGAGGCCTACTATCATTATATTATGCAGAATAATTCATTCTGCGTCAAAAAAAAAATCTTGTTTTATTTATAAGGAGGGTTAACCAAAGATGTAGTGCTAATATCAAAGAAAATGTTAGAATAGATACTTTAAAAATAATAAAACAAAAAACTCACTTTGAGATATCATTGCCTAATGAAAGAGATTGAAGAAGAGAGCTCATATCAGAGATCGTTTCATTAGGTCTCTTTGCAAGACATGTATTTGTCAAAGTTTGCAATCCTGAAGCATCGCTTTGTTGAGGCTGTCCTACTAAAGCCTCCTTCAGATTCTCGACACGAATAGTTTGCTTTTTACCAGGTTCATTTCTCTATTTTAAAAAAAAGGGGGATGTTAGTACCTCTGTCAATATATATATCGTCGTATCATTGTTTACATTCACTTCAGTATGAGACCAAGGGGTCGCTAATTTAGCTTTCAAGTCACTCAAATTACGAGAAGTTCTAATTCTGAAGGTACGATCATGATTGACTATACAAACTGTTAGTACATGTTTGAACATGTTCCATCCTATCCCAAAATCATTACCATAAGCTTCCGAACCCCACTCAACCAAAAGTTTACTATCCAATTCAGTTCCTTCCGTGTCATCTTCATCTCTCAAGGGTCCATCCTTTGACAACATCTCCACAACCAAATGTCGATCCGCGTATTTATCCACAGGTGTCGTATTATCGGGCTCCAAATTCTCAAACGTATTGTGATCCCCCACATGTTCCACCATGAACACGGGAGAGTATTCATTGCATCGGATACGCTCGGCTTTCAAGTCCTCAGCGTACTGGATCAAACTATCAATACGATAGAACTCACCTACCATCGCAAGCCATTCTACCACAATGGCAGCTACAGCGCGTTGACGGGCTGTGTTCTTGATCGTTGAGGTTTTCACTAACGATTGGAGCTTAAATACTAAAGGTACCGCTTTGATCGTTCCATCCGCTCCAAATTTTTTGGTCAGTGCTGTTAATATCTTGTATACGGAAACAACATCGTGTACATCAAGATTGGGTAATTGGATCCAGTCCACAATCGATTGATGAAGTGCATTGACTAGCAATACGTCACCATGTTGATTCAAAGTGTGCTATATTTAACAAATAAAAAAATATCATTTGGTTTTAAGTATCCCTATTGTAACATCAACACACATGAATTAACAAAAAAAAAATTACCTTGGGATAGGGCCTATAAAAAGGAAAAGGGACACGTGTTAATCCAATAAAATTTTACCTAAACGTGTCTGAATACAACTTACTCTAAAGCAATTTCGTTTTCGGAAGTCGCTTCCAAATAGTGTACAAGAGTTAATGCAAAATCAACTCGTGTTTCTGTGTGTCATATGTATATATATTTATAAAGAAAGGGTAAGTAAAGAAGAAGAAGAGATAACCTTGATGCGAACCCCCTTCCATTTTATATATACCTGGAGATTCATCCAATAATAAACCTAATGCTGGTACCCAAGCATCCATGGTAACCGAATGATTATAAACCGGTGTATTTTCATTATTGCTTTCTGTGTCATCCGTTCTGGATTCCTTTTCTGCTGCGGCAGAAGATACCGTGACCCGATCCAAACATTGAAGCACCACTTTTCGATACTCGACAATGGGTAAACCTTCCATGACATCCACAGATGAATGATGACCCACACGTAATTTGGAAATGATATAACCCGTTATATCATTCAATTGATTCAAATAATAGGTCTGTGACGCCATGCCACTGATACTATGCACTAACCCTTGTTGAATTACGTACTCCATGGAACCGGATACATCGGAAGGTTCTGTCTCTCTGAACGAATGACCGTCTTGGACAGATTTGATCAAGTGTGTGAAAAGTGAGTTGAGGACTTCAAGTACAGAGATACCCACAAGTGGGATATTTGCATTTAAAATGGTGTCCAGAATGGAAACTAATGAAGCATGCTTTTCCATATTATAATGGGTGCCTGGTGATTTTGTTGAACTTTCCAATTGTTGAAGTAATTCAGAAACTAAAAGGTATCGATATTGAGGCTATCATCTAAAAATTAGATACTCCCTTCCTTTTTTTTTTAGTATATATGTAGATAGATAATTTACTTGAAGTGATTCGAGTGCTAATTCCATCATGGATACAGCAAAATTGGGTGGCCACCATTTTTCTTCGGAATCCATAAATCTAAATGGGAGGGTTAAATATGATTGAGAGTAAGTATAAATGATCCTAATTAAGCCAATTTTTTGTGTTTTATTGTTACGTGAAAATCGGACCCAACGAAGATTTTACTCCTGCACCGTTTGCTTTACTAAAGATAAGTGCTGCTGTTTTTGCAGCCAAAATTTCTACAGCATGTGCATTCAATGTTTCATGTCCAATGGCTGATTGTTGCATATCCACATCATGATTACTGCATACCAGAAAAAAAAAAGGGGGGGGGGTGTTATTTCCGAATTTATATATATCTATAACAAATCATACCTTTGGGCTAATGCGTTGGCTGGATTTGTGGATTTCGAAAGTGTAATGATAAGAGGAGATAAAATCAGGTCGAGTTGAACTTTGAAGTCTGAGGCTTGAAGAGCAACGGATGTTACTGCCGCTTGTAACGCACGTTGACCTATATACATCATTCTTTATGAAAATAAACGTCATATTAGTTAAAGTAAACAAAATGATTTTTTTTTTCTTACTGTAATCTTAAAGTTTCGTCCGATGCATTTTCATAGGCGCAAAATCCTGCAAATTTCTGCAAGAGTAATTCGTAATCTTTTGTGAGTTCAGCATCTACACCTAAAGTAGAACCATCATGATAATTTGTAAATACAACAAACTTTTTTTTTTAAGGATTGCATATTAATTGACTGTTTTCCTTTTTTTTTTTTTTTTTTCTTTCTTAAATTTACCACTTGACAAGCAAGATCGATAATTTCGATATCTTTGGTCTCCAACATCATGTCAATGATTTTCACAACGTATTTAGAGAATAAGTTTAAATCACGATGACACGCTTCAATTAACGCCTTGATAATTTCCAAGGAAACTTGATTGCTTCTATACAAGAAAGGGAGGGTGTCAATTTAAATAGAGGTGCGCTTTCGATAGTTTCTAATAATAAAAAATAAAAAATTGCCTACTGTTTTCTGCCCTTGGCTATATCACGCTCGACCTTTTTTTCCAGAAATAATCCAACTTTTGTAAGCTTGACAGGTCTTGAACTGGCATAAAATACCAAATAACTCAATTCAGAAGATCGTGGTCCCTTCTCACCTTCTTTCTCGGGATAGCAATTGTTGATGAGTGTAGCATGCTTAACGTAACTAGAGCAACCACAAAATAAGGGGGGTTAGTTTTTTTTTGGCATTATTCTTCATTGTGAAAAGCTTTTTTTTCGTCATCAGCTAATTCCTTTCTTTCTTACAGATGCATGTTTAAATCGTAATTCTAAGGAAGAAGAAGAAGAAAAAAAGGGGGGGGGGGAAGGGGGAGAAAGAGTGACTAAAAAAAGAAAAGAAAAAAGATTAAATGAAATATTAAGGAAACCCTAATTTAAACTCGTCTTTTGGGTCTGCGTGCACGTTTTATTTTCTAAACGAAAATCTTTTTTTTTTTTCCTCCCCAAGCCATTCATGTTACATTTGTATTTATTTCCTGTAAATCATTCTTGTTTAACCATCCTTAAAAGAGAAGAGTGTGAAATCCTACTCTTTTCTTTATATATAAATATTAAAGTATAAGGATGAAGGGAGATAAAAAAAAGTAATTGGACCCTAGGTGGGCATGTCATTCACCATCGGGCACAAGTCAAAGTGTATGTAGACCTTGTGCCTGTATTAAAAAAAAAAAAAATTAAAGTACGCTGTTAAATTAAAAATCTCTTGTTTTTATAGTTGTATTTTTTGGTTCCTGAATTTTAGTCGTTCAATAACTTATTTGTTTGTATGTTAATTTTTTTTGGAACTCCCCTCGTCCCATCCTTTTTGAATTGAACACAGTGACAACATCTTTCAGCAGCAGCATGGATGATTCAAAAGAACGTCATTTTTTTTTTTGTTGCGGGATGAAATTAAAATTAAAAAAAAAAAAAAAAAAAATTCGGATGAGGGTCGTTGTGGTCTTTTTAGCGTACGTATAAAACAAGATTTTTTCTATCACATAAAATATATGCAAATGTTGTAAGATCTCCCCATTCAAACCTTTTTAATTTTATGCTAACTCTATCCTCTCACGTCATTTATAAAAAGGTTTAAGCACGTGGTTCACAAAAAACAATGCTACATATATATAAAATTACGTGTGTGTGCGTAAACAGACATTCCTTTGCGAGTGGCCCTTTACCCCCATTCTTGGTAAATGACCACGGGTATAAAGTAAAAATGTGAAACAGCTTTTTTTTTTATTATTATTTATTTTAATATTGAATCCAAAGAGTTCTTTCTTTTGAAATGAGAGAGAGAAAGACGACGCATACCAAGATGTTCAGTCGAATCCGACACAGTTTCTTGTTGTCGTTTTAATTTAAAGGAAATGGATTTTAATATAGAGCTAGTGGTGGGTGACGGTGGTTCTGATCTACTACTACTATTACTACTACTACTGTCACTAGTGTTGCCACCACCACCACCACTACCACGGCGTAAAAAGGATTTTTTGGACATGCTTGTTGTCATCATCGTTGTCGCTGTAGGAGAGATCATCATATCTTCGGCTGACGGCCTATGACTAAGTTTTTGTTTCCACCATAACATTTGGTTCTTCATGGATGTAAGCGACTGTTTTTTTGTAACCACCTTTCCCTTTTCTCTAGAATAATTAGCACCCGTATCTATGGTAGCGAGCGGATGCTTCATCTTTCCCAAACTCGATTTTGGTTTTGTCTGTTGTAAGAAATGGATCGTTCCTGGTACAGTTGCTGCTGGGTTAAAAGAGGATGAGTGCTTTATCGCTGCCTGTGGACTTTTATGTGCTCTGTTTATATTATGCTGATGTTTATGCAGGGATGGTTTTGTAGGTGATGATGGGACGGTCTCATCACCACTACCACCGTTACCAACAGATAAAAAGCTAGTACCGTTCATCACCGCCGTCTGATGCCCGTTTCCTTTCAGCTTCCAATGGTTACTCATCACGGAGACCATCCAAAAGAGTAGGTTATGCATCTGAGACCACCCTTGAAACACGGTTTCATTCAATCCATCCATGAAGGGTCGGATTTTGATATTTTGAAAGTATTTTTGTAAAAGTAAAAATTGGGACATTTTATGTATGATGGATGCTCACCAGCGCACACCTCGTTTTTTTTTTAGTAGTATTTATCACACACGAAAAGAGAGAGAGAGAGAAAAAAAAGAAAGAAAAGGAAATCGATGTTGATAGTCTTATTTGAAGTAGTTCTTTGGAAAAGAGAGAGGAGATCTATAGAAAAGGCAAGAGTGGGAAAAAAAAAGGGGGGGGGAAGGGGTAGAAGTTTTTAGAGGCAGAGTAATGACACACGAAGGAGAGAGAGAGAGAAAGAAAAGAAAGAGTTCGCACGAGAAGATCTCTATAGAATTATATATTCAAGGAGACGAGCCTATCAACAATGCAGATATGCCGAATAAGATGTGGCTTTTTTTTTTTGTAATCTATGTAATGTAAAAGTTGTAATACATGGAATAAAATAAATCAATGATAATACATCAAACACCCCCCTTCAGACAATTTGTTTTATTTCACTTAGAATTCATTGTAAAGGGAGACCATTCAATTCTTCTTCTTTTCTTAAAAAGAAACTTGTAAAGTTTGGGTTTCAGGCATTTAGACACTTCAAAAAAAAAATAAGAAAGGATCAGAAGAAAAACTTAAAGGGAGGAGGGAGAAGGGAGGGGCTAGAACCAAGTTGCATAATTATAATAATAATAATAAAAAACCCCAAATGTTGAAAAAGGGAGGGAAAAAAAAACCAATGTAAAGATGATAAATCATTTACATCCAAACTATCTACATAAAGTCTCTCATAATGTGTCTTCTTGAGGAGTCTCAATCATTGATCTTTTTTAGAAGACGTATTGTCTTTATAAATGTCTGCATCTCAAGACAGACTCGTCTTATCTCGGCTTACAACCTAAAATCATTTGCCGGTCCGGGAAAAAAGATAACATTTGGTTAGAAAATCAACAACCGTCAACACCCACAAAAATATGGGAGTGAGTCGCATAATTTTATTCTGAAAAAAGCTGGTTTTGACGGTTTAACAGAGGAAATGAACCTACCCCTCTTCTCTCCCTCATAGAGTAGAAAATAGAAAAAAAAATTATTTTCTCTCGAGTGGCTAAATGACGGGTAATAAAGCAGGATCATCTTGTGTCTCCAACATGTCATTTTTCTTTTATATACAATGTGACGGCATAAAAGATGACCTTATCACTACACATTCGTATACCCCCCCCACAAAAAACTAAAATCTAGACCGAGAATAAAAGTTCGGATTGAAATACAAAAGAGAAGAAGCTTGAACTCGTTTCCATAATGACGATGCAGTGTCTCACTATTGTCAAGGCAAAAGAAGAACAAAAGGACATCAGAATTCCATTTTTACAGCAATAAATAAAATGGTAAGAATTCAACAATGATATTATATATTCTATCAAAATTATGCATGTGATAGACAAGTCATGTTCATTGGACTGACTTGTCTATTAATAGATACTCTTCAGGGTTCATCATCACTGAAAAAAAAAAGAATGTCTCGCAATGCCCTTATTTCTACATATTTTCAATACCAAAAAAAAAAAAAAAAAAATGAAAGCTCTTTCATTCCCAGATTTTGAAAAAAAAATCAAAAATCCCATCCCGTAACTAGCATACGCTCAATGTTTTGGAGAAATCAAAAGTTCTGTACTAAAATATACAATGACCTCGAAATAACACAAAAGTAATAATAATAAAAAAGAGTGAGAGGTATTCGGAATGTCATCAACTCGCGTCAAATCATAATAATAAGAAAGGCGGGAGTAATCAACTTGTAATATTTAACGATTAAAATTGCCACTGGAAGAGAAGGGGGGGATTTCTCTTTTTATGAGACTACCATAAGATTGTAAAGGAAAAAGGCAAAAAGAATCAATCATGATTTCGAACTCTGCCACACAAAAAAAAAAAAAAAAGTATAAATTTTTTATACCGCAAAAAAGTTTGTGAAACATACAAACAATGTAACATAACAAATTTGAAATGAAAATGTCATTTTAAGGTGTCAAAACAAAATAATTGAAAAAAACTGTTGACATAGATAGCATCCCCTTTCAAATCTATCTTCTTATAAAAAAGGGCTTCTTTTTTTTTATATCAGTAAAAGTGACTGTCTCCCCTCCCATAACCCTTTTGGGTCGTTTTAAAAATAAGTCTCATTTATTTATATTTACCTTTTTTTGGCCATTTTCAAACACACATAACACACACACACATACACACAATGAATATTACACCAAGTAACATTCGGAGTGTAGTTTTACAAACGTTACTTTTAATATTTCTTGCCATTGTACGAACAAAAGCAGACGAGATTGAAGAACCTTTAGCAGAATTTCAATTAGTCGATTTCGATTTCTTTCATGGTGCCAATCTTGATCTGGTGCTTGTCACACCGCCAGAAGACGCCATGGACTTGTTTGATGGAACAGAAACAATACACTACAATTTACTGGAACCCACCTCTACTACCACAAGCAGAACTCACACAACCACTACTACTCATACAACCACCACACACACCACTCATACAAGAAGCACTAAAAAAACACCCACCACCACGACAACAACCACAACAGCAACAACAACGAGCAAATCAAAAAGTAATAAGCATAGTGCAGCCATGGCACTCAGTGAATGGACAGACCCATTGACGACAGAAGAAAGTACGACTAGTCAAGAGTCTCCTTCCACCTCCTTATCCGACAATAGCTCGCCCTCATACATTGTACCTACCATGACATTACCATTAAGCATATTAACCTCTATTACAAGTAGTACGAGTACACCTTCTCATTCTTTTATTAATACAACCACTCCCAATAATAATAATAATAACAATAACAACAATGTTACGACGCAATATACCAATACATCCGATCCTCTTGTACAATACGATCTTGAGTGTCGAGTCAACCATGAGTTCTGTATCAAGGTTAGCCGAGCAGTAGGAGCGGCCATTGATGAATTTACCCGGGTTATTAATGTGAAAATCAACTTACTGTAAACAAAAAAAAATGAATTTCATGATATTTTTTTTTTAAATCACTAAAAAAAAACAATTTTTCTATACGCAGAATTAAAGTGACTTATTACAGCTTTTGTGAAAAGATGTGTGCTAATGACACTCTAGGGTGGGGTACACCTACATCTCAGGTAAAATAAATTAAGGTTGGAATAAGAAGAAAGAAAAAAAGATCTCTTTTAATTCGATAGAGTTTAGTTTACATTGCCGTTTGAAGATGGGGCGGATCTGAATTATGTGTATCCGCAAGCACTGGCTAAACAATTAGCACCCTACAGTAGCACATCCGTATGGGCTAAATACGACATTGAAATAGAGATCAATCATGATGCCTATATGAATGGTATTGATATTGAACAAGAAATGAAGGATGGATGGAATGGTTCTGGTACACCGCCCAATGGCAAATTCTGGTTTATCGTACGTATATCTTATATATTAAAAAAAAAAAAATTGGCCACTCTTTTTTTTTTTTGCATACATAGGTTATTAACTACAACCTATGCCTCTTCCCCCCCCCCCTAAAAAAAAAAGAACGAAAATATCACTAGCCCACATCCGATTCAACCACATCAAGTGGATTTTCGCTATGTGGTTTTACATGAACTACTACATGGCCTAGGATTCCTCAGTTCATGGGCTGCTTATTTCTGGACAGATGCCTCTCCCTTTCGTACACTGGTGGATGGGATCATTGATCCATTGGAACTTCAACTTGTGACGCCAGGTCCATACTGGTATATCAATCAGGACACCGGTCCTACCTATGTCACTGGATTTCAACCGACCATGATCTTTGATAAATATTTAGTCAATGTCGATACCGAATTAAATGTAACCAATACGTCACCTTTATCGGATTTGGCGTTTGAAATGCAAGATTTCTGTGTACAGAATAATAATGCCTTCATTCTAAACTTTATCAAATCGTTCAATGCCGCTAATCAATCAAGGACAGCACATAAGCTATGGATAAGTATGTCACAACCTGAGACCGTCAGTTTCTTGTTCCAGCCACCTACGGTAGCCGATAGTAGTTACAATAGCATACCGTATCTAAACAAGACGTACAAGAGCATGACTTTATTAACAGGAGCTGATTTATTCGAACGCTCCCCCGATGAACAAATCGATCCAACCCTCAATAGGCCAGGATTGATGATTTCACATTTAGACGAGCAGTATGATACAACACCTGATTTCTTGATGACTCAAGCCTATCATCATGGCGAAACATTGGAAGATCTGGTAAAACAGTTTTATGACAAGATACCACCCATCAAATACAATGTGAGCACAGTGAATAACACCGTCGTCGAGCAGCTCTATCTTTCACCCATCGGTCCTGGTATTCTGAGGATACTGGATTCCATTGGCTATTCCACCGTACTGACCAAAACGAATTACACTACGGACGGAAATGTGAAAACACCAAAGTCTAGATCCGTATGTGATGATAGCAATACAAATCATGGACACAAACCATCTCCTACCGCTACATCAACCGGTAACACACTCTTGTACAATGACGAATTGATTATTCTAATTGTACTCATAGCGTCATTGGGTTCATTTTTATATTCCTTTTGCATATAAATTTTTTTTTTTTTTTTTTTTTTGTCTAATCGTTAGCGGATCTTTAAAAAACTGAGCTTTAAAAAAAGAGTTAAATGCGGGCCAATATTTGTAAATACATTTTGAAGATTCAATAAAAGTCACACGTCATAATGATAGGTATGCAGTGATAGTAAAATAATAGAATGAAGGAGAAAAGGGGTGGTTTGAAGATGGAACATTTTTACGACTGAGGGAAATTGAACGTGTATATGTATATATATACGAGATAGAAAAATGAAATTTATTAAAACAAGTGAAAAAAACCTGATATTTATATACCAAGCTTCGGAACTTTAAAATAAAGAAGTCCCAAAGTATACCTATTACTTCAGCAGCCTTCCATTGTCACATGCCAGCTTCTCATTCTTGATATGATTCCGGTTGTATATGTTCCGTGGTCTTTGTTCCTTTATCACAGCGGAACAGTATGTCAAAGATGGTTGGATACGCGATTTCTTCCAAAATGGCGGATCCCCCACTACAATCTGATCGCGAAAAAACTAGATTTTTCCTAAATGTCACTTTATTATTTTTGTCTGTTAGAAATAACAAATGGGTATAAATTCAGTCTACAAGCAACTTTGGGTCCGTCTCCCAGGTTATCTCGTAGTAGAGTATACTCGGGGGTCTATCTTTCTCTTTCTTCATAACATGTTCCACATTTATTCTTTATCATTCGATAATCCAAAGCAATGGGGGGGGGACAGTACTTTTTTTTTAAAAAAAAAATCCCATTTTTTCAGGGTAGCGCCATTTTTTTTTTTTTTTTTTTTTCGGAAATCGTTTCAATATGTACGGACAATTTTTACCAGCCGCACTGTACTGGGTTTGACAACCTTTGTGTAATAGAGAATGTCTGCTAAAAAAAAAGTCCGCCTTTCTTCTCTTCCTCCCCTTTTTTTTATTATCTTGTATGTGTGTGTATTAAGGATGAACCCCATCCGACACCTATTTAAATCCCCGTCTAACCAGCTCGGCGGGAGGGAAAAGGGGGCGCAATATATATCACACACGTACTTGAGGGTACAAGCCCAGTTTTAGTAAGATTCCAAATGTCAAAAAACCAATAATTTTCGGAGAAGTAAATTTGAATTCATGCGCATGAAAACGGGGTGTGTGAATATATGTACTATCATCGGAGTCAAAAAGACGAGGCTAAATAAACAAGGATCTAATAAAAAGATTGATTTACTGAAATGGTTTGTTGTCTCTCAGCCATAATTTATAGTCGCGTGCAAAAAATAAAAAAAAAAGAGCTGCTTATCTCCTTTATGGGTAATTATAAAGTGTGTATATATTAAAGATTTCATCATTAAGAATTTCATCATTAAGAATTTCCGTAAACGGAAACAAAAAGAAGATAATGAACCAATGTAAAGCACATATACGTGGCACAAAGGGAAAATAAAATAAAATGTGGTTCTATGGGATGAGAGAAATGAATGCTAAAAAGACAAGTAGCACATGTGAGTGTTTAATATGCTAAACAAAAACCTTCCCCGTGTTCACAAGGTAGATAAAGACTATTCCCATCCCCCTCATCTATTATTGAATTGGATTGTAAAATGAAGTCTCTGTTCTTAATGCGGTAAATGTTATCTTTTTGTAGTACCGATTTAAGGCAATGCTCCCACCCTGTGGGAGGAGCATTAGGCTATTAAAAAAATAAATAATGAAATGGTAAATTAAAAAATAAATAATGGGGGGATTTACCCAACCCACAGCTGATGGCTCTTAAGAGTTATGTAATTTGAATGTATTATTTATTATTCCAGTAACCGATGGTTACCATTTTTGGCTTAAAGTTAATCAACCGCCCCCTCCCCCCACCCATAAATATTGATTGTTACACATTTTGCTTTTTCGTTTCCGATTTGGTTCTCCCTCCGATTAACTCCATTTTTATTATAAATAAAGAAAAAAAAATTTTTTTTTTATTATTATCCTTTTTTTTCTTTTAAATTACAATTATTATTTTCCTTCTTTTTTAATACATCAAAATCAATGATAATGCAAATTACAACTATGCCTGCTCCTACCTTATTAAAATCTAAATGGAATACATTCATCACTAAATTATCTCCTACACACGAACATGCACCTCAACCAAGAAGACGACGCAGCAGTGCTGAAGATCACAGCAATAACAACATAAAGAATCAAAAACGTAGAAAACACAGTGATGCCGTATCTGTTGGTACTTACGAGTCTAACGTCAGTATCGCAGATAAGTTTCGTCAAGTGATTCCATTCTTTCGCAGAAGTACCTGTTCCAACATGTCATCCGAAGAAAACTTACCGACCACCGCCACCGTCACTACTACAACAGCAACAGCGGCTGCCCCTGTCACTGTCTGCACGGCTACATGTGATTACTATAAGCAGCTGGACGAGCTTAAATCCCTTTACACGCTTGCTGTAGATGAGGTAACTTTTTTTTTATAAGCAACCACTTTTTTTTAATTATCTTAATAACATTTCTCTTTTTTTTTTTTAGATCAACTATGCTGAAGATTCACAGGGATCATCCTACTACTCAGGAGATCTTGTTACTGCACGTGAAGCGTTGGATGACTGCGCAAATGCTTTCATGCAACTTCTTGCCCAGATAAACGATCTCTTAACACGTGAAGGTCTTCAATCCTCCATGGCACCCAAATTACTTCGTCTTCAAAAGAGATTGGATGCTTTACCCGACATTGAAGACTGCTAAAAAAAAAAAAAATTATACCTTTTTTTTTTTTTTATTATCTATTGTAAATTAATTATTCATCCCTCTCATTGTACATAACACTCTTTCCCCCCCAAAAAAAAAGTAACCTTTACTATTAATTTGTATATATAATTAATTTTTTCTAATTCCAATTCCCAATTTTTTCTTTTTTTTTTTTTTTATAATAAAAAAAAAACTTCAACTCCGAAATTATTAAACTTTACCCCAATCAAGAAGCAACAGCAAGTTGTACAAATGCCGGTTGATATCGGTCAGTCAGCCCAAACAAAAAAAAAAAAGTTGCATTTCATGATTTTGACCATATTTCTTTTTGGGGGGGGAGTCAGATCCTGAATCATGAAGTAGGTTAATGGGTTGCTTTCAAAAAAATGTATATTTTTACTACTGCAAAAAAAAAGTGGCAGTTTAAGGTAACCGTGTACGCACTTAAATTTGCATAATAATAAAGGGTATTTTTAGAAAGAAAAAATAAATTCAACCCAGAAATATATAATAATAATTTGACAATGAAACGTACCATCCAAACGCGCCCCTCACTTCCCTCGCGCGCACCGCCCTTTACCCCCTACCCCCATCCCCCTTTACAATAAGTTTTGTTTCCCGGGTTTTCACGATCTTCTTTTTTTTTTCCCCAAGAAAAAAAAGGGAGCTTCTTTGACCTGTGACTTTGTCCCGGTAAATTCCATATCGCAAGAAAATAAGGCAGGTGCCATCATCCATGAAAAAGATTCAAAAAGAAGGGGGGGGGGGAGATTTTTATTTTAGTAAGCCACCCGGGCGAATTAGATTGTATTACGCGAAAAAAATGGGAGTTTTTTTTTCTTCTCTACTTGACATCCCCCCTCCCTTTTTATTTTGAATTATTATGAGCCGATTATGCTTCTGGAATATTGTAACGTGGTGCAATCACTCGAAACATAAAATAAAAAAGAGCAAAGTTCTATTTCATTCTTTTTTCATTAAGAGAGATCTTTTATTAGGGGAAGTAAAATATGACTCTTTTTTGATCGATAAAAAGCAAACCTTTTTTTGTATGCTAAATTAGTAATAAAAAATGTATTATAAAAAAAAAAAAAAATCACGTAGTACAAACTGAATATGTGGGCTAAAGCTGCTTATTTATATTCTATCATGAAAGGGGTATACTTTACAAGAATAATTTTTTATTTCATGTGAAAAATGATCTGATCCTTTCTTGTGTTCATCAGCATGAAATCAATACGAAAGAATCGTGGCTCATCATGACTATGACACGGGAGTAAAAAAAAAAAGGGGGAGACTCGTCATGTTACGTAATGATCTAACTTTTGCATTAATGATGTTTTTCCGGGTGTTAATGGATAACAATTGATAAAAACGTCATTATCATTCAATCTTTTTTCTTTTTTATTCTGATTTGATTTTCCCATTGATCTCTGTTCATCAGCATGTGGTCATTCCATTCTCTCTTTCTTTCTCTTTCTTTCTCTTTTAGCTTACCCCGCATTATCGGAAAAAGTAGTTTTCTTTTTTAGGGCCGTCTATACGTATATCCAAGCAATTAACCGTTTTCCTCTAATCAAGTACCACCATCTGCTCAAATAAAAAACCTTTAGGCGGTGTTTTGTGTCACACTAGAAATATTTTTATTTGGGGGGAGGGGAGGAGGGGGGCAAGGTATTGAACCCCCCCCCCCCATCCCCACCCTCCCCCGCCCTTGTACTATTATACAACACACAATCAATATTTTTACAACATAAAAACCTGAAGGGACCAAATTGCCTAAAAAGGGAAAGAATATCAAAAAAAGAACACCTTTTTTTTTTTTTTGTGTGGTGAACTTGTTATTGGAGTCGTACTTGATGGACCTGTATAACAAATCCTCGGGGGAATAAGCCCAATTTAGAGCCTACGACTTTTTGGTGAGGGTAGAAATGTGTTTAAATTTGGTAAAAAGTCAGAACAAAAAAAAAAAAAAAAAAGCGGAATGTTTCAAATATATCTTAGCTCTCAACTATATATATTTTTTTTTTTATGCGAGTATGCCAGTGGATATTTAATAGATCAGTTTCATATGTGACACTTTACATCGGCTATAAATTGAAGTCTGTCGTACAACATATGGGAGAAAACATATGTGTCATGTCCTTTTTATAAATCATCAAAGGGGATTTTATGTGTTGATGGGCCGATAAATAAAATAATCCCTCCCCCCAAGAAAAAAAAAAAAGTCCAGAAATTCCTTACCGAACAATTGGTCTCAATTATTCATTTTTAAAATTCAGATGAATACTACAATAATATGTTATGGATTCAACACGTCCTTTATGTCTGTCTTTATACCCGCGTCTAAATTTCATATCATTGGTTCCTCCTCCTTTATTCTTCTTTTTCCTTTTTTTTCTTTCTGTACATTTCTTCTTTTTTCTTCTTTTATATCACAACAGAAAAAACTAGAAGAACATCTCTACCCTTTTCCTCATTGGTCAAAAAAAAAAAAAAGTGGGCCTAAAATAGAACCCGTTTTAGCAACAAACAATTTAAAATTAACTCTCAAAAAATGACAGCTCTGTTCTAATGTTTTAAATTAATTTGTTTTACACAACTATAAATATTTGCTATAGGTCTCTCCTCACCCTGTATCTCTTAATTGCTGACAAATGAATAACACAAACGGGTGTCATGACTCTATAAACGATAAAAGAAAAAGTGTGAGGGGGCTGGCCTCTTCCTACTATTTGGTTTTTTTTTTTTTTTTTAATAAGCTTTTTAATCTAAAGTTTTAAAAGAGCGTATATTACAAGAAGAGCGCTAAACAGCTAAATTATCATACGGCAATAGAACCAATGACAAGATCCTCTTTGACAGCACTTTTCCCCTAAGTAATGATCTAAAATTTCCCCCCGTACGACATTAGGCTCTAAAAAACCCATAATTAAATAGTCATTTCCGACATTTCTCGATTGCATCCCATGCTTTTTCTCCTTTTAAAAAAAATGTATTTTTTTTTAAATGTCAGTGTCATCTCAAATCAGCCAAGTCCCTAAAAAAGTTATTTCCTATTATTGACAACAACTGACTGTGACTCGATTGAAATATGCTCTCCTTCTTTGTAACCATACAAGAAAATGCCACCGCCTCCCTTTTTTTTGGGGGGGGGGGTATTACATCTAAGCCCACTGTTGTAAGCCTCATATGAATTTTTAAGGGAGCATACTCAGCCCTTTTTTTTTTTACCCATGATTAGGGAAGGTTCAATACTATACTTAAGGATGACATGCATTAGTTTAAAATTGTGGCTAATGATAGGAGTGTCAAATAGAAAACCCCGTTTTTAGCCACAGTTGACGACGATTTATATGCGTGCGAGTAACCACCTCTTTTAAAATTTGAGTGATGATGAGCCATTAGTCTTTCAGCTGGCTTTGAGTAAGGTATACTGGAAAATAGAATGCACTCTTCATGAACAAAGCTTAATCCAAGTAAATTTCAATGTCAGGCAGATCATGAAAATAAGCCTTATATATATTCTAATAAAACCACTACCATAATACTCAAGACGCTTTTCTATTTATTAAAACATCTTGGTAATTGAATCTGGTAAATAATAGGCAATGAACTCTGAAACATGGCAATTGGAATGACATGGTCTTAAGTCAATCACTATTTTATTATATTTCGACACGGGGGACATGTCTGAGGGGAGAATAAATCGTATATATTACAATTTTTTTTTTTTTTTTTTTTTGAATTAAATATATTGACTTACCGAACTATCAACATATGTTTACGATATGGATGATTGGGGGTCTGTTGCAGGTCTTTGGAATCTACTTGGACGTAAGTTGTTGTTTTTTTGCATGAAACTTGTAATAGAGTAAATATTTCGAGCCGCGTTGGTATCTCTATTCCATAATTTGTTACAACTTTTGCAAGTCAACAAATTGTGGATCTTTCCGACATCAGGGATTCGAACATTTTCCAGTGTTTTCAGCAAGCAGGAAGGATTGGAACACATCTAAATTAAAGTATTAATATCTAGTACAACACACAACGGCGAACTATTTATGTAAAAAACCAAAACTTGTGTCGGGCGACCAAAGTTTTGGTCGCATAACACAAATTTGTCAAGAAATACACAAATCTTAAATCTTGCGCTTTTTTTTTTTTACCATCCTCTTTTTTTTTTTTTTTTTTTACATGTTGCAAATTCCAGACTCCAAAAACTGAAAATATTGAGCTCTGTCTAAATTTTTTTTTATTCTATTTACTAGTAATCAGTTGTTTGGCCACAAAGTTTTCGGTCAAGCTTTTTATGAAATTGTGCTTTTGGCCACACGACTTTGAATTTACTTTTTGTAGCCGAGTACTGCACAAGGCCAACACATTCAACAGTGACGGTCACATCACACACAGCAATCTTGCGATAGGCTTTATCTTTTGTGTTTTCAACCACAACAGGAACACCATGACTGTCAAGACTGTGCTGCTCCATCACCTCAATCACTGCCAAGAAGGCAACCTCATTTTCCTGCTTATGCTGAATAAAGCACTGCACCTTTCCAACAAACCAAGCATTTCGGGTCGAGCTAAGGACATTGTTTTAATATCTCTTTTTAGTCTCTCTCTCTCTCTCTCTCTCTCTCTCTCTCTCTCTCTCTCTCTCTCTCTCTCTCTCTCTCTCTCTCTCTCTCTCTCTCTCTCTCTCTCTCTTTTTTTTTTTTTTTTATAAATAAATGTTATGAAATCTACTAAAATCACACTAAATTTCATTAGACCAATAATTTTGTAAAAAATCACACTAATTTACGCTAGGCTATTTTTTTTAAAACTAATGGTGCGCGATCCGTCGTTTTACTATTATTTCTCTTTCTTTTACATACTTTACAAAAAGACTTTAATCAATCGGTAAGTCCTGCTTTTGTTTTTTGATGTAAATACTAATGTCGTTACTTATTTTACAGGCTTTCTATACTATTGAGTTCGCTCATTCCCTACCTGTATACCCTTTTATTTTATGTAAGAATCTTTTATGTTGATTTAGAGAGCCTGTATATACCACCCCTCTTTTTCCAAATATAGTAATTACCACCCCTGTTCGGTCGCACCGGACAGTAGATGTCCGGTGGAAGTGGATCACTTAATACGCATTTATTAGGCTCAATTGTGGATCACTTTATACGCATTTATTAGGCTCAATTGTGGATCACTTAATACGCATTTATTAGGCTCAATTGTGGATCACTTTATACGCATTTATTAGGCTCAATTGTGGATTACTTTATACGCATTTATTAGGCTCATTTGTGGATCACTTTATACGCATTTTTTAGGCTCATTGTTGGATCACTTAATACTTATTTTTTAGGCTCATGTATAGTGTATTTTTGGATCACTTAATACTTAGTTTTTAGGCTCATGTACAGTGTATTTTTGGATCACTTAATACCTATGTTTTAGGCTCGTGTACAGTGTATTTTTGGATCACTTAATACCTATGTTTTAGGCTCACTATATTTTCATACATATGAATCTTCCAAACATAGTTTGGTGATGAGACATTGGTAAATGGGAGAGACATCTTCAATATATTGTACATAGGCAAAATCTGGTCTTCATACACCATCAGACGTATCCCATAAAACCTTAAGGTTTTCAAGAAGGTCCTTACTCTCCAACATAGCACACTCAGCTCTCTGCTTGGCTTTTACCGCCTCATAACTGATTTGTTTCCTTATTTGCTTCTTAAGTTTTTTTTCGTCGACTCTCAAAACGGAATTTCTATCGACCTTCTTTTGCTGCTGGCGGATACAGTATGCAAGCCTTCCACCTTGGTCAGGACGCCCATGCTTGACACCAACGATTACAACATGGTGTTTGACCTTCAAGTGCTTGATCAGGGATGATCTCGAGTTGAACGTCTTATGGCACTTACCACATGTCAGCTTGTCTTTAATTAATGTGTCATCAACATCTTCGACATCAACTTCCTCAAGTGATACTTCATTCTTTGACTGGTTCAATTTTATGAAGAGTATCTCGATTAAAGGATTTCTTGGGGCTACTTCTACTCTTTTAGGAACAATAAGACTCTTGCCTTCAGCAATACTTTCTTGATTGTTTATTTATATAATCGTTGTAAATTGTAAAATGGAAAAAGCAAAATGGTACCTAAATCCCCCCCCCCGCCCCTCCTCAAACAATTATTCGGACCTGGTTCATAGGCCTAAAAAATAGGTATTAAGTGATCCAAAAATACACTGTACATGAGCCTAAAAACTAAGTATTAAGTGATCCAAAAATACACTATACATGAGCCTAAAAAATTAGTATTAAGTGATCCAACAATGAGCCTAAAAAATGCGTATAAAGTGATCCACAAATGAGCCTAATAAATGCGTATAAAGTGATCCACAATTGAGCCTAATAAATGCGTATTAAGTGATCCACTTCCACCGGACATTTACTGTCCGGCGTGACCGAACAGGGGTGGTAATTACTATATTTGGAAAAAGAGGGGTGGTATATACATTTTCTCTTGATTTAAGAAGCTAATATCCATTTTTTATGTTCTTTTTATACTACATTATCTTGAATATTGGGATCATTAAAGTATTATTTATTGTAGATATGTAAAAACTCACATAAAGGCATATCATACGCTCGAACCCTAAGGTACTTTTTGCACCTAACATATATCATGCTACCTATACCGTATAACTAACCTCCCTTACTAGTTTAAAATAATTTTGAAAAGACACATTCAAATATATCTATATTTAAGGTATGATTACGTAGAGGTCGTATAACTAACATTATTCACTAGCTTAATAACACTTTAATTGACCCATTTAAATATATTATACTCTATATCCACATCCATTTGCATCCTTTAAATAAAACGTTTCTTAAATTATATGTTATACTTATAAAATATTACAATTGAATGATATATTTCGTATGACCAAAATGTTTTTTACTTATAACCAAAATACATGGCTTCTTAATAAAATTTTGATGTGTCAACACAACATATTTGCATATCGTTACAGAAATATTTATCATGCAACATAAATACTTGTCCTATGACACAAACTATGGTCATGAAACGCAACTTATTCTGATCGATTCTGGTTCTGTGATCAAAGCTTATGTTAAAACCCCAAAAATTTGTCAGATAACACCAAAATATTTTTCATTTTTTGTGTAATTACACCAAATGTTTGGTATATATAACAAAAAGTGATCAAAATGCTAAAATAATTTTGATCATATTCCTGAGACGCCAAATAATTTGGGTTGAATTTGTGTTCGGGAAACAAAATTTAACCAAAACGTTCGCCGTTGTGACAATCCGAATCGTTCATTATTTTACCTGTGAAGTAAGGTACTCGTCGGTATACACCAGAATTAGCCTTTCATCTGCACTTCACCCTAAAATAAATCAGCAATCAAAATGTTTTTTTTGATCGATATTGGCGATATCGCTCAAAAAATCGAAAATATCGATATCTCCGATATTTTTGATTTTTTGATCGCTGATCGCAAAGCCAAATTTTCAAATCTCTATAAAAACAACCTATACATAAATAAATAGATGTAGCAATACCATGTTAATAGATAAGCGTGATTTTTTAAAGAAAAAAAAAGTTTATGGGGATGATAGCCAGGGTAAGAAAAAGACCACTTCAGATTACGTAAGTAAAATGAGAAAAGGGGACATGTGACTGTGGGTTTTAATGATTTTCCAACACTGCTGGTAATACTACTCTTATCGACTTTGAAAGCCTTACTAGTTTTTATTACATATTTGTTGTTAGACTTGTCGACCCCATTCACCAACCCAATAGTAGACACAAGGTCCTTTGCATCAAAGACGACAATTTTTTTTTGCTCTGCCTCATCATGCGCGGGATGGCCTTTGAATAAGGGGAAACGTCATGATTCTTTATAAGTTTACCAAAAACGAAGTTCGAGCCTGGAGTACTTTCTTGATATGTAAAGTCAAAAAAGAACAAGCGTTTACACACGTACCAGTTTTCAACAGGTCGAGACATCCAAATTACTTTAAGTGAGCACACATGAATTTAGATTTGCCAAAAAAAAAAAAAAAATAGGAGAGTGCCTTGAATCTGTCATTTACAAGACTGATGAATCAGTTGCTGTAGAAAATAATCAACCCGTACGGCGTTGCCAAAAAAAAAAAAAAGAATTGAGTCTGAATTTTTTTTTTTCTTATTTAAACAAACTTTGTTTTTTATACCTTTTTATTCTTATTCTTTTTCCCCATTTCTTTTTCTTCCAGGTTAATGTATGTATATGCGAATAGTTAATGGTATTTGATTCATCATAACCATTTTTAAATTAATTTAGATTTAGTTATGTGACTAATAATAAACGTGTTACAACTTTATAATATCATCAGACCAATGCTCTTTGCTCGGTAAGGAACTCTAACTACTTTCTTATATCTATTAGCACATTTTTATAGCTAAAGAAATCAATACATTGATTACTTGTGGAAAGGTAAATAACTTGACTTTGGTATACTTGTTTATTATTAAGTTAACCCAACTTTTTAAAGCTGATTGATACTACTGTTTATTTGAGGCTCGTACATCCCACGGTTTTGTAAAGGTACACATTGCTAAACATGATAATTTATTCTCTTATTAACGTAAATCATATTTTTGCAGGTAAGTGATACTGCTGCTCTTCTGAGGTCTTCGTGTGGTCACTATCGTAGTTCCTCTGATTATGTCTACCTCTGGTCATATTTCACTGGTCATTTTCCATATTTGAAGAGGTCCATCATGATCAGATTTGATGTTATTTACTTTTTTTTATAAATAAAATTTTGTTTTTCCCAATATATATAAACGTATCAATTTCAAGCCTGCATACTGATTTAGCAGAAGTGTAAAAGTAATATTATATCGATTATCGATTACCCCATTTTTTTTACCCCATCCAACGATATTTTGTTTTTGATTTAAGGATCGATATTGTCAATCGCGATATTTTAGAAAATTTGATCGATATTGCCAATAAAGATATTTTAGAAAATTTGATCGATATTGCCAATCGCGATATTTTGGAAAATTTGATCGATATCGCCAATCGCGATATTTTTAAAAAAAAGATCGTTATTTCCGCTCTAATTTGTTTGCGATATTTTTCAATTTTTGATCGCTGATTTATTTTAGGGTGCTTGCTTCTTATATCTTTTTCCTTAACCTACGAAGCATACCAGATTGCTTTCCTTTCATTGTCACGTTAAATACTGCATTTCCTAAGGCGATCAAAGGCACTTTCTTCTCGTTCTTGAAGGGAGCTTTCTTCCATTTCTGATTTTGAGTCTCGGTTGAAGGGCCGCTCGTTGTTACAGATACAGTAGTGTAAGCTGTTGCTGGCGCCGATAGTGAGCTTTTTCCCACCTGCAAAGTCAATTTTTTCTTATTCTTCTTTTTCTTTTTCTTTTCGCGCCTTTGCTTGTAATCTGCCTTATTTCTGCGCGGATGGGTTTTATTGTCCGGATTATATTTTTTACCGCCTGAACAAAATATGTTTACAAGTTCATTATCCATTCTTTGCTGACCACGGTAATTAGAGAAACGAAGATCCGTAAATCGACCATCATAGAATTGTAATAGCGTGTCTAGATGGGTGAAGTAATATTGTAAATGTTGTTCAAAGATTGATAGCTTTGAAGTTCGATGGGTTGGAATATTCGTTTCAATTGTAGTAATCCCTTCTTCTTGCTTGAGCGAATTCATTGTTACCTGATTTTTTTTTATAGCCAGCTTTAACGTAGTACTCCGCTGTCGATATGGACCTTATTTCATGCGCATCATTTCCATTTCCATCGCTCGCAACAAAGATGTCAGTGACACCCGGATCAGCACCCCACAATCTGACTACGTCTTGCATCTCCCATGTTTCAAAATCGTTCATTTCAAGCTTTATATCTTCATTGTCCTTGGGAACTGCAGGTCTGGTAAACAAAAAGTCAGCCGAACGCCCGTCCGTACAAAGTATATTACGCATCATGACTTTTCTTCTGTTAAGCATTTCAGTGACACTGCAATAATATAAAATGTTATTTTTTTTATATGAACCAAAATTATAAGACAGAATCGTTACCTTCCAGATTGTCCTAGTTTTTTCAAATCAAATAGACTCATGAAGTAAGTCGAATCTCGGGCATATGCATCCAGCGATTGATCATAAATTGCAATACGTTTGATATTGTCAGATCTATTAACAAGAATTTTTAAAGTAGCAATATCAATTGTTACGTATTGGCGTTTCAGTCCGTAGTGAGGCATCATGGAAAACGTTTTACGGGAATGGTGAATAGAGAAATTTTCTGGTATAAAACAATCTTTTCTTTCGGGTATAATAACATCTGGGTCTCTGGTTTCAGGATCGGAGAGGTATATTCTTGACTGTGCTAACTGCAGACGTGTTGCTCCAACGTTTTCTTGTACTTTGTTAAAGTTCACTTCAGATAGGAATGATGGTTTACTTAAAGCAACAGGTGTTGTTGAATTAATAGCGTTTCGAATCTTTCTTGCCAAAGCTGACCGTCTTCTTTTGTTGATATCTTCAACTTCATTTTCACAGGTTATGCTCAACATATTGTAAACCCAAGGTAAAGATACAGAATCTTGAGGCTCCTCCGCAGCAACAGTTTGAGCCACATTGGACATTTCCGTAGCTCTTAAGATTTTAAACAAGCTTGTAATGACAATACCGGGATTTTCAGAAATTTTAGAGACCGTCAAAGGTGTATGGACGCTGCTAACCTTGAACATCATTATTAATGCCAGCAAGTATTCCGTGAGTGCAGGAGAGGACACCATATTTGTTGGCCAAACAGGTGTTTTGAGCATTGTACATTTATTAAACAAGTATTCCGCTAGAGCAACTTTTTCCGGTTTTGTGAACTTAAACTAAATACAATGATAATGTAAGTATATGATTAAGTAATTAACACAGTGGGTCACTTACGTTGGCCAGACAAAATATAAAATATGACTTCATTCTTTTTTCAAAACTTTCTACTACATGATTTGAGAAAATTGTGGCGCTCTGTGTTGCTAAACTAGATTGGGCACTGCCGTAAAATATTCCGCCAGTATCGGTAGAAACTTGTGAGCCTCCCGGATACAGTAATTTGTACTGTCTGAAACTTTCAATTATATCGGCTTTATCAAACATTGTGTTATTGCTGCTCATATTACGCCCACAAACCAGTTGCTGACAGGATTTGAAAAATACAGGAGAAAAAAATATCATTGGCAGCACCCAGTCTTCGTCAGCCTTGTTCTTTTGTAATAGTTTTAAAATATAGAAATTTGCGAATAACATTGATTTTATTGCAGTCTCGCGCATAAAGTTGACGAGCGTCAAAACGTTGTCACAAAAGATGGTCTTTGTTTCCTCATCCATATTGGAAGTAAGTGATGCCTCCAACCCAATTTTTCTGGTAAATGTTGAAGTGATTTTTGTCTCTAATGCAGCAGTTATTGCCTCTTGCTTCGTAGTCTGATGAAAAGGACACAATGGGGATCTAGTCGTGGTATGAGCTCTTTCCTCATTATAAACGCCTGCCTCTGTACATCGTTTACACTTCTTTGCGCCATCACCAGCAACAACTTTAGATTTCTTTTGAAGTCTTCCCGCTTCCTTCTCCATTTTTTTCTCAAAAAGTTCTTGGTATTTTCTGTTTCTGCTTTGCCTTCTTCTTTTAACTGGTGTACTCGGGCCAGGATCTTCAGCATATTCTAAAAAAAAAAAAGGGTAAGTGTCATCACCAAAAAGTTTTAAATTTTGAGACATGTAATACCTTCGTATTCTCCTTCGTTATCCTCCTCTTTGTTTTCTTCTTCGCCTTCCTCCTTTGCTTGAATGGCCCTTTTCTTTCGCTCCTTCATCATTTGTATAATTTCACGCACCGATTTGTTTTTGTAGGTATCGTTTAAGCTCATAAGCAAAAAGTCAGTCAATTCAAAACAAAAAAAGTATGTAAAAGTGGAAAGGAGGGATGCTCACCTCCGTTAAGTAACGTACTTCTTAAATACTTTTCCAAAGAGCCAACGGGTTCTTGGTATTTTTAAAAACGGTTCATTTTCTAAAAATAAATATCATGCACATGTATTTTATTGTTCTATAACATTTAATTATGTTTTTTTTGATTATGTTTTGTTTTGATTGTGTTTTTTTTGATTGTGTTTTTTTTTGTTTATGTCTTCTTTTTGACTCCGTTTTTTTTTATCATGATTTTTTTTTATTGATGCAATAAATTCAACAAGTCTTTATCTTGATACAGCTAATTTCAGAGAGCCCATTGTTTAAATGAGGAGACAGAACTGTATTCAATTGTCGAATAACTTTCAACAGTTAAATTAATTAATAGAAAGAAAAGTATATAATGAGCCCTTTTATATAACATTGTTGTCATAAAGAAATCATATCAAATATTACCCCATTGGCCAAATTTCTTATTGAAGTTCGGTAACTGTGGTCGGCTCTAGTGAATTTTATTAACCACCCATTATAAAGATGGTGTACTGAATATGTCCTTACATTCATGCCAAGTTAACAGCAACTGTCGAACTTTGAACTGCAGCCTTTGGATTCAGAAACTATTGGTCAATGTATTTAATAACAGCCTTTGGATCAAAAATATATTGGCTGCTGAGTGTCACTTTTAAATTCAATATCCAATCACTGAAGGATCCAAAGGTCTGAGTAACCCCCAGATATGTTATCCCAGCCCATATTTCATCACTCCCCCGCCTAGACACGCCCTATATTATTTTGGTCTCCGACCAGCTGCGCAGTACAGCAGTCACGGTTTTTTTCTTAAAAATAGAGGGCGTAGTCTTTTTTTTTTTATCCTTCTCTCTTTTTTGCTTCATTATTACCCATCCGTTTGCGAATGCCAGTACTGAAAGCAGTATTGAAAGCCAGTTGCGAGCCAGTGTGAGCGAGTGCCATGCCAAAAGCCTAAACCTGTGTCAAAGCGAGTGTCTGTAAGTACCTAAACCAGTGTTGAAAGCGACTGCGCCCTCCATGGGGCCTTCATCCGTGTTAGAGCCAGTACAGCACAAGTATCGACGCCAGTGCAGAAGCCCTTTAAGTGGTAGACGCCAGTGCCGAAAGCAGTTTTGAAAAGCGAGTGCGACTATGCCAGTGCCTACCAATCCTGTGTCGAAGCAAGTGTTCATGTCAGTGCTCACACTCCAGTGTTGAAGGAAGTGCATCGCGCCCTACTTTAAGGGTCTCAACCAGTGTCGAAGCGAATACAGCACGAGTATCGACGCCAGTGCAGATACCCCTCCAGTGGTAGACGCCAGTGCCTAAAGCAGTGTTGAAAGCAAAGTTGCGAGCCAATGCGAAACCGAGTTGCCATGCCAGTGCTCTAAATCTGTGTCGAAGCGAATGTAAGTGCCCAAACAAGTGTTGAAAGCGACTGCGCCCTCCATGGGACCTTCAACCGTGTTAGAGCGAGTACAGCACAAGTATCGACGCCAGTGCGGAAACCCCTTATGTGGTGGACGCCAGTGCCGAAAGCAGTTTTGAAAAGCGAGCGCAACTATGCCAGTGCCTACCAAATCTGTGTCGAAGCAAGTGTTCATGTCAGTGCTCACACTCCAGTGTTGAAGAAAGTGCATCGCACCCTACTTTAAGTCAGGGGACTCAACGAGTGTCGAAGTGAATACAGCGTGAGTGTCAACGTGAGTGCAGACGCTACGTGTGGGGAAAAGCGAAGGAGTCGGACCGTCAGTGCTGAAGCCTTTCTTGGTGTTTCGATGATGTCTATGTACGCATTATGTTAATATCTCTAATGCATAACATGAATCATTCATAATAGTTGATGGTGTCTATTTATTCTTAATGTCTAAACTATATAACACATATCATTTATAATAAAAGATACCAAATCAAATAAACACCAAAATCATTTATATAATAAATTAAGGATTATCTTGCATTTGATTGAAATTATTCTTATTCACAATGTTGAGTTGGGCAATACTCGAGTAACAGGCGGAAGCTCTACATTTTTTGAAAGGTATACAAAGGAAACATAATTGTGAACCTCTTTTATTTAAAGATTTGTAATATAATATTTGTTTCAAAAGACCTACTAGATGGATATAAATTGAGTGCAGGATACATGATATCCTTCATCAATCTTTCTCTTACCTCGTTTGAAACTACAAATCGTGATTTAGGCTTTAAGGAAATAGATTGATTGTGTAGCATTTTGTCTTTACCGCTTTGATACATCACGAGTATAAGAGAGTTTCCATTTTTTATTTTTTTTTTGTCTCAAAAAAACCTTCCTCAACTGGGTTTTTTTTTTGCCTTTGAGATTTTTTTTAGTATCCCTAATGTGCCTTTTTTCTGGAGCCAAAAAAACCGCTTCTTTGCAAGATTTATTATAAGCAGCAAAGTAACCACCACTCTTAGATCTTGCTTGTAGGATTCGTTTGACCACATGCTCTCAAAATTTGTGTGGTACTGTTTACAAGCGCTAGTAAGAATAAGTGTAGTAATAAAATCAAAAGCATCAGCCTCATTCATATTGGCATTGATTGCATCAATAAAACTGAAGATATGTTAGCAAAGCGGCCTCACAAGGATGCAATGAAATGCTTACAAGTTATTTTTTTTTATTGACACATTTTTTGCCTATATATGTTGACATTATAGTTCAGAAACCGGCATATGAAAACAATTTTGCTTCTTCCAGTGATGTCAAAGTTTCATTCATTCGACAGAATTAGCAATATCTTGTAAACCTTTTCCAATGTTTTGATTACTAAAATCAATGACATCCAACGTTATAAAAGTATCGTTGGTAATGGCCGTATCGTCTTGATGAACTTTTCCCAGAAAAAAGAATTTCAATCCGCGTTTCAATAGCTTTAGCATAAGACATGATATTGATTTTTTATATGCTGTTTGTAATATATCGAGTCTTTCACGAAGAATGCCATAGTCGAACTTATTATTGATTACTGACTTGAGTGTTTTTCTCACTGTTCTGTAGCCCGTGTCTTTTTTTTTCTTCTTCTTCAGTAATGGCTGCTTTGATCATTACTTTTTTTGCTGTTTTTTTTAATCACTGATATTATTGCTGGATGATTGATTATTAACACACTTTTTAAGAAGTTATTGGCCAAATCATGGATATTGATCAAATTTTGTTCTTTCAGTTGCTTGATTTTGTTGTATAGCCACATGGCCGATTTTGGTATATCGCTTATACAGACATGCTTTTAACTTCATTGTTATGAAGCATAAGCTCAATTTTTTGTTTTACAATTTTTATTGCTCCCGTAGGCTGTTTCTTGGATAGCATTGCGCCAAATCGACTTAACAAAGAACTTTCACCACTGCTGCTACTCGCTGTATTATTGTTTTTGATGAGAAAATTGTCTCCGTTTATTATCATACATATATTCGACTTCTTCTCTTTTCCAATTAACAATTGTTTCATCAATAGTTTTTTTTTCCACTTACGTCCATCTTTTCCTAATTTCTTTTTGCCTGATTCTCTTTTAATTTTGTCGTATTTGAGTACGATTCACTTAAGAATAAATAAACAAATCGTTTAAATAAATAAATTATGAAATTAAAACAGCCTTTGATGTTGCATATCGGCATACGCTTGTATACTGTTATACGATATCACCGATCGAGAAGAGAATCAACTCAGATCAAATCAAATCAAGAATTATAAGAAATAAAAACTTAATATTTATAGTTCTCTCAATAGATCAGCTACCTATAGAGAGAATAGAACCGCATATTAATATAAATGGTTCATTTGCTTATATATTGATATAATTATACAGCTGATAAATTGCATAAAGAAATAGTATCAATTAATAGATACCTACTTTCTACAACCAAATATACAAATATCGATAAGACATTCCATATTGGGATTGTATTCTATTCATTAGAAAGATAACGAATAAATGATCAACTATAACTATTATGTTCTACTGCTAATTACACTTAAAAAACAAGTTTTAGTAACCGTTGCATGATCTGATAAATAGGTGTATCGTAACACTAAAGATTTATTAGAATACTCATGTTCCTGATCCACTGATATAGGACAAAGTTGACTGAAAACAGTTCTAACGAGTAGTATTCATTTAACCCAAGGCGGGAAACAACAGGTATAGATTTATTCCAAAATCAGAGCGGTTGATTCATAAACTAATTTTCGTTCCAGTAGTTCTAGACTGGCAATAACATCTTCACATGGATCATGGCTTTGTACATCACCTGGCTTTTTGTCTTCGTCGAGGACTTGGATTGTGCGCTTCGGGTAACGTGTGGTCAAGCCACGCAATGAGGACTTATAAGGAGATCCGTTTTTATGATGGTAAATTACAGCTGTATCAATGATATGGGTGGACCATCTCATGCATTTTGTATTATTTACTAAACTGTGACCCACAAGGAGGTATCATCTGTCACATATGTCTGGAATTTTTTTTTTTTTTTTTTTTTTTTTTTTTTTTTTTGAATATGTGAAAATTTTGTATCAAAACCTAACACATCCTGTTAAAATTAAGGACAAGGAGTTGCCTTCAACTATCCATTGGTAGATAACTGTGTACCTATCTGTATTTAGTCAAAGGTAAATCTTATACTCGTTAGTTTTATTTAATTGACCAAAAGGTTTTATGCAGGAAACACACAAAAAAAAAGTGGCGTATACAAATATTTATTTATAGGTCAGTAGTTTTGTATTATTCCGTCCTTGTCAATTGTGATTCTTCAATCATTATCCGATTTTCATCGCCGTAGATATTTGCTACCAAGAACTGATCTTCAAATCGAAATTCGGGGATCTTCTGTCCAAGCTTTGAACTAGCAAAAGCTTCGAATATGGACTCATCTCTATCAAACTTTAGACTTACATCAAAATGAAGTCGAGATCCAGGAGCTATAGTGGTTGGGTCCTCTATATCGCGTTTAATATAAAGCTCGAATTGGTGGATCTTGTAAAAGCCTGAAAGATCATGTTTGCTTCCGTTTTCAATATAGTTAGGATCATCAGAAGAGTAAATTGCTTCAATCAGATACAAGGGTCAATAAGAGGATGTAACACAATACAATGTGTGATATAGACTTACAGGCATAAACGATGCATTCTTCCTCGGCATAAAATCTCTTTAAAATTCCATGCATTTGATTGTGCGCCGAAATCTTGTCACCTCTACTAATAAGGAATGTTACATCGTCCGGGGTTCTTAAAGAATCACTATCTTTTAAAGAAGAATTATAGGATGACTGATAGTATAGATTGACTGGTTTATTCACATCACTATATGCGTTTGCTGCTTCTTCATTGTATATATCATTCTTCACGTTTTTTCCTCCCCTTAGCTTCATTTTTGATAAGCTCTTCTCTATGTCAATTTCAAACTTTTGACGTTTGTAACCATAAACCTGAATAGCATAAGACCTTCTAGAAACCCGCTCTGTAAAGATCTCGGGGTAGTTACCATAGTACGCTGCACCTAATAAGGCTTCTTTACCGCTGGCATCAGACAAACATATACGGCTTCTCGGGATACTGAGAGCCTCGGACAAAGTTTTTATAACAATCCTTTCAAGAAAATCACTCGTTTCTTTCTTTGCGTCTACTGAAAAGCCGGATAAAAATATATCATCGATGTCAAATAGACGAAACACATTACGTTTCATTCCGTTACACTTAATTGCTGAAGTCAAATCACGTATAGCAGGCCAAAAGACATGTTCCAAAAATTCGTATTTCGTAATAGATACCTGACAGCCTGGCGATTGAGTCACCGGGATAGTTTGTGCTTCGTTACTGTCATGATCTAGTTTGTTCTATAGTACCGTCAATAACCGATATAATATTGGCGCTCCTGATTTACAGACTTTTAGATATTCGAGAAAGTTTCGTCTAAGCTCCAAAATATAAGCTGGGTCAGCCGTATCATGGGTTTTCTGATCTTTACAACATACAGCATTAGATATAAACAAGCTCAGATTTGTAACAAGTCTAGCAACAAAATCAAATCCAAATGTAGCAGACCTCATGCTTCGGACATTTCTAAACCTATCTGAAGTCCCTTTCCCAGATCGATTAGCATCGCTGTCTTTTGGTGTGTCATTACCGGCAATCTGGGTTGATAAATGTAAGGACAAATGACAGGTATCGTGATACAGGCTTATTTGAAGAAAACAGTTACTTTGCGCCTTTTTTTCAGGGAATTTGTTCTTTTCAAAATATATAGCTGCTGCATCCTCTCGGCGAATAAGTAATAGTCGTCTGGGGGAATCATTTTTTTTAATGATACCGGCGAGTTGAGCAATTTCACGCATTTCGGACTTGTTGCCAAAGAATTGATAACAGTTTTCCATAGTGATAACATATCTATACTTGTTTTTATTTGAAAGATTCGGGTTAGTCTTCATAATTGAGTTATGCACATGCTCCAGCACGTGTTTGAGTAAGTCGACTAGATATGCTTTAAAGTTTCCCTTCATAGCAGACATAAGCTTACTCAACGTAACAAACGACTCTGGCTTGCGGATACCAGTCTCTTTAACTTGGGCTCCCCATAAAATTTTCCCATCTAATGTTTCTTTTGCTGTGGGGATAGTGGGATTATGCCAATCTAAACCAGGCCTATTTACACACGTTAAATATGCCCCATAAGTTATACTCCAATTAGTTACCAATCTGCAATGTCTGTCATGTTATCGTCTTTATTTCTCAAATCTCTATAAGAACATACGATTCCATTGTATCCCATATCTACAAATAAAATAACAATATAAGTCACCTGTGAAATCATGTCGATATTATTTCTCACCTAAACAAACAAGGGCATTGTATTTCGATGTGGAAGTATTTTCGTATTTGTCAAATACAACATTAGATTGAGGCTCATGTCTACTGCCATCAATAGCATAAATTAAGGCACCCCGCATTGCTGCTGTATCACCTCGATCATCCTGGATCAAACTCCCGATGTGTAATGGGTGCCCGAAAGGAAACTCGTTTAGAATACGTTTGCGCAAGTATGGTGATCCGCCAAAGCCTCCCACCAGATAGGTGTATTTAATATTTCCATTGGCTTTCTTTATTTGTCTCTTCAAAAAGTCAATTGTATTATCGACAACTTCATCAAAAACCTTTTCTCGCATGAATTTGTATGAAAGTCGAATTTCAAAATGATTCTCATCATGTTCGACCGTTACACCTTCGTCTGTAATTATATCACCGTCCAGACCTCGCATCAATTTGAGCTCATCCAATATTTTACCCTGCGTAATTGAAAATATAGTATCTATAAACACAATTATTATAGGAAGAGCGACATAAATGTTGAATTGGAAATTTTACCATCACCAAAATCATCAAGCTCCACGAACTTTTCGTCAAATCCTTCTCTAAAATTACATTCCTCACAAATAGGAATCTCGCTGTCACTGCCGCTCTCCCAGTTGCTGTCGCTAACATCATCGCTGCTGTTGCTGTCATATCTTTCTTCTATTTTACGACAGCAATCAGGAAGAAAGTCTCTATTAGCTTTTCCAAAAATTGTCTAGAATATAATATTATCAGAAGCCATGAATGATTATAAGTATTATACTCACCTTTTCTACAAGAAACTGGTCTGTCAGAGGTGTTAAGAGTGTTTCAAGCTCTTCCCTTTTGGACTTGTTGTTCTTCCACGATTCTTTATCTGCTCCAAAGCAAATATCTAAAAGGACCTCCTTCATTTTAAGATCCAAATATACGGATCCACAGTTCTTTCGAATTCCTGAGGTAATTTGACATCTATGGAAACCGGCTTTGACATCTTGGTCTACCTGCTTGAGCATTTCAAAGACAGCAATGCTAACCGTTCCACCACCAGCATCACAAATCATATACTTCTCACCCTCTGACATAATCACGTACTCGGTATCCTCAATCTTTAATTTTTTCATATTGGGTCTTCGTTCACAATAGAGGAGTGCAGCTGAAGACTCGCTAATGATTTTTAAACGATTTCCATTGTCGTATTTGGAAATCAGCCCTGCTTCAATAGCGATCAAACGCATAAGCGATTTTTGAACGTCATTCCACTGTGTTGGGACGGTAATAACGAAACGTATATCTTCTTTGTCAATTTTTAAACCATTTACTATATTTGCATTTTGCATAGCTCTAGCTGTATGATCGAAAAGCTCCCTAAAGTAATCAATTGTAGCTCTTAGGCATAAGAGTTCGAGCTGGCTAGTATTTCCAGTACGACGGAAAGCGCCTTCTTGTGCAATAGACGAAGGGAGTTGTAATTTAAACTTTTCAAAGACTCGATGATCATCTTTTACGTGTCCAGATTGTATAAAGTCTAAGGCCGTCATTCCCCAATGTAAAAGGTGGAAGTTCCGATCACACACAATGATAGATGGTGTTTTATGATATAAGTTATCTTGCTTAGGCCTAAGGGTTGCAAACATTTATATGGAGGTTGAAGAACTTTGCTTTATTAACTTACCAGTCAAAAACATGAAAGAAGGATGGGTAGGTTGTTTCTCTCAACTCTTTTGGTGACAATCTGCTAGTAATAGCGTAACACGACCCTGAAAATGTGGTGCCAAAGTCTAGGCAAGTCATATTAGTACACAAATCATACTGCTGTGGAATATTTTTCAGTCATTACCTATGCTAACGATATAGCTATAATTACTATACTTGAACGCCATATCTTAACACAGGAAAGGGCGCAAAAAAAAAAAAAAAAAAAAAAAAAAATTCCAAACCATGTTTGTGTTTGTGCGATTCACTTTATGAAACCTGTGATATGGTAGTACGAGTCACGTAGAGAGGATAAGGAACAAGGAAGAACTAACATTCGACCATTTGAGATTATATCCGCTTTGCGTCACCTTTCTCATACCTATCTTTATACCCACCCACATCGTCAATATAAAATCGTAAAACTGGAAACCTGATAAAATTAAGTCCTTTTACAACCCCAATTCGTGCGATATCTAATACTTTCCATACGACGTTGGAAAATTAGATTATAGTCAAGGAAGAGTAACGAAAGAACCATTTATTAAGCCTTCAGGTAATTAAAATCCCTATACAACAAACCTTAAAGTTCGGAGTGTCCAGAGTTCGTAAAAAAAGGGACCCTTTTTTCTCATTTGACATTAACGAAAATAAGTTTGGAAGCCTTCGTGTGGAATTAAAAGTAGAACATTCTTGAAAAGCTTCTGAATAGTGTAGGATTTTTTTTTTCTTTTTCAAAAATCCTGCCTTTCTATGCTTGAAGTTACAGTTTGACGTTTAGCAAATAAATATTTTTGACATGAAGGGTAAATCTTATTATTATGGTTCATTTTGTTATAAATATAAAGTGTTTAGTGTTCGAACTTTTCGATCTTGCGCCCCACTTTTTTTTTTTGATTCGAGCGAGCTTTTAATCGAGCATTTATCGAAGCTCGCTTGGTTATAAAATGTGAAGCAGCCACTTTAAGGCTGCAAAAAGAGGGGTAATGACATTTTCTCTTAAGGACACTATTAGCATCATTATTTTCTGATTTTATTGGTTCAGAATTCTTTAATTAACTTATGGAGAGAAGATCATCGCAAAAAGGTGGACGCCGCTTTTTTATAGTGAAACATCTTGGTGATTGAATCTGGTAAAGAGTAGGCAATGACTTCTGAAACATGGTTATTAGAATGACATGGTCTTAAGTCAATCACAATTTTATTATATTCATCACTCCCACCGTATCCATGTACACCTTTCGATAACCACCTTTACCCACCTAGACACGCCCTATATTATTTTGGCCTCCGACCAGCTGCGCAGTACAGCAGTCACGGATTTTTTCTTAAAAATAGAGGGCGTAGTCTTTTTTTTTTATCCTTCTCTCTTTTTTGCTTCATTAATTACCCATCCGTTTGCGAATGCCAGTACCGAAAGCAGTATTGAAAGCCAGTTGCGAGCCAGTGTGAGCAAGTGCCATGCCAAAAGCCTAAACCTGTGTCGAAGCGAATGTCTGTAAGTACCTAAACCAGTGTTGAAAGCGACTGCGCCCTCCATGGGGCCTTCATCCGTGTTAGAGCCAGTACAGCACAAGTATCGACGCCAGTGCAGAAACCCCTTCAAGTGGTAGACGCCAGTGCCAAAGCAGTTTTGAAAAGCGAGTGCAACTATGCCAGTGCCTACCAAATCTGTGTCGAAGCAAGTGTCCATGTCAGTGCCCACACTCCAGTGTTGAAGGAAGTGCATCGCACCCTACTTTAAGTCAGGGTCTCAACCAGTGTAGAAGCGAATACAGCACGAGTATCGACGCCAGTGCAGATACCCCTTATGTGGTAGACGCCAGTGCCTAAAGCAGTGTTGAAAGCAAAGTTGCGAGCTAATGCGAAACCGAGTTGCCATGCCAGTGCTCTAAATCTGTGTCGAAGCGAATGTAAGTGCCCAAACAAGTGTTGAAAGCGACTGCGCCCTCCATGGGACCTTCAACCGTGTTCGAGCGAGTACAGCACAAGTATCGACGCCAGTGCAGAAACCCCTTATGTGGTAGACGCCAGTGCCTAAAGCAGTGTTGAAAGCAAAGTTGCGAGCCAATGCGAAACCGAGTTGCTATGCCAGTGCTCTAAATCTGTGTCGAAGCGAATGTAAGTGCCCAAACAAGTGTTGAAAGCGACTGCGCCCTCCATGGGACCTTCAACCGTGTTAGAGCGAGTACAGCACAAGTATCGACGCCAGTGCAGAAACCCCTTATGTGGTAGACGCCAGTGCCGAAAGCAGTTTTGAAAAGCGAGCGCAACTATGCCAGTGCCTACCAAATCTGTGTCGAAGCAAGTGTTCATGTCAGTGCTCACACTCCAGTGTTGAAGAAAGTGCATCGCACCCTACTTTAAGTCAGGGGACTCAACGAGTGTCGAAGTGAATACAGCGTGAGTGTCAACGTGAGTGCAGACGCTACGTGTGGGGAAAAGTGAAGGAGTCGGACTGTCAGTGCTGAAGCCTTTCTTGGTGTTTCGATGATGTCTATGTACGCATTATGTTAATATCTCTAATGCACATGGATCATTCATAATAGTTGATGGTGTCTATTTATTCTTAATGTCTAAACTATATAACACATATCATTTATAATAAAAGATACCAAATCAAATAAACACCAAAATCATTTATATAATAAATTAAGGATTATCTTACATTTGATTGAAATTATTGTCTTACTCACAATGTCGAGTTGGGCAATACTTGAGTAACGGGCGGAAGCTCTACATTTTTTGAAAGGTATACAAAGGAAACAGAAACGTGAACCTCTTTTATTTAAAGATTTGTAATATAATAATTGTTTCAAAAGACCGATTGGATTAATATAAATTTGGTGCAGGGATACATGATATCCTTCTTCAATCTTTCTCTCATCTCGTTTGAAACTACAAATCGTGATTTAGGCTTTAAGGAAATAGATTGATTGTGTAGCATTTTGTCTTTACCGCTTTGATACATCACGAGTATAAGAGAGTTTCCATTTTTTTTTTTTTTTTTTTTTTTTTTCGTCTCAAAAAAACCTTCCTCAACTGGGTTTTTTTTAGCCTTTGAGATTTTTTTTAGTATCCCTAATGTGCCTTTTTTCTGGAGCCAAAAAAACCGCTTCTTTGCAAGATTTATTATAAGCAGCAAAGTTACCACCACTCTTAGATCTTGCTTGTAGGATTCGTTTGACCACATGCTCTCAAAATTTGTGTGGCACTGTTTACAAGCGCTAGTAAGAGCAAGTGTAGTAATAAAATCAAAAGCATCAGCCTCATTCATGTTGGCATTGATTGCATCAATAAAACTGAAGATATGTTAGCAAAGCGGCCTCACAAGGATGCAATGAAATGCTTACAAGTTATTTTTTTTTTATCGACACATTTTTTGCCTATATATGTTGACATTAAAGTCCAAAAACCGGCATACGAAAACAAATCTGCTTCTTCCAGTGATGTCAAAGTTTCAATCATTCGACAAAATTAGCAATATCTTATTCACCTTTTCCGATGTTTTGATTACTAGAATCTATGACATCCAGCATTATAAAAGTATCGTTGATAATGGCCGTATTTAGTCTTGTTAAGCTTTTCCCAGAAAAAAGAATTTCAATTAGCGTTTCAATAGCTTCAGCATAAGACCTAATATTGATTTTTTACATGCTGTTTGTAACATATCGTTTTTTACGAAGAATGGCATAGTCGAACTTATTATTGATTACTGACTTGTGTTTTTCTCACTGTTCTGTAGCCCGTGTCATTTTTTTCTTCCTCAGTTATGGCTGCTTTGATCATTACTTTTTTTGCTGTTTTTTTTAATCACTGATATTATTGCTGGATGATTGATTATTAACACACTTTTCAATAAGTTATTGGCCAAATCATGGATATTGATCAAATTTTGTTCTTTCAATTGTTTAATGTTGTTGTATAGCCACATGGCTGATTTTCGTATATCGCTTATGCAGACATGCCTTTAACTTCATTCTTATGCAGCATAAGTTCAATTTTTTGTTTTATAATTGGTATTGCTCCCGTAAGAAGCTTTTTCTTGAATAGCGTTGCACCAAATCGATTTGACAAAGAGCTTTTACCGCTGCTGCTATTCGTGGTATTACTGTTCTTGATGAGAAAATTGTTTCCATTTCTTATCATACATAGATTCAACTTCTTTTAACAAATTAACAATCGTTTCATCACTAGTTTTTTTTTTCACTTACATACACCCATCTTTTCTTGATTATGAAATTAAAACAACCTTTGATGTTGCATATCGACATACGCTTGTATACCACAGAGTTACGATATCACCGATTGAGAAGAGAATCCTCTCAGAACAAATTAAGAATTAGAAGAAAGAGAAACTTAATATTAATAATTCTCTCTATGGATTAGCTACTCATAGGAAGAATAGAACAGCTATTAATATAAATAATTCATTTACTTATATATTGATATAATTATACAGCTGATAAATTGTATAAAGAAATAGTTTAAAGGAATTAATAGATACCTACTTTCTACAACCAAATATACAAATATCGATAAGACATTCCATATTGGGATTGTATTTTATTCATTAGAAAGATAACGAATAAATGATAAACTATAACTATTATGTTCTACTGCTAATTACACTTAAAAAACAAGTTTTAGTAACCGTTGCATGATCTGATAAATAGGTGTATCGTAACACTAAAGATTTATTAGAATACTCATGTATCTGATCCACTGATATAGGACAAAGTTGACTGAAAACAGTTCTAACGAGTAGTATTCATTTAACCCAAGGCGGGAAACAACAGGTATAGATTTATTCCAAAATCAGAGCGGTTGATTCATAAACTAATTTTCGTTCCAGTAGTTCTAGACTGGCAATAACATCTTCACATGGATCATGGCTTTGTACATCACCTGGCTTTTTGTCTTCGTCGAGGACTTGGATTGTGCGCTTCAGGTAACGTGTGGTCAAGCCACGCAATGAGGGCTTATAAGGAGGTCAGTTTTTATGATGGTAAATTACAGCTGAGTATCAATGATTTGGGGTGGGGCATCTTGAGCATTTTGTTTTATTTACAAAACTGTGACCCACAAGGAGGTATCATCTGTCACATATGTCTGGAATTTTTTTTTTTTTTTTTTTTTTTTTTTTTTTTTTTTTTTTTTTTTTTTTTTTTTTTTTTTTTTTGAATATGTGAAAATTTTGTATCAAAACCTAACACATCCTGTTAAAATTAAGGACAAGGAGTTGCCTTCAACTATTTATTGGTAGATAACTGTGTACCTATCTGTATTTAGTCAAAGGTAAATCTTATACTCGTTAGTTTTATTTAATTGACCAAAAGGTTTTATGCAGGAAACACACAAAAAAAAAGTGGCGTATACAAATATTTATTTATAGGTCAGTAGTTTTGTATTATTCCGTCCTTGTCAATTGTGATTCTTCAATCATTATCCGATTTTCATCGCCGTAGATATTTGCTACCAAGAACTGATCTTCAAATCGAAATTCGGGGATCTTCTGTCCAAGCTTTGAACTAGCAAAAGCTTCGAATATGGACTCATCTCTATCAAACTTTAGACTTACATCAAAATGAAGTCGAGATCCAGGAGCTATAGTGGTTGGGTCCTCTATATCGCGTTTAATATAAAGCTCGAATTGGTGGATCTTGTAAAAGCCTGAAAGATCATGTTTGCTTCCGTTTTCAATATAGTTAGGATCATCAGAAGAGTAAATTGCTTCAATCAGATACAAGGGTCAATAAGAGGATGTAACACAATACAATGTGTGATATAGACTTACAGGCATAAACGATGCATTCTTCCTCGGCATAAAATCTCTTTAAAATTCCATGCATTTGATTGTGCGCCGAAATCTTGTCACCTCTACTAATAAGGAATGTTACATCGTCCGGGGTTCTTAAAGAATCACTATCTTTTAAAGATGAATTATAGGATGACTGATAGTATAGATTCACTGGTTTAGCCACATCACTGTATGCATTTGCTGCCTCTTCATTGTATATATCATTCTTCACGTTTTTTTTCCCCTTAGCTTTATTTTCGTTATGTTCCTCTCTGTGTCAAATTCAAACTTTTGACGTTTGTAACCACAAACCTGAATAGCATAAGACCTTCTAGAAACCCGCTCTGTAAAGATCTCGGGGTAGTTACCATAGTACGCTGCACCTAATAAGGCTTCTTTACTGCTGGCATCAGACAAACATATACGGCTTCTTGGGATACTCAGAGCCTCGGACAAAGTTTTTATAACAATCCTTTCAAGAAAATCACTCGTTTCTTTCTTTGCGTCTACTGAAAAGCCGGATAAAAATATACCATCGATGTCAAATAGACGAAACACATTACGTTTCATTCCGTTACACTTAATTGCTGAAGTCAAATCACGTATAGCAGGCCAAAAAACATGTTCCAAAAATTCGTATTTCGTAATAGATACCTGACAGCCTGGCGATTGAGTCACCGGGATAGTTTGTGCTTCGTTACTGTCATGATCTAGTTTGTTCTATAGTAACGTCAATAACCGATATAATATTGGCGCTACTATTTTTACAGACTTTTAAATATTCGAGAAAGTTTTGTCTAAGCTCCAAAATATAAGCTGTGTCATTTGTGTTATGGGATTTCTGATATTTACAACATACAGTATTAGATATAAAGAAGCTCAGATTTGTAACAAGTCTAGCAACAAAATCAAATCCAAATGTAGCAGACCTCATGCTTCGGACATTTCTAAACCTATCTGAAGTCCCTTTCCCAGATCGATTAGCATCGCTGTCTTTTGGTGTGTCATTACCGGCAATCTGGGTTGATAAATGTAAGGACAAATGACAGGTATCGTGATACAGGCTTATTTGAAGAAAACAGTTACTTTGCGCCTTTTTTCCAGGGAATTTGTTCTTTTCAAAATATATAGCTGCTGCATCCTCTCGGCGAATAAGCAATAGTCGTTTGGCGGAATCATCTTCTTTAATGATACCGGCGAGTTGAGCAATTTCACGCATTTCGGACTTGTTGCCAAAGAATTGATAACAGTTTTCCATAGTGATAACATATCTGTACTTGTCTTTATTTGAAAGATCCGGATTAGTCTTTATAATTGATTTGTGCACATGTTCCAGCACGTGTTTGAGTAAGTCAACTAGATATGCTGTGAAGCTCCCCCTCATAGCAGACATAAGCTTACTCAACGTAACAAATGACTCTGGCTTGCGGATGTCAGTCTCTTTAACTTGAGCTCCCCATAAAGTTTTTCCATCTAATGTTTCTTTTGCTGTGGGGATAGTGGGATTATCCCAATCTAAACCAGGCCTATTTACACACGTTAAATATACTTCATAACTTATACTCCAATTTATTACCAATCCACAATGTCCGTCATGTTATCATCATTATTTCTTAAATCTCTATAAGAACATACAATTCCATTGTATCCCATATCTACAAATAAAATAACAATATAAGTCACTTGTGAAATCATGTCGATATTATTTCTCACCTAAACAAACAAGGGTATTGTATTTCGATGTGGCAACATTTTCGTATTTGTAAAGTACAACATCAGATTGAGGCTCATATCTACTGCCTTCAATACCATAAATCAAGGCACCCCGCATTGCTGCTGTATCACCTCGATCATCCTGGATTAAACTCCCGATGTGTAATGGGTGCCCCAAAGGAAACTCGTTTAGAATACGTTTGCGCAAGTATGGTGATCCGCCAAAGCCTCCCACCAGATAGGTGTATTTAATATTTCCATTAGCTTTCTTTATTTGTCTCCTCAAAAGATCAATTGTGTTATCGATAACTTCATCAAAAACCTTTTCTCGCATGAATTTGTATGAAAGTCGAATTTCAAAATGATTTTCATCATGTTCGACCGTTACACCTTCGTCTGTAATTATATCACCGTCCAGACCTCGCATCAATTTGAGCTCATCCAATATTTTACCCCACGTAATTAAATATACCGTATCTATAAACACAATCATTATAGGAAGAACGATATAAATGCTGGAATGGAAACTTTACCATCACCAAAATCATCAAGCTCTACGTACTTTTCGTCAAGTCCCTCACTAAAATTACAGCCCTCACAACTAGGAATTGCTTCTGGAACCCTATTGGGGTAACTTCTTCCGCCTTCATTGTCACTATCGCTTTCACTGTCGCTTTCACTGTTGCTGTCGTAGTTGCTGTCGCTACTGTTGCCGCTATACATTTCTCGAAATTTACGACAGCAATCAGGAAGAAAGTCTCTCTTAGCTTGTCCAAAAATTGTCTAGAATATAATATTATCAGAAGCCATAAATGATTATAAGTATTATACTCACCTTGTCTACGAGAAACTGGTCCGTCAGAGGTGCTATAATTGATGCAAGCTCTTCTCTTTTTAACTTGTTGTCCTTCCACGATTTTTTATCGGCACCAAAACAAATATCCAAAAGGACTTCTTTCATTTTAAGATCCAAATATTCCGATCCACAGTTCTTTCGAATTTCTGCGGTAATTTGACATCTACAATAACTTTCCTTGCCATCTTGGTCTCTCTGCTTGAGCACTTCAAAGACAGCAATGCTAACCGTTCCTCCACCAGCATCACAAATCATATACTTCTCACCCTCTGACATAATCACATACTCGGTATCCTTAATCTTTGATGTTTTCATATCGGGTATTCGTTCACAATAGAGGAGTGCAGCTGAAGACTCGCTAATGATTTTCAAACGGTTTTCATTGTCGTATTTGGAAATCAGCCCTGCTTCAATAGCGATTAAACGCATAAGCGATTTTTGAACGTCATTCCACTGTGTTGGGACGGTGATAATAAAACGAATATCTTCTTTGTCAATTTTTAAACCATTTACTATATTTGCATTTTGCATAGCTCTAGCTGTATGATCGAAAAGCTCCCTAAAGTAATCAATTGTAGCTCTTAGGCATAAGAGTTCGAGCTGGCTAGTATTTCCAGTACAACGGAAAGCTCCTTTTTGTGCAATGGACGAAGGGAGTTGCAATTTAAACTTTTCAAAGACTCGATGAGTATCCTTTACTTGACCAGATTGTATAAAGTTAAAGGCACTCATTCCCCAATGTAAAAGGTGGAAGTTCCGATCACATACAATGATAGATGGTGTTTTATGCTGTAAGTTATTTTGCTTCGGCCTAAATGTTTTAAATATTCGTATGAAGATTATGGACTTTGTTTTATCAACTTACCAATCAGTAACATGAATAATGCTGGGGTAGATTGTTTCCCTCAACTCTTTTGGAGACATTTTACCAGTTATATACACACTATATATCCAGCCTATAATCTACTTGACATTTAATAGCAACCCAGCACTGAAACATAAACCATTAACTGATCAAGATATTAATGTCTACTTCCAATCCACGCTCCCATCTGATCTTCCCGGATAACAATCTATTTCAATCCTTCCTTATAAAAAGGATCCCCTTTTCCATTTAATAAAAAGATATCTAGTTTTAGTCTCAAATAATTTAACCGTTTATTTCTTGGAATATTTCAATAGCGTAACACGACCCTGAAAATGTGGTGCCGAAATCTGTGCATGTCGCACTCGTAAATAAATCACACTGCTGTGGAGTATTGTTCATTTGTTACCTATGCTAACGATTATACCATAATCACTATACTTGAACGCCATATCTTAACACAGGAAAGGGCGCAAAAAAAAATCCAATCCATGTTTGTGTTTGTGCGATCCACTTTATGAAACCTTAAAGTTCGGAGCATCCAGAGTTCTTCAAAAAGAAAAAAGGGCCTTTTTCTCAATTGACATTAACGAAACTAACTTGGGCGACCTTCCTGTGGAATTGAGAGTAGAAAATTCTTGCAAGCTTCGAATAAGAAGCACGAATACCGAACCCCCCGGATATGTAGGCCTCGTCAGATCTTTTTTTTTTTTTTTTTTTTTGCAGTTTGACACTTTCTGATCAGCTTGGCTTGAGTTAAAGATTAGAAGTCCGTTTTGTGGTCTTCCTGAATACGACTCAGATTGCAACTACTCGAGCCCTTATTAACTGAATAAAGGGGTTCGTAGATATATTGGATCTATCTAAAGCTATAAATAGGTACCCCCCAAATAAAGTCATACTTATTTCCAGAAAATTAAATTATTTAAGAAACAGTGTGTAGCACCACTCAAAAAAATAAGACATCGTCCAAAAAGGGATGCGAATTTATTTGTTTCACAGATGCAAAAATAAAGGCACGACGAGTTGCATCGGCTATTTGCTCCAACTCATGCTCATCCTCGATACTCCATCGTTTTTCCATTGGAATCTCAGACAGGCCAACTTTCTTCAATTTCTTTTTGTAATCCAGACGTTTCTCGCGAAGTCTAAATCGTTTTCAAAAGGAAAGAGTTACATATAATGTTGTAGAAATTATGAAATAGATGCAGTACTTACGCTACACGTCGCGCATTGCTTCTATAATCTGTGGTGATACAAAATGCTGTATCCTGCTCCATGTGCTGATACATCTTTTGGAACAATTGCATGAACTTGACTCTTTTTTCTTGTTCAGTTGGTTGAGGCAACTGTAATCGTGCAATGGCACGTTGTTTTTATGTGTGTTTTTCAAACACTTTGTCCACCACTTGTTCATCTGTATCTAGATAATAATAACACTCATGTTCTGCCAATTTTCTCTTCATCGACATACTTAAAGGGCCATGTGATCCGATCACTGCACCTGTCTGTCCTGTCGTATTTGGGTACGATTCACTTAAGAACAATTAAGCAAATCCTTTAAATAAACGAATTATGAAATTAAAACAACCTTTGATGTTGCATATCAGCATACGCTTGTATACTGCTATACAACTTCTCCTACTACGAGTACATACTTCTATATTAAAGATTGCATGATTGGCCTAAATACGATATACGAATGACAGTTGGATACATAATGCTATACCACTGAGTTACGATATCACCGATCGAGAAGAGAATCTTCTCAGATCAGATCAAAAATTATAAGAAAGAGACACTTCATATTAATAGTTCTCTTTATGGATTAGCTACCCGTAGAGAGAATAGAACAGCTAGATATTAATGTAGATGGTTCATTTACTTATATATTGATATAAATTATACAACTGATAAAGAAATAGTGTATGAGTTAACGGATACCTACTTTCCACAACCAAATATACAAATCTCGATAAGACATTCTATCATTACGGCGTTTGATCTTGTGGAAAAAAGCATTATCCTACATCGGTATAGTTGACAAATAGCATACAGCAGAAGACGTCCTTTTACATTGACATTATTTGACGCGTAAGCATTGGAATGCATTGAAACAATTTTTGCATCGGGCGAGTTTAGAAGATTACAGATGTAACAACTGTTTAAATAGTGGGGCTTAATACCATTGTTGTCAGCAAGTTTTGTCTTGCAGACTTTCGCAGACCGTAACTTTTTAGGCATGAATTCATTCTGACTATACTTTCATGGGAAACTTTATAATCATTCTCAAATCTTGTCTTAAGTTCTTTATTTCATAGAAAAGCTTCCGGATAGTGTAGATTTTTTTTTTTTTTCAAAATCCTGCCCTTCTGTGCTTGAAGTTACAGTTTGATGGTTAGAAAATAAATATTTTTGACATGAAGGGTAAATCTGGTCATTATGGTTAATTGTGTTATAAATATATAGTGTTTAGTGTTCGAACTTTTCGATCTTGCGCGCTACTTTTTTTGAATTCGAGGGAGCTTTGGATCGAGCATTGATTGCAGCTCGCTCGGTTATAAATGTGAAGTAGCCACTTTTATGCTGCAAAAGAAAGGTAATGACATTTTTTCTTAACAATATACTCTTAATAATACTCCTAGCATCATTATTTTCTGATTTTCATGGTTCAGACTTACAATCAAATGTAAGCTAACCAACGTTGTGATATTTTGATATTTGTAAAATAATAGATAAAAAAAAAGTATTTTAGAAATAAGTCTCGGTAATCCTTTAATTAACTTATGGAGAAACGATCATCGCAGAAGGGAGGACGCCGCTGTTTTATATTAAAACATCTTGGTGATTGAATCTGGTAAAGAATAGGCAATGAATTCTGAAACATGGCAATTGGAATGACATGGTCTTAAGTCAATCACAATTTTATTATATTCATCACTCCCACCGTATCCATGTACACCTTCTTTCGATAACCCCCTTTACGTTCCCACCTAGACACGCCTATATTATTTTGGCCTCCGACCAGCTGCGCAGTACAGCAGTCACGGATTTTTTCTTAAAAATAGAGGGCGTAGTCTTTTTTTTTTTTTTATCCTTCTCTTTTGCTTCATTAATTACCCTTCCGTTTGCGAATGCCAGTACCGAAAGCAGTATTGAACGCCAGTTGCGAGCCAGTGTGAGCGAGTGCCATGCCAAAAGCCTAAACCTGTGTCGAAGCGAGTGTCTGTAAGTACCTAAACGAGTGTTGAAAGCGACTGCGCCCTCCATGGGGCCTTCATCCGTGTTAGAGCGAGTACAGCACAAGTATCGACGCCAGTGCAGAAACCCTTAAGTGGTAGACGCCAGTGCCGAAAGCAGTTTTGAAAAGCGAGTGCAACTATGCCAGTGCCTACCAAATCTGTGTCGAAGCAAGTGTCCATGTCAATGCCCACACTCCAGTGTTGAAGGAAGTGCATCGCGCCCTACTTTAAGGGACTCAACCAGTGTCGAAGCGAATACAGCACGAGTATTGACGCCAGTGCAGATACCCCTACAGTGGTAGACGCCAGTGCCCAAAGCAGTGTTGAAAGCAAAGTTGCAAGCCAATGCGAAACCGAGTTGCCATGCCAGTGCTCTAAATCTGTGTCGAAGCGAGTGTAAGTATCCAAAACAAGTGTTGAAAGCGACTGCGCCCTCCATGGGGCCTTCATCCGTGTTAGAGCGAGTACAGCACAAGTATCGACGCCAGTGCAGAAACCCCTTCAAGTGGTAGACGCCAGTGCCAAAAGCAGTTTTGAAAAGCGAGCGCAACTATGCCAGTGCCTACCAAATCTGTGTCGAAGCGAGTGTCCATGTCAGTGCCAAAACACGTGTCAGTGCCAGTACAGCACAAGTATCGACGCCAGTGCAGATACCCCTCATGTGGTAGACGCCAGTGCCCAAAGCAGTGTTGAAAGCGAGTGCAACCATGCCAGTGCCTAAACCTGTGTCGAAGCAAGTGTCCATGTCAGTGCCCACACTCCAGTGTTGAAGGAAGTGCATCGTGCCCTACTTTAAGTCAGGGACTCAACCAGTGTCGAAGTGAATACAGCACGAGTATCGACGTGAGTGTAGACGCTACGTGTTGGGAAAAGCGAAGGAGTCGGACTGTCAGTGTTGAAGCCTTTGTTGAAGTTACTTGGTGTTTCGATGATGTCTATGTACGCATTGTGTTAATATCTCTACTACATAATATTTGATGGTGTCTTAATGTCTAAACTATATAACACATATAGTTTATAATTAAAGATACCAAATCAAATAAACACCAAAATCATTCATATAATAAAATTAAGGATTATTTTACATTTGATTGAAATTATTGTCTTATTTATGATGTTGAATTGAGCAATATTTGAGTAACGGCGGACTAACAATTCCGTATCAAATAAAGAAGAAGGTTTACATTTTTTGAAGGAAACTAATGTTGAACCTCTTTTATTTTAAAGATTTGTAATATAATATTTATAAGGTTACAAAGATAGCCTATTGGATTGATAAATTTTCCCTTCGTCCCCAACCTCTGGGAAAGACTGTACTTTCCCCCAGCGCTAAAATCTCGGGTTGTTTTTTATATGGACTAGTCAATAAAATAAAATAGTTTCGATTCAAACTTTTTAGAGACTCTCTTTTTTTATTATTATTCCATTATTCAAAATATGAATATCCATGATGAAGCTGGCCGTATCATTTTACCTGTTGTCCAATTTGGAATCTATGCACTTGCACCGATATTGCTATTAGGCTGCTTAGCAGTGACACCTGTGAATGTGATAACCACAAGAATCAAGCAAATGCTTTCCGTGCCACTCTTAACCAGTCTGTTATATTTTCCGTACAAGTATTGTGATGAAGAGAATGGTAAATAAGACATAGAAAAGCTTTTTATTATGCACCACGGCTTTTTTTTGTTTTTGTTTTTTGTTTTTGTTTATTGACTTTTTGACTTTAAGGTTCCTTTTCGGTATTTTGTCAAATCATTCCATTTGTGATGTTTTTACGTTTCCTTGATATTTTTTGGATAGCTCCCTTATTATATAAACAAGAGTCTTACATTACAGCTTCTGAATTAAACATTGAATTATGGTCGAGCATAAGAAAAGATCTAAAACCCCATCGTGAAAAGACAAAGGTCCGACCCGTGAAAGAAGAGGTAATGTTGGAAGAACATGCGTCACATTGTAAAAAAAAACTAATGGGACCCGATGAATATCATAGAAAAAAAAATTCTATCATCTTTTACCGCCTATTATTTTAAACGCTATGGTGTATGATGCCTTGGCAGCGTGGGCCAAAACATTTTCCGCAAAGGACATCTTATTCATGCAGAAAAATAATCTGCTGCAGTCCTTTGTGTTTTTCCTGGTGGTCGTCAATGCATTATCCTGCCTGCTAAATTTTGCTGGTAAAGTCATGCAATTACTGTACTGCATCGCAGTAGAACACGGCACCTATTGCCCAGGTAAAAAAAAAAAAAAAAAAAAAAAAAAAAAAAATATGACAATAAAAAGCAGGTTGGTGTAACCCTCGTCGTCATAGATAATTGGAGACTCATGATGGATTATCCACTACTGGGATTGTCTCTGGAAGAAGTCTGGTCAAGTCGTTGGCACCGTATATTACGTCCTGCTTGGGTCGCTAGTGCATTCAAACCTCTCTATTATATCGTTCGTACATGGACCAACGAGAACCCAAAATACAAGCAATTAGCCATTGGTCTTGCTTCCATGGCTGTCTTTGTGGTGTCTGGCATGACACACGAATATGTTGTCCTGTGTAACACTGGATGGGAACTGTACAAGAAAACATTCATAGGAGATCAAATGATCTTCTTTTGTACACATGGTATTTTGGTGGTATTGGAAAAAGCCGTTAAATACATTTACACAAAGGTCTTGCATTTACCTGCCATGAATTCAGGTATTGTGAGAATGGTGCTGCATTGCTACGTCATTGGTGTATGTTACTATTTCTTCCATTATTTCATTAACGGTATTGCTCATTGGGGTCTTTGGAGACTAGATAAGATTACCCCAGTGGAAGATATTGTACGTCATTACCTTTTAGACACGCCTTATTTACGTTCCTTCTGTGGTTCCCTATTGAAATAGAAGGGAAAAAAACCTTTGTCGTTTTTTTATTGTATCTTTTTTTTTTTATTACATGGTAGGAGGAAAAAGAAGAAGATAAGGTTGGGAGAAAAATCAAAGAAGTAGTGTGTGTCCATATTCAAAAAAAGCCTTTCCCCATCATCTTTTTTTCTCGTTCTTTTTTATTTTGAATTTATAGATTGTATAGTTTAGAATCTAATGAAAAATTATAATAAATGTGTTAGATATACATGTTTGTAAAAGTACAGTCATAAATAATTTACCTGTTGTATGCCATGAAACCACGAACTCTAAGGTAATCAGTCAAACATTCAATAGGACCTTGACCAACAACAGCAACTTCTTGATCCCATAAATACTTGTTGGCGGCCTTACGGACATCATCAGCAGAGATCTTGTTGATAGTAGACTCTAATTCTTGAGCATCCAAACGCTTACCGGAGGCAAGGACTTGAGAACCAATATCTTGAGCAACAGCACAGGTAGTATCGAGGCTCAATAACAAACTAGCCTTCACTTGTTGCTTTGCGCGCTCAATCTCAGAAGAGGTGACATTTGTGGAAAGACGGGCCCATTCTCTTTGAGTGAAATGAACGAAATCATCGATTTGATCCTTGTTTTCAGTAACAAAGTACATACCCCACAAACCGGTATCCTTATAACCCTTGGTGAATGCAGAGAAAGAGTTGGCGAGATGGTTGGTGTTCACAACAGTGGACAATCTGGAAGAAAGGTTGGCAGCACCACCTAATCCCTTATCCCAAGAACCAATAACGGCTTGCATAACGAGCAACTTGAAGTAGTCGTCAGAAAGGTAAGGGGCACCTTCAACAGCAAGAGCAACACGGGCCAAAGGTAAAACATCATCACGGAGACGAACTTCGGAACCAGTGAAGATAGCCTTGGGGCTGGCAGCAGCAGGGGTAGCAGCTTGAAGACCACCAAACTTTTGTTCAGCAAGACGAACAAGAGCATCATGATCAACATCACCAGAACCAACCAAGACCATACGGTCAGCACCATAGTATTGCTTTTGGAAGGCAATCAAATCCTCAGCGGTTAATCCTTCAACGGTTTCCTTAATACCAGCAACAGGGCGACCCAAGGATTCACCTTGGAAAGCAGTAGCATACAAATGGTCGAAAACAACGGACTCATAATCAGACTCAGCAGCAAGTTGTTGCTTGAAGATGGCTTGACGTTGCTTGTCAACAGTGGCAGCATCAATCTTGGTGTTTTGGATGAGATCAGCAAGAACTTCGACAGATTGTCCGACATTAGCTCCCAAGGTCTTGGCAGCAAATGAAGTGAATTCACGGCCAGTTTGGGCAGTAAGGACACCACCAATCTTTTCAAACTTGGCAGCTTGACCCTAAAAAAAGTAAGAAAAAATGTTAATTTCATGTTCAACCCATGTCGTGAAAAATGCCGTATAACTCTTTCAAACAAAAAAAGATGTGTAATGTCGCTCCACACAACCCCCCGTCTCAATCTCTTTTTTTTTCTCGTTTAAATATATATATGTGTGTGCGTGCGTGTGTGTGTATGAGTGTGTATGAGTGTATTTTTTTGTTGATTCGTCTAACAGCATTTTTCCATCCAATTCTAAATATATATATAAAAAAAAGAGAGAGCATTACCTGGACAGCAACGTGTTCCAAAAAGTTGGCAAGACCGTTGGTCTTGGCGGATTCAGCACGAGAACCGGCATCGATCCAAACACCAACAGTGGCGGCACCAGCAGAAGGGTTTTCGTCGGTGGCAACGGTAAGACCGTTAGGCAAGTTGGTGACACGGGTAGCTGTAGCTTGCTTGGCAGCAGTGGCCATAGGACGAACGAACTAACAATAATGTCAATTAAAAAAAAAAAAAAAAAAAAAAGAAGTGTCACATTGTTCTTTTCTTTTTCTTTATGTACCTGCTTGGTCAAGCTAACATTAGCTTGAAGGGTATTAGAAAGAAGCCTTGAAGCCATTTTTGTGATTTTTTAAATTAGAGTGGGGAGAAAACAATAAATAACGAAACCTTTTTTTTTGTGGGCCCTTTTTTTTTTTTCTTTTTTTCTTGTCTACCTAGAAAATATCCCCCAGTTTTCCACAAGGGCCAAGGCTGAGTGCAAAAATCCTATTTTTTTACGTCATCAGATCCAAAGAATTACACTACACACGCCCTCAATCATATTTTATGTATAAATGAGAGCTTATTTTTCTTCAACACAAGGATTGATCTAGTTGGGCAATGTTGTAAATTAGCTTCTCTCACGCTCTGTTCCTTCTCAATACTATAATCATAAGAACGCATAATAGATAAAACTACAGCTGTTGAGAAGAAGGCATTGGAGTGTAAACTGATTAACGAAGCTAAGGTCAGGTAGAAAGATCTTGGAGTGCAGCCTGACACCCCACAACTGTTGAAGACACCATTGAATTGTTTACAGTGTTTTAGTTGATTCCTCATTGAAAAAAAAGGTGTCAACCATGTTGGGATCGGTCTAACAATGTCACAAAAATATATAGTGTACGCAGCTATCTACAATATAGTACCGCATTAAGCCATTAACACACATAACCCAATCATGAAGCGTGATATCCCTCAAAGTTCTAGTATATCTTGGGCTGGGTATTTGCTGATAAAACTGCATGAATCAATGGGACATGGTTATTTAGCGTGTGCAACAGCATCACATAGACGATGCTTATGAGCCAGTGAACACGGTTTGTAATTATCAAGCTTTCTAATTTACTCAAGCTAGAGACAGTAGTATTAAAAGCCAATTGTTTTTTTAATTGAGAAGCCCAAATGTTGATTTTGTCACGATAAACTATTTTCTCCATATTCACGGTACGTTCTTGTGCCGATTTACCTCATTCTGTGCAGACAGCATCATATGTACTCTCTTTCCCTGCTGTGTTTGTATCATTGCTTGATATGTACTTTCTGAAACGCCAGTTAGAGATGTTTTGCTGGTAGAACATACAAAGAAGCTACCATTAATGACCTATAAACAGTTGGACAATTTTACGCCGTGTTTCGGGTCCTGCTCACATGAGTTTAATTGCTCTTGAGTCAAAAGCTCTTCTCACAGTCCTAACACTTGATTTTATTGCAAATGGAGAGAACGGGAAACATAGTAAACAAAGGAGAAATATAGGTAAGAGGATAGAATAAACAGTTTCTTTTTTTTTTTTCAGACTATCTTTAAAAAAAAACAAAATGATGCAATTGATAAATATTGACTGGTGCTATTGCACAGTCAACATCTATGCCGTTGAATTGAAGGCGTGTGCGACCCGGTCTTTCTCCATAAACTCCTTCATTTGTCTTAAAATTATACTAAACACTATCGTCAGAAAACGCAAAGCCTTAAATTATATTATATTCAATCTGTATCAGAACTCTTATTTTTACGTATTAGCGGTTTGCCAATCATTTATTATTGTGATATATAGAAATTAACGCCTCATAGTCAACACGTGAGCGGACGTATGCATAAGAACATTTTATATAGTGAGAAGATGATTTATAATTTATTTGATAAATATAAAAAGATGCAATAATGATAATATAGATACAAATTGGGTTTGGAGAAAGGTTGTACATGGAAAGGAAGAAACTTTTTTTTTTTTGGAAGATAATCTTGTAGCTAGGGCTCTTTTTTTTTTTTTTCTTTGGGATTTTTGTTTTTTCCGCGGCTACGATGCATAGTATGTAAATTCTTTGGGATTTACTTCAAGTAGGGACACCCACCGCGACCATGTCCGTATTTACCACACCATGAACTATAATTACTATCCATTAGTTTTCATGTATTTTTTTTTAAAAAAAAACGCATTCTATTGAATACGTACCATTGTCCTTGCGATAAATCTAATGGCTTTGGTGTAAACATGCTATTGACAGGAAGCTCCAGATGAGAACAATTAGTATTGCTTTGACTTGTTGATGTAGCAATTGAAGTTAATAATCTGATGAAGGGCATTTTTAAGTTGAAGGGTTGATTAAATTGGAAGGAAAATTATCATCCCAAAAACCGATCGTATTTATACTTTTTTTTTTTTATTTTCATTTGTGTATCATCTTTTCTTCTCTGGCGTAAAAATAACAAACAGGGCAATTTCCTTTCTTCTTTCTTGGATATTGTATGTCAATTTTTTTTTAATTGACAATGACATTTTTATATATCCACTGTCTAATAGGATTACATATCGCATTGCATTCATGAATAGAGTGAATTCATTTTGAGAACGACTCCAAATGTATGGTCACACAAGTATGTTGATTGTTGGACAAAAAAGTAAATAAATGATGGGTGAAGCCTCAGGGGAAAGAAGAAAAAGTACAGATGAAACACCTACATCTGTCAACAAAATTTAGCGCAAATGATCACACTTTGTTGTCTTGTTTAAAAAACATTACGCCAGAGTCATGGTTTATATTGACAAGTCAATTATCAACATTATAGCGTTTCATCTAACAAAAAAAGAAAAGTGAAATTTTACATTTAGGTCGAGATCCCAGACACCCATAACTTATGAAAAATAGACATTCATTGTATTTTAGCTTTGATTTTTTTTTGTTTGTTATCTGTTCCACGATAATAAATTATAAAATAGATCTAGGCACGTAAGCGTAATTTCGGCCGTGCGTATTTGTTAAACAAGAGTGTAAGAACTCCTTATTTTGTATTCATCATAATTCATAATGCACAACAAATAATATTATCTTTATTCATCGGGCGCTATTGTTTAGTTACGATAATAATAATAAAAAAAGATAATATATCGTTATTTTCTTTGAAAAAAAAAACATCTGGCAAAATCTAGAACAATGCGAATTGATCTTGACCAATTCATCGAAATTGGAACATAGTGACAACGAAAAACAAAAAAAACAATAATATTTATAAGAATAAAAAAAGTACGGCACAATCCGAAAACAATATTATGGCCGTGTAAAATACAATCCGATCCGCCCAATTCGTAACCGTAGCTCCGGTTACATGTGACATGTTCGTTAATGTAAACAATAACAGATGGGAAAAACAAAAAATACACCCAAAATTTTGTTTGTTTATTATGATAAAAGGCGCCATCATGATAAGTAGATCAACACAAAAACAGCTTTCTTCATTTTAAAAAAATTAAATCCACCTGTGCATTTATCCCGATGAGAGAAATCGTGTACGTAACAATAATAAACTTGGACACGTTCAGGGCACTTTTATCTTTAGTAAAGATGCTCTGGATATCCTTGACGACGGACTTTGCACAATGACTGAAAATGTGGGCATCCCTCACTAATATCAAATTAATGAAAACGAAGCCACTCTATTTTGCTAGGCTAAATCATTCAGTTACGAATTAACCGACTGGTTCATTTATTCATAAAATAGGATGCTAGACTTTTAGGCTATTTTATAAAAGAAAAACATCAAGTCTTTTTTTGTTGTTGTTGTGTATCTATAAATATTTTTCTACCTTCTAGATTCGCAAAGTTTGTTACACTTAAACTAATATTATGCGATATGTTTCACAGAACCAAGTGCTAGAACAGCTCTTGATTGTTCGAAATCATCAAGTTGCCTGTAAGGCACGGTAACTTTTTATTATCTGATTTATTAAATAATAGATTTCTAATTATGCTATTTTAAACGATCAATACGAACTACGAGTGACGTTTTTTTTTTTTTTGGGCTGATGTTTCTATTAAAAGATTCGCTATATTTAAGCTAAAGAGTGATCGTCATCCATTAGCCCTAAACCCATTAATTTAAAAACCGTTCAAATTCCGCTGTGAAAATGAAAAAAAAAAAAAATCTTGGCGATCCTTGCTTATTGGCCATAAGAAAGAGTAACGATAATTAACTGAAACAAACCTTTCACGCTTTCTTGTTAAGTTTGAGGGACGTTCCGAAAATACAAGCCTATAAAATTTAGTTGAGTGAATGCTGGTTTATTCTTTATGGTAAAGTCCGGCTCTAGATAAACTATCTTTTTTTCTCGAAGAATAAGATAATTTAGAAGGTAAAATCACTGACATCATCTCCGCCAAACTAAAATTTTGCAAGCTAAAAAAAAAAACTCAAACATCTAATAGTCAATTATATCCCATCATTACTTGAACTTGGCAACTAATAGTATCAGAAACACACTAAAAAAACATGATTAACGTTTTAATGATACCATCATTTTCAAAAAAAAAAAAAAACATATATAAACCCCCACTATTCAGTTCCAATTTTTTTTTCTTCATTATTTCACATCGAATTAACAACTTATATACACACACAATGAAGACCTCTTTCTCTACTACTTTCCTTGCTACCATTGTTGCTGCCGCTGCTCTCGTTCAAGCTGCTCCTCAACAACCTGCTGCTCCTGCTGCCGACCCTGCTGCTAGTGGTGCCTCTGGCGCTTCTGGTGATGCTTCAGCTGGAAAGACTGGTCCTGTATCTGTCACAGATCCCATTGAAGGTTCTACTTGGAAGATTGGTGGTTCTGAAACCATCGCATGGCAAAACGTTCAAGATGGTGTCGATAAATTGATTGTCAACTTAATGAAGGGTGATCCTAATGCTCTTACATTGGTTCAAGCTTTAGCTACTGAAATCGATGCCGCTTCTGGTTCTACAACTGTTGATGTTCCCAAGAATACCACTGAAGGTTCCGATTATTCTCTTGCTGTCGGTAAGAGCCCATCTGAAATGGCCTACATTGGTGGTTTAACTATCTCCAAGGAAGGTGATAAGGACTCTAAGGAAAGCACAGCTACTGAAGGTGCTGCTTCTTCTTCTGCTGAAGATTCTTCTGAAGCTTCTCCTGCTGATAGCGCTCCTGCTGATGATGCCTCTGCTAGCCCCGCTGCTGGTGATGCTTCTGCCGACCCCGCTGCTGGCGGTGATGCTGCTGCTGACCCTGCTGCTGGTGCCGATGCCTCTGCTGATCCTGCTGCTGGTGGTGATGCTACTGCTGACCCTGCTGCTGGTGGTGATGCCTCTGCCGATCCTGCTGCTGCTGGTGGTGATGCTACTGCCGATCCTGCTGCTGGTGGTGATGCCTCTGCACCTCCTTCCAAGCGTGCTGCTGAAGAAGCCGGAGAAGATACCTCCTCTGGTGGTGCCGGTTCTGCTGTCACATCCGCCGCTGCTAGTGTTGGTGGAGCTGCTACATCTGGAGCTGCTAGTGCTGGTGCTGCTGCCACATCTGCTATTGCTAATGCCCCTTCTGCTGCTGCCTCAGCTGGTTCTGAAGCTACATCTGCTGTTGCTTCTGCTGGCTCCAAAGCCACATCTGCCGTTGCTGGTGCCCCTTCTGCCGTTGCCTCTGGTAAAGCTAAGGGTTCTTCTGACGCTGCTAGTGCTACTGACTCCGCTGCCGGTGGATCTGCTTCATCTGATAGCGCTGCCTCCGGTGCTGCTCGTAACATGATCTCTGGTGTTGCTATGGCTATCCCTGCTGCTGTCTTGGCCATGACTGGTTTCTAAATATAAATCTAAAAAAAAATAATTACACTTATATATCATCCTCACTGTACCATCTTCTTCTCTTTATCCCCCCAATTCACCCTTTATAACAAATAAATTATTATGATTGTCTTCAAACGAAATTCTTGATTATTTTTCTCTTTTACAGTGATATATTTTTAGGTTTAAATTAACGAGTTTAAATGCAGCGCAACATTTCCAAATGCAAACGTTTGTCATAACATTGACACATCACGCTGTGATACAATTCTTTAAACTAACTTGTCCTTATTTTTTTTTTAAAAAAAAAAATATCCAACAGTCGCCTAAACGGTACCTTACAAATAAAAATAGCCTAGTTATAAAAAGACGAAAATAGTTCTCATTAGTGCATATGAAAAAAGTTGGATTTTTTTTTAAGGAACAATAGCCTTATCGAACACCAATTTGGGAAAAAATTAATCTACTGCACATTAAAAAAATTGTTTAAAAATTACGGGTCATGTCTGTCCCTCGGGTGGGTTATATATTTAACAAAATCTTGAGAGTATCGATTATATTAGCAACTCATTGCCAAAACCATGCAAAAAAAGAGCCTGAGAAAAGAAGACAGCGTTCAGTGAACCTCTGTCTCAGTAAGTCATGTTCGACCATTAATTCTTTTTTTTTTGGGGGGGGGTGCCATAAAGGCATTACCTCTTATCATATTCGAACCTCAAAAATTAAAATTCCGGACAAACTCTAAGAAAAGGTAAGCTGGGGGGTCGCGATACAGGCCTCATACTTGATTATTAAGAGTTATAAGAATGTGGGATTTTTTTTCTCTCTTTCTTTTCGGAGAAGTCCTTTCACGGCATCAAGCGTCAATCTTACCGAGTCTCTTGTACAAGGTGTACTTAGTTCAACTACTACACGTGAAAAAAATGGCGGAATGTCAAGTCTTTCTCAATCTAAAATACCAATCACGCACGTGTGTACGTGCTTGAAATAACCCATTGGGTTTATATTCATGCAAAGGATTGGATACAAAGAAACTTTATTTTATTTAGTGGATATCCCCCCCAAAAAAAATAACATTATCCTTAAGTTGTTCGCAGTGGTTTTCTATGACATTCTTGGGGGAATGGTCTTGAAGGAAGTTGCAATCGGTGTTTGATTATTAGGGATAGGTCTGGGAGGTACTAAAGGTGCACCTGGTAATTTTTCTTTTTTTTTAAAAAAAAAAAAGAAGAGGGGGTTAATCATCTGTCTGGTTTTCGAAACACAAAATCATTTACCTTGGTTATACATGGATTCATTCCAAGAGCCATCCTGCGGTGACACAATAACTGGATGGTGCGGTAAAAGATCGTATTCATCATCATCATTATCTTCCAAAGTTGAACAAGAAGTAAGAGGAGCTGTGTTTGCAGATTCTCTTCCATAGATATAGGACCTGGGAGAATGCAAAGGATAATCATCAAAACTAGCAGGTCTACTGTTGTCATACATTGAAGAGGCAAACGTCAGAGTGCTACTTGTAGCCGGACTGTGGCTGCTGTTGATACGCATCAATGAACTTGTGTTACTCATCACGGAGTTCGTATAATGACTTCCCATACTGCTTGATCTTCCCGAACCAATTTTACTAGATGCAGATGCAGGTTCGCGTAATAAACTTAGCTCGTCTACTGTGTTTTGACTCACCCAAGAACGCATCAATAGGTATTGTGTGACTAAGCTTTGTTGTTCTTCGGTGTCAAAATCATCTTTGCCTGTACCATCGAATGCACTGGTTTCGCTTCCATGACTGGTTCCATTGAAATAGTCGGTTGTTGTGCTACCATCGACGGTATTAATTGCTGTGTTACTATTGCCGAAACCAATCGCGCCTCCTAATCGACCAAAACTAGACTTACTACGATGGATAGCCTGTGACAAAGAAGGTCGGACTTGGCCCTGACTTTTTTGTATCATCTTTGCATTGGCCACATTGGGCTTTCTATCATAAGTCGGAGTTGCCTGGAACTTGCTTAAGGTTTCCAAAAGTTTATTGATACGAGGATCTTGATGCTGAGGTTGTACACTACCATGATATTGTCTTGAAGAGGTTCTCATGGGAATACTGGGAGGCTCGGTACTTGTCTTTTGCTGTTGCTGACCTACGGCTGCCAGCAGATAGGTCATATCGTGAATGAAAGTGCCCAAGAACGGAACTGTCGGTCTCTTGTAATGCTCAGACTGAATCAAGTTGACACTTTTGCCATTTAAAACGGCAGTGGATACAAGACCCATATGTTCGCGATATTTTCCGTAATTGTTATGCTCAGACATGAGCTCGTTCATTGCATCCAATCGTCCCAAGCTTTTTTTTGGGATATACGCCCATGTGCGTTTCAACCTTTGAACAGGAGGAGTTCCTAGTGCAGATACAACAGCTTTGAGTGTCTGATAATTGTTCAAATCTTGACATTTGTTGGCAATTTTAATCCAATGATTGATATGCTGAGCACGCACAGATGCTTCTTGTGGCAGTAAAATCGAATGCTCGATTAGTCTAGTTATGTAATTAAAGAAATCGGTGGAAGCGACTACGCGAGGGTGAGGTGATTTGGGAGCGTGAGATAATAAAGCGTGATTAGGAATAGCAAGAAAGATGGCTGATTCAATTCTTGTGATTTGGTAAGCAACTAAACCAGGCGCGAAGTGAAGTATACTAGGTATAGTAGCGGCACTCATGTATAATGTCCGAACTCTATTTAGCGTGTGTTTCGCCTCTGCCACAAATGGGGTATATTTGGAAATGGCTTCATTTAATTCAATTTCTGTCATCTGATAGTTAAATTGCTGTTCTTCTCCTCGACTCAGCTGTTGTTTTCGCACACGATAATCTTTTAATGATGACTCAAGCTCATCTAATTTTGCTTGTAATACCCTGTGTGTTGTAAGGAGAGGCGGTACGGGTATAAGAGGTATGTGGTCAGTTTTAATCCCGTTGGAACCACCAGTGGGTGTTAAACTATCGCTATTGCTTGTCTGGGCAGGAACAAGATGCGTGGGGTCAATTTCCCCGTCAGCTATTTCACTGTTTAATTCAGGTTGTGGGCTTGATAAATTATTTTGCATCGATGAATTGGATCGGGTATGTTGTTGAGTAGTTGATGGCGTTACTTTTTCTAATTGGGGATATGATTAAATTTGCGTCAAAAACATAACAAACATCAATGTTTATTTTTTACCTCTGTTTGATACAGATCGTTTCATTAGAAGTGGTGTCGTCTTTGATGGAATGGGTATAGGAGGAAGTTTGGAGGTGGGTTTAGGTGGCAAGACCGGCTTGCTAACATGAGTTGGTTTTGGTGGTAAAGGAGGTGCAATTTTGGTAGTAGGTGAATGATATTCCATTATCTTTTCAATATGATCAACACATGTATGTAATATAGATAATAATGCTACAGAATTTGCTGGTTTCGATACAATCGCTATTTTGTACAAAAAAATCATAAGCGTATGCTTTCTCAATCTGGAAAATGAATTACTTACAATTATGGACAAATTTAACGTCAAACAACGGTTTTATAGCACTTTGGGCTGTGGATAAAAATATACTGTAGGCATCCTAAAAAAAAAAAAATTCTATAAATACAAACAACCTTTTTTTTTCATTACATATCATTTAAAACTCACTTTTATTTGACCATTGTCAAAATGGTGAGATGCAAGAGCTAATGAAGATTGTGGATCTTCCATTATATTGGAGTTTTTTTTTTATTCAAATATGTTATGTCAATGTTCGTAAAGTTATATCCTTTTTGTAATTGATTGGATATAATCCTGTCTTTTCTGCGTGGTGCACGAAGATATGATAACTAAAAAAAGGGGAAAAGAAAAGGAAAGGAAAGGAAAGGAAAGAGAGAGAGAGAGAGAGAGAGATAGAGAGAATAAGAAAAACGAGATTGCTCAAGTAATAATGGCACACAAAGAAAACATGTTGAATGATTGGGGCTCCATTTGGGTTCCGAAAAATTAACTATAAATTAATTGAGAGACAAAGAGACCCTTTGGAAGGACTCGTGTTACTGCCAGTTTAACCTCTCCTCTTTTTATATATTTGTTTTTACATGACATCCCTATAGTTACTTATCACTGTCTAAAGTCTTTGGAAGTCTAGAATATCTAAAGTCTTGGGTATACGTAATGCCATACCAAACTACCGTCATTTCCAGACACAAGTGAAAATGGCAATTTCGGCCCTTTTTAATACCACCCTCTGTTTTTCACTCGATTGTGTAATTAGCTCTTATAAACATTGGTTCTGGTATATTACTCAATCAAATAAAAATAATTACTAGCTCCTCTTTCATTACCCGGATTCAGCAAGATATGCACTTTCAGGATCTCCTTAATTTGTGCGAATCTTTTTATTTTTAAAATTTAATTTGATCCTTGTAAATCATATATTCAGCAGGTTTACTGTTTTGGTCGAAATGTGTAATTAAGTTGCCACTATCAGGCAATACCGGCCAACCAGCAATAAATAGCTTTCCTCTTGTATCATTCCAAGTGTAAGCAAGAATTTTCACTTCATTATCTTTTTCTTTGACCAAATCATCAGGTATGTAAAAGTCGTGCTGAGGTCCATCACCATTACCGTAATATCTTGCAATAAGCACATCGTTAATTAACACCATGGCAGTCCATTCACCATCCATGTGAAGACGAAGGGGTACGTTGTACGAAGTAGACCTTTTGAGAATGTCATCAAATCGGAACCGGAACCACTGTACACCCTGTGCAACAGTAATGGGGATTTCGTAAACATTTTCCTTTTTTTCTTCATTTGCCAATTTGATCCAACCTGTAGACTCCTTTTCATCTGGGAAACCGGTTGAGCTAAAAGGATTTGATAATTTACGTACATCAACGCCAGCAATCTCCCAATTTCCTTGTTCTTTAATTCCACTCAATTTGGCTTTTGTAATTCCACGAGGATTACGAATATCATTCATAATAAATGCTTGTCGATTTAACCCAAAACTCTCAACGAGTACAATCAGTTGGTTTTCAAGTTGGTCAACACGAGAAAGATAAGGTGTGAGATCATATTTGTGTGTATCCAAAAACCACGGGTCAGGTCCAATTTTGGCCCCAGGCATAAACAATTGTCGAGAATAAGTGGTATGACCACCAATAATCACACCATTGATAATAACCGTAGCACGATGGCGAGCATTCAGGGATAATGTAACCTTGGGGTTGGCACTGCTTGGCGTTTTAAACACCTTACGATATAATACATGTCCACTAAGATAATGATAGTCAATAGCATCAAAGGTTAAGCTTCCATTCGTCTTTAAACTCTTCAAATCTTCCCAGGGCATATTTTCGAATTCAGTCGTGCGCTGTTCCCAATTATTAAAAGTAATTTCAACAGGTAAACTGGCCTTGACATCGTCATTAAATTCAATCGAGCGAATGAACGGGAGATCATAAGAACCAACAGTCTTGGTTAGGCGGGGATCATTTACAGATCCAAACGAAATAATATGAGCGGTATTTTCAGTGGGACGATGATTGACTTCAAGCTTTTGGATATTCTTATCAAAATAGAAACTATCGGCACCCCAAGCAGCAAAGGAGGGATAATTCTTTTTACCTTTGTTCCAATAAGGCTCTTCAAATTCAGCAAATAAAGTACTGGAATCAAGCTTATTAAGGCCAACAATGTAAAGACTGCCAGTGGAAGTTTCGATTTTGGTCCATCCGTTGTCTTTTTCAAATGAAAGAACCATAGCGGGGCCGTCAGTACGCAAAGTGCTGTCTTGCATATTACCAGTGATAGTAATTTTTGATTCCTTAAAAGCCATAGCACCAACGAGATTAGGTTCCACAATCCAAACTTCTTCATTACTTTGCTTGTTTACAATACGGGTCAAAATAGGAATAGTTGACATGAGCAAGTGCAAACCATTTTGTGCAACATAATTACCCACAGCAATAAACGAGGTTTTATAAGGTAAATGACAGCCCATTGTAAAGTTACCATCATTCTCTTCTACTGTTACATCAAACGTTTCGCGTCTTTGACGATCAAAATTTCTGAAAAAGGTAAAAATAACCTCCTGATCGCCGGATACGGATTGACGCTGTAAATTTAAAGTATGGGGAATAGAAGTCTTGATTTTAGGGTGATCGATTCTTTCCGTTTTGGTGAAAAAGGGATCAAATGAACGGGTAAAGAGCATAGTTTTACGAAGATTTCTACCCCTTGATGAGAGCATACCAAATTCACGAATACAAGCAGAATAGTCGTAAGAGGTATACACATCGCTAGAATACAGATAATTAATTAAGTGCAGCAGATAACCTTACACTAACTTACGGATCACCAAGAGTGCCCCAGTTGGTACCACCGTAAATCATATAAACACTAGTCATTGTCACACCTTGCGCTAACGAGGTCTCTACTAAAAGTTTGGTGTATTCAGGGCCGTAAAAATCAAAAATTTGATCGTAAGTATGTTGAAGTTGATAATGATTAAACCATCCGCCTTGGAGTTCAGGAATAAATAATGGAGACTTATAATTTACTTAGTCTTGGGTCCTTTCGCGAATGAAGCCAGCTTACCTTTTTAGCTCCACCACCAAAATTACGAATGGTAGTTTCCAGTTTATCCATCGAGTTCTCCATATTTTTAGGCTCCCATTCATCCCAATCTCCAACAGACACACCACTATTAATCAGCCAAGATTTAGGAGAGCTAGAAGGCGCAAAAACTGAACATGCAATGAATCAGTTCACTGTTTTTTTATAATGTTTCTGAAATCGTACTTACTAACATATTTGTCGAAACCATAAAGATCAATACCAAACTTTTTTTGACCACTCTTTTCGTCTAATTCTGGACGTGGTACCCAACCGCCTTCTTCAAACCCATCATTTGTAAAAAGAGGGACTGTGATGCCAGCATCTCTTGCTGCTTTTGCCAATACGCGCATTTGATCGTGAAGACCGATAGGTAACATACCTGCCATCTTTTCAAATAATTCATTATCAATTTGTACACCCAATACACAACCTTTTTTATCTCCCGTGTTAGAGGTAATTTGATGTTTGGCGATAATGGGTAAAATGGCGTTCATCCATTGAATTTCATAGTTTGCAAATTTCTCGTCATACACACGCCACAGCATAATATAATTATGACGTATATTCAGTTCTCTCTTGGCCACAACCCAACCAGGGTAACCACCAGCTTGAGTTTCTGCACAGATATAAGGTCCTGGAGCTGCTAATACAAATAGGTTCAACTCTTCACAAAGCGTTAGAAGATAGTCAATGTCTCTGTTTCCATCAAATACGTAGATTCCCTCATCAGGAGAATGATAACCCCAATGGAAGTAGATTCTAATGGTGTTGAAACCTGCTGAACGATACTGTTTCAAAATGGGCGACCAACGTTCTCTATCAGGTACTCTCCAGTAATGAAACTCCCCCGAATGAATCTGTGTAGGTTCCCCTTCAATTGTAAGTGCATATTTATCCCAATCTAACAAGTCATGGTAACGGGTACGGTTGTACGCAACGGAAGAGGTTGTAATGTCCAAGTGTCCTAAAGTACGCTGGTGGGCATAATAATAAAACCCTCCAAGCAGAACCGGTATTATAGCAAACAAAGAGAGCAGCGGCGCCATGTCGGACATGTATTAGATATTCTCTTATTGTTCAAATTTGTAAAAAAAAGAAAAAAGAAAAGGGCTTTGTTTATAATTTAATTGTTCTCGGCCGTCTAAAAAGGAAAGTTTTATGTTTCATCGGTGAATTTATGCGGCCCGTATTAGCTTTTGCAGATTTTCTCCTGTGCACACAATGGCTTTTGTTTACATGTAAACTCTTGGTTACAGCATATTTTATATTTATTGACAACAACTACCGCGTATTGTGTCGCATATAAAAAGTGTAAACGGTATAACACGTAGGCTTTCTCGGGTAAAATATTGTCCATTTTGACACGTTTACGACATTATCGACTGCAATAGCTCATTTAGTATGCTTTTAGATAATACTGTCAACTTATTATGAGGCTATGGAGCACTGCCATTGTATTATTTTGCTTCTTTTATTGTCATAAGTTACCCTGTTTAATTTATAAATCAATGCAACTAATATCATGAATAAATAATAATAATAATAGTATATCATTCAAGATTGATGAAAATATTACGTATACCTAAACAAGTGTATATCTTGTGCTGGTAGAGAAAAGGAACGCGTATTTCAATTGGTTAGTATCATAAGTAGATTGATTTGAATAAATCTCGTTGTAATTTTAATCGTGATTTTTGACTTGGATGGTTTTACCTAAGCTGGGTATATGCTATTTTTTCAAGCATTTAATAGCAATCAATTTTTAAATTCACGTCTAGATAATCGTAATAACCGTAATAATGTAGATTTTTGTAACTTCTTTGGCAATAGAAATATTTTTGATAACAACCTCATGACTACGCCCTATCAGCTGGTTTTGTGATTTTCTTATAAACGAAACATATGAATGTATCAGCCTACAAGGAAATAACCAGAACTGTAGTTTTCTTTGGAATCGAAAAGACTCTGCTGGATACCACAAACGACAGCAATGCTTAGCATTTCGTTATCATTTAATTTTCTTCATTTCACACGAGATAAAGCCAAACATCAGTATAAAAGCCATGCTTTATGCCAGTAGCTTTTTTTTTAGCATGGCAGCAGCAGCATTAACGCCAAATTACAGAAATAGAAATTAGGAGTTGGTTTGTTAATATGGTTTGTGCCTTTACTAATGTTGATTTTTCCACAGTTATTTTGGTCGCCCGTTACTCCCTTTACTTTTAAGGAGCTGGTAATGTTTAATGGTCTGGCAATAAATCTTGAACACAACTCACATGTCATTGTGATAGTTGAACAAGTGTGTGTTCACTACCAAAGTGGCAAGTGTAAAATCAGATGTAGCACCATTAAATTGTGCTACATAAATAAATAAAGCAGGGAAGGAACAATTGGCCGGCGATTAATGGCCCGAACGTGAAACCACTTATGGTGTAACACTCAACTGTATTGATAATTTGTAGTGATTTGACCTCACTTTACGACACAAGATCATTGTCAACCCTTATTGATTGAATATCTATGTTGTTAAACCAAATACGGCTGTTAGAACAGTCACATCACGGTAAAAAGTTTATAGCCCCAATGTTTTTTCGATACAATAAGACAAGTGGTGACAGAAAATATGAAGGCATAATGCAATTGAATCGGAATGCACGTTTTGCAAAAGCAATCCGACATAGATATAAATAATTTGGATGATAAATCAACCGGGTTTAGTTACTCTGAGTGCAAACAAATAACCTCCTCTCCCGGTTTAACTTCAGTTACCTTGATTTTGTACCCCTTTTTTCTTGATTCTGCTTTTTTTTTTCAGATGTCTGATCCAACAATTTCAGACAAACAAGCGAATCTGGGAGCTGCTTGCTTTCGTTGTCGAGGATTCAGGTATTTTAGATTGATGATGGCAAGATCGGCAAGATGATGTGTGACTAAATTAGTTTAAAATTCAGACATGCTTGCGACAGAAGAAAGCCGTCGTGCTCACGTTGTCATCGTAGAGGGATTGACTGTGTCTACCCGGAAGCAGCACCTACACTAAAAAAATTGCAGCAGGCTACAGAGACATTAGACGTTAGAATCAAGGAATTTGGTGACCGTTTAAAGACTGGAGAGGTGGCACCTTACGAATCGAAAAATGAAGTTAGCTCACCCTTTGCTGAAAGTGTGATCTCCACTTACTCCGAGGATACTTATACTGACGATATGATGATGGACGAAGAACCAACAGGAAGAGTGAGAAGAAGGAAAGTTGCTTCAACAAATAGCTTCTCGGTTTATCCCTGTACCAAATGTTTTAAGGATTTACAACAATGTGATTTGACACTACCGCGGTGTAGTCGCTGCGAGGAAAATAATTTTGAATGCGAGTTTAAAAAAACAGAGCCTAAAGCAAATCACGTCTCTCAAGTTTTGACAACAATGAATACAGTAATGGATCAGTGGCAAGATTCGATTGATCGAATGTCTAAGGAATCTTCTCAGCGGACAAGGGAATTATCTGCTAAAGCAAACTACTCACTCAAAGTTAAGCCGTATCAGACGAAGTGGAACTTGACAACTGGAAAGAAAAAGTTATCTTTGGAAACCAATGTTAATTCGTGTAGTGATTTTTCAAAACTTATGGACCAGCTCAAACAGACAATAAACCCCCAAAACAATGATCAGCATAGTGCATCTACAGACTTAGCCAATGTGCCTATTATGGAATTTGATAGCACTAGCTTACTCCATTCAACGTCTGGATTTGATATTTGGGATGCATGGTCAAGTTCAGTTCGTGCTATGCCTCAAGATTATCCTATTGATATTTCACAAGAATTGACAGATAATTTAATTGAGCTATATTGTCGTACACCATGTTGTTCATCCACCAGAATACCTATTATCGACACATCAGATTTTTTGCTCCGTTACCGTAGTCCGGATCCAAAAAAGCGCCCTGAAAAAGTCTTAATCTATGCGGTCTGTGCGATGGCGGCAAGAAACGCATTCCAAATGCATGTTTGGAGTAAGCGTCCATCATCTCAGGCACCTCAATATAACATGGGAAAGGCCTTGTCGGTTGCTTATTCTCTCCGAGGTCGTGAAGAGCTATCAGATTGTTTTGATGAACCAACATTTGAGCGTTGCCAAGGTGCGTTTTTATTGTCTTACTGTAATTATCAAAACGGATACACTAGTGTCATTTATTACTATGAATGGTTCGCTTATACAATGGCGGTGCAAATTGGTCTTTACGATGCTAAACGAGAATTAACCCAATACGAATCGATGCTCGTTTGGTGTATATATTACTTTAATACGTGGTATAAAGCAATACAAGGTAGTACCGGTGGAGATCAAAAAGGGTTAAGTCAGTGCAAACCGAATTGTGCTATTCCAAATTTGATACGTCGTCCTGATCCAACTTTAAGTTCTGAACTCGGTGAGGAACATAAAGAACAAGTTATACATTACTATGTTTGGAATTCTTGGGTTTATCTTATAAACTTACAAGTTCTTCGTGATCAATCTTTGGCTAGACTCATTTCTTATCAATTCAACGGACGCCCAGATACCAGTTTACCTCAGGATTTATTAGTCATGCAGGAAACTTTAAAGGAGTTTCATCAAAGTCTCCCTATTGAATGGCAATCACCGCATTTAGAAAATACGAATAACAAACAGTCGTGCTGTGATCCACCAACATTATCGCAATCAACAACTGGACATTTGAGTGAAGACTTCCAAATCGATGTTGAATCATTCGCAAGTTATTCCATCAATATCGTTCACGCATACTACAGCATAAATCAAATTATTTTATATCAAGCATTTGTTCCAATGGATCGTATACCAGGTACAGCAATCTCAATTCGTTGCCTAGACACTAGTCTAAATGCGGCAAAGAGTATTAGTCAAATATTCGAGCGCATGGTTCAACAAAAACAAGAGTGTCATGTTCCACTGATGGGATTTTTGTTTGCGAACATCATTTATCGTAAACTACTGAGCTACCCAAATGACCGTTACTATGAGCTTGGGAAATTCGGATTATTACAGTCATTAGAAATCTCAAAATCTTCAGTCAATTACACATACGATTGTGAGATGGCTCGTACTTTAGTCGACGTTATGGAACAAGATATACAATTCTCTATATTACAAAGATCACCGAATAACTCATTTATGTCTATGGACTGCTCGGGCGATAGTTGTACTTCTCCGCCCATCTCTTCCCCTCCTAATTATACGCCACTCGGTCAAACAATGAAAGAATGGTAAATCACCTTTTAGAAACACATTGTAATTATATAACCTTTACCCTTCATCCACCCTTACTTACTAATTGATTCATTACCGCATAATATCACACATTTACATACTCCCTTTTAATGTAATTCTATTATTTGCCTTATATACATTTAATACACCTAATTCATCTTAATACCATTAAAATTCACATGACATATATTCTTCGCTGTTCTATTTTTATCCAGCGCATATTTGGTTACACACCATAATAACAAACAATACATCAAAAAAGAAGAAAAGAAAGACCTCGTAAATTTACAGTGCATTACACCTGCGTACGATTAAACCATGATATGACAATATTGATAGCAGATTTGTTATTTTTGAAAAAAACTTCTATTTGTTATGCATAATTCTATTGACAGAATAATCTTCATGACGTACAATACAAATTATATATTTACTTTTTTCTTTGAAAGCGTAGTACCATCCGCGGGATTTCGTTTGGTTTGGGACCCTTATCTTAGCTTCAAAAAAAAAAAGGGCTGAACTTGAATGTCAAAAGATCTTCGAACGGTCTGGTAGGCACCGGATGTTTCATTAATCATAACAAGAACTTTATGCTCTATTTATTTAACGGATGTTTATATAATCTCAATAACTGACTAATTTACTATTCATAAGGCCGACAAAAATATACTAGGTATTTTATACATTTGAAAAAGTCCCTATATACAGCAAAATACACATTAGCTAAAGGGGTGCAAAAGGCTGTCTATGCACACAATCATGTGAGTATTTTCTGTTCCAAGCTGCGAATGGACTCGATGAGTGGAATATTAGGCTCAAAAAAAAAGTGAGAAAATCATTACTTCATTTTTTTTTTTTTTGTAATTGGATAGGAACTTATTTAGAAAAAAGCTTATTTAGACTGACCAAAGGTGGCAAAAATATGCAAGCAGCTCCCAATTTTAATACGCAAGCTGCAAAGACAGGACAATTTAAATATAAATTTTCCTGTATTACATCAAAACAGCGGGTTTGTTCTGGACCCACCCATAGTTACCAATTAAAGTTTAGTCTGGTAATGAAATTGAAAGTTCAAATGTCAAGTTTTGCTTGCTGGTTTCTAATAACTGTGAAAAAAAAAGTACCCAGAACAAAACTTAATAGGGTCTCGATTGCGATCGACGTTCTTCCATCATCATTTTTATAATCTCCCCCTTTTATTTTTTTTTCTTTCCCTTTTTTTCCTCTTTTCTTCTCCTTCTCTATTATAATTATGGCAAACAATCATTTACACTATCGACCACCTAATTTATTAGAATTACCACTTGAGTTATTGTTAAAAATATCAGAGTATCTTAGTTTCGCAGACCTTTGGTATTTAGCAACAGGCTCTCGTCATTGTAGAGCACTATCACATCAAATTATTTGGCATAGATACCGTATTGATCTATCAAGACCACAGCTCAACGCCTTCAACCATATTGTACATGCAGCGCTAGCCTACATTAGTCGACATGGATATAACAAAAATAACGCCATCGACCAAACCATTATACAAAGCGTATCAAATCGATTGGCTGTAGAAATTTATGACCGATCGCCTCTCAAAAATTGGGAGCCTTGTCTAGACTTTTTTCTTGACAAAACCCTTGGCATCATCCTCGATCATGTGTTTCTTGATCCTCTGCTTGACACCGTGCGTAAGCATTCGACCTTTACGGACTTGTGCCTGCAAAAAAATCGAAAGACCACATCAGCAATTCTAGACCAACCCACCATTACTAACCTCAGTAAAAATCAACATTTGCTGGTAACTGAATTCTATCCAACAAGAACAGGCAGGTTAATGACAAATTTCTTAACCACTCTCTATCCTACAATGATTGCTCTTTTTGAGACTGAACCAACCACTGAAATACACCACAGACTATTACTGAACCATATTAATCGCCATCTAGACAGTCTATCTAGTCGCTACCATAATCATCATAGACGTCGACTTTTATTAAACACTTCTCCGCGATCAACCCGAGTCACCGCATTGGCTGCCGTTCAGCAACATAACCAATTCTTACGCTTAAACTTTCGCATCTTAATTCGATTTATTGGCACCCTAGTACAAACTGATTTACTCTCGGCTAATGATTTGGATATCATCACTCGGCAGCGTATTCAATTCTTCTTTTTGACATTCCAGCAAGTCGTTCACACTAACGATGATATTGCAGGAGACCCACAAAAAAGAAAATTCAAACGTTCAGAACAACAACCACAGCAACAATATCAACAAATCTTATTTTACAATTCTTTAAAGAGTAAGAATTCTTATTGTTGGCAAATGTGGCTGGAAGAAATCGAATTTCAAATGGAGATATTTTTAGACCTAAGAAGAGCTGTCTTATTATCTCAACAAGGCGATCCTATCACAGATGATTTAAGCACCGTCTCAACTATGCTTGATAACACCGTCTCGGCTCTCATTTCTACTAGATCCAATGACAACCAGTTACCAATTATTTTATCTCCTTCAACTTCAACAGTATAGCAACTTCATTGTATATTCCATCACTCCTTCTGTTTATTCCTTCCCTTAATATTTTAATACCTTCTTTATTTGTACATTTCTATTATCATACACTGTAAATATTAATAAAAATCGTCTCTTGCTCATTTTTCATCAAAAAAAAAAAAAAAAAACGACCTGGGTAACTTCTTTCTTGTGAATTGAGCGCCCGAAGTAATCTAAATTAGGTAAGGCTAACCAATTTACATTTTAATGTTTCATTTATAAGTTTTAGTGGATTTCAAGTAGAATTTCTTTAGCGGTGCGGAGGAAGGGTATCCTTTCTTAGTGTCTAAACACGGAGATCAAATGGCAACCCTCGTTACATAATACACCCAAATTTGTTATTGGTCATACCGATCGCTGACAAAAAAAAAAAAAAAAAAAAAAAAAAAAAAAAAAAAAAACTCCCCTCGTTCCTGTGCTCTACATCACCCGTGATCACGATGATGTTGTGTTTTGATTACACACATCTTTGACGAATAATTCAGTAGGAACAGTAGCACAATTATTTAGCCTGCTTTATTATTCACACAGGCTGAGTAAGATAGTTTCTATCTACATGTACACAAAGTTTTGTTTAACTGAACAAGCAGTGCACGACGATTTGTTATTCTGCATTCATGTTTCTGTTCGAGCGACCCTTTGTTTTAAATTTCTATGAAATTTTGTAACTAACCATGGAGATACAGGGGCATGAAGGTGGGCATAATTTTCCAGACTTGGAACAAATTGTGCGACTGATAAAATTGTATCAAATATGACATTAATCATGTTCTAGAATGGTATCTTAGTCCAAAAACCAAAAAAATGTTTGCAGCCTCTTTTATTGTTTATCCGCTAACATTCCTAATACAAATAACAGGAAAGAATCAAGCGCTACCTACAACATACTTTTTTAAATCAGGGACCACATCTGGAACGTTAATTGACAAAACAATCGACTTGAAAAGCTATTGCATGATTTATTTCTCCAGTATCACTTAAATCGCATCAAATATTTCCAAGCATGTATAAGTTAGTATCCTTAGTCCAACATACCGCTCTTTTTATATATCAGACGACGTATTGTAAGTGCAAATTACATTCTAGGCTCGGATATCATGTCGAGAGAATATGATTACAGTTCCAATATCAGATCGTTACAACTGCAAATATAATTATATAATAAATGAAATGACTTAGGCACATTAATTACGTTTGTTTTTATTGCAAAAAACATAACAAAATACGCGTAAATATTTCATCCTAAAAAATTAAATTAAGACTGCGGCGCCTTTTTTATTTACTCTCATAAGTTCTGGTAACTTGACTTACATATGATGAACTTTGATAAACCCTGGCAACATTATAATGAGTCGAAATCAAAGATAACGAGTCTTCCCAGTGCGACGCAACTTTTTTAAAAGAAACATTTAAAATCTAGATCCTTATCAGGTGCTGTGTTTGCTAATATCATTAAACGACCTGTGATAAACTGCGTCTAAATCATCTATTCTATATTTATTGAAACAAACAAATGTATGACGCTACTGTTTAGTAAATCAAAATTCCCAGCCTTCGCAAAGGTACAAACCTGTTTTATATTTTTAGCCTAATGTTTTTACAGCCGTCGAGCGACTTTGAATATTGTCAAACATGAAACAGTTCATGTTTTAGAATTATTTGCACATTTTCATAAAACTAATACTAAGTACCAATGCAAATAATCAGTAATCGAAGTATTTTCTTTCGAGTTGACAATGACACAGGGTAGCTTTATTTTGTGAATATAATCACCAAACGCCTACATGATGGAGCATCAATACTTATCAAACAAAAACATACCCCCTTTTTTGATCAACAAACGAAAAACGCACATGAAAATATTAATGTATAATTAACATATGATCGAACGGGCTCTTTAATTAGAATTGAACGTATTTTTATGCTTTGAAGGTTATAATCCAATTAAGCACTAAATGCATGTTATACGTTTTCGGGAAGCCATTGAGACAAAAAAACTACCAGTAGTTAAAAATAAAAATTTATACAAATATTTTAAATTAAAGAAGGTTGCTTTTGAACAGAGGATACAAAAAGGGGTGATGAAAGTAGCCAGTACTAAACTGATAACATACTTCCGGAGTTTTATATTCGTTAAAATATACGTAAGTTTTATCTTCTTAAATTTTTTTAAGCTTTCATGTGTAGTCTGTTTATTTATAAATTAAACTAGAAGTATTTGATTTTTACCTCGAGGAGATTGACATTACAAAATATTGTCTATCATGATGTGGCTGTAAACCACCCTGATCCATATCTTGGTAAGATTTTCTTATAGAACCTGTAAGATATGAAATACTTATTACTTACGGATTAAGAATTTTGTTTGCTCACATCACGACCATTGCCATGAAGAGCACCACGATACATTCGAGCCTAAAAGATTTTGGAAGGGCGTTAAAATTTAGTAAAGGCGGGATAAAGGACAATTTACAAGAGATTTCATTGAATGTTTAAATTTCATGAAAAAAAAAAAAAAAAAAAAATGAAAAAAAAAAAAAAAAAAAACCATTAGTCGGAACAAGCAATTTAACGTATTACATGATATTTTGACAATCGTCAAATTTAAGATTTTTTTACTAACATTCTTTTGAATAACTATAGTCTATTCTATATTTATTCAAATACTTATTCGATATTATTCTAAAGTCTTATAGATATGAAATCTCAAGATCTTTTAAACTTACACTGATATTATGATACTCTTATTGGTTTAACATACGAACTCGGGGCTTTCAAATGCTCCTCTAGTTTTTATAAAATGATAGTGATATTAGGAGTGTTTTAAATGGGGAAAGAGGGTGGTGTTATGAGTTGTTAAATGCCAAAATTGATATGTGTATATTATAGTAAAAAGAGAAAAAAAGTTTAAGCGCATTTTACGCTGTGTAGATGTAAGCAACGATCACAAAAATGATCGATTCCACACCGATTGCAAGATTTTTGACATTTACCGCAAACATTTCTCTTAATCATACTTTTAACGGAAGTTTCAGCTTTGCCTTGTATAACAATACACTTGCAGTGACCTAGATGGACATTTGAGACACACTTCTTGCACCATTGACCATGGCACCCACCGGAACAGCCGCTTAAATCACAATGCGGACAAGCTACAACACCGCATCCTGTACATTGGTTTGATAAATATGTGCCATCGGTGGTACGACAACGAACGTGATATAATCGATGGCATGATTCGCAAGGTTTACGTGCATCTTGGCAGCTTTTGCTATTTTCTCTATTACACAAAGCTAAAGTCGCTTCGCATCGACCACATCGGGCAATCTGAATTTTAATTTTAGGGTCATTGCAAGTCGGTAATCCGCAAGTTCGGTTGCCGCATCTAAAATTAGTTATCTGATGAGTTTAACAAGTCAATAAATTCACATTGCGTATTTTTACCTATCACAACGAGGAGCACAACCCGCACATTTCTTTAATGGTAAAATTCCACAAGAAACGCATACAAAATCCTGAGAGGCCGCACCAATATGACAATTACCACAAGTCACCACATCGAAAGCGACATTTTTACCAGTTAACTTGTTTAATGCAGCATTCATGAACCAGGCATCTTGACCAAATGATTTGCTATCTAAGCAGGTTTTCTCATTTGCAACATTTGTACTCATAGGCCCACGATGGAGTACCTTACCCAATGTGACTTTAGATATTTTGGATGGATACTTGTCAGAATGCCTTGCCGCTACTTTTGTCAATTCTGTTGCCAGCTGATATGTTAATACACTCCAACATCCTTGGATTGATATAAATTCTAAATTTTCAAGATACTTTACGGCAAGTAAGACAGAGGCAGATGTTATCACTGTGCCATCCAATTCAACGTGTTTAATTGCCTTTTGTAAACTTCCCCTTTGTTGTAAATATACCACTGCCTGGTAAAAATATTCGTCATTGACCATATAGTGATCTGATTTCGAAAACGAGACAGTTGCCCAGACTTCTGGTTTGAAAACAATTTGATGTAATCGACGGCTGACACACGATAATCGAAGTCGTGATCGGAAATCTAAATAAGATGAAATTAAGCTTGCAGCTCTGCTCGGGAGATTAGCAAGACTTTTAATATCGATATATGCATTTTGTCGACTTTCTACTAGAAATGTTTGGCGTTTGAATTGATCAGTTATTGAAGAGAGTGAACGTTTGGGTATCATTTGTGTTGATTCATCTTCACTTAAATGTCGAACATTTTGGCGATTCGCTGATGTAGTCACTTGAAGTGGCATTGGTTCTGAGCCAATATGAGGTCTCTGATCGAGTTCAATCTTCTGGCTCTCAGTATGGGCCAGCGTCTCTCCAGAAAAATAAGAAGAGCTTGTTGAGAGTTCTGGCGTTACCAAGGTTTTACTTTTCTGAGTTTTTTTTATTGTCGAATCTCTAGTTGGCAATTTCGATTGAGTCGCAATGAAGGCAATGTCTTCAGAACATAAGAGATTTAGAGGTATTGCAATCATGGCGCCATTAGGTTTTCGAAGTTTTACTTTTTTATCTTGGAAAAGACATACATATGATGCCTGCACTTGATATTTCCCATCATTTCCGAGCCAAAGCCGTTCTACTGGCATGAAATTTTTCGTTGTATTATACCTATACTCAGGGGAAAAGATTTTGGTGTCGAATTACTCTTTTTTGTCACTGCTTGCAATTTAAGTTTGTGGCTCCGATTATTTTTGTTATCCCCCATTTTAGTCGAGAACAGATGATCCAAACAATAACATTCAAGCCTTCAATTATGACCAGTAGTTTACTTAAAACATCAGTTAATAAGTTGCGGATTTAAGATCTGTCAAATCGCATGTATTTTTTTTTTCGAAAAAAAACATAACAGATGAAGCATGAATCTATAAATACATTTTGTTTGTCTGCAACTATTACGTTTATAAATAGCTTGGGTCCGCATGATCCATTAATATTGGGACAGTCAATTAAAATGCTTGTCAAGCAATTACAAATCGCAAAAAAAAACCGTAATTGTATCTGGGGTATTGAAAAATATACACCAACCAATTGAATATATTATGTATTTTTTTTTACCAATTGTCTGTTAGTGCATTGTTTATATTATCTTATGTATTCGCGTCAAAACATGAGTATTTACGTTCAAAACATGGGTGTTGACTCTTAAAACACAGCAACCGTTTTTGAGGGACGTATTTATAAGCGATGTATTTTGTCGAAGCTAGTTTGGAGTTACACATCTATCCGTAGACCGGCTTAAATTATTCGGCGGAGCTCTGCCATGTTGTAAGTGATCATGAAGACTTAAAAATTGAGCCAATATTACCCCAAAGAGATTCATGAATAAAGAATAGCACTGCTACGGTTAACTGCAGAACAAATGTAAAAAAAAAAAAAATTTGGAATCGTGATAGGCATGACTACAGGAATAATCACCTCATTGTTTTTTGATACACGGTAATTGTATGTGAATGACGATATACATACCCTTGCTGTGAAACAAGAGTTTTGTAGCTTCTCGACCCATTTATTACGGTGGCACCAATTTTTTAACAAAAGTCTACACAATCACATGCGACTCTTTTGTAAGAGAGTATATATACTTTTCATCGATACCTTTTAGCTTCTATTCTGAAAAAAACGGCCATAGCTGCACTTGGTGTTGTAAGTAAAGCGAAGGGAAGTATGTAACCAACTTTCAAAAGCAAATTTACAATTATGTAAGCACGGGAAAGAATTGGAATTAAAGTCAACCAGACTGGTGTAATACGGTACGACAGTTCCGCTAACCTATAATACGTATAATTCACAGTAGTCCGATTAAAGTTTACGTTTAACCAGAACAAGTATGTTGGCGGTATAAACAAGGCTTAATTCTCATAAAACATATATCTAGACATTCTATTTACAAAAAATTATTTCCCAAAAATTAGGAAATATATTAATTGTGGGCATGATAGTTATCTATACCCATTATTCGGATGAATAGGATTCATGTAATTCAGAAGGAATTGTGTCAAGTCCGCTCTGTCTTTTATTCTTCTAATTAATTTAAAATGTTGAGAACAGCGAATCCTCTCCTTCTCTTCTTTACCCTTTCTACATAGTTTTTTTTATAAGCAATCACTGGAATTGCACGGAATATACGCATTGTCTGGGTAGACTTTCTAGAACAATTAAAGTAACATTGGGGGGGTTGTGGGTAATAAAATGGCTTACCGGATCCTTTCCGTCCAAAAACGTCTCTTTGTGCACAGCATATAGTCGTCACTGCCAATCATATGATAATTTACAGCGAAATATTGTTTTATAACTTGTCCTTACGTGTTCTTACCGCTTATACCTTTACGAAAACATTGTCTTTCATGAGTTCGACATAGTTTTTGACTTTACGGTTAAGCCGCAATATATTCGTGACACATTACCAATATGTGGAGAAAGCGGAATAAAATTTCATACCCATAAAAAACCAAAGAACGCTTTTTTCTCTTTTTTACAGCACCTGATTGAAATGGTGGGGAAAATGGGAAGAAATGCCATTACACACGATTCTTAATACGTGAGCATTATGCAATTTTATTCGACTGATTTTGATCGGGTTTCTGTCATCTCACAAGATGAGATCACTGCCCCTATACATACTCTCTATACCCTTCCTTCCCTTCAATCATTTGCGTAGTATTGCTGTAGACTATGAGTCAGTATTCATAAAATCACAATTTCTATCTGGGATGTAAAGACAAATATGATATGAAAAACGCGTGAACATTGAGAGTATGAAAGCCTTTAAGCTATACAATGTCAGCAAGATTATGTAATCTGTCCCTTTATTAAATTGAGCGGAGAATTGTATTAAATTGTTCATGAGAAAAAATTTAAACATGTTTTTGTGTTCTTAGCTACTGGAAAATGATTACCAGCAAACTACCATTGTTGCCCACGCCAATTCCGGAAATTAGACGAAAACCCTGAAAGTACAAAACACGAACGAATTAAATATCCTGGGGCCTTTTTTTTCCCGTAAGCAGTATGGGCTTGTATAACGTTGAGGAACAGGAATTCATGCACAACCTTTCTACTTTTTTTTTTATATAAAAGCAAAAGAGAAATCGCACAAAATTAAAACCAACAAACTATCTTTGCATTCTTATCCTTAAACATGCATTTTACTTCTCTCGCTGCTACTGCATTAACTCTTTTAGTAGCCGTCAATACTGCTCAAGCCAAAAAGGTTCTTTCTTGGGATGATGCCTACACTAAAGCCAAGGCTCTCGTTGGCCAAATGTCTCTCGAGCAAAAGGTTAACATCACCACCGGTGATGGTTGGATGATGGGTCGTTGTGTCGGTAACACATATCCTATCACTAAGCCTGATTTCCCTGCCCTTTGTTTACAAGATGCTCCTCTTGGTATGCGTTTTGCTGACAATGTCACCTCTGGTGTAGCCGGTATCAATGCTGCTGCTTCATTCGATAAAGAAGCTATTCTTGCTCGTGGTGTATATCTCGGTCAAGAATTTTACGACAAGGGTGTTCATGTTCTTCTCGGTCCTGCTATGAATCTCGGTCGTTCAAACGAAGGTGGTCGTGGTTGGGAAAGTGGTGGAGAAGACCCTTATTTGATTGGTGTTCTTGCTGCTGAAAGTGTTAAGGGTATTCAAAGTGAAGGTGTTATTGCTACAGCCAAGCATTATATTTTGAATGATCAAGAACTTAATCGTAAAAACAGTTCCTCAAATGCTGATGAAAGAACTTTGCATGAAGTTTACTTATGGCCCTTTGCTCGTGCTGTCGAGGCCGGTGTTGGCTCCATTATGTGTAGTTACAACCAGTTGCACGGTACCTGGGCTTGTGAAGATGATTACACTTTAAACCAAGTATTAAAGGGTGAACTCGGATTCAAGGGTTTTGTTCAATCTGATTGGTCTGCTACTATGTCAACTGTACCCTCTGCCAATGGTGGTCTTGATATGACCATGCCTGGTGATATTACTTTCAATTCTAATGACTCTTACTTCGGTAAGAACTTGACTGATGCTGTACATGCCAAGACTGTTGACGAATCTCGTGTAACTGATATGGTAACTCGTATTGTTGCTGCATGGTACAAGGTTGGCCAAGACAAGAACTTCCCTAGCGTTAAAATCAATGCATTCCACCGTGACGAAGCTGAAATTGTCAACGTTCAAAGAGATCACAAGAAGTTAGCTCGTTCTATGGCTGCTGCCTCTAACGTTCTTCTCAAGAATTCAGGCATTCTCCCTCTTTCCAAGTCAACCAAGAGTATCGCTCTTGTTGGTAGTGGTATCAAGGTTTCTGCTTCGTAAGTTAAAATACTAAATTTAAAACTTCAAAATTCTAACTATTATTTTCAGTGGTATTAACGGTAAGGACGCTTGTGCCGATCACGGTTGTCTTGATGGTCATCTCGCTCAAGGTTGGGGTTCCGGTACTGCCGATTTCCCTTACTTAATTGATGTAAGCCCATTACATTACTAAATTATCGAAACTCTTGACTAAAATTTTTCATAGCCTCTTACTGGTCTTACAAATGCTTTGGGTAAAGGTGTTAAGATCCAAACCTCTGACAGCGATTGGGATCTTGAAGCCGCTGCTACTGCTGTTGAAGGTGCTGATGTTGCATTTGTATTCTCTGCCACAGATTCTGGCGAAGAATATATTGTCTTTGATGGAAATGTTGGTGATCGTAACAATCTTAGTTTGTGGAACAATGGTGACAACTTGGTACGCTATCAAAAGATTAGATACATGAAAAGACCTGGTTATTAACATATATTACTATTTAAGATTAAGGCTGTTGCTGATGCTAACAAAAACACCATTGTTGTTATCAACTCTGTGGGTGCTACTCTCATGCCCTGGATTGACCATCCCAACATTAAGGCTGTCCTCTGGCCTGGTCTTGCTGGTCAAGAATCTGGTAATGCTCTTGCTGATGTTGTTACTGGAGCTGTCAACCCATCTGGTCGTCTTCCTTACACTATTGCCAAGGAAGTTACCGATTACAATGTTAAGCCTGATCCCAAGTTCGATATCGAGTACTCTGAGAAGTTGTTGGTCGGATACAGATGGTTTGACCACGCCAAGATTGAACCTTTGTTCCCCTTCGGTCATGGTTTGTCATACACTACTTTCAGTTACAGCAAGTTGAAGGTTAAAGTAAGCAAGGCTAAGAAGAATGCTGACGTTAGTGTTAAGGCTACTGTTACTGTCACAAACAGCGGTAAGGTTGACGGTGCTGAAATTGTTCAAGCTTATATCTCATTCCCTGAAAGTGCTGGTTCACCTCCTCAACAACTCCGTGGTTTCGAAAAAGTCTTCTTGAAGAAGGGTAAAAAGGAAAATGTTGATATCGAATTCACCAAGACCGAACTCAGTATCTGGGATACTGATGCCAAGGCTTGGGTTATTCCTTCTGGTAAATTCACCGTTCATATTGGTGCCTCCAGTCGTGATATTCGTCAATCCGCTAGCTTCAACCTTTAAATTATTTAAAACAACAACAACAAAAAGACAATACGATGAGTCTAAAAATATCAACAGGAATTTGAAGAAACTCCCAATCCTATCATACTTACCACTTCATACCTAAAAACCATAATAAAACCTATTTTAAATTCATTTTTTGTCTTCTTTAATATATGAAAAGGTGGCAGCATTTATGGCTGCGTTTATGAAATCATTATCGGTTGCCTCTGTATTTCTCTTGTAGCATTCAAATTCTAATTTACGACCTTTTCTGAGGATCCAGATGGGTCTTATAAGACTTTAGTCAGTTAATCTGACTGAGGAAGGAACGTGAGTTTGGATACTATTTCCACTTACAGCTGAAACAATCGCATTGTATTTATGACGGTTCTTGGTCGACAATCACTGGCTACAACAATTTGATAACTGGAGTAAACTAGAATCAGATTTTACTGAGGATGTATATTTTAAATTGTCAGGGAATAAAGACTATTTATAATTCGTCTTTTATTGATGGGTAAGTTAAAATATGCAGGTTATTATTCTATTTTTTCGTCGTATTTCCTTAATCGGGATAAAGAAATGTGTATTTACAGTAAGAAGTGGGAGGGTTCTCTTTTTATTTTAAGCTTCTTTTTTATCTTGTTCCTTCTTCTCTTTCTTTTCCTTTCTCTCCTTCTTCTCCTTCTCAGCAGCAACTCTCTTACGTTTCTTGGATGCATCGATCATTTCCCTATTTGGTGACAAGGTTAAATTAATAAACGTTTAACCAACCATTCTGAGAACTTACTTCTTTTTGGTTTGATTATATTTGTCAAACTTGGAGGTACTATCAATATGGTCACGAGAGAGACCTTGACGCATTTTTTGTTTTTGATTATGATTTAAACTCTTCATGTTCAGCATCCATTCAGGCACATCACATCCAGACTCTTTCATGACGTTAACGACACCTTTCATGTATTGTAAATCATCTTGAGTATAATATGTGACAGCTTCACCTTGACGGCCAGCACGACCAGTACGACCGATTCTATGAATATAACTTGCAACAGTTTGAGGGAAATCGTAATTGATGACCAAATTAACGCCCTTGAAATCCAAACCACGCGCCATTAATTCTGTAGCGATTAAGACCCAAATCTTACCAACACGGAATTGATCAATAATGTTATCACGCTGAGCTTTGGTTCTGTCGGAATGGATAACTTCAACATTGATACCATCGAAAATCAATTCATGGAAAAGCTCCTTGGCACGCTCGATGGACTGAACAAAGATCAAAACAGGTGGCTTAATACCCTTTTGTACCAATTGGCGTAATGCGATCATCTTTCCTGCTTCTGTACCAGTGAATAATAATTCTTGTTTAATAGTGTCAGTAGCAGCGTTCCTATTAAAAAATAATATGGTCAGATCAGCACCTGATACTATCCTTACTCCAAGTTAACTTACTTGGCACCGATAACAATACGAATAGGGTTTTTCATTACAGTATTTGCGAGTTCTTCGACGTGAGATGAAAATGTGGCACTGAATAATGATTTTTGAATACTGTTTCCAGAACAAGCGGCAAAAATTTCATCGGTTTGCTCCAAGAAGCCTTGATCCAATAACTTATCTGCTTCATCAAGAACAAGATGTCTAACAGCAGACAAATCTACTTCCTTATCCTTAATAGCGTACACTAATCTCAATGGTGTGGTAATCAAAATATCTATTTTCGGCGTATTAGTCAATTATCGTTTTAATTTTCTGGATCGTTATGCAATACGTACCAAACTTTTGTCTAGATTCGGGGGTTTGTAATTTATCAGCAGCAGTTGCCTTTGTCAAAACATTGACTCGGAGTTTGGTGCCTTGACTTAAGTGCTTCACTTCGCGAGCAATTTGTTGAACCAATTCTCTGGTAGGTGCAATGATTAAGGCACGATAACTAGTCTTTTTCTCGGGTTTTTCTAAATCTTGCAAAATAGGAAGAATGAAAGCCATGGTCTTACCGGAACCAGTAGGAGCACAGGACATGAGGTCACGTCCGTTCATCATGATAGGGATAGATTGCATTTGGACAGGTGTTGGTGTATTATATTTCATATTCATTAAATTTCTGTAGAGGACGGGATTCAAGTTGTATGCTGGTGAAGCTAAGTCTTCAAACGTTCTGAAAGGGTTAGGTACGTCGGTACCATAGACCTTTATTTTGTGTTGCTTTCTAAATTCTTTGGCTTCTTCCACGCTGTTAAAAATGGTCGTTTTGGCCGAATTTTTCTTAGGCTTCACAATTTCGGTTTTTTCGACTAATTCTTCGTCTTCAGACTCACTATCGTCATCAGCTTTAGGTTTCTTGCTGACAATGGTATGAGTTGTCTTGAAGAAATCGATTTCGTCAAGCAACTGAGAACGAACGTTAGGATCGACAACAGCTGCATTCTTCTTTCTGGATTGTTTCTGATTAGCTTCCTTCTCGCCTTCAAAAAGGGTTACATCGCTTTTGAATCGATTTTTATCGAATCGTGCTCCGCCACCTAGCAAATGAAAGAGATCCATGTTCAAAGTTGTTTATAAAGTGTATCAAAAGTTTATGTGGAAAAAAATTGCTTATAATTTTGTTCAAACCCATTCTACAAAGCCACACTCTGAAGCAGCTCTAAACAGCGAAAAGCCGTCACGTATTATGTAATTACCATATCTGAGAAAGGACAATCATGTAGTTTCAATATGCATTTGTAAAGTATGTAACATATTTTGTACTCGTAAGCATGGATTTCATTAAAGCATGAGTTTAGTATGTAGTATTATAAATTAAATTCAAATCATTTGATTCAAATTTGAAGGAAGTATTTACTTGGTAAACTTATGCGAGTTTTATTGAAGCCAGTAATATTCATGGACATCTCAGCCTAAAAAAATAGACCAACTATGTCTCCCAGATGAAGCAGTTCCTAAAATTTTTACAAAGCCAGGTTATGAAAGGTGACACCACTATGACGATTATGTGCTACTATGCATATTACTATGCATATCAAATTTTTAGAATTCTTCATGAACTGTCAGACGAATTTATCTCGGGATTATTGAAGTTATTATTTTACAAATGCGACTTCATTTCAAATATATGCTGTACTGCCAGTGTGAAAAAATAAGGGGGGGGGGGGAGGAGCAGTAGACATAAATATTAAAACGTGTGGAGAAAGTAAAATGAGAAAGAACTCTTGCAAGCGAGAATGGGTATACCAGGTAACTTCGGTTGATAGAATGATTCCGCGGTGGGTGGGTATTTGACAGTACGTTTGTTAAGCAGCGCGCAGTTGGTTCCGGTTCTTTTTCTCATAGCGCCATCTTTATGCACTCTCAGTGAAGGCAAACAGTGTCTTTTCATTCGTCAAGTTATGCTACTAGATTGGGTAACCTCAAATGATCAAAACAATAAAACTAAAAATGATTTAAAAGTTCATAGAGCCACGGATCTAGAGATTTTTTTTAAAAAAAGATGCCGAAGTTGTTGACTTTAAATTTGCGCATATCTGTTACAAATAACCATTTTGAAATCATTCAATTCAATACGGAAGAAGTAGCAACATTTATTGTTTTATCTTTTACAAGGCGGTTAAATAAGTATAAATATGGCTTAATGGGAGTACAGAGGAACTGATATAACACAACCAAACAAAAAATTGAAATTAAAGTTCACCGATATTAACCTGCTTCTAACTAACAAAAATTGTCCCACGATAGTTTGGATATCTCTATCCTTCCCGTTACTAGCTCCTGATTACTTAAGCTATACACACGCGCATGAAAAGATTTCCGCATTCTTCTGGCTTACGTAAATTTATACCGCCCGGAGCTTGTGAAATTTTGATTCAACGACGTCAAGTATACACACTTGTATATAAAGGCTGATTTCTATTGTACAATGAACAATTAAAGTAAAACTCAATTTTCATTAGACAAATGCTTCTCTATTCATTTGTTTTCATCATTCTGATTTATGGATGCACAGCTTTATCCGTACTTAAAACTGGAATTACCGCCAGTAAAGAAGGCAAGCTTTGGTTTCTAACCACAACACATACATCGTACGTGGTCGGGGTCGTTCCGGACACACTTGAACTTTTGAATTTATATTGGGGTCCCCGATTGACTTCCATGGCCGATATCACTTTGCCTGTTCAACTTCCTGTCGAAAGAGGTTCCCAAGAACCTGCTATCACTGCTGCCCATGAAGAATTTCCTGTCTTTGGTGGCTTACGTTATGGACCTGATGTCTTGCGGACACGTTTTGAAAATGGTACACGTGAATTGGACTTGATTTATACGGGCGCTCACTTGAAAAAGAATGCGTTGACTATTGTATTAACTGACAAAGCGCATAGAGGTTTCCAGGTCTCACTCTCTTACACCATCGATGTGGAAAATGACATAATTCTCAGAAGCGCGGTGATCAAGGCAACAACCAAGGAATCTTATCATGTTTCAAAAGCATTGACTGCTGCTTGGCATATTCTTCCTCCTGCTGGTAACGCCAACCGTGAGCTGGTCACTTTAGCTGGTGCTTGGGCTGCGGAGACACAGGTTCAACGACACACGCTTCATCCTGGTACTTCCCATGTACTAGAATCAACTCGTGGTATTCCCTCTGCTCGTGCTTACCCTTATTTTGCTGTCAAGGATACTTCCAGCGATGGTGAACATAGTGACAATGGCGTTTATTTTGGCTCTGTTGCATGGAGTGGCAATTGGAAAATTCAAGTACATACAGATACCGAAGGCAAAGTAACCATCATTGGTGGTATGCATGATCGCGATTTTGGTTATGACTTAAAAAAGGGAGAAGAATTAGAGTTGCCTACTTTTGTAGCTGGTTATACACCTGCCGGTTTATCGGGTGCAAGAAAGTTACTGACAAATCATATCCGGGATAACAAAGACACCGACCTTGTGTCTGACCCTGACGCACTTTCACCTGTCTTGTACAACGGTTGGGAAGCTTATGAAATGTCTGTCAATATCACGAATCAAATGGAAATGGCCAAGAAGTCTGCTGATATGGGTGCTGATCTTTTTGTTCTGGATGATGGTTGGTTTCAAGGTCGTCATGCTGATAATGCTGGTCTCGGTGATTGGTTTGTTGACACCACCAAATTCCCCAATGGTTTAAAACCCTTGGCTGATTATGTTCACGGTCTAGGCATGAAGTTTGGCCTATGGTTTGAGCCTGAAATGGTCAACCCCGATTCTGACTTGTATCGTAAACATCCTGATTGGGTTTATCATTATGATGAACGTACAAGACATTTGGAAAGAAACCAACTCGTGTTAGACATCACAAGAACCGATGTAAGAAAATATGTTGCTGATCTTGTTTTGAGTACGATCCGCGAAGTGGGTGTTGACTTTATCAAATGGGATATGAATCGCCCTCTCTCCGATACTGGTTCGGCTCTTGGTCAAGAGGTTTGGGTCGGTCATGTCAATGCATTTTATGAGCTCGTAGAGATGGTCAAAAAGGAAGGTGTACGCTTTGAAACATGTTCTAGTGGTGGTGGAAGAGCGGATATGTCTATTTTAAAAAAGGTAGATTCCAGTTGGCCAAGTGATAATACAAGACCTGATGCTCGGTTAATGATACAATATGGTAGCTCCCTTGTTATCCCCCCTGATATGATGAGTTGTTGGGTTACAGATTCTCCCGGAAATGATGACCGTACTGTCTACCCCATTTCTTACCGATTCCACGTCTCCTTCATGGGTGCACTTGGTATTGGCTCCAACCTGAATAAACTTTCCGATGCCGAACTCAAGGAATACAAGGGGTGGATTAAAATCTACAAGAGTTTCCAACACGTTGTTCAAAAGGGTAACTTGAACTGGTTGGTGGTGCCTCCTCATGCAAACAAGATGACATCTGCTACCGAGACTTACACCGCTGTGACTCAATCTACCACCAAGAAGATGGATGAATCGGTCGTTTTGGCTTTTAGACAATATAGTCCCTTCTGGTTTCCTTTACCTCCTATCAAGTTGCGTGATTTAATTTCCGATGCAGAATACAGTGTCAATATCTGGAGCAGTGATCCTACCAAGACCATTTTCGAAGGAAAAATGACGGGTGGTGCACTGATGAACATCGGTTTAAACTTGCCTTACTTAACTATTCAGGCTTATAGCAGTGTTGTAGTCCATTTGAAACAAGTTTAAAATCAAAAATAAATAATATGTCACTGTATAAAAACTAAAAGTGTATGTTATTATTATTATTGACTGTAGAAAGCCTTTCGTTCTTTATTAATTTAATTCAGTAATTCAAATGTTATTTGTTCTGTACAATCGCTAATAAAATCCATCATTTTATCATCCTGTTCATCTATCCTTAAACTCCCAAAATGCTGTGCCAGATGTAACTTGACTTGTGCTCGTGTCGTGGTAGCTAGATCCGCTTTTAATAAATAACTTTTGATTTCTGCCTTGATGGTATGTTGTATCTCTGGCATAGTCATATCATGCGTAATCAAATTCACTTTAGACGGTTGAGTACGCAGGCTGATAGGAGGAGCATGATTCGCTTCATAATGACGTGAAAGTGAGTTGGAAGAAGGTACTGCATGTTTAATCAATAATCGCCTTGCATCATTGGTTTGACGTATATTCACTGAACTACTAAAATTATGTAATGCCGTCTTTCGTCCTTCATCAGCTCCCGGTGTACGCGGTTTATATTCATAATGCATTAATCTTTGATGTCGTGGCAACTCTTCCTCCTCTTCTTCTTCGTCCTCGTGTAAAGTATGATGGGCAATGACAGAAAACGTATTGGATTTAATCGAAAGGGTAGTCGACGCTCTATCAAATTGTGTATCTTCTTTTCGTTCATCTACAATAATAGGTGATACATCTGTCATCATCATGTTTTCTACATATCCACCACCATCTTGAATTTTTGCAAATCCACTACTGTTTAAACTGCTAGGTAAAGTATCCGTAGGCGCTGCCTTTGTATCTTGTTGTAAGCTGTTACGTGAGAGATAGGTAAAATACGAAGACTGTGAATGGCTTTGTCGATGTCTTTTACTTTCTTCTGATTGCGCTCTTGTTTGAAACTCGTCATCAAATGGGTTATATGTGTCCGGAAAAGACTGGATAGGAGACGAGGTCTCCTTTTCATTGGGGTATCGTTGTCTCCATGTGCTCCCACCATAGAGTTCTACACTAGGGGGTCTATAATTAGTAGTAATGCGTGTCAAATGGAGTCCGTCTCTCACTTGAGCTAATGGAGGTGAAGTAATTTCAGGTTCACCGGGCAAGACATCTGCATCCACAAAGCCTGTAAATCCAGTAAAGTTTGAGTCTAATGCAGCTTCTGCAGCTTGATGTACTCTTCTTGCTTCTACTACTTCGTGTTCACTTAATCTCAGACGAGGTACATCATCGTTATAATTGTCCTCCGTATCTTCGTCCTTTTTTTCGGCGTCTTCTTTTTTATGGATATCTGTATCAATGATACCATGCAGCCTAGAGTTGCCACTATACCCCTTTTGGATGGGCCAAACATCATACCATTGATGCGCACTGTCACTTTGCCAAACAGAAATCAATGGAAACCAAATAGCAAATAAGGGCAGAGAGAAAAGACAGTACAGAACGAACCAAAGAATGTACCTGAATTGCCTTCGGAACAGAAAAAACAGGATATGCAATACAACCAAACCTGTAAATGATAACGCAATAATGATGTAGGCAATAGCACGTTGTTTCACGGATCGACCAAAGATGCCATACAAGTAAACAATGACCGGCATGGAAAAGATCAGGTCTAGAATTTCGGTGGTTGAAAGGATCCAATACGTGATACCCAATTGCCAAGAGACACGCTGCATCTCAAGTTGGTTATGAAGTGCTGCTCGAATATTTCGAGCTTGAAGACCTTGCAAAGCGAAAAAATTGGTGGGTAATGTGGCATATCCCACAGCATCAGGCTCAAACCCAAGTCGATGTCCTGGGTGTGATTTCAGTAGTACAATCGGCATCATCTTTTCTTCGCCTAGTAATAGTACACTTTGCATATGCATGGTAGTTGCCTGCGGTGTGCTAATTCCTCTAAGTACTGTAGGATGAACACAGCATGCTCGAATATCCACGCGTGCGGACAAAACTAAACGCGAATCAGGTCGTTCATGATGATAGGAAGTGGTGGTGGTAGTGATGGTAGTATCACTTGAGCTACTACGTCGGGTGGTAGATGGATCCTGAAACGGGTTACGAATCATAATCTCATCACTTAATTTAGGCCATTTATGGGTATGAAACGATTGCTGAGATGTATGGTTACTATTCTGCTGTTGCTGTTGTTGTTGCAATAACTTCCATTTCTTGGTGAATTTTTTTGTGGGATGAGGCACATTTTCTGTCCATATTTTATACATGACAAGTCCACCTTGAATGGTCATGACACTACCTAGACATGCTTCATATGCCAGACAAGAATAAAATGCCATATAGACAGGAAAGATTTGTAACATGGTTGTCAAGTTCTCTTCAGGATTGGCAGGTCGTACATGGCCACTTACAGCCAACATCTTGCGGTCTCCTTCCAAGCGTGTGACGAACTTTTGTACGACATCACTCTGTACTTGGATATCGGCATCTGTAACAAGAATATATTTAAAGTACCTTGGATCGATACCCAGTACATTATAGCATTGGTTAAAGATCTCATAATCCAACGGTGTGATCAAATTATTTGCAAGGTTCATACATCGTTCAAGAAACCCAAATACAAGCACTAAAGAATCTCGTTTACCTCGATTCCCAGGTGGCGCCTCCCTCTTTTTTAGCTCCCTCACTTGCTCCTGTCGCTGACCTAGTTTCACAATAACCAGGTAAGGAACCCGATTACGACCTGTTTCATAATACCCAGAATAGACTCTTGCATAGTTGGTACGTTTACGCCCTTGACCTAAAGAAGTATAAGGCTGAGGGAACGGATCTTCTGTACAACTATAACCAAGGTATTCCAATAGCAAAGTATGCGTTTCTTTCTGTTCCTGCGCGCTGGTGGTGATACCATCACATACGAACAATAAGAGCTTTTTATCATCTTCATAGGCGGATCTCGAAAGCGTATCTAAAGTCTGTTTCAAGGTATCTGCTGACTCTGCAAAGCACGGTACCATTAAGATCGTATGCGGCCATACACGACTACCACCGCCACTATACAAGAAGGCCGAACTTTCGGGCGCCGATGAGAACAATAAACGTTGAACAAACGAAACTCGAGAAAGGTAAGCTAAATTCATCTTGACAAAGAAGTACAGCAACCCAGCTCCCATGGTAGCCCAAAGCGCTGGGTTAATACGCAAACATCCTGATGACACATAGGATGGGACAACCCCTCTTTTAAATAACTGAACAAGACATTTTCGATACAGATCCGAGTTACTGACATTGCCTGCAAAATAAGGTGTTATATCTCGTCCTAGGTTGATGTAGAGAAACATGGTCAAATCTAACGGTAAAAACATGCGGTCGAGCGCAAATGATCGAGAGCTCATGGTGGATGAAAGTGAGACAATGTTGGTTGCCATGGTTAAATATGTTGTTACATCCAGCGCATATCCATCCAAGATGACAAATGCTTGTTTCGTAGAATTGGTGGGTGTAGGTAAAGCGTTATACAACTTGTAAATTTCAGTTGGATTATACATGATATCTAAAATCGTATAAATGACCTTTTTTTTTATGGGCGCACAAATTAAGTTTTTTTTTATATTTTTTTACCTCCTTGGATAAGCAGCGTATTCAAAGTCTCCTCTACGGCATTGCCATAAAAGCAAGGACCACCTGTAATATTACGAGCACCTGGTATAGGGCAACTCTCTAATTCCCCATCGATGAATTTATAGCCAATATCAGTAGTCATCAGATGTTCTAACCAAGCAGCCACTTGATCCTCTTTACCATATAGACAGTCAAAACGATTGTCTAAAAAAGTAGGAAAATTCCAGGACAGATCTTGATGAGCATGTTGATTAACGTAGTCTATCATTGGATTAGGTGGGCCTTCATAATGATGCCAGTTGACTGCTTTTCCATTGATGGCAGTAAACCTTGATTCGTTGGAAAAGACTGTATCAAAGTCATATGTTCTTTCAGGATCACAAAATAGGCTGGATATATATTCTAACCAAAAGCAAAAGAAGGCGGCAGAGAATAAAAATAAGAATACAAGTGCAATTTTCTCACGCCAGGCCATGCGAGATGCTGTATGAGGACAATTAGTTTGAACATTTTAGCATAGAATGTGGTTGTTTTTATTACCTGAAGTGGTCAGGCCGCCTACATGGTGTAGTATAAAATCTGGTATGAAGAATGTCAAGAAACAAGAGAAGAATATCCAAACAAGTCGTCTACAACTTGCACGACGCATATATGAGTATTTTTCAACCCTCATGTACTAAATGAAGCCTGCTCCACCATGTAAAGAGAAGAAAGAAAAAAAAAGTGAAAAAAAGGAGGGCGGACGGGAAGGGAAAAGGGGAGAAGAGCATAAATGGGGCAAGAGCCAATCCCATTGGTTATTCATCTCACTCCGACACAGTCGGCTTTGAATCACATTTGAATACAAAGGATTCATTGTCAATTCGAATGGTGAATTGGCACAAGATGCGTCTTTTGAAGGGAAATAAAACTATTTTAGTGTTATTTTAAAAGGTAAGTCTAACTAGAAAATAGTCCAAACGTAAATGAAGGGACTTTGAATGCTGTTGCCAAGCGTTATTAGTGCGTACCTGAGGAGACGACCTTGCCAAACCTCCGACCTAAAGGTAAAGGCAATGTTTGTTATACCAACACAAAACGCACATGGGCGGAGGTATTCATTGCCACTTTTCTCAGAGATGATGTACCATGATGATGATGGTTCTAAAGAACGTCTAGTTTTATCAAAGCTATCATCAGAGATGTGCTTTTATCCCAAGAAACATGCCGTGTAGAAATATAATGAAAGATCGCATTAGTGTATTCAGTAAGGAAGAACCTGAAGCAGCAGTTCGATTATCTCCATATCTGCCTTGACGATAGCATTTGTCAGCAGAAACTCTCTGCTTTTAATTATAAAATCCGTCAATACGACTCTGACTTTTATTATTTAACCTCATCCTTCTTGAAGGAGATCAATGTGGCCACTAAATTTAGAGGGGAAGGTTAAAATTGTCAGTCAGTTTGTCTGCAGCTTGTGATTGTTATAGGTGTCACTAGGGCAAAAGAAAATTACGACAATGAATCCTATGTCTATTTAAGGTTATGGCAATTATTCCCCTTGTTTACAGTTGATTGTTATGATGTAAATACAAAAAAGATAAATTAGGCTTAAATAGATGGAGTTTATCATGAAAGCCACATTTCTCTGTATCTAAAACGTACATAAATAGTGTGAATAGGCTGCATTTATATGACTGCCCTCGTTCTTTTTTTTTTGCAACCTTGCGCTTCGATCTAATTGGATGTTACCATGATATCATCTCTACACAACTTATAGTTGCCAAAAAGATGGGTTTTCATTGTATTTAACACAGCCTACTATTTCTTTGTCTGAGTTTAGCAAGAAAGCGATTTAATGTAGCACAATATAAAAAGAGTGTGGATAATAATATGTAATTTATTTAGACGCATATGTGTATTTGTGTGTGTGTGTGTGTGTGTGTGAAAAAAAGAAGAGTTATTGCCAGAATCTACAATGCTTTTTATCTAGTAAAGCAATGTGTTCTCTACTTTCGTGCTTTCTTTTAACCTGCTGCTGATGCTGCTGCTGATGCTGCTGATAATGCTGATGATGATGATGCTGCTGCTGTTGTTGTGTGATACGGACAGGTGAGATCTGAGTAGGAGTTTGAGCAGGAGAAGAAGAGATAGAGCTAGGCAGCGATAGTGGGGGAGGGGGTAAGGAATAGGTGGGAGATTGGTAGTGATCGTTAGAAGTATTTGATATGGTGGGATAAGTGGATAATGTACATTGAATAGTGGATGAATAATGATGATGATATTTTGGCGTGAATGATAAACAAGAGAGATCGTTCATGGAGGTAGGTATATTATGGATTCTTGCTCCAGTTCTTATATGTAGTAATTTGTGCCAACGGTCAAATATGGATTGATCGATGTAAAGTCTATAGTCCATAATATTATTTAGAAAGTATCTTTCAGCCGTATTGATTTCTTGCACTGGTAGACCTGCTATCTTTGCCCAAGCTGAATTACGGTAGGTTTTGTCCTGAACAAATTTAGAAGCCACGATTAAACTCGCCAAGAACATTCTTCTGCCACAGCTGATATATGCATTATTCTGCTGTAATTGATTGATGATGGTTGGTCTGCCTCTAAATAGATAAAATAAAGCCGTTTGTAATGTGGAATATGTTGTTCGAGATCGTTTAAGCACTTCTTGTATAAAAGTCCGCAATGGTACTACCGGCGATATTCGGGTCTCTTTTGTTGTATATGTGTTGCTCCAAATAGACTCAATCACAATCGCATTTATATCTATCCGTTGTGTTAGGACGATTTCTTTCTTTATGTCATCCACATTCACTTACCAACAAGTGCTTCAACATACGCTATTCTATTTGTGGAAGCAATATGATCATCAACCTTCTTTCGACTCTTCAAAGCATAGAGATCAGGGTCGGTATGTAACGAACTCAAGTTAAACTGTTGAGTGACATTGTAATGAGTCATTATGAACTAGTTTTTTTTAAAACAAGTACAAAAAAAAAAAAAAAAAAAAAAAAAGAAAGAAAGAAAAAAAAAATATATAAAAAAGAAAAAAAGAAAAGAGGGGGTTTGAAATAGGAGTGACGAAAAGGGGGGGGGAGAGAGAGAGAGAGGCTTTTTTTTTCTTTTTTCAGACTAAGCCCTAGTGTAGCCACCTTTTTATATCCCCCCTTCACGTGGTATCCATGACAACATCCCTTGACGCCCACACAAATAAGATAAAACGCTTTAATTTATTGCCAAAAAAAAAAGTTTCACCTACTTAATCATAACGAGATCGTCTGCTTGGAGAACGAGAACGGGAATAATCACGGCGTGATCTTCTGCTATAACGCTCAACATCACCAGCAAAATCATCTTCTCCGCTACGACGTTGATTATCCCTGTTATAGCCACGGTCAGAATAGCGACGATACTCTCTATGCCTACCTCCATCTCGGCGATCATTATTATAATCATAACGTTGACGCGAATAATTACTGCTGCTCGATTGGTGGTGTTGCTGCTGTTGCTGCTGCTGACGAGTTTGCTACATCAGAAAGCACGTTAATAAGGTATTAAAAAGAACAAAACTGTATACTACTCACGCGCATCTGCTCAATTGTATCTCGAATCTTTAAATAGCCCTGGTGCTGCTTACCCTGATAATGGGCCTCTAATCTATCAGAAGAATCATTTGTAACCAAAAAGGCTCCACAAACATCGCATACCTTTTAAACTAATTAATATTTATCTATTTATATTGCTTTTTGTAACTGTTTACCTCCATACGCTTTTCTGCCTTACTAGCACCATCTGCATTCTAAAATAATTAAGGTATTAATACATATTTAATCTACCATATTAAATGATTTTTTACCTCTTTGAATTGGGTCAATTCTTCTTGGAGCTTATCGACCTCGTTTTGCAGTTCAGTGGCTTCTTGTACGCGGCCTTCTTCACCAGCTTCTTCCACCTTTTGTAATAACTCCTTAATCTTGACATCTAATAATACCATCTTTTCTTCTCGTTCTTCTTTACGTGCTTCGGCCGCCTTGTCGTCCATTTGAATGTTTAATCTACCATTACCTTGACGGATTTTTCGTGTGAGATCTGAAATGAGTTTATTGAGATAATCATAAAATTCGGCCTCATAAGGATATTTATTCTTATCTGCTGTCTTTTGATAACGCTCCTTTAAACGATCATTGTGAATCTTGTCGCAAGCACCAAGATCAGACTTTGTGTTTGTGAAGAGCTGAGACGGACAAAATGCAACAAGGTAATGCTTACAGACCTATTTTTTACTGCCTTTAGCTACCCTTTCTGTATCCTATTAAAGCTTGTTGAATTATAACTTACGCTATCGTCCCAGAAATCCTTATTGTCCACATCTACATATTGAGACATGAGCTCCTCCAGCATTGCCTTTTGATAATCTACTTTACAGGTTAATACTTTATCAACTTTCATCTATCTCCTTGTTTACCCATTATTTAAAAGTTTCTTTTTATTTTGCGGGTAAAAAGAGTTTGGGAAAGGAAATATCTGATAAAATGAAAAAAAAAAATCTCCTTTAGGGGGATGACGTCGATCACTGTGCACACATTTTGTGCAGTCCAATCACACTGCCTATGAATCCCATTTCAACATTTGGATGCCATCATTCACTTGTTATCAGCATATCCAAGAAAACAGCTTTCTCAATCTCTTACAGATATATAAAAAAAGGACGGGAATGTTTATTATAATAAACAAATTCATGTTCAATTATGTGCTTTCTTTTCAAAAAAAAAAAAAAAAAAAAAAAAGAATATGTCTATCAAAAGGTATATGAATTTTACAAGATACCATAAATGGTCAAATTCGGATACACAATGTGGGTTGCGTGATGAAAACAGTGATTCACACATATTGCACGGAGAAACAAATTGAGCCTGTCGAACGTTATAGATGAATATGCAAAAATGGGGGATATAAGCTTTCTTAGCGCAAACTATGTCAAATGAAAGAGATTTGGGGAATGTCGTGCATATCCCAAGGGTGGGGGTTTCATCACAAGCCTCTAGAAATTCCTTTAATCAATGCCATCATCAGCTGAAAAGCAAACCCTAATCATCCAAACGTTGTTATGCTCAATACACAGAACGTCATTCAATGGCTATTTTACTCCTTGCTGCAGAAAGATATAATTTCAATCATTCAGGAAGAAAAGAAAAAAATTCTCCGCAAATGCATACAGTAATTGATTTGACAGCATTGTGCAGTGGCCTAGTTACCAGCACCACCCAAGAATATTATTTATGACTTGTTGTACAACTTTTTTGTCGACAAAGGGAGGGTGACCCCGAGAATACCTGTCATCTTCAATTAAAGATTGCATTTTTTTAATTCTATTATTAGCCCCACTTTGAAGAATTGTGTCAAACATATCATTTTGACACGTTAGCTTTTTTCACATGGATAAAGAAAATCTTAATCATCCATTCAAACCCCCTTGCCTGATACTACTCTGTGGCAAAGGGCAGCAGAAAGTTCATTAGAGCAATGAATATGTTGGTTTGTGCTTGAAAATACTAATGTCAGACAAGCTGAGTAGTAGTATTGCCAAGTTTTTTTTAGGGGTTCGTAGCGTGTGCGCAGTAACTTGTTGAACCAATGTAAGTTTTTTTTTTTTTTTTTATAAAAAAAGCTCAAGGTGACACACCATGTGAAACAGTCGGTGTGTGTGGGGGGGGGGGAGGGGAGGGGATATAATCATAAGGTCACCTCTTTTGGGAATACTTTAGATAGATAGCTTCACCAAGGAAGTACCTATTATTCTTGACATTCTTCGTTAGTAAAAGTTACCATACCATATAATAAATAACCACAAAAATCTACAATCAATTTAATATTTAGTCTTGCTATTTATAAAAGTGTTTTCGTTTAAGGGATTATGCAGTAGAGAGCTTCTGATATTTTGAATCTACGGAAGAAAGAAGAAAGAAAGAAAAAAGAATAGCCCATGAGTTATGATTTATTTAAAATAAATAAAAATCAGAGTTACATCATCAAGCTTTGATTATGTTATCGATTTTATTTATTCAAGTGTGTGAAGCATAGAGATGGTGAGGTTCAGATTACACAAATATGTCATAAATTTATGTAATCAGAAGGGGTCTTGGACATAACCACGTACCACAGCCTGCAATCAATGCATCCGACTGAATAATGAGCAAGCATTTCGTTGCAATTATTGAAAAATAAAAAAAAGGCTTAGGTCATGCAATATGTGGGTAATACTGGGCATTCACAAACAGGTGAAAGGATGATATACATGTTTTTTTTTCGTAAATTTGTTTATATAATTATTGTGTGTGTGCTTTTTGTTTGAAAAAGAAAAACTTCTTTTTATGGGGATGGTTGTATTATACAATTTACTTGGTCAAAGCACTTTGGAGAGCCTCGTAAACCTCAACCTCGATCTTGGCAGCAGCCTTCTCCTTATCGGTAGCGGCACTGGAAGCGATACGTTGAGCTTCAGCAAGACCGGCTTGGACACGCTACACATTAGAAAAAGATGAGTTAACACACTATCTTAATTCCCTTAATTTTCCACGGTAGTTTACCTCGAGAGAAAATTCTTCAAGAGGAGAGGCCTCAACAGCATTGATGTTAAGAGAGTTATCGGGGTTAATGGTAGCAAAACCACCAGAGACTATATGTTAAAGGAAATGAATGAGAAACAGGGGGTCTACCTGTTGTTATTATTATTTTTTTATTACCAAAGAACTTCTTGGTGATTTCAGCACTCTCAACAACCTCAACGACACCAGGGTTCAATTGTTCGATGGTAGGAACATGGTTGGCAAGGATACCCATGTCACCAGAGGTAGCAGCCAAGTTAACTTGTTGAACATCGCTGGCCTTGTAGATAGCCTATTACATTAAATGGTGAATATCTACATGTCGTGCTTTAACGGTCGTAAAAATGAAGTTTACCTTGTGGGGGACAACAAAAGTTAAACGGAGAGCATCAGAGGCAACAGGGGCTTCAGTGGCATAGAAACGGGCTAATTATGAAAATAGTGGACATTGTTAGTAAATGTTTTTCTTCGCTTTCTTCAATCATGTTTATTTTTTTACCCATGGAGAGAGGCTTCATGGCAGCACGGGCAGATCTGGCGAGAACGTTCATCGTTTAAAAATTGAAAAATTAGTTTCGAGGTGAGGGGGAGAAAAAAAAGTTGTGTATTTTTCTTTTTTCGCTTATTTGGACTCCCAAAAAAATTGTGTCGGCAATGGACTTTCAATTCGAAGGGGGGTGGGTGGCTAACAACGGGGCAGGAAGAAATAGGTGACGTCAGAACTGGGTGAGTTCGTTTAGGCGTTAAAGAGTCATTTTCATAAGAGGCATGTGTAGCAATTATAGGCGTACTCTAGTAGTATGCGCAGCAAAATACAACGTGTAGTTTTAGCTACAAAAAAAAAAAAAAAAAAAAAGAGAGAGGCGTAGGGTAGAGTGAAATCATTACCTAAAAATTCTGTACACGAAAAATGCTGGGTTGTGTAATTTCTTCTCCACAAAGAGTCTGAACTCAGCAGTTAAGACAACCCCCCAGGCTCTAATATATTAGAAAATCCTCTATCACTGGGCCTGGGTTTTGGGGACAAAAGGGCCAAAGGGGAGGGGCGAGGATTGAATGTCAGCCTAGTAAAAGCTGCTTTTTTAGTGGGAGGGGAGGGGTTGTAAAAAAAAAAAAATATAGCAAAGAGCTTTGCGGTAACCTACCTTTTTTTTTTTTTTTTTTCTCCACCCCTTTCACTCGGTATTTAAGCAATGTTTATTTCTCGTGCTCTCGGTCGTGTTGCTTCAAGCACCGTCCGTTTCCAAGCTAACTCCTTGGCCTCTCAAGCCGCTGCCTCAGGTAATTAACGCTTGCACACTTTTTTTTTGAAAAACACATTAGCCATGCATTGGGGGTAACCCTGGCCTAACATATTTTTATTAACAATTATAGCTCGTACTTATGCTACCGCTGCCAGTGCTGGTCAAATTCGGTAGGAACATTAGATAATTAAACGTGGATTAATTACTAACAATCATAATAGTTCCGTTATTGGTGCTGTTGTTGATGTTCAATTCGAACAAGATAACTTGCCTGCTATTTTGAACGCTCTTGAGGTCCAAGACCACTCCGGTGGACGTCTTGTCCTTGAAGTTTCTCAACATTTAGGTGAGAACACTGTCCGTACTATTGCTATGGATGGTACTGAAGGTAAGCTTTTTATTTTTATATGTGAGTGAGTTATATGCTGACTATACTCTAGGTCTTGTCCGTGGTCAAAAGGTCATTGATACTGGTGCCCCCATCACCATCCCCGTTGGTAAGGAAGTCCTTGGTCGTATCATTAACGTCATTGGTGAACCCATTGATGAACGTGGTCCTATTGCTGCCAAGACTCATCGTCCCATTCACGCTGAGGCTCCCGAATTCGTTGATCAATCTCCCACTCCCGAGATTCTCGAGACTGGTATCAAGGTTGTTGATTTGTTGGCTCCTTATGCTCGTGGTGGTAAGATTGGTCTTTTCGGTGGTGCTGGTGTTGGTAAGACTGTCTTGATTCAAGAGTTGATTAACAACATTGCTAAGGCTCATGGTGGTTACTCCATTTTCTGTGGTGTCGGTGAACGTACTCGTGAAGGTAACGATCTTTACCATGAAATGATTGAAACTGGTGTCATTCAACTCGAAGGTGAGTCCAAGTGTGCTCTCGTCTTCGGTCAAATGAACGAACCCCCAGGAGCTCGTGCTCGTGTTGCCTTGACTGGTTTGACCATTGCTGAATACTTCCGTGATGATGAGGGTCAAGATGTCTTGCTTTTCATTGATAACATTTTCAGATTCACCCAAGCTGGTTCTGAGGTCTCTGCCCTTTTGGGTCGTATTCCCTCTGCTGTCGGTTACCAACCCACTCTTTCCACCGATATGGGTGGTATGCAAGAACGTATTACTACTACCAAGAACGGTTCCATTACCTCCGTCCAAGCTGTCTATGTCCCTGCTGATGATTTGACCGATCCTGCTCCTGCTACCACCTTCGCACATTTGGATGCTACCACTGTCTTGTCTCGTTCCATTGCTGAGTTGGGTATTTACCCCGCTGTCGATCCTCTTGATTCCAAGTCTCGTATCCTCGATCCCCGTATTGTCGGTGATGAGCATTACAAGGTTGCCACTCAAGTTCAACAAATCCTCCAAAACTATAAGTCTCTCCAAGATATTATTGCCATTTTGGGTATGGATGAATTGTCCGAAGAAGATAAGCTCGTTGTCGAACGTGCCCGTAAGATCCAACGTTTCTTGTCTCAACCTTTCGCTGTTGCCCAAGTCTTCACTGGTTATGAAGGTCGTCTCGTCCCTCTTGCTGATACCATCCGCTCTTTCCAAGAAATCTTGGGTGGTAAGCACGATAACTTGCCCGAATCTGCTTTCTATATGCAAGGTGATATCAACGATGTCCAAAAGCGTGCTGAAGAACTCGCCAAGGAAATTGGTTCTCAGTAATTCTCTTTTTTAGAAGTATAACAAGTTTTTTTCTTTTTTCTTTTCTTTTGGGCTAAAGTAGTATGTGTGTTTTGTCATATTGGTGTGTGTGCGTTTTTTGGAGTTGTAGGAGGATAATCTATTTTTTTATCCCATATAAAAAAATAAAATTTTAAGAGACCGTACTGCTCAGCTTCTTAGAAAAAAAAATCATTGTTTCATCTTCTTTCTCCTTTTGGTTTAATGAAAAATACATACACACTCTGTAGTGAACATGTTTAGCGAGGAACCTCGTCTCCAATGTGACCAAGATAGATGGTTGATATTAAAAGAAATAGCACGTCATGCAATGTTATTCATCCGAAACTTGATTCTTAAAATCATAACTCGCTGTTATATTCTGTTACTGATCACAACGTCTTTATAGCACTGACCAGGCACACACACACACACACAGATACACAACATTGAAAGTGTCAGAATGTCAAAATAAGAGAGTTGCCTTATATTGACAGGGAAACGTGTGAAATAGTACAAAAAACAAGGTTTAAACTTTTGGGTTCTTCGTAAATTTTCAATCATTCCATTGATATTATGTCTACACAATTTAGGGTAATAACATTCTTCCCCTTTAGAATACCTGAGAACGCATATGAGGCAAACCCCCATAAGCCCTCCTGAAATCTTTTTTTCTTTGATATAACAATGTCAAAAACTTCTTTTCTCTTTTTCTCCCCCCTCTCTATTGTGTTTTTTCTCTCTCTCTTTTTTACTCCCCTAAATACGAAATGAAAATTTCAGCAACCCTTTTACTTTTGGCCTGTGCTTCAAGTTCGACTTTTGCATTAAATGAAATCGTCATCAAGGGGTCCAAGTTTTTTGATTCCGTTACAAAAGACCAATTCTTTATCAAAGGGTACTTTTCTTTTGTTTGACATGGCATAGATACATACTTTAATAATATTCTCTTAGTGTGGCCTATCAACCTCGAGGTGAAATATCAGACAACAATACAATGGATCCCTTGGCAGACCCAGCAGCCTGTGCAAGGGATGCTCCCATGATGGCCAAGCTTGGTACAAATGTTCTCCGTGTTTACGAAGTAAGAAATCACACGTTGTCACACTTTATTAGCATTATTAACCCTACAATATCATAGGTGGATCCAAAGAACAATCATGACGCTTGTATGAAGTCATTTGAGGATGCAGGCATTTATCTCTTACTCGACATTGCTACACCTCACTTTTCCATTAATCGAAAGTCACCGGAATACGGTGTGAATCTCTACAACGCTTACAAGAACACCGTAGATGCCTTTTCCAAATACAACAATTTAATCGCCTTTATCGCCGGTAACGAAGTCACCAATGACAAGACCAATACACCCGCATCCGCCTTTGTCAAGGCTGCTTTACGTGATATCAAGACCTACATCAAGAGTAAAAACGGCAGAAGTATACCTGTGGGTTATGCAAGTAATGACGATGAATATATTCGTGACGCTATTAAAGATTATTTCAATTGTGGTGACCCTGATGCCCAGGCCGATTTCTTTGGCGTCAATCTGTACGAATGGTGTGGCGTCTCTACATTTGAAAAATCAGGCTTCAAAGATCGCACACAAGAGTTTGAAAATTACAGCAAACCGGTGTTTCTTTCAGAGTATGGTTGTAATTTAGTCACTCCCAGAGGCTTTTCGGAGGTATCTGCTTTATATGGCCCCGAAATGACGGGTGTCTGGTCAGGTGGTGTCGTCTACGAATGGACTCAAGAAAATAACCGTTATGGATTGGTGCAGATTACACCTTCAGGAGAAGTTGAAGTGTTGGCCGATTACACCAATCTTCAGAATGAAATCAATAAGACCAAACCTAAAGGTGTTAAAATGGACGCCTACACAGAATCAAGAGCTGCACCTGATTGCCCTGCTATCACCGGTAACTGGAAGGCCTCCACCGAGTTACCCCCCACACCCTCTGATGGTGCGTGCGAGTGTATGGTTCAAAACCTGGAATGTGTCGCCTCGGATAAAGTCAGTATGATCACAGGAGAAAAAGGCAATAGCACTATTGGATCGCAACTAGACACCATGTGTGGTCTTGTCTCTTGTGGTGATATTGTCAGTGATGGTGAAAAGGGATTGTATGGTGGTTTCTCTTTCTGTTCGCCACGCGATAAGCTAAGCTGGCTTTACAACTTGAAGGCACGAGAACTCAAGACGTCTACCTCATGTGGATTCAACGGACTCGGTCAAGAAGTGGCCCCCAAAAGATTCGACATTCAAACATGTGCCAAAATCGCCCCTAATTTGGGAGAGGTTACCGAAAGTGGACCTGGAAATGGTAATGCATTGGCTTCGAGCGCTTCCAGAATGATTACGAATATATCGGGTCATGGTAATGCATTTGTGGCGTCGCTTGTATGTGTATTAGCCGCCACCTTTTTCATGTAATTCTTTTTTTTTTCTTTTATAAAGTATTTTAGTTAGATTATAATAAATATCAACCTTTTTTTATGTTTACTGCATACATGTTTACCATTCACACAAACTATAATCTGTAAGCGTGGATCGTCTTTATTTAGTATTAAACAAAGACACAGACCTAAATGATTTGCACAACACTTACAAAAAGATGTGTATTAAAATTAAGACATACATAATTTCGGATCTTTCCACTAATTCCTTTTTACTGTAATGCAATATGACGTTTGAAATTTCTTTGTTATTCCATTGCCCAAGAAAAAAAAAATTGGGTATAATCATGGCCCAACTAATTTATTTGTTTACAACAGAAACAGGGGCGTTTAAGTCGATACGACTGTAAACAAGGACCCTGAAAAATTAAAAATCATCTCTTTTTGAGTATCTCCATGGCAACGGGATAAAGTTAAACAAAAAGCAGCTCAAGTGGAGGTTTTTTTTTTTTTTTTTTTTTTTTTTTTTTTATAGAGGACAGATGACTTTTGAGGTTTTATTAACAGCAGCATAAATACGCATGCTACAGAACCGACAAGATTTTATTATAGATCGGCCCTTGGAGGCACCCAATCTTGAAAAAGGCCTCCTTCCCTTCTTATGACTCTACTTGCACATAAAAACCGTATATATATATTGCAACCCCAACTCCTTTTATATTTACAGAATAATTTGGTTAATTGTATATAATAATTTCAACTTGTTTCTCTATCTACCCCTTTCTTATCAATTCCTTTTATTTTTCTTCCTCTCTTTCTCTCTCTCTCTCTCTTTTTTTATATCATACATAAAAAAAGAAGCGCCAAATAAAAAAATAAGGGTTACATACACACAAAAAAAATTAGTTCATTGCAACAATCTCCAAAATGACCATGTTATCTTCTAAATCAGCAAAGTCTTCAAATTCACCAAAAAGACCTGTCCAGAAAAAGCAGAATAAATTAGGGCCGTATAATCTTTTACAGACTTTAGGCGAGGGCGAATTTGGAAAAGTTAAACTAGGTATCCACAGTGAGACTGGACAAGAGGTACATTTGAACTTTAAATTTTTTGCATAGATTTAAAATAAAAAACTAATATAAATAAAAAGGTGGCTATTAAGCTAATTAAAAAAGAGGGCGCTGGTTCAGATACTCGTATCAACAAAGTCGAAAGAGAGATTTCTGTATTAAAGGTAATATTAACAAGAAGCATTGCACCCTGTGAGATAAAGCAATTAAAAACAAAAAACAAAAAATATTTTTGTACAGACCTTGAATCATCCTTATATTGTCAAGCTGTTCAACGTTGTAGAAACCGAGAAATACATTGGTATCATTTTAGAATATGCATCAGGCAAGTCTCTTTTTAAATGACATGTTTACATAACATATCTTATGCCCCCTTCTTCGCTTTTTTTTATATCTTAAATCTCATCATTCATTATTAGGTGGCGAATTGTTCGAATATATTCTGGCTCATCGATATCTAAAGGAAAAAGATGCCAAAAGATTTTTTGCCCAGTTGATTAGCAGTGTTCAATATATGCATAAACGAAAAATTGTCCATCGCGATCTTAAATTGGTAAGTTTTACAAACCCCCCATCAAAGGAGTACACACACACACACACACACACACAACACACACTCTGTGCTGTTTAGGAGAATATGACCTATACTTTTTTTTATAAGCACATCTCTCTCCCTAATACTAAACTTTTTTTTTGGTGTTTTTTTTTGTATTATAGGAAAATTTACTATTGGATAAAAATAGAAATATCATTGTTACAGATTTCGGCTTTGCTAATCAGTTCGATTTGGCTGCTGATGATTTAATGGCTACAACCTGTGGATCCCCCTGCTACGCTGCTCCCGAATTAGTGGTAAATGCTGGTCTCTATGCTGGCTCTGCAGTAGATATTTGGAGTTGCGGTGTGATACTGTATGCAATGATATGTGGTTTCCTTCCCTTCGATGATGATCCATCCAACCCTGACAGCGATAACATAAATCAATTATACCGCTACATTCTATCCACACATCTCATGTTCCCTTCTTATGTTTCGGCAGATGCTCGTGACCTTCTACAAAGGATGCTAGTTCCTGATCCAACCAAGCGTTGCTCTCTTGAATACATCATACAACATCCATGGTTAGATATACATCGTGAGTTTCTCAGAAAAGACGCCCATCAAATCAAAATGGAGGCAGCAGAGGCGGCCAAGTTATCCTCTTCATCCACCTCTTACGTTACAACAGACATGGAAAACCATCACCCACCAAATTTGGTCTTGACAAATAGTGTATCCACTACTGTACCACCTACATCAGAAAAAATTCTGGCAGGAGAAAACCAGCCTGCATCACGCAAGACTCATATCCCTGTAGCTGCTACCCGTGATCGCTTTGCTCCTGTCGCTAATGATAAATATCACTCAACCGGTAAAACAAAACAGGCAACTGAAAAATCATCGAAATCAGGTCCATTTCGTCATTTTACCATCGGCAGATCTTCCGCTACCACGTCCACTGCAGAAAGACCCACTGTACATGCCACTGTCACACCTACTACAACAACTAAAAACTCAAAAGTACCGAGTTTTATCAGTCGAAAACCCATCAAAAAAGAAGAGGAAATTGTCGATACATCGGATGCTTCGAATCCAGAAAAATCTCTGTCTTCACCGCTACTCGCTCAAGATTCAAAGATTCCTACCATGTCAGCATTTGGTAGTATACGCAAAAACCAACGTCGAGGTGCGGATAAATTCCTTAGTTTTTTCACTGGTGGTGGTAGTGGTAGCGGTGGCAATAGAAATGGGAGAGCTTCGCATATCCCTGTGGTCAGTAAGAATGACGAGTTTGGTATCTTTGATTCAATGAACAATAACCCACAAGAGGTGATCAAAAACAGTGCTACTGAGGACACATTACTATCATTACAATCTAATTTAAACGATGGTGATGACGAAGAGGAGGATGAGGATGAGGAGGAAAATGAAAATAAATTGCGCACGTTACGTGCCAATTCTGAAAGCTCTACGATTGGTGGATCTACACCCTCTTTATGTATGTCGTCTTCTATTACGGATCCCTCGTCTCCGTTGTCCCCTGCTGTACCTCCATCACCTCCATCACCACCTCAACACCAACCACAGACGAATAAGATGACTGCATTAGCAGTGACTACGAACTATCGCTCAAGATCAGCTCAACAAGTGCATATTGATACTTCTTCAATGTCGGATAGTCATGATGATAGTACTGCCGTCTCTCCTACCATTGTAGGTGATACAATTGAGGAAGAAATAGAAGAAGAAGAAGAAGAATTAGACTATCAAGATCCCAATATCTCTGCATTCTCTTTACGCGGCAATACAAGTAACAATGAAGATGAGGAAGGGGAATATCGACACCAAGTTTTGGATAGGGGTAACAGCATGAGCGCCGCATCCATGCTATCAGAAAAATCAGTCAACAGCAGCAGTCTTTCATTTAAAGACGCACCAAGACGTACACCTCTTATCTTTTCTTCTCAAAAGACTGGTTCTTCTTCTCTAAAAATGAGAAAATCCTCTACTACCAGCCATGGACAAAAATACGCCATTGAAAACAACTCGTCGATTTTATCAGACCATCATACCGACAATGCTTCCATCTCTTCCACTTCCTCTCCCTACCCCGAGGTATCCACCTCCGGTAAACTCGTTCAAAAATCGGTCGTTTCTAATGCCATGGGCGATGGTGGTAGAAAAGCCATAGAAGCTGTACGTCGTAGTATTTATCGAAAACACAAGAGTCAACCTCCACAATCACCCATGTCAGATGCTTCTTCTCAAACAAGTAGTAATTATGGTCCCAAAGAACCCATTATTTCTTTCGCTAAAAGTAGATTTGAAGAAAATACTACTACAAATACAAATAATCAAAGACGAGCCAGTGATCAAAGTCATCGTAATACATGGTCGGCTACCCCAGCAACAACTACTGATACAGCTGCCGTAACAACAGGTATAAGTCATGAAAATATAGAAGAAAAAAAGGATAAAGAAAAAAAACATGTTATTTAAAGTTCTAACTCAAAAACCAACTTTTCTTAATTAATATAGCTAATACGCCTCCCAAAAAAACCGGTAAAAAGATGATGGATTGGATCAAAAAGAAATCACATGGTAAGAAACACTTACACAAATTAATAAAACTTTGGGGATCGTCCTTAATTAACAAATCTTACTAGCCAAAGAAAACAAAAAGGAGACATTAACGCCAACAACAACAGCGAAATCCCATATATCAGGACAGATATTAACTAAATCGAGAAAATCTCATACTCCTGCAGTAGTCTCAAACGAACCTACTAATGTCACCGCTCACCGTTCACCAGAGCCAGCAGTCTTACCAAACTCAAGAACAGGAAGTAAGCAATTGGTCTCCATTTTAGAACCACCAAAGAAATCAACTCGGGTCTCCATCTTACCTACTACAAATGAAAGATCATCCAATAAAAAGAAGGAAGAGATAGGAGTAAGTCGACGTAGCACGAGAGCCATCAGTGGCAATGATCATGATTTAATGCCCTCAACACCCGGTGGCGTCGATGAACGTATTCAAATTCATCAAGGCGCTATCGATCGTACGGCTTTAACATCACAACCACCTGCTGATATCGTGAAAGATGTCAAACGAATCTTACGTATTCTCGGTATCGAAGCAAAAGCAGAAGGATCAAGCCCATACCTTTTGAAATGCTCTCGTAAAAAAGCAAAGGCATTTAAAGGAAGAAGAGGAGGAGGCGATGACGATGATGACGATAATGATATGAATCCTATTGATGACGATCAATTCATAATTAATGATTCTAATATTACTACCACATCAGACATATCCTTAGTAGCACCCAGTAATCCTGACAGTGTGATCTCCTCTACTTCATCAGCGGGGGGTGTTTTAACCACTGTTGCACGTGGATTAGAGCCCATTTATGGCGATGCATCAATTGACAATGGTGATGAAATTCGATTTGCTGTGGAAGTTTGTCGTTTCCAAAATCTACCAGGACTTTACATTATTGATATTCGTCGACTTAAAGGCAATGTCTGGGCCTACAAATTTTTGTATCATAAGTTGATTGACTTCTTAAATGTAGGCAGAGATAGTGCTTTTGTTTTATAGTTTCTTCTCTATTAGAAAAAAAAAATTATTCCCCCCCCCCTCCTCCTCCTCCGCCACCCCACTCTATTACTTTATTATTATCAACATTTTGTCACTCATATATTTTTAAAAAAAAAATAAAAAACAACAAGTTTTTTGGCACACATTTTGAAAGAAGCACACATATTTTTTGGAAGTGGAAATTTTAAAAAGAAAATTGATGGGCCGAACAAGGGACGAGTCACAAAGTGGTGACGTTTGATCAAACAGCCAATGAAAAGCAGCAAAAAACGAAAAATTTGTAGGCGAAGCGAGAAAATAAATAAGTTTTTTTTCTGGCAACCTCATAGTTCGTCCTCTCTTTTTGAACATTGACATTTGACAATGAAGCATCTCGCCGCTTATCTTCTTCTCGTTGCCGGTGGTAACACCTCCCCCTCTGCTGAGGACCTCAAGACCATCTTGGGTTCCGTTGGTGTTGAGGTTGACGCTTCTCGTGTCGCTGCCTTGATTAAGGCTTTCGAAGGAAAGACCGTTGCTGAGGTATGTTGATGAAAAAAAAAAAAAACTTTTCAATTTTTTTTTTTTTTTCGTATTCACTAACTATTCTCTCTTGTTTCATCCAGGCTATCGCTGAAGGTTCTGCCAAGCTCGCTACCGTCTCTGCCGGTGGTGCCGCCGCTGCCTCTTCTGGTGCTGCTGCCTCTTCTTCCGATGCTCCCGCTGAGGAAGAGAAGGTTGAGGAAAAGGAGGAGTCTGACGACGTAAGTATTTCTTTTAGTGAAGAAAAGGGTTTTTGTGTGTTATCAAAAAAGCTAAACAATATTTTTTTTTGAATAGGATATGGGTTTCGGTCTCTTCGATTAAACGTTGCAATTCCCTCTCTCGCAACTCATTTAAACGAAAAACACTCTCTTACTCGCAGTTATTCTTGCTTGCTAATAAAGACTTTCTAATTATATACAAAAAAAAAAACAGACCCTCCTCTACTAAGCTAAGCTCCTTTCCTTATGGTTGCCCTCATATTGCCTTTACGACCTTACACTTGGGTGGCTTATATCGTCTTTTTTTTTTTTCCTCCCACTCCCCCATTGTGATATCATAGGGATTGCAATCGCCAGCCTCGTCATGAGAAAAGATGTACTATGTTTATGAATTACATGTGAGTTCGTGCATATGTTGCGTTGATGCAGAAGCTGCTACAAGTATTTCCATCGATGTGTCAGAATCATATAAAATTGTGGCTTAGAAAAACAAAAGACCATCAGTGCACACACATTAGGATTTGCCTGTCGCATACTTCAAACTGTATGTAAATGTGGTGCAGCTTCAATTGTTTTCTGTTTGACAGATTCTTGTATAGAGTTTAAATAGGCTTACTTTTTTTCACGTGGTTTTATTATAACTGCATCGCGTTTTTAGACATACTATGTAACTGCAACACTCATCATCATATAAACATTGTATTTCTCTTTCCCACCCAATCAAATAGACAGACCAGCGTGACCTGTTTGCTTTGGTAGGAGGCTTACACATCAATCGTCTCCCCCCAAAAAGTGACGTCGCGCTAGCAGTTTTGTTTAACTTCAGCTAGTTAAACTTGCAGCATTTCCGCATATACTTGTTATTTTCCACCTTTTTCTTATCTATTTAAAATCATGTCGTCCCACGAAGAGGATTTAGCAGTAAAGAGACAAAGAACTATTCATTTATTGTAAACGACCATCCTTTTTTAACGTTCTTTTTTAATTATATTTGTACAGAAACAAGAAAAGTTATTTGGTACAAGCGAGGAAGAAGAAGAAATGTCTGATCTTGATGGAGACCAAGGTAACGATTATCCAGAAAAAAACTATCTTTAAAATACCCTACTCACCTGTATTTATAAGTAGCTTCTGACAACGAAGAGACAACAAGAGCTCATCAAGAAAATTACAACGAAGATGAGACACCTAAATCTATTTCAAAGTTACCTTCTTTTAAAAAAAGATCGCGCGATGTCGATGATGAAGAGAGCGCACGCTTAGAGGAAGTGCGTAGAGAAATTCGTGAAATGAAAAAGAACTCCCCTCGTAACGACGATGATGAAGATGAAGGACCCATCGATCCTCGTCAAGGTATATATGCATATACATGTATAATTAGACATTGGTCCCAGAAAAACTTATAATGTGATTTAGCTTTGAGAGATGAAATCGACAGAGAATTCGCAAAAGCATTAAAGGGCGGCAAGAAGAAGAGAAAGAAGCAAGACGGTGAGGATCTTGAGAGTTCAATGGATGAAGAATTATCCAATTTGAGGGAACGTATGAAGATCGCCTCTGAAGAAGATGCAGTTGCTAACGGTGAGAGAAGAGCTGCTGTTTCAAAATTGAAGATGTTGGGCCAAGTAACCACCATGTTGACAAAGTGAGTATTCTTATCTTTCATTTTAAGCGAAATGATTGACTCTTTTTTTTTTCTTTTTCAAGCAAACACTTGCATGATGCTATTCTCGATAATGGCTTATTAGACTCAATTCGTCAATGGCTTGAGCCTTTGCCCGATCGTTCATTACCCAGTTTGGATATTCAAAGTGAGATGCTGGATATTTTGGATAAGCTTCCTATTGCTGGTGACCATTTACGTGAAAGTGGTGTTGGCAAGATCGTCTATTTCTATACCAAATCACCCCGTATTGAACCCAGAATGAAGAGAAAAGCAGATCAATTGGTTGCTAAATGGAGTAGATTAGTCATTAAGCGTAGTGAAAATTATAAGGAACGTCGTCACGCTGTGCAAGAATATAGACAGGAGGATATGTAAGTTTTCAGGTCGATGCACACTTTATGGCTCTCACGTATTAACTATTTGGATATTTATGCAGGATTCATCAACGAAAGAAGTACAGACGTCCCGAAGAAGAGCCTGAGGAAGAAAGGTTTGTTAAAAAAAAATGGAAGGCCTATGTCATTTAGCTAATCAAATCAATTTCATTCAGAGATGATAACAGATTGCATGTGCGTATTCCTATGGCTGTTGCTGCTGATTATGATGTTGTCCCTCAAAGTACAATCAGAGCTGATAAGAGCAGAGGTGTAAGAGTAAGTATTTATTGGCTTTATGCCGTTTGTAAAAAAAATGCAAGAAATCATTTCGATTAACACATCATTTTAGCCTGATAATACCTTCAAGAGATTGAATAATACTATGCGTTCCATCAAGACTGGACCCAAGAGATCTACACCCAAGGTTTCTATTGAAGGAAAGGGAATGTCTTTTTAAAAATTCCAAACATATCCCTTTATGGATTTCCTTTTTTTTCCCTTGTAAATAAGCTATAATAATAAAAAAAAAAATGCTGGTAAAAAATATCGGTGAATATGCGCTGCTACGTTATCTGTAGCTACTCTATAAATGAATGATGTAAGAAATGGATACTGTGTCATGGTTACCAACGTATGCAGGACATGATGCTGAGCATTAAAATTCTCGATCATAATCCTGATTGGCATTGTTTATAACTCCCTTATCTATTCATCCCAAAGTTTGGGATAATGCTACCCCCAAAAAAGGACGGTGCCTGGTTTCTGTCTTACATATACCATTCCCTCAAAATGTGACACGTTCAATCATAGATATTACTAACTTGTTTTCAAACTTCTAAGCTTGAGTAATAAGAATGTATAAACTGAATATTGCTAATATATGATTGTCTTTTTGTGATTTTTATTCTTGTATGTTAAAAACAAGTTACATATTGAGTAACTAGTAATCACCAAAGATTGCAATTATACCTACTATATTTAGTTTATATTACCCGCTTGTGACAAACACACTCGCCAATCAATTTTCCTTTAAATGATGCCATTCCAACTGCTTTAATCAAGCTTATAGTTTTTTATCCATTTGTACCATTAATCAACTCACTCTAAAAATAGCTAGATAAACATTTTAAATGCTATTTGTACAACACACGGATGGGCTTTAAGTTATGCATATAGGGACTTGAATATTCTAAAAGACATAATAACTGTTACTACCAGATTTCAAGTATAATAAACTTTGCAATACGCCTAATCATCCACAAATAAATCTGAAAACTCCTTAATCATCAATAATTAAAATGTTTTCTCAAGTCCATTATATTACGTCTGGATAGGAGCTTTTACAGACAATAATGCCATAAACAAGTGTTTTTTATTTGGTTTGTGATTTTCAAGTCACCCGGTGGTATCTAATTGCTGTAACAAGATAATATCACCAATTTACTCTTAGCGCGTGTGGTACATATGTGTCTCACATACAGTCTGATTATCAGAAGTTAGTGCGCATTATTTTTATGATATTGATGTCGTTAAAATTCATTCTGTGAATGTTAATAAAAAAATTATTTGCAAAGAGTTCTGACAATTTTATGATTCGATATTACTGATACTTTACCGTCTTTCATTTCGGGTACCGAATGGAATGTCTGTGTTCTTTTGATGCTGTTACTAACCTGGGTTGGTAATTTATGTTACTATCAATTATTATGAAGCCAATAATTCCAACGACTTTGAATAATCTTACAACATATTTAAGCAGGTTCTATGTTTATTATATTTCCAAGTGAAATTTGTACATTAAGGACAATTCTTAGCAGTAATGACGATATATTTGTGACTTTGGCCTCGCACAAACTATTTAATCAAACATACGAGCTGCTTGGGATAATCCGATTTTTTTTAAAAGAGTAACCATTTGGGGTACAAAAGTACGATCACTTTGTAATCACATGGTGCTTCACAGATCTATGATGTGCAACCTAAAACCGAATTGTTACACTTAAATAAAGAAATAAAAACTTACCATATATGAACATATTGCCATTAAAAGGTAATAGCATCTTTTGGGAACGCACTTTATTTGTTCAAATCATAAATTGACGATATTTTTGGGACCACACACACAAAAAAAAAAAAAAACCTAACGTATTACAAATTGCAAACATTCAGTCTTTATCTTTTTAAATGTTTGTGCTTCCCTGTGTAATTATTAAATGCATTCGATCAGTATTAATCTAAACCTGCAGTCAGAGTGACACAAAACTATGCTGCTTTAATATGCCTGTATTAACCCGGGAATACACATGCATTACATATTAGCTAATCCTTGTTCTACATAGACTAATATGTGGTGTACTTACCGGGTTTATTATAGACATAAAGTCTTAATTTGGTTATAAATTGATCCAAATTAGAAATACTCGATGAAAAAAGAAATGGATACCCGTCATGGACCTTCTATGTCGAATAAAAATGTATAAAAGACAGCACATTAAGAGTAATTTTTCGTTTTTCATTATCAAACAATCATCTTAATTCTAACAATGAAATTCACTCTCGTTTCTTCTTGTGTGGCACTTGTTGTCATGGCTCTCTCAGTCGAAGCTGCTCCAGCAACTCAAAAAACTCTTACCATTCCTTTAGAATTCAACGATAGCTACAAGCCTAATACCAAGGCTGCCATTGCTAAAGCCAAGGCCAAGTACATCAAGAAGATTATCAATCCTCTTAAGGGTGTTCCCGCTGCTATTGTTCCTGAAGCCACCGGAAGCGTTCCTGTCATTGATTATGAAAGCGATCTCGAATACTATGGTACTGTTCAAATCGGTACTCCTGCTCAAAACTTCAAGATCAACTTCGATACTGGTTCTTCTGATTTATGGGTTGGTAAGTGGTACAGCTTTTTTTTTTTTAATGAGTCCTTCTTTTAATTGTCTTTCAAATTGATAGCATCTACGTTGTGTTCCACCTGTACCACCCACACTCGTTATGACTCCACCAAGTCCAGCACCTACGTTGCTGATGGTCGTGCTTGGTCAATTGCTTACGGTGATGGATCCACTGCCAGCGGTATTTTGGCCAAAGATACTGTTACTCTTGGAGGTCTTGCTATTAAGAACCAAACTATTGAATTAGCAAAGAAAGAGTCTAGCAGTTTTGCTTCTGATCCTATCGATGGTCTTCTTGGTCTTGGTTTCAACACCATCACCACAGTTGCCGGTGTCAAGACCCCCGTTGATAACTTAATTAGTCAAGGGTTGATTACCAATCCTATTTATGGTGTCTGGCTCGGTAAGGCTATCAATGGTGGTGGCGGTGAATATCTCTTTGGTGGCATCAATACCTCCAAGTATACCGGTTCTTTAACCACTATTCCTGTCGATAACTCTGATGGCTTCTGGGGCATCACCGTTGCCGCCACCAAGATTGGAACCACCTCTATTGGATCTTTCAGTGGTATTCTCGATACCGGAACCACTCTTTTGCTTTTCACTGATGCTATTGCCAAAAAGGTCGCTGCAGTTTATGGTGCTAAGGATGTTGGAGACGGAACCTACACCATCAATTGTGATACCACCGCCTTCAAGCCTCTTGTCTTCACCATTGGATCTGCTACATTCAATGTTCCTGTCAACTCTCTCATCTACGAAAAGTATGGCTCTACCTGTTACGCCTCTTTTGGTTATGCCGGTCTTCCATTTGCTATTCTCGGTGATACTTTCTTGAAGAACAATTACGTCGTTTTCAACCAAAAGGTCCCCAGTGTTCAAATCGCTGCTGCTGTTGGTCAATAATTTTTTTTTTTTACCCACTTTTAAAAGAAATTTAATTTTGTACAATAATAAAATAAAATCACACAGTGATTATCAAATTAAAACTTATTACACTCCCTTTTGTTTACAAAATCGTAAAATTTATTTATTAGATTCTGTATTGGAGTAGATTTGTCTAATTTTATAAAATAACCTTCTTAGGGCCCTCGCAAGCACATCAAACTATTTTTTAAAGTTCCCGATTAAGGACATTAATTTTTTTTTTGTGAAAGGTTCCAAATAGAATCTTTTAAAATTTTAATAATATATATGGACGATTAATAACAGCATTGAATATTTTCAGTGCTAAAAAATCCGAATTGTCCAAACGAAGAATTAAAATCTGCAGGCCCCAAAAACCTTCTATCAGATTATTTAATGTCCAAATCCGATTACTGAAATCACAAATGTTGTTTATTTTTCAATAAGAGCCTTTCATTTTTATCGATTTACTTTTTTTCTAACATCTCCATTTTATTTTACAGATATGAGTTTCCAAAATTATTCAAGTGCTGATTTCATCAATGGCCAACGCCCAAACCCTCCTGTGGTAAGAGGCCGACCCAGAGTAAACCCTCCGTCTGCTGCACAGATTCCCACTGACGTACCTGTTCCATCCTCTCTACTGGAATGAAGAGTCGTCATATTTTCTACGAGGTGTTGTCCCGTAGAATTAAGAATTTCCAAACTATCTTCTTCGAGAGATTCAGATTCATCGTTGATTCGAACTATTAGGAGCTGCAACTGAGACACGATAAACGCAATTTGTTGTGGGGTCATCATTCTTAAACTGTAATTTTTATCTTTTTAAAATATAATAAAAAAATCGGTTAAACTGAAATTTTGTCTTTAAAAAATAAAGGAACAGATATTTTAGTAATCTGCAAAAACTTTGTTATTAATCATTCAAATTGGGTCATTTAAAAAGCAACGTCATGGATTTCAGAAAAAGATTTCTTTTGGAAGTCTGAAGTAACCTTTCAAAAAAAAAAAAAAAAAAATTAATGTCCTTAATCGGGAACTTTAAAAAATAGTTTGATGTGCTTGCGAGGGCCCTTATTCACACTTTATTTTTTTTTATCCTCTTTTAACATTTAATAAGTTGTGGTCAGCCTCCCTGCTTGGAAAATCGCCTTATTTAGAGTTGTGATACCTTCTGGGGGGATACAAAACATATTTGGGCATTGTATACCTTCCATCTATGTCGAGCAATTTTTATAAAAAAACAAAAAATTGAAATAAAACAATCAATTCTTATATAAATCAACTGAAATTGAAACCACAATATGTTAACATCATGATACGCAACGGTACTTAATATGAGCTTAATTTCAAGGGGTCAAATTTTACTCGACATATATGGTTATCTGTATACCTTCTATATACAGCGAGTAGATTTCGATATTTCGCTATGTATCTCAGAGTTTTTACTCAAATAATTTGAAACTTTAACCTCATATTGTTGATGTTGTAAGAAGGATATATACAAAGTTTCAGCTCAATACAACGATCAAAAATGTACTCGTTAACTCGACATATATGGAAATTTGTGTATCGAATAATTTTCACATTGATAAAAAATATTAGACACGTTATAAATCACTGGTATCCGGACTTCTTCTTTTTTTTTTTTTTTTTTTGGTTTTTTTGACATCTGTTGAGGAGGTTATAAAAATACGTCCCGAGCAGTAAGTTGTAAAAGCGAAAAATAAGGAAAAAATGTACTGTAAATTATTTGCACATTATAAAAATGTTGGTGTGACAATATTTTTTGTGCCGGTTGTTTGATTGAATGTTTCAGTTTATTGCTGTATTTACAGCTGAAGTGACTATTATGAAAAAAAAAAGGAAAGAAACGTATCATAAAAAATATACTGTATTTCCAGCTATTTGAACTATTTTTGTTCCGGAAACTCTAATTTGAGCAATATTTTCGACTAAAGTGAGAACTACTTATACCAATATTAAGCAATCAGATATGTGTTCTGTGTTCGCGGTTTTACATTTTTAAAAACATAAAATCTGATCGCATTATGTATATATATATATTAAAATGTGTAACTGCATTTGGCGCACTGCTGCATTATTTTTAAAATAAACATAAGATTTTATGAAAGCGCCATACATTTGGAAAAGTGCGCCTGTTAAGGCGAATCCACTTTACAAATTATAAAAAGACAAACTCAATAGAGCAGCAGATAATGATTGTCTTCCATGATCACTAACAGAATAAGCTTTTATAAATATAGCAGACAAAAACAACCATCAGAAAATGCTTCATTTTAAGAACTCAATCAAATACCTCGGGTGGCAAACAAAAAAAAAAGAAAAAAAAAAGAAGACAAACATTGGTTTATAGAATAAAATCAATGCTATGCCCAACGCGCAATTCAAATACTCTTCATTTATTTCCAGTTAATAACAGAATAACTTCAAAACACCAGTTGTTGAATGA